AAAAAAAAAAAAAAAAAAAAAAAAAAAGCCGGGTTTATGCTAGCTATTAAGTACTGCAATCCCTAACTCCCTACCCAGAGCAATAAGAATTGCATTAAGGAAGGTCTTTCAAAGTAACTTTCTCCAAGACTCCGGATAATTTGCCCATCCTATGTGATAATACAACTGTAAGAATATGCGATTTACTTTAGATCTTAAATCTTTTATATCTCTATATCTTTATATATTTTTTTAAGCCTTTGACTGTTTTTATTTTTATACTATAACAAGACATTGTAGTTACCTAGCGCCTATTAGCCGTAGCGTAGTAGTTGATTATAGCCATTTAAGGAGTCCACTGTAGGTATAGTAGAATTTATTTTTTATGTAGTTGAGGTGTGGGTTATGTCTAGAAGGTGATCGTCGACTTTGGCTATAAACCACCTGTCACATCTACATGTATCGCATAAGCTCTCGGGATGGACTCATGCCGTCTGTTGTCGTCTGCGACTGAAAAAACATTTGTTTCCGCGCGCTTATCTGACCGGTAGAGGATGAAGATAAGTAGTGTCGCCGATGATCATCAACGAGACGATGACCGGCCATGTTTAGTAGTATTCTTTGTCTGGAACTATGAAAACACACTTTTTGGAGTCGCATGAAGTTGTGATGGACTGGTGATACAAATGGTAGTGATGGTGGTGGTGGCACCAGTGGCTGCGCGGCACCTCGGCTCGCGACGGATCTCCCCAACACGCCTTCTTTTGACAGCGGGGTTGCCTTCAACTCCTTCGTTGGCGTTGGATTTCTCGCGCCGTTACGACGCCGTCGTCGCGCCGTCACCTATCAACCCCAGTTTCTCCACAGCGGCCTTCCCCACAAAGACCCCGCCGGAGCCGTGCGCGAAGCCATAGCTCCAAGCTCATCCATCATGCCGCTCCTCGACCTTCGCGAGTTGCGCTCGTTCCCCTCGGGCGACAATAACACAGACACGCTCATCAACGGCGTGCATTTCAACCTGACCGCGCTCAAGTACTACAATTACACCGTCTACAGCAACAACACCATCTCCAATAGATCAAGATGCTATCTCATCTTCGACCAGTATCAACCTACCATGTTCAGCAACGGCAGCTGGGTCAATGGCACCTCGTGCTACGTACCATATTATGGCATCAAAGCGCGTGGCGCCATCGGGATTGGCTTCGCCGCCCTGTTTGCCGCGAGCATCATGTTCACTCTGATCAACCTGCGGAAACATGGACGAATGTTCTTGAGAGAGGATAAGCGGTTCCGGATTATAGGGAGGCGATGGCAATGGTACTGGATGTGCTTTGTCGCGGCATGCGGCATCATCAGCACCATCACTGGAGTTGATGTCGACCGGGATTATCTGCAGCAGCTTGCGATTGTACTACAGAGCTTCTTCTACTGCCTGATGCTTCCGGGGACGTTGGCCATGGTCTGGGAGGCTACCAGACATTGGTGTGTTTATCCCACCAATACCGAGGAACTAGCTAATTCCTATAGGGGATCCTGGCAGGAAAGGCAAATTTGTGACAGAGACCCTTTCCTTCTTCCCCAAGATGACAAGCGGGGCCAATTCGAATTCTGGATACCGCTAGTCTTCTATATGTTTGCCTGGCTAGTAGGTCGGACGATCATTGTTAGTAGGAGTTTGGTCACTAACAACTACAGAACTTCTTCATGGTCATTCCTCGCTCGTGGACTGCCCTTGAGTATCAGCGCTCCCCTTGGCAACAATCCCACTACGCCCAGCCTTCCGCAACTGACAGCCGGCATAAAGCAGGTGCCATCATTGCTTTTTGCGCCTGGGTGGTAATAATCGTCTCTCTTCACCACAGTCTCCACCACTACCGTCCCCGTACGACTGGCCTCTGGAACCGTTTCAACACATTTTGCCATTACTGTCCCACCAAGCTCTTCCTCTACATCATCATCCTGGGCATCCGCGTTATCTATGCCATAGCCAGTGCCTGGATCTGGGAAATCAACCTATTCAAATACGACGTCGAGCCCGGGTGGCCATACGGGCTCGGCTACGGCACCACAGCGCTGCTCCTCATCATGATGAACATCTACGGCTACGTCGACGAGAACGAAGACCGCCTGCTAATCCAGCAGCGACAAGAGCGCGGCCGCAGCGCCGACGCCGAGCTCGGCCTCACCAAGAAGCCGCACTGGTGGGCCAAAGCCCGCGGCGACACGCACCTGAGCCCGGAGCAGCGGCTGCGCGCGCTCGCGACCGAAGGGCCCGGCGGCCGCGCTGCTCTGCCGCGCGCAAACGTCGAGCTGCAGTCGTTCGCCCTGCCCTCGCACTACAGCATCCCGTCGCAGGCTGGACGCCGCAGCACGAGCGAGCTAAGCTCCGACGACATCGAGCGCGCCATTAGGCGGCTCAGCGAGGACCCGTTCCACGATCCTCCGCTCGAGCTCGAGGAGGGCGGCATGGGCGCCAGAGTGGTGAGGAGGGGCGAGAACAACGACGCGGCGAGCACGCGCACCGCCGACACGGCCAGGTCGGGCATGACAGGGCAGACGCTAACGGAGAATTATCCGCCGCAGAGGGTGAGGAGCATGCTGGATATTTAAGGAGCGAGAGACTATTGGGACGCGGGGGAAGCTAATGATTTTGGGACCGGCGTTGTTTGCTGTTCCGGGGTTCTAGCAGTTTGGTGCGGCGCGCCGGGTGGAAAGGAATCGCGGGTGGCTGGGAAAAAGGCGCAATTCTGCGAGGCGGGACGACAGTCATTTCATCAGGCTACGGGGGGGGGGGGGGGGTTGACTATGTGCGAATACTGACTTGTGTTATGGTCGATATACTAATTGCGCATTTTCGTAGGCAGTACACCTGGCAATGGAAACTGATATTCGACTAACTACCGAAGTATACATTGATTATCAAACGTTGTCCCAGCAGCACACGCTGGATACTGCACGCGCCTCTCCAGTCCCCGGCAATGATAACGTCGCACCTACAAGAGGCGCGAAACCACCAGTTGAGTCCTCAGCAGCGGCTCAAGAAACGTTGCCCTTTAGACGCTGCCAGATGCACCAATACTCTACCCACCAATCGAATACATGAACAGCCACTGGGAACGAGACAGCAAGAAACGAGCAAGTGATTGAAGGAGTGAAACAAAAAGGAACGAATTCGGGGAGGGGTCTCTATGCAAGTTTGCGTGTTTTCGCAAAAGAAGCCTAGAGGGTTGGACAAGGGCATGCCGGTGCGGGGGTACGTGCATGAACCATGATTTGCTGGGTGACTGTGACGGTGGAGGTGACGGTGGAGACGAAGGGTTGGACAGTGACTGTAGTCGTCTGAGTAGTTGTAACGGGGGGAGGCGGGGTGACGATAGATGAGGATGAGGTGGACGAAGTGGACGAGGAGGTGGAGGAGGTCGAAGACGAAGTGGATGAGGTAGACGAGGTAGACGAGGTAGAGGAAGTAGAAGACGTAGAAGACGTCGAGGATGTTGAGGACGTTGAGGATGTTGAGGACGTAGAAGAGGTCGTCGGGTCCATCGTCATAGTGATAATTAAATCAGGCGTTGAAGAGCTGGAGGAGCTGGAGGAGGTGGTAGGATCCATTATGATAGTCGTAACATCCGAGGAGGAGGAGGAAGAGGAGGAAGAGGAGGAGGAAGAAGATGATGAGACAACAGTAGCAACAGGAACGGAAGTTGTAACAGTAGTAGAAGCAGAAGTGGAAGTAGCCGCGGAGGTAGCGGAGGTAGCAGTAGGAGCAACAGTAGTCGTAGAACCAGCAACGGTAGTAGTGGCTGACTGAGCAGGGAGAGGTGCCATATCCTCATAATCATCATAAGCAGCAGTCCTGGCGACGTGCGGGACGGCAATGTCCGAGGCATCAACGCGGCAGATCTTGAGCATATGACTCTGCACCATCTTCATCTCTGTTGGCGGCTTGTTCCCAGACGGAGCACTGAAAGTGAGGGTAAAAGTCTCGTCGAGGGGCCTGGGGCGGAGGAGATCGCAAAATTCCTTCGTGGTATTCCGATACCAAGGCTCGTTTTCATAGGGATCCGACATAGTAGCAGTTTCTACTTCAGACTCTGATCTGGCTCCCAAAACGGGCGTCGTGGTGGCCGCAGAGGGAACGGCGACTGGACGGAGGAGTGCATCAGTTTTGCCGTCGTCGTGGTTGTCGTCATCGTTGTCGTTTTGGCCGATATTGATGGTGTCTTCGTCCTCCTCACCATAGTTGCGAGGCAATAGGGAGTAATAGGTGGCTCTTGCCTCCATGCGTTTGTTTGACATGGGCAAGGAGTCGCGAAGGAGGGCTATGCTTTTGGAGCGACCCTGCAAGACCATTGATTGGGAGTAGGTAGAGACGACGCCATTGTTGCTTGTACGTTCGTCGTCTGGAATGGCGGGGGCCGCGAGGGCCATGGACGCACCCAGGAAGGCAGTGAGGAAGCACGCCCTCATCTTGAAGGATTGAAGGCTTGGGTTGAGTACGGCGGTTGAGGAAACTGGAAACAGATCTGGAGAGACAGCAAAGACTGAAGGAAAGGTTGGAGAGGTGAAGGGAAGCAGTTTTGTACATGCCCTAAATTAATCAGATGCACGCTGCTTAGCTGCACGCGTAATCGCAGAGTCGACTGTTGAACGATTGATCATTGTTTTGGCCTTAGACAAGTGGCTAGTCCTCGACTGGCCCATGGACTTGAAGAATTCTTGGTGCGTCAATTGATGGTGAGGCAACACTATGATCAAAAATGGAAAGAGGGCGTTTGACTTGAGAAAACGATAGGGAGAATGAAAGCACAATTGCATAGACAGGCTGATAGTAGACTAAAGCCAATGAGCGTTTGAAGGGCGCCATATCCTCTTTAAGCAGAGTGGAGCATAGGTAAGTATCATGGCTTCGAAAGCGGTTCCGGGATCCAGGGAACGATAACCACTCTTTGTGCGCGGATGGATTACACATACATATGTGCGACTTGCCTTTAGCCGATGAAGCCGCAGAGAGCGTGTTTGGGATAAGGTGGATGAGCTGCGGCGCTCGTGCATGGCTAGCACGAAAGCTTCGACGTGTTGTCAGCCGCGCTCCTTGCGTCCCCAAGCTCCCTTGTCGTTGACCAAAGACGAATGGCACGCCAATCTGTTGTGAACGGAGATGGAAGCAACCTGAAAGGCGAGCTGGCGGGGTGACTGCCGTACAGCCAAGAAATGACGTCCGCATCGTCATCGCTCAGGTACTACCTACCTACCTAGGTAAGAGTATGGATTGATCCAACGCCTGTCAGTAACACTTCACGCCCATGTAATTCACGTCACGCTCATCGCAACGCGACAGTATTTGACATGTCTGGCGTCACGGAAATTACCATCCTCCCTTTCCAGGCCGGTACGAACGCCCAAGACAAAGACAGCGACGCAGCAAAGACATGGCGCCAGACCCTTGAGGTTGTTTCCCGCCAACCGGGCTTTCGGCGCATGAGCTACGGTGTGCAGCTGGAGGACCCCGACATAATACAGATGCTCGTTGGTATGCAGCTCTCCCCACCGTGAGAACAGCCACAAGACTAACATGCCGCACCGCAGACTGGGACTCGATCGCCGCGCACCAGGCCTTTGTGGACAGCGACGCCTACCTCCCCTTCCACAAGATCTTCGAGAAGCTCCTTTCCGCCCCTCCGTCCACGCACCATGTCCGTTTCAGCGCGCCGCACGCTCCCTCAACCTCAGCAACGGTCACGGAGCTTGTGACATGCTACTTTCCGTCATCATACAAGGGTGATTTCGAAAGCGTGTGGAGCGACTTCCAGAGCCTCGCGCGCGAGCACGCCTCGGGGCTGGTGGGCATCAGCTCCGGATGGGTAGTTGAAGAAGTGGAGCATTGCAGCTTGCGGGACGACGGGAGCGCGGGGAGAGGGCGGAGAGGAAGCTTGTCGGGCAGCGACAAGCCATGTCCAAAGGGCAAGGCATTCGTTTGGGCCATGGGATGGGAGAGGGTGGAGGCGCACATGGGGTACCGGCAGACGGCGTGGTTCAAGGCGGGCATGGCGAGGCTACGGGAGCAGCCGCGGGGGATCGAGATGCACCATGTGAGGTTCAGCATGTAGGTAGTCGAGATACAGTGTCAGGATTGGTTTTGGGTTTGGGCGATCTGGCGGGTTTGCGGCGTTCCGGTCGCCGAACCATGACCGGGTGGAGCCGAAACAAGCCGCTTCAGCCTCCAGCGTCTTCAGCCTTAAGTTGCGCCGGACCATCACATGTGCCCAGCGAAAAAGGAGTCGAGTCAACGACGAGTTCCCTACCAGCGAGCCAAGCCCAGCGGCCTAGAACCCGACCGACGTGCATACCCCACCCTCAATTGGCCGACAGCCTGACACTCAGTGCCCAATTTTCTCTCCATCCGCTTGCGGCTAGAAACGACTGTAATCTTCCGCCCTCACCTCAGCAGCAGGCGCCCCGGGATTGGAGCAGGGGAAGAGGTCAGTTCCGCACCCACCGATTCGTGCGCTTCACTAAAAGGAGATCCTCAGCCAACTCGCGCAGGCATCCTTCGCCTTTACGCACGTAAGGCCCGTTCTTGGCAAGAAACGCAGCATCATGTCCACACCAAACCCGTATAACGTGCAGATGCAGCGCCAGTCGCCCACGCATCAGGAAACTCCGTCTGCATCTCCCTCTGGCTCCAGCAGGGCGGGCCATGCCCATCCTCATCACCCCGCGCCTTCGCGCATCCGCCGCCGGAATCGGCTAATCACCTCATGCCTCGAGTGCAGGTAGGTTCTATCTGCTCCACCGGCTGCCTGGGCAATTGTTGAACGTGACTGCAGGCGGCGGAAGCTCAAGTGCGACAAGCAACACCCATGCAGCAATTGCACCAGATTCTCCCGCGACTGTGTCTTCTTGGCTCCCGCCTTGGACGCGGCCTCGCAGCTCAAGCTGGCCGAGATCAAAGAGAAGATGGGCTCGCTGGAGCGCACCCTTGAAGAAGACATAGCGAAAAGAACAACCGGGCGCTCTCGCTCCAGCTCGAGACTGGGCGCCCACCTGCCCGGTCTCGGCGATGGCTCTAGTGAAGAGGATCTGAGCGATCCCGAAGATGAGAGAGGCCTCGAGCCCACTCCCTTGGCCACTGTAGATGCCGCATATGATGACAATGCCGACGACAATTTCGTCGACCTAGGCGTGCAGTTTGGAAGAATGAGAATCACGGAGAGAATCGGCGGCTTCGTACGGCCGAAGCTCGCGCAGGAGGTTAGTTTTTGGACAACTGGTAACTCTCCCGACCCCGCCGTGATACTGACAAACTTGTGAACAGGTTGCTGAAGCCATCACAGAAGTGCCAGACTTGCAGGGTCCAATGCAGCCACACCCTCTTGCCCCTCAGGTCCACCCGAGTTCGTATCTGGTTCCGGGTCCGGATTACCTGGCTCCTTCAGCAAGTTTTTTCTTTGCCCCTTCAGTTCGGAAGAGCAACCTTCTTCAATCTCTTCCAGCAAAGTCCATGGCAGATACGTTGCTCAAGCGATATTGGGTGGCCGTGCACCCTATAGCGCCAACGGTCCATCGCCAGTCGTTTGAGAGACAGTACGCTTCCTTTTGGAAAGACATTGCAACCGGGGTCGAGCCAAGAGCGTCATTGCAATCTCTAGTGCTCGCAGCGATGCTTTCTGCAGCAGTCAGTTTGTCGGAAGAGACGGTTACGAATGAGTACGGGACCTCTAAAGCCGAACTTGTCGACAGTTTCAAAGAGGGCACGGAGGCTGCATTGTCACGAGCAAATGTCGTGCGAACCACAAAGTTTGAAACCTTGCAGGCCTTTGTCATGTACTTGGTTCGTCTTCACCGTATTTCCGTAACCTCAGGCCTATACTAACCATGACAGATACCTCTCTGCCGCACTGAGATCTCTCGTGCCCATTCTGCCCTCACTGCCATGGCTATCAGACTGGCAGAATGCATGGGGCTTCACCGCGACGGAACGCATTATGCAATGCACCCGGTTGAAACCCACGTGCGGCGGCTTGTCTGGTACCAACTATGCTTTCTTGATATCCGAGTCTGTGAAGCCAGTGGCCCACGACCGCAGATCCGAGAGGATGACTTCGACACTAAATTCCCGTTGGACGTTGATGATGCTGATTTTGAATCGGAAAAACCCCCCGCGAAAGATTCAGATCGCTTTACCGACATGACCATCGCCCGCATGCGGTTCGAGTGCAACGAAATGAGCCGGTTGGTGTGGTTTGAAAGACCGCGTATCGAAAAGAAGCAAACGAGCTTAACTGCCGTGTTGGCGAAAATCCAAAACTTCAGAAACGCCATGGAAAAGCGATATCTGCCACTGTTGAACAATAAAAACCCCGTGCACTCGCAGTGGCAGCTGGTGTACAACATTCTGTCTCTGAAGCTGATTATCACCGTTCTGCATCGATATAGCAGCAACGTAAACCGCTTCATGCCCGAGCGACTGAGACACATGGTTCTCAGTTCAGGGACGCTGATGTTGGAAAGTGCCATTGCGCTTGAGCAGTCGCCTTTATTGAGACCGTGGGCTTGGTACAGTGGTACGTGATGCTTAAATTGCCTTCAACTTAATCAACGTTAACCCGTACAGGATCCTATCAACAATGGCATACAGCCCTGCTCCTTCTCTCTGAGCTCTACGCCAAAGATCCTAACCCGTCGTACGAAGAGCGCGTGTGGCGCTGTCTCGACTATGCCTTTGACCTGCCACCCAACATCTCCATACTCGAAAAGGCCAGATACGTCCTCAGCGGCATCCGCGACCGCACTCTCGTCTACCAAAGCATGCGCAAGATGCGCGCTCCAATGACCATGGAGCAGCCCACGACAATCGGCGGACCCCGCCCCCTGGCCGCCGACTCTAGTCCGCGCATCTGGTACCCGAACCTGGCACGGAGCGCACGTGCGCGCATGACGCCGTCGCCGGGCGACGTCAGTGGCACCAACAGCACTGCAACAACACCCCCCGCCCCCGCCACACCGATGCTCGGCCAGCCCCAGTTGACACCAACGACGGCTGCGGGCATTTATCCGGCCGCTGCAGCTTACGCACGCCAGAACTTCCAGGCTGCGCGCGACGCGTACGTCGCGTCGAGCGCGCCGCCGCCGCACTTGCATGGCGCCATGGCTAGCTACCACAGCAGCCCGGATAGCAGTGTGGGGGTTCCGCGGGGTGGTGAGTATGGGGTTGTTAGCGGTGGTGGTAGTAGCCCGGGCGATGATACAATGCTTGATATTGACTGGGTGAGTTTTGCGCGCGCTATTAAACGTTCCGAGACAGTTTGCTGACTGATATGGCGCAGAACGAGTGGGACAGGCTGTTCCCACAGAACATGGGCGCGGCAGGGGATATGTACATTCCCAATTTCAATTTCCCGTCGGTGGAAGACATGACGAGCTGGGGGCAGCAGATGGGGCAGCAGCAACAACAACAACAACAACAACAACAGCAGCAGCAGCAGCAGCAGCAGCAATTGCCGTCTCATCAGCAACATCAGCCGCAGAGGCTGCATCCGCATCCGCAGCAGCAGTAGATGTTCTGCCTGGGGAACGATGTACGTTTTGAGGATACAGAGGTGTTGATACATGCTTTTCTTAGATCTTTTGTTTTTTGCTCCGTCACTCCTCCATTGCAGCGCCTTACTCCTGTCCGCTCTTATGCTCTAACAAGTGCAAATACAGTAGAGATGTAGACGCCTGCCCCTCATATCTCAATGTACATAATTCTTTGTCTTCGTGATCATTGTACATGGGTGTTTTCCCTTCTCTCGCTGTTTTGATTTTTTGGCGGTTGTTTGGTGGTTTTACATGGCAGGCAAGCTCTGCGATTCCTAGGCTTGGAATGCGCACTGCCTTGGTGTTCCTGGCTCAGAAGTTGCTTGCTTAGATGTATTTTCTCTCGGGGTCAAGCTTGTCCATTGCTTCCATGCTCTTTTCGTACCTGTTCTCTGTCAGCACTTATTTAACCAAAGGAGCAAAAGGTGGACGCACATGGTAAACACGATACCACCGCTCAGAATCAATCTAGCCAAGCGCGGTACGGCGCCCGACCAGAAGGTCAAGATACCCTCCTCCTTGAAGATTCTAGCAGCGCAAACAAAGCTGTTCTTGTATTCGGAACTAGCCTCAATGGATTGCATGCGCGTCTTGACCGTGTCGAGAGGCATGGTGGCGTAGACTGTGATGATGCCGGCCACACCGCCAATGCCAAAGGTGCTGACGGCACCTAGCTTTTCGCCGGGCGCGGCGTAGCTCTGCGCCAGCTGGCGCAGCGTGGTGTAGGAGCCGAAGCGTACAGCGCTGTTGGCCGCTTGGCGCGCCGTCGTGGGCACGAAGCCCTGGAAGAAGCCGCGGATGCCCTTTTCTTGCGCGATGATCTTGGTGCCGTGCAGGAAGCCGCGCATGCGCGGCTTGCCAGACTTGCGGTCATCGATGCTGAAGCCGAGCGTCAGCATGGTGGAGCTTCAACATGATGCGCAAGGGTTACAATCGACTCACAGCTGGGTCTTGATGCTCTCGAAGGGGGTTACGGCGAGGGCACTTTCGGTGACGCCGGCGCCGAAGCCGGCGACAACATTGGCAGGGCCTGAGACGTTGCCGTCCTTGTCGGCGAGCAGGCTCTTGTACTGGTCGAAGGCGACGAAGCGGATTCCGGCCTTGAGCGAGTTGCCGATGATGAGGGTGGTACAGCCGGCGTACCACTGCGGGCCGAAGGGTGGCCATGGAAGCTTCTGCCCCGCGGCCAGGCGCCGGTTGAGCTGCGAGCGGGTTTTGGCGAACTCGGCGGGGTAGGTGATGGCAATCTCAACGGCGCCGGCCGTGCTGCCTGCGATAATGGAGCGCAGGGGGCTGGGCTGGGAGGAGGGTTAGCTGTGGGGTCTGGAGTGGTGCAGTGGATATTTTGTATAATGTGTGGGGGGGGGAAGTACCTTGGCCTTCTTCTGCTCTTCTGAAGCCATTGTGACGGGCAGGACTGGGGATCTCACAGCGAAGGTGAGAAGGAAAGAAAGAAAGAAAGAACGGAAGACCCAAAGCCAACAGGCGCGTTCAGCCCGAATCGGCGGGCGGTGGGATGATGGTGCTCCTCGGCGGAGCTTGGATCGCCATCTGTGCGGTGCCCGAGCGTCATATGGTGTTTTCCGTCACATCGAGACAAGCGGCAAAGAGCTCTCTCTTCGCTTCTTTCTTTTCAACTTCAACCGCCACCTTCCGAACTACATCCATCTAGACAAAATGCTGTCGCTGAGAACCATTGCGCGCTCTGCGCCCCGCTCGGCCGCTCGCCTGTCCACCAAGGCAGCTCGCCCGCAGCTCTTCAAGCCCGCCGCGCTGCGCGCTGTCTGGAAGCCCACCTCCGCACCTAGGCTCGCGTCCGCGTTCCACACCACCGTGCCTAAGCGCGATGGTAAGCCCATGTTCGTTTCCAATTTACTATCACACGCGTTAACGTCGCCCTACAGTCCAGGAATCGCTTGTGGCCAAGCTTGACAGTGAGCTGAACCTCGAGGAGGACGTTGGTGAGCCGTCGAACTATTCGACCAACATCAAGGACTACCTTGAGGCCAGCCAATTTAAGATTGAAGACATCCTTGGCCAGGAGGAGGTCACCTTGACTCGCAAGTTCAACAACGAGACGTAAGTTGTTACCAGCTCTACCTCTTACATCATAACAAAGTATCTAACGGTTCGGCAGCATCCGCGTCACCTTCACCATTGCCGACCTTGCCGAGCCTCAGGAGCCTTTTGATGAGGAGTCGGACGAGGCCATGTACGACGAGGCCGAGGAGATTGACGAGCAGTCTGGTGGCGCCAACACCAAGGGCTCTGTCAACCGGGGCCGCACTCCCGGCGGCAACATCAGGGTCGCGCCCGAAGACAAGGTCTCGCCTGCCGACCGCCCCGAGTTCGAGGACGAGTACGCCGACGACGAGCCGCTGACGCCGTCGTTCCCCGCGCACGCCGTCATTAGGGTGACGAAAGATGGCCAACAGGGCGCGCTGTGTATCGAAGCTGTCGCCCAGGACAGCAGCTTTACCATCAGCAACGTCCACTACTATGCCGATGCCGAAAATGCCGACCCCAAGACCGCCGACAAGGACTATGCCCGCAGGAACCTGTACCCCGGTCCCATGTTTGGCAACCTGGACGAGGACCTGCAGATCCTGCTTGAGGAGTACCTCGAGGAGAGGGGAGTTGATACCAGGATGGCTCTGTTCATTCCGGATTACATTGACTACAAGGAGCAGAAGGAGTACCTGAACTGGTTGAAGAGTAAGTTTAATCCAATCTTATGTGCAGAACAACCACTAACTGTTCAACAGACGTCAAGGGTTTCGTCTCCGCTTAAGTTTTTAATCCCCGTGAGATTGATGAGACGTGACGACAATAAAATTCATTTCCACTCTGTAACCTTCTGGCGTTCATATTTGATCGTCGAAAACTGCATAAATAAAATGCAGATTTTGTAGCAAAAGCAACTGAATAAAAGGATATTTGATGTTTATTTCCATGTGACGCCATCAAGCCTTTGTGTGCCATGATCTGAATGTCTAACGTCCGTCACCGTGAAGCGAGATGGTGATACTTATACGGAGTAGAAGAATTAACCCCGCTAAGATATGTAGAGTCTATATATACTCTAAGGCCTTTTTATCTATACGTAAAACTCGGGCCAGGAGCTGGCCAAGAAGTGCTCTGTAGGGACTGCTTGTATTGTCCACTGTCTCGCTATACGGTGAATCTCGGTTCGTGATGACGAACGTTAACCATGGTGATATGGAGACATCCGTAACCCCAAGTATCTTACTCTACCACGCCGATGCCAACTCCTTGTCTTTCTCGAAGCAATTGTCCGCCAAAAGAGTAATTGTGCCTACCCATACACTTGCGCCTCACTGACTCTTGTTGGTGACCAGTTTGGGCCTCCCCTCTTCTACCCGGAAGTCGCACCACGGTGGCATGACAATGACTTTCTAGGCGCTAATGCCTAGGCATAACAGCCGATAGGAGCCAATTCGATGCGGCTCTCCGTGCCGGGTTGTTTGACAAACAATATGCAGCGTCCACGCCCTCAGCTCATGCCCTTTGGCGGCCAGATGCTCTCCTTCTTCTCACCGGCCTTGCTGATCCGGACGAACTTCATGGCATTACAACCGACCCAATCACCGTCCCAGTTGCGCAGCCGTGCCAGCGTCATCTCGTCCTGCATGTCAGGCACATAGAAGCCAGACTCAAACTCTTTCTCCTCAGCCTCGCGCCGCTGGCGCAGCATGTTCTCGCGCACCGAAGGCGGGCGCCCCGCCCGCCGCGACTTTTTGAGCTGACTCAGCTCCTCGTCATCACGGAAAACGTACGACTGGATTAGGGAGACGGTGTCGGAGATGGGGATGGGAGCGAGGGGGAGCGGAAGGGCCTCGGCGGCGCCGCGGAAGTGTGCAATGCGGAGGACTACGACAGACGAGTTAGCGCGGGAGCGACACCAAAGGAAGAGAAAGGAAGGGTCGCACGGTATGGCTGGTTCTGCTTGGACCGGCTTGCTATGATGCGGGCAATCTTCTCGTCGCGCACGCCTGCGGCCTGCAGCCGGTGGTGGTCTCTGCTGTTCTCGTGCATGGCCGACGCCTTGCCGGCGGAGCCGCGCTTCTTGGCGATTTGCTTTTGTACTTTTGAGAGCGATTTGGGCATGGTTGCGGTGTTGGTTGGGTGGAGCGGATTGAGGTGTGCGAGGGACGACAGGGCGGGAATATTTTCTGGACCTGAATGCGGGGGAGCGGGCGGTGAGAGCGAGCGGCGACCGGCTGTGGCTGAGGCTGTGGCGCGACTTTGCGGAACGCGTCCTGTGCGCCGTTGACGCCGCGCGCGTTTGAGCAAACGACATTGCGGTCTCTGCTCTGGACTGGACTTCGGCCACAGTGCTCTGCGATTGGAAGCGTCCTCGACCTGATCCTTCTCCTGCACCCGGTCCTGAGCGTCATGTCTTGATCGCGATTCATCCTTCTATCTGGTATTCAAACGCTTGCTTCAGCGTGGCGTCAACATGGGCATTTCCGGTAGCAATCCTACTACGCCCAGTTCGGCCTTACACTGACCAGTTCCCAGGGCTTCTTCCTCTGCTAAAGTCGATCCAGAAGCCATGTAACCTCCGGTCCTTCGCCGGCCAGGCCATTGGCGTCGATGCCTACGGTTGGCTGCACCGGGGTACTGTTTCTTGCGCCATTGACCTGGCGTTGGGCAACCCGACGACCAAGCACATTGACTTCTGCATGCACCGTGTGCGAATGCTTCTCCATTTCGGTATCAAGCCCTATCTGGTCTTCGATGGTGACCATCTTCCGGGCAAAGAGGGGACGAACCAAGAAAGAGCCGCGAGACGTAAAGAGAACATGAAGGAGGGTAAGGAGCTGATGAAGCTGGGTAAGACGTCACAAGCCTATACGTGTTTGAAAAAAGCAGTAGACGTTACGCCAGAAATGGCACGGTCGCTCATCGAGGAGCTCAAGCAACTCAAGGTGGATTATGTCGTCGCACCCTACGAGGCAGATTCGCAGATGGTCTACCTGGAACGTAAAGGCATCATTCAGGGAATTGTCTCAGAGGACTCGGATTTGTTGGTGTTTGGAGCCAAATGCCTGATCACGAAGCTGGACCAGTACGGAGAGTGCATAGTCATCAATCGCGATGACTTTACTAAGTGCCGAGAAATTAGCCTCACCGGTTGGTCCGATGCGCAGTTCAGGCAAATGGCCATCCTCAGCGGCTGCGACTATCTAGCCAACATCAGCAAGATGGGACTCAAGACCGCGTATCTCCTTTTAAGGAAGCACAAAACTTTCGACAGAGTTCTTCGCGCGATTCAATTTGACGGGCAGTACTCGGTCCCACCAGGCTATGCGGATTCCTTTTATCAAGCTGAGATGACATTTCTGTACCAATGGGTTTATTGTCCCTTGACAGAGCGGTTGGTACACTTTACGGAACCCGAGCCAGACCTCGACATCTCGACGCTGCTTTACATTGGCCACCACTTCGAACCTAAGATAGCTGCGGGCGTTGCGAGGGGAGACTTGCATCCTAATACAAAGTTGCCAATTGAATTTCAGCAACAGCAGCAGCAGCCCCTAGTGCCCCCTCGTAAGTCTATTGGGTTGTCCCGGAAATCTGTCATCGAAACGCCCGACTTGAAGAAGAGCAAAACTATTGAGTCTTTCTTCAAATCGAGGCGGCAACCGTTGGCGGAACTGGACCCGAACCTCTTCACTCCTTCGCCAAGCCAACGGCAGGCGCTCCAACAGAACCGCGGCAGCTGGAGCGCCTCGCCTGCTCCGGCGCGGCCAGCGCTCCCCAGATCCTCTACCCTTTCCGCCTCCATCACTCCGCACAGAACCGTTTCCGAACCTCATGATAGACGGCAGTCGGCGCCTCATCCTTCAAAACGCCAACGGTTGTGTTCGGATAGCTTGGCTCTTGCGGATGCTAGTGGTTCAGCCCGGGTCGAGTCGGGGACTAGTCGTTTCTTCGCCTCTAGTACGATGACAGAGCCAAGCCCGTCGACCCGGAGCAAGAAGGCTTCGAAGACGGATTTTGACCTCTGGTCTGATGACTCTCTGGAGGAAGCGATGGCCGAGATGCCGGACCCTAGTGTCACGGAAGACGTCACCAAGAAGTCGAAGAATTCTATATTCGGGGAAACGGAGTCTTGCGCAGACTCGCAGTCGACCGATGGTTCGCAGTCGATCTTCTCGCAGAGAAGCGGAAAGGTCACACCTGCTACGTCTTGCAGTCAGGCGTCTTCTTTCGGGGACCCGCTGCCGGATGAAATCAAAGAGCTGCGCGCGAAATTCATGTACCAACCCACTTCGTTGGAGCCGTCGCGACCAGCGCTCAAGCGTACCGGTAGCGGTAAGGCAAAGTCGTCTCTTTCCAGAACCGTCTCCGCGCCGCTGCTCGCCGCCGCAAAGCCTGGTTACTTCTCCTTGGGCAGATATGCAGCCGAGCGTAGCATCAACTCCTCGACTCATCCAACGCAGACCACATCGCGGAAGACGGCGGGTTTACCTCCGTCCTTTGGACGAAAGAACGAGGAGTTGCACTCGAGTTCGGCATCCAGTTCATTCACATCGCAGACGCCGCCTCCGCCCAGCGCCACGGAAAGCGTTACTGAAGTTGCGAACTCGCAGTCAGACATTAAGGACTCTGCGTGGGAGGCTATGGAAGCAGAGGTTGTAGTCGCGGCAATAGCGGAGTCACCGGTTAAGCAGGCGGGGGTTACGGGGGCAGGCAAGGGCAGCGAGGACTTGCTGCTTGTGCCGGACAGCGCGAGCGAGGGCGAGGAGGAGAATGACGATGGCTTGGATGCGGTGAGAAGGAAGCTGGACTTGGGGAGGTTTAGGCTGGGGGCCGTGTGAGAGAGTGGTGATGGTGCGGTGATGGTGGATGTTTTGGCGCGACGTTTGGATTGGGGCATGAGCATTGCGGCATGGTACGGGACAGTTGGCGTTTGTGGTTGTGGACGGGGACACGAGTATGTTCGGACGTAGCGTATAAACTCGTATAGGTAGTGGCTAGGCATGTGGCGTGAAGCGGAACCGGGGGAGCTGCGCATACGATTCGTTGTCCGTATTTGTCGGAAGTAGCACCACTAGGGGCATAATAGTGGCCAGGCTTTCTAGCTGGAACAACCGTCTAGAAGGTCGTTGTCACTTGGCAAAAGGACGGTGAGCTATATATGGCCTCGCTTAGCCGCATGGGGCCTAGTCAATCTCGTATCGGTCGGCTCCTGAGCGCGCGCGGATCCCGACACGCCGACTCCACCATCCCCAGGGTGCGACATGACGTCCGTTCGCTCGTACAACGGTGGCAAGCCCATTGAACAGCGCGACCTCATGCTGGGCCGCCTCTCCCCTGCGCAAGTCATGATGCTCCCGCGACGTGGAAGGTAGGTCTGTCAGGTATATAACCCGCAGCAAATCCACCTCTCAATACAACATCATCACCATCGCTCTCCATCGCATCCACTTACTACAACAACCACCACCACCACCACCACCAACCAACCAACTCTTCATCACCACCAAGATGCAGCTCATCACTCTCGCTCTCCTCGCCTCCACGGCCACTGCCACCGCCGTCAACCAGGCCTTCACCGTCCGCGCCTCGGAACCCAACGCCCAGGCCATCAACAACGCCCCCATCACGGCCGTCAAGTCCAACCTCTACCTGAACAAGGCCCAGGACGCCTCCTGCGACGAGACCTCCTCTGCCGCCACCTTCTACATCAACGAGGACGGCGCGCTCGAGCTGTACAGGCGCAGCGCCACTCCCCAGTGGGCCTACGTCACCCAGGGTAAGTAATAACCTAGCAACTGGAATGAATTGAACGGACAAAAAGTTTAACATGACATGTACAGACAAGGGTGCCATCGGCTACACCACGGGCGCCCAGCCCGCGCCCCAGAAGGCGCTCCGCAACGGCTGGGCCGTCGTCGACGGCGCGCTGCAGTTCAACGAGCAGCCCCTCCGCGCCTGCCCCACGACCGTCGACGGCGAGTACGCCATCTGGGTCGGCAACCCCACCGTCGCCAACGAGGAGGGCTGCTTCGCCTTCACGGCCAACGTCGTCGAGATGCCCAACCCCGTCTCTTGCGAGTACTCTCAGTAAATGCTTGCGCGCTCTTAGAGTAGCACCAGCAGCATGGGACAAACAAAGGCGTTGGATCAATGTGATGTGTATCGGACGGAGTTATTGTAAATAAACACTACTACTTGTAATCACCATGGAATATGAATAACTCATGATATTTAAACATCTTTGATGCCACTGCTTTGCTTTGCTGTGTTTATTAAGTTTTGATTAACTCTGATGTCACCTTCGCAATATCGCGGACCATCGCGGATCTGATGATGATGATGATGATGATGATGATGATGATGATGCAAATCAACAATAGCCCGGCTTGCTCGGATCGATCGACTGGAGAGAGGGGCCGCCAGGCCAGGCAGCGTCGATCGTTATTACCTATATTCGTATCTATCTTGTTTTCTTGCGGACGTTGGACGTATGCCCGCACGTAATTAGGTAGTTAGGCTGGTTTCATAAAGTCACGGGGAGATGGTCTAAAGTCTTGCTCCTTTGCGTCTTGCTCTTCTACATGGGTAAGAATTGCGCTCACAGTCCCAATCATGATAGTGGGTGGTACAGATCGCACGTCTCTCGATATATATATATATAGTGCGTTCGTTCATGACTACCACGTACAAGCATCATCCCAGCCGCTCATCATAAACCCCAAACCCCAAGGTAAAAGCAAAACAAGCCGCCGACTAAAAGTTCTCCTTGCCCCAGACAAAGTGGAAGTCCGGGTCCGAGTACATGTTGCACTTGATGTGCAGCTGGCTGCCGAGGCCCTTGGGCCCGCAGAAGAAGACGCCCGCCTCGGCGGGCGAGTGGATCTTGCGGATCGCCTTGAAGATCATGTCCCAGTTGGGGCGGCCGAAGTTGGTGGGCGCGCGCAGGCCGGTGATGGCGTCTTGCTCGGCGTTGGCGTCGTTGATCATGATGTTGGTGGCGTCGTCGAGCTTGACTTTGGCCGTCAGGTACTGCGTTTTTGGTGCTTTGGTTAGCGGGCGGTTGCTTTCACTGGGTTTGGTTGAGGTGGTGGGGTTGTTGCAGCTTACGGTGTGGATCTCAATGTGGTCCATAACGTCTTGTGCCTCGATGGCCATGAGCAGCGACCGGAACCACTCCAGCGAGCCAAAGTCTCGGCAAATCCAGAAGAAGTACACCTTGCGAAGGCGCGTCCGTCCCTGCGGGTAGTTCATCCGGTACCAGATGCTCTTGAGGATCGAGGCAAACGGCGTGACGCCAATACCGGCGCCGACGAGGACGGCCACCTCGAACTTGAAGACGTCTTCGGACGCGCTGCCAAACGGCCCGTCGATGTAGACGCGAGGCAAGATCCGGCGCAGGCTGGGCTCGACGCCCTTCTCGTCGGCCGCGGCGCTGATGACGGTGCCGTTCTTGCTGCCCTTCGCATCGCCCTTGTTGTCGAATTCGCAGCCAAGGGCTTTCGCAAGGGCTTTGGTGAAGTTGCCCACGCATCGGATGTGCACCGAGATGTAGTCCTCTTCGGGGGCGCTCGTCAGAGTAAAGGGATGGTACTGCCAGACGGAAATCTCGGGGCAGCAAAGGAAGATGTACTGCCGACAATGTCAGCATGGATGGTATGGGGTTTTTTAAACGGGTAGTTGACTCACTTGACCGGGCTTGGTCTTGCAGTGCTCCTTCTTGATCTGGATCTCCACCACATTGCTCGGGTGCTGGATGACCTTCGAGACGTACGTCTTGTGCTTTCCACGCACTTCGCGTGCGATCCTCTCGGCCAGATACAGGAAACCCCCGTACATCCAGTACTGCCAAAAGACTCCGACAACGTTGCAGAAAGGCGCAAAGTCCGGCCTGATCATGCAGAAGGCTCCGTGGATTGACCACATGACGAAGAAAATGATGAAGAGATGGTGCGTGTACCAGAAGCGTTCGTAGTTTGCCCGGCGCGGTTTCTCGATGGAGGTGAACACGATAGCCATCAAAGCGATCAACATCACGTAGCCAGTCCAACCGGGGCCAGTGGCAAGGTTTGCCAGGAGGAACCCTACGAATCCCAGGTTGTTCGCAGCGGCGAATCGGGCGAGGTTGTTCCAGTGCGCAATGGTATGGACCCATGTGAAGAAGACAATAGACCAGGCGACCAGCTTGTGGAACGTGATGTTCTTGTCGAACTGGATGATGCCGTTCAACGATGTCTGACGGAGCAGCGAAATCAGGTTCCGGCAGACGGGAAACAGAATGAGGGCGACATCGAAATGTAGCACGAGCGCTGCCGCACGAGCGACAGTAAAGGTCAATCCGAATTGAGCTCTCGACTGAGTTAGGTTGTCCTTGAAGCCGTAATGAGCCATTCCAAAGCAGAAAACCAGGAGATGGGCCAGTATGAAGATGCCGACAAAGAGGCGCCGGTAGCCTTCATTGATCATCCATCGATCGAATCTCTCTTTCAGGAACAGCGGCCTCGGAGGTTCATCGTTGACATCTCCCGACAGCAGCATCCGCGTGAGCGGCGGCCATCTGGATCTCTCCTTGCCCGAAAGGTTCATGGTCGGTATTTAGAATGGTGTTTAAAAAACGGGTTGGTTCCTTGCTCTTGAAAGTTTTCTGAATTATTTAAAACGTGACGACGCGTCTGTTAAGCTGCAAGCACAACAATCAAAGGACGTCTACGAGGCCTGCTCGGCTCTTGCTATTCGTAATTAGAAAATATACGCCTTCAAGACGTCTGTTAGTAGAAGTCATCGGCTGGGAGATTTGGGAATGCCGTACAAATAAAGTGCCAGCACTAGTTGGAGAAGATAAAACCTGTGTGCTGGGAGCGAGGGAACACAAAGACGTAAGGACAGAATTGTCAATCCAAAAGCAAAGGACGTGGGAGCGGGCTGGATATCAGTAGGTCGACGATGGGCTAGTTGTAGGATCATCACAGCGTCAGGCCATGTGGGCGGCCGATCCCGTCAGTCTTGTCGCAATGCAAGTTGCAAATGCAGATGCAGCGTATCGGCTGGCTCGTCAGGCGAATGGAGGCGCGCAGCTGGGGGCAAGGGTGGGTCGGCACGACAATGGGCTCTGCGACGGTACGGGTTGCAGTCTAGGACAGGCGTCTGAGATGCAGCCATGTTGCGAGGTTGGTTGTGCTGCGCCTTGGCGGCGTCTCGAGTTTGTCGCGTCGAGCCAGTCAGCGTCTCGGAATCCCCTTGCTGGAAATTCGCGAAGATGTTCCAGCCGCCCCGTCACCTGACCATCAGCATTTTCAATATTGTTGAACGAGCGACGTGGATGCATGAGAGGCGGCGCTTATGGTAAAGGTGTGCTGATTTTAAAGATGATCCAGTCCTCTCTACCGACGCTCAGTCGCCTCAGAGCATAACGTAGCCTCCACTGGCTGAAATGCACTGCCCGGTGATCCATCTCGAGTCGGGGCCGGCGAGGAAGGCTACTACGCGCGCGATGTCCTCCGGAGTTCCGAGGCGGTTCTCACACGGAGTGTTCTGCTTCATTTCCTTTACCCAATCGTCAGGGACGTCCCTCATCATCTCCGTCTGCACCGGTCCAGGCTGAACCACATTGATGGTGTGCCCTGCGGGTCCAAGTTCGTAAGACAAGGAACGGGACATGGCCTCCAAACCAGCCTTCGCTGCCGAGTAAACAGAAAGTGTAGCGTAGCTACGTCGTGTGGTCGTCGAGCTAACGTTTACAATACGGCCCGGAGCACGAAGATGCGGCACGACAGCTTGGCACAGGAAGAGTGCTGCGCGGAGGTTGAGATCTAAGACTGACGCAAAGTCCTCGGGCGTGATGTCCGGAAGCGACTTGAACAGCTCCGCGCCAGCATTGTTGACGAGGATATCGATCGAGTCTCCAAAGGCGGCTATCGTCTCCGACACTATCTTCTTCGGTGCTTCGATTTGCCGTTGGTCCGCCTGGATTTTAACAGCTGAAGAGCCGTTGCCCAGCTTGGCGATCTTTGCAATAACCTCATCTACCAGTTTTTCGCTGTTCGGTGAGACGTATACAAGGGCAACCTCCATCTAGTAAGCTTACTGTCTCCACACTAAAGGATTATGTATACATACCTTGGCACCTCTGCCTGCTAGCTCAAGGGCAATGACTGCACCTATACCCCTTGATGCGCCAGTCACGATGGCAACCTTGCCGGCAAGAGATGAGTCCTGAGAAGACATGCTGGATATGCTCTAGGTAAATGACAAAAACGCAATGAATTCTTAGGTTAACTCCAGATAAAATTGCGGCGCTTCTTCACGATTTAACGGCGTCGCACGGGTGCGCCTGTGTGGATTCTTTTCCACGCCGGTGATTCAAGGCCTCCGCAACCGGCCTTACCTAGTACCCCCGAAGTGTGCATAAAAATGAGACAGTACAGGCACAATCCGGTGCAAGATATACATACCGAGTCGTCCATCAGCGAGCATGGGTTCCTGAGATGCAAGACTGCACGAAACCGTGGGGATGAAGGAGGGATCCATCTCCAAGTCTACGCTTCATCAATTCATTGAAATCCCTTCGCCACAACCCCATGGGGCACAGCCTAAATGCTGCAAGGCTGTTCCGTAGGTACCTACGGTAGGTAGTCCATGACAAAGTGGTTGTGGGGCTCCGCCTCGAAGTGGATTCATACCATGGCGAGGATTGCACAGCATATGCCCTATTGGGAGTAGGTGGTGGAGAACGTTGTGAGACCCTGGTGAATACATCAGCCGAGGACAGGAACGCATCTCAGCTGGAGAAAACTGAATGGACCATAAGCAGAGGAGGACGACAGTGCTGATGTGAGCTCGTGAGATGTTACGAACAATATCCATACGGAGTATTGAGTGCCTGAGGGATTGCACTACTGCATGGTAGACGGGGTAAGCCTACGCAGTTTTTCCGTCTCCCAAGTAAAGACGGACTCTGTCACGCTATGAAGACAGAGAATTGAACGAGAGAGAACAACATGGGAGAGTTAGTGCCGGTGGAGGCGGGAAGACATGTAATAGAGGTACCAAGCGCCTGGCGCACAACCGTGCAAAAGTATTGTATGTATGCGGGCGGGTGCATGTCTCCACCGGGTCTGGACGATGTGTCGGAGATATTGCCTAGCGAGAGCCACGAAAAACCTTTCTCTCGAATCCTCGAGCTGACCGTCAGCTTCTCTCAGCCCATAGGCATACATAAGGCTCCGCGCAAAGTTTTCTTTGGCCGTTGTTCGACTAACAGACGTTTGGTTCGCTTCTGCAGTTCCGACTTTACCTACCTATTAACAGCCATGGCATCATCGTCGGCGCAAGCGGATGGCGGGGTCAAGCTTGATCCTCAGGAAGAAACTCCCCGGGGCATGTCCTCTCAGAAGCGCGGAACCAAGAGAATCAGTCAGTCGCATTCGCCAAGCGCCTACACCCCGCTTCCTTCATTCACCAGCTTGGCTGACCAGCGGAAAATGTCGATAGGGACGCAATCTCTCCCGCCGCCAGACCTTCCCAAACTCGTCGCCGAGCAGCACCAGCCCATTCCGGCGAGCGACAAGGACACGCAAAGGCTCATAGTCGTCCTCTCAAATGCTAGTCTCGAGACGTACAAGTCGTCGCACGGCGGTCGCGCCGGCGCCGGCAAGGACGACAAATACTCGCTTCTCAACAGCGACGAGCACATTGGTATCATGAGGAAGATGGGTCGCGACATTTCGGATGCGCGCCCGGATATCACTCACCAGGTCTGAGGCTGCGCGTTCTTTTCAACAAAGGCGCATACTAACGCGATGGCGTAGTGCTTGCTTACCCTCCTCGACTCGCCCATCAACAAGGCCGGAAGACTGCAAATCTACATCCACACGGCCAAGGGCGTGCTTATCGAGGTCAGCCCGTCGGTCCGGATACCGCGCACGTTCAAGCGGTTTGCGGGTCTGATGGTGCAGCTGCTGCACCGCCTCTCGATCCGCTCGACGACGTCGCAAGAGAAGCTTCTCAAGGTCATCAAAAACCCCATCACTGACCACCTTCCGCCCAACTGCCGCAAGGTCACGCTGAGCTTTGACGCGCCGGTGGTCAAAGTTCGCGAATATGTGGAGGACCTAGACCCCAACCAGAGCATCTGTGTATTCATCGGAGCTATGGCCAAGGGACGCGACGATTTCGCCGACGAGTTCAAGGACGATGCCATCTCGATCAGCAACTTTTCGCTCAGTGCAAGCGTGGCATGCTCCAAGTTCTGCCATGCGGCCGAGGAAGTGTGGAACGTTCTCTAAAATGCCCCGGATACCCCGACTTCTGGTTTCTAATCGAGCAGGCGAGCTGCGGGGAAGGATTTGCGGGCTTTCGCGTCAGGCTACGATCACAACATCAAAGCGCTGATGCGAAGTCCCGCCACGTTGAGGACCTGTGGACATGTCTTTGTTTTTGCAACCAAAACATCAGGCTTTCAACAGACTCACCAGGCTTTCTTTTCCGCAGCGCACTTCAACTTGCTCTGCGTCTCCCATTTTCTCCTTGTTAGTCTTGGTAGCATTAGTTAGGTAGGAATACGGGCGGCGTTGGCGCGTGGGAGCCCCGGCAGGGCTGGAGATGTAATTGGCGACACGGATATACCTATGACTTATTGTTGTTCACACGTGACGGGCGCGGGGCAGGCTCTCGTTGGAATAGAGTTGAGCCTTGCTTTTCTGCGTGCAACCTAGAACTCGTGCTGGGCGACGGGTACGCCTCCCATTTGGCTTCCGGATATAAACGCGCTTACCGGGTCGTGGCATGCAGGCAGAGGCGATGCGCGGATTTAGCGGAGAGTCTGGAAGGCACGGCATGTTCGTCATGCGACTGCAATGACTGGCGGCGTCGAGGAGGTTGGAGGGCAGTCAATCCGCTTTGGGCCAAGAATGAGGCGATCGCTGAACTGAGGGCGGATCCGCTGGGCCGTTCCGCGTCCAACCACCTCGCTCAGCCTGCGCCAGGATAACGTGGCATCGCAGCGCGCGCATCGAGAAGCCGCCAAACACGATCCACTGCGTTTGATGTGCGCCATCGCCGGCCCAATTCGGCACCGCGTCCTTCAGATGCTCCAGACTCCAGACTCATGGCTCGGCGGTATATATCTCTCTCTGCCTGCTGCATGCCGCTACCCACTCACCGCATTTCGCCACGCTCTTGCATATTCGTTATTTATCTCAGAGGGTTCGCTTCGCTGCTGAATTCTCTTGATTCCGTTCCGTCCGTCGTTCGCTCAACATGCCTGTCTCACACATCGGCCTGACCGTCTCCCACCTCCCCTCCTCCTGCTCTTTCTTTCTCTCGGCTCTCCAGCCGCTGGGCTACCGCTTCATCGGTCAGCAGGGAAACCAGATTGGACTGGGGATAGACGGAGATGCCGACTTCTTCCTCTGCCAGGAGACGCCTGGGTAAGCACTGGCTCCTCTCTACGCACCGACCAGACTGCTCACCGTCCCACTAGCATCAAGGCCGGCGCCGCGCACATAGCTTTCTCCGCGCCAGACCGGATCACCGTGCGGAACTTTTACACAGCCGCCTTGACAGCCGGCGCCCGGCCCCACGGCTCGCCAGCCACCCGCGACACGGAGAATGGCGTCTTCAACGCCGCCGTTCTCGACACTGATGGCAACAGCATCGAGGTCGTCTGCCGTGAAAACGAAGACCCCAGTGATGCCCGCTCCACGCACGAGTACGGCCGCGTCTTGACCTGGAGACAGTCGGTCACCAGCCTCGATGACACGAGGTCCGTCTACACGGTGAAGAGCTCAACCAAGTCCATTCCAGCCATTGAGGCACCGAAAAGTGCCACCATGTCTGTCCCCGCTCGTTCTGTTGCCCCTTCTGTTGCTCCCTCGGTGGCGAGGAGCCAGGCGCCCACCTTGGTCCGGGCCCACACTGCGCCCGCTGCGGACCCTTCTGTCGACGCAAACCTGATGGGAGACGCCGGTGCTCGAAAGATCATCGGCACTCTCATCGGCGCTGCGGCTGGTGCTGCCGTGGCCTATGCCATGGTCAAGAGTGAGCAAGACAGTGGCCGCAAGGAGGCTGCGGCAGTCGCTACGTCTCAAAGCGGCTCGCATAGGGCTCTGGCTTTCAGGGCACCATCGCAGAGGGCACCCAGCGAGGTGGCTTCGCAGTCTGGATATTCGCCATCTGCATATGAACAGCAGATGGTCCAGTACCAGCGTGAGCCCAGCAACTACTCGGAGTCCGTGTACAGCTCGCCGCAAGAACGCCGCGCCATCGAGGCCGCACCCCCAAGGAGCACTTATGCTCCTTCGCTCGCTTCAGCCCTGCGCTCTGGAGCCACCAGCGTCCAGCAGTCGCAGGCGCACCGGAATTTCAGTGACACGGAATCTTACTACAGCGCCTCTGACTACGATAACAGTCGTTCCGTGCATAGCGCCGCCTCCGCGGCCAAAAAGAGCTACCACAGCCCGACGTATGTTTCAGTGCCGAACACCAGATTCGAAGACGCGGAATATGCCTCCACCGTCGGCCCCCGCTCCGCCATGCGCACCATGACCGCACCCAGCACCATCTCTTCCATGCCATCGACCATCAAAGCGCCGTCGCAAGCACCCTCGCGCGCGCCGTCCCATTCGCCGTCCAAAGCCGCCTCGCAAGTGTCCTCTCGAGCCTCCTCGCAGATGTCCTCTCAAGTGTCTTCCCGAGCCTCCTCGCAAGCCACATCCAAAGCCCCCTCCCAAGCCCCCTCCAGAGCATCGGCGAGAGAACCTTCGCTCATCTCCAGCTTCTGCGCCGACGACGACGCCCGCAGCAGCGCAACCTCGCACACATCTCGGTCGTCGCGCACCGAAGACTCGCGCACCGACTACCCACCCTCGATCGAGCGGCGCACCTCGGCCAGCAGCGTGCACTCGCACCACAGCAGCGCGGCGCGCTCGCGCGCCCCCTCCAGCGCAGCCACAAAGCCCAGCCCGAGCGTCGCGAGCGCGAGCCACCAAAGCCGCAGCCGAGCGGGGTCGGAAGCGCCCTCGAAGGCGGGCAGCAGCAGCCTCATCGGCAGCATGCTCGGCCGTGACCGCGACGCCCTCGACGACGGCGCCAGCACCGTCGCCCCCAGCGACAGCATCTCCAACGCCGGGTCTTCGCGCAGCCGGCACAGCAGCCGCGCGTACGCGCCTAGCGACGCCGGCGGCAGCAAGGTGTCGCGGCACTCGTCGCGCTCGAAGCTGCAGCAGGAGGTCGAGGGCGCCGACGACGCGCGCAGCCGCGTCTCGAGCCGCTCGCACAAGAGCAGCCGCGACGTCGTGCACCCGGACAACGTCAGCGAGCCGAGCGACGCCAGCACGGTCAAGCCGTACAAGCGCAAGGACAGCGTCGTCAGCTTGCCGAGCGGGGGCAAGAGCCGGGCCGCGAGCGTGGTTGAGGCCGCGAAGCGCAGCGTGGTTAGTTTTGGCGGCGGCGAGATGTGGAAGGAGAGGCATGGTATGACGTGAGATGTGATGAGATGAGATGTGATGTGTAGGGTAGGTAATGAGGAATGAGATTTTTCTACATGTTCATCATCTATCTATCTGTCTGTCTGTTTTTTCTATTTCTAGGCATCTTTCCATCTGTCAGAACGAAACCGCCGCCCCGTTTAGTGCTAATTTCCTCCTCCTCCTCATCCTCCTCCTCCTCCTCCTCTTCTTCTTCTTCTTCTTCTTCTCCTCCTCCTTCTTCTCCTTCTCCTTGTAACAACAAAACAAACAACCAACACCTACTTGCATCTCTCCATCCATCCATCCATCCATCCATCTCTTTTCACACACTCTCTCAAGCTAGCTAGCTAGCCTGGCCTGGAGGTTTCGTCTGGACTGGGCGGGGTGGTACTATCCATGGTCTCTTTCATTTTCAGTATTGCATTGCGGCGGCGGAGGCGGAGGAGCGGGAGACATTCTAACCGGGAGGCTGTCTGTCTGTCTGTCTGTTTGCTTGCTTCTAGGGGGGGCGTAAGAGTCGAGTTGCCAAAGAGGATAAATATATATATATATATATATAAACAAATAAAGGCAGGGATGAAGAGGGAAAGGGAGGTCTGCTGCCATGCACGCTTGCATGCATCTGCAAATAGTTAGAGGCACAACACTCAGTCAATCGAGCAATCAGTAATTTCCTTTTTTTCTCGAATCTGTCCTATCTAAGTATCGTGTTTTTCAATCGTACATACACACACACACTACACACAACAGCCAACCAACGCCCCCTCTCACCTCTCACTCACTCACTCTCTCTCTCTCTCTCTCAGTACAAACTCCCGGCAACCACAACCGCGCCCGCAAACCACGCCGGCCACCACACCAGCCACACGACGACTTGCGACCACATGCCCCAGACATGCCAGCCGAAGCTGGCCTCGACGAGGACGCGCGTGACGGCGGCGCCCACGCCCACGCCCGTGCCCACGCCCCCCTCGCCGCCCAGGTACTGGCTCGCGACGGCCAGCACGACGACGGGGCTCAGCGCCGCCAGCAGCGCGTACTGCGCGGCGGCCGAGGCGCGGCGGGCAGCAACGCTCGGGGATGCGGCGGCAGCATCGGCACGGGGCACGGGGCGCACAAACGACAGGGGCGCCGCGCACAGGCCGACGAGGAACGACAGGCTAAAGTTGAGCGTCGCCAGCGCCGACAGGAACATGCCGAGCAGCAGCAGCGAGAGGCACTGCAGCAGGCTGGCCTCCTGCGCCGTGGGCCGCCGCGCTTGGTGCAGCAGGTAGGCGGCTAGCGGTGGGGCCAGCAGCGTCACGATCGAGGTCAGGACAAAGGCCGTGCCGAGGTGCTATTTTGGGCGTCGCGTTAGCTAACTCTTCTTCTTCTCCTTCTACTTGCTTGCGTGGCGGGCCATGGGGATAGTGTGGGATGGATCGATGGGACTCCGGTCAGTGGGCGGCTACTATGGGGCGCCTTGGGGCAGTGCAGCCTGAAGATGCTATGTGGGGCGGGGTGGTTGGTGTGGTGGCTGGGAGGCTGGGAGAGAAGGGGAGGAGCGTGATACGTACATCTCTGGAGGTGTGATTGAAGGTGTAGAGTGGTAGAAGGCCGAGAAAGTGTACTCCGCTGACGAAAGCAAGAGGGAGAAATATGGCTCGTTCAACGGTTGCCAACGTTGCGGACGGTACAGCGGCAACCATGCCACCTTCTTTGACAATCGTCATGTCTTGCTTCTTCTCATCCTTTTGCTCAGTAGAAGCTGGGTTGACGCTGGGAATGGAAGGGCGTCCACTCTGCACCCAGAGCGCAATGGATGTGATGGTGAAATTGACAGCAATTAGCATGGCGCTGGGTAGGTATGTGCCTATGCTGACGAAGCGGTTTGCCTGCATCAAGAGGTAAAAGAAGAAGCTCTGGTGCAGGTGTTCGAGGAGGTTATTCAAACTGCGGAACAAGCTCTCGACAGTGCGGCCAAGAGACATCTCGTCGTGCCAGCCATCGCCGACAGTCTGCAGGGTAATGGCATCGACGTGGTACGGGATGAAGGCGCTGTGAGGACCGGAAGCGTGACCCAGGCCTTGACTGATCATTCCGCGCAGCATTGTTTGCAATCTTTCTTGATAGGAGTCATTGTGGTCCCACATGCGCTGGAGCGTACAGCCGATGCCCATCTGCCCGCTGGCAATGGCCACGGCAGTGTTGAAGAGATCCAGATTCGGAAGCTGCCCATTGACGCCATCATAGATCATGTGCAGCTTGTCGAACCTGTGGCCCCAGGGTCCAGCCGGGTACTCAACGGCAACGGCGCCTTGTAGCGCACCACTCTTGATGGAAAGAGCCTCGACCGAGGCCGGGTTATGGGCATCGTGATATGCGTCGACCCAAGCCTGTGACCCGGCGGTACTGTCACCTGCGATCAATATAATGATATCTTTAGACCACAGCGACCATCCTGTGCAGCGATTAGCGGAGCCCTTCCATAAAACGCGGGGTGTTGGTACTCTTGAAATATCTCGCCAGAGTGAGGACCAAGGCAACACCGCTGTGGTTTACCTCATCCTTGGTTGTATCCCAAGCTGCAACAAGCACGACTGCCTCAGTCGCGTCCGCTCTTGGTCCCTGCAACACGGCGTAGACATTCTCGTTGGCGACGCGCTTGCCGGGCGTCTCGTAGCTGTACTTTTGATGCGCGACCTTCAAGCCGGAGGACCTCAAGATTTCCTCCAGTCGTTGGGTTCTCCTGTGTGCCGTGTATCAGCCAGGGCTCCCTTCTAATACACAGCAAGGTACCCACTCTTCAATCGGCTTGTCTACCAATTGAGCGACCTCGTGTCTGTAGGCGCGGAAGATGTTGTGCTCACTGCCTCCAAAGTAGGTGTGGACCTGGCCAGGCAGCAGGGCATTCTCGGACACGTAGGTCTGGCGGGAGTACTCGTCCAATGGCAGCAGCAAAAGCCATATGACGCCGACAATGATGCACAGAGCGGAAAGGTAGGGCGGGAGCTTGAGGATGCGCGCATCACGGCGGAGGCCGAGGATGGCGGGCGCTGCGGCAGTCAGCGGGATGCGACGTGGCGCGGTAGTTTGGGGAACAGACTCAACAAGGTCATTCTGAGTGTCGAGAGAGAGAAAAGCGCTGGTTGTTGGTCCCTGGCGGCTTCCCCGGATTCTCGGGGCGTTTCCGCGTCTGCCTCCGGTGTCGCGCGTTTGTACACCTCGCCATCCTTTAGGTTGAACCCTCGCGCCCCGACAACATGGCCGTCGTGTCTCTCCCCGCCCATTACAGCCCGCAGCGCCTGCGCTCCTATGTCTTGCGCCTGCCGCTGGTCACCCGCCTGATCCTGCTGGTCGTCGTGGCCCTCTGGGTAGCCACCTTTGCCAATGCCGGCCTCCGCGAGAAATGCGCCCTGATTCCTGACCAAGTCAGTCTGACGGCCGGTGAGTCCCAGCTACACCTTCCCACCATGATGCTCCGCTGTACTGACTTTTTGCCCAGCATACCGCCTAAACACCTATCCCGTCACCCATTTGGGCTTCTTCCATGTCTTCCTCAACATTCTCGCCTTGACACCCCTCCTCGAGCGCTTCGAAGCCGAACATGGTACATTGGTGTCTCTTGTACTATTTACTGGGCGTAAGTTCCCAGCAAGCGTCAGCATGCGCAAGGACAATGGCTGACAGGTGCTCAGCGTTTGCAACGTTCCCCGGAATTCTATACATCTTGATTGAGCGTGGTCTCCTCAGAAGCAACACGGCTGTGCAGGGCGCAAGGTTGGCACCCATATTACCTATTGCTTGGCCAATAGACTAACAAGAACAGTGTTTGGGTATTCCTTCTTCTGTCAGCAGAAGCCGTCGTCACCCACAGGGCGAACCCATCCTTTGCGTAGGAAACGTACTCCAATCCTCTGCCAAGCATACACTAATAAATTCCAGCATTGGACCTTATAAGATACCCACTTGGACTACTCCCCTAATATTCATCGTCATCACGAGCGCACTCGTCCCGGGCACGAGCCTGCTCGGCCATCTCTGCGGCGCCCTGATTGGTTACCTCTGGGGCCTGAACTACATACGCTTCCTGGCTCCTCCGGAGAAGATCTTACGGTGGATCGAGTCCAAGCTTAAGCTCATGCAGCGCGTGCCGCACTATGTCTCCGTCGACCGGTCGACGTTCGGAAGGTATGGTGTGCTGCCGTCTTCGACGCCGCTGCAGAGTGCCATTGTTGGTACTACCCAACGTTTGGGTGGAGAGGTTCGGGAGGCCCAGGAATGAGTGAGCAAGCTGATGGTGTATCACTTTCTGTGATTCATCTATGGCGTTGGGTTATCCGCGGAGATCTTCCCTTCCATTTCTCCTGTGGAAGGGTCTTTTTAGATAATCACTTTTCTCGGTCCATGTTTCCTTGTTCCATACCTATACTTAGAGGAAGAGCAGCCTTGCATAGGGCTCTTTACGAAACGACAATACGCAACAATTTTCCCCTCTGTGCTCTTTCTTTCTCGAAAGTCGATTAACAATGCTGCTCGCTGTGCCGCCTCTCTTGATAGTTTTAGCGCCAATGTCTGCGGTGAGAGCCGTCCATATACGAAGACTCGGGACATGGTTCGATGATGCGACACAGTGTGATGCGCCACTTTGGTATCTATGTCAAAAGAGCGGGTCAGCGTAGTAAAATGTTGAACTCTAGGCGGCGTCGACTTGGATGCTTCAGTATTCGTCTATGTTGGATGTATGTTGTGGGTTCAACCGTTCAAGTGCAAGAAGGTACAGCGAGGGCATGAAGGAGCATTAGGATGGCTAGAACGTGGCAGCCATGTGTGAAGCATGCGACTCTAAATTATGCTTGGGGCCTTGTCAAATAGGAAGGAGCTTTTTAATTCTAAATTCACCCCAACCGCTAGACCATCAGAACATTTAAATTCTAACAGAGCAAGCAGCTACTGCTGTACACTTAAAATCCACATTTTGGGTCTGGCCATGTAGATCGCGACTTGTAGACGCTGACTTGAACTTTTTTTTTTTTCCATCATGCTTGGGATTTCCTAATTCGGTCGAATAAATCGGCATTTCTCGTCCATCACCATCAACACTTGAGATTTTGACAACCACTCTCACGCTCGAACCAAAGTCAACCAAGGGCTTTTAGTTCAAGAATTATATACAGACTCATCTCTTATGTTTTTAAGTATAATTCCTTTTCCCCTAGTTGACGATAAGGGCGCGCCCTTCTAAAATTTCGTCCGCAAATAAAATTTTAAATCTGTATAACTTCAAAACCTGCTTCCGTTTATCTAACTTATCACTCTAAGAATCTATTCAACCAGTTTTATTTTTGATTTTCAGTTTTATTTTTCTTTTGCTTTCGTAGCCGGTGCTCCCCAGCTTCTAGCTGCATCTTCGGACACTGCAACATGTTTCCACAACCCATTAAACGTCCGCTGCTTTTCTCATTCTCCAGTCCAGTGGCACTGCTCGAGGAGCAAGATTCTGTGTTCCAAAAATATTGGTGAGGTTGCTTGGGCGCGGCGTAGGTTCAACACACCCAAGGTACCCCGCACCCTACAGCACCCACCACCCCGAATAGCCCCCCACAGTCCAGGAACCACTCGCAGTCCGATGGCAGTTCTCATCACCGTTAAAACAAAGCGCATCGAGGCACCAAATAATACCAAAACCCGCTGGCGTGGCCATGTCGGGCGGGGTGTCCAGGGGGCCAAAAGGCAACCCAGAGTGACCTCCTACGTCCCCCCGGAGCACTCCTCAGCCTGCCAAAAGAGAATACGACGTAGACAAGATTCGAACTTGCGAGGCCGAAGCCATCAGATCACATCAAATCAGGGGATTCAAGTCTGACCCATTAACCACTCTGGCACTACGCCGCTTATTGAGTTTGCAAACGACTTTTATAGTATATATCCCCATGTTTTGGCCTCCCCACCGTCCTTCTAATAATTGTGAGATGGAGAACGCGCGGACGGATGCCTACGAAAGTCCTTGTGCAACTGTTGTGCCGCCAAGGACATGGTTGAGTGGGTCCTTAGGGCTCTGGCGCAACGCTTGTGCGCTAGGGCGCCCGCGGCCCGCGGCTTGGACGTCAGGACGTGTCCGCTTTTCACGCTGCAACCGTGGAAACCAATTCTCAAACGTACAGCGAACGCCAATCGTCCACTGAGCACAAGTTCATCGGGACGTTGCCGACAAAACTTCGAATATTAATACGAAGAGACTTTTGCGCCGCCATGAGCTCTTCGGCCATCGCAATCTGTCTGCAATCAGCTCGGCCGAGCGTCAAAACAACGGACAACGAAGAACTAAGGCTGTCGTAATGGGTCACTGTAGATCTTACGATCTAACTCTCATTATACGCTCATGAAAGCTCCTGGGACACAGTGAACACTCATTTATTGAGAAGACAGAAGCGCGTCCAGACATTATCGAGATGGCATTGATACCAACGCAAAAAGCCGTTAAATAATCACAAAATGATATTTCTCTGGACTACTTTCGAAGGCACTCCACTCCTATATTGCGGACCAGCTACTATCAGCATATCCAAGTCTCTTCCTGACCTGTATGGTTGATTATCACAGATATATCTGGAAAGCAAGTTCGACCAAACCCAGCTGTCACATAACAGGGCTCTACAGGTTCCTTTGGCTCGCAAGACTGGATGTGACACCGAGATTTTTACAAAACCATTAAGCTATATTCTGTATGGACCGGTCATACTACAAACTAACCACTTAACAGCGGAATACAACCTGCCGCTTCATGGATACGTCAGTCACCGTTAACCGAGATAGGGAAAGATACAAGCAGTCCCTACGGAATGCTCCTTGTCTAGCTACAAGCCCGAGCCCTGGGTATAGACGAGAAGGACTTAGAGCACGCACATACTGACATATCTTAACTGGATTTCTTCTTCCACTCCATACAAGTATCATCATCTCGTAAGAAGATGAATCTCGCTTGACGGTGACGGACGCTGTAAGAAAGGTTATGAACCCAGTAAAGGTTTACCTCACCGTTACCCTTCACCTTTGCGGGAAAAACCTGGCCCTCTGGCGCTGGTCTTGATCGTTCAAAAGCCGGAATCTCGGCCTTCTCTTCCTTCGTGTAAGGCCTCTTGCGGTCGAGGCGTGCTAAAGCGACAGATGTCAGCATACTGTCATAAGATCAGAGGGACCTTCAGGCCTGCGACAGGGATGCTTACGCTGCTCAAAGAGGGGCAACTGTCTGTTCGTGGGCACCATCCGCGTGAGCCGAATGGCTCCGTAAGAGTCCATTCGTTTGTACTTGTCAAACGAAGCACCGTTGTCAAGGAGGCCGAGGAGCATGATGAATGCATGTTCCATCACGGCCGTCAGTTCCTCGTTTTCCACCCACTGGGGGCAGCCGCGCGCGAACTTCGCCAAGCACACAGCTTCGGCGCGTCGAGGGCAGTCCGGGTCGTCCAGCTTCTGGTAGAAGAGCTTGGTTGAATGGTTGGCTCTATACGTAGGGTTGTCGTGCTGGGCGATTCTTTGCTCGGTTCCATTTTCGGAAATCCCGGAACCGCCATAGCAAACAGGCACTTTCTCCTCACCCGATTTCGGTTTCCCCACTGCAAGGTAGATGCCGGGGTTGATGTCCGGAATGCATTCGCCTTCAGTACGGCCAAGAAGGAGGAGGCCTTCAATGCCTACGAGCCCTCTAACACCCAGAGCATTCTGGATCTTGACTGGTATAAATACCAATAGGCGTTCAATGAGCTCGTCGTCTGTCGACGCTTCGACATACTTAAGCCGCTTCTTGGTCATCCACGAGGGATTCTCGTGCAAGACTGTCCTGATATCCTTGATAGCGGACTCAATGTGTGTGCGGAAACTGGCAGTGTTGTTGGACATTGTGAATCTGTGGGGAACGAATTTGATTACTCGAGAATCAGGGTTTGTTTTCGAGGACAGGTAGGGGTTGAGGAGGTTTGTGGTCACGGTGGTTGTCCATGGACGATCATGGCCACAACTGCGAATGTTCAAAAGGGAAGACACTGTCGTAATAGCCCTTCTACTCCATGCAAGAGCAGAAGCAGGAGTAATGACCAGTTTCCTCTATAAGGGGCAATGGGCACCCATCGCACGACAGCTGCAGACATGCAAGAAGCGAAGGCACCACCAAGCCCTGCGACCTCGTGCAGAAGCAAGATTGAGTACTATGGGACCGCAAAAAAATTAAGGTACTAAGTACAAGATGTCCTTCACAATAGGCAGGAGAGGATGATGTGCTAGTATTCGTTGTCACATGCTTTGTAGGTGCTCACCGCTCTTAGGGTAGTTGCCTATTTTGTTGTGTCATGTGGGAGCCTGGAGGTGAGAACAGAGAGTGAAGTCTGTTTGTTTGCGTTGCTTCCGTTTCTGTTTACAACCTCGTTTACTAGTTCTTATAAATATCAACCCCTCCCCCACCACCTAATCCTTCTTCCTTCGGGCTTCTCTCACCACTGCTCCACCGGTTTTTTCTTTTCCTCGACTCTTTTTCTCACATACTTCCATTAAACATACATCAACATCCATCGCACACATGGCTCACCACGGAGGCCTAGTCCCGTTCGCACCTGAAGACGACAATGCCCAGCAGGCCGAACCTCACAATTACAACTGGGGCGGCATCCGCGGGTACCGTCGCGTAATGTACATGGGGGGAAACCTCCATGTGAACGCTTGGGACAATGACGGCAACCCACTTGATCAGCACCGCAACCCGCTCGTGGGTCGGGAGGAGGCGGCGCGCCGCCGAGAGGCGGATGTCCGCCGCCACGACCTTCTCGCGGGCGTGGCCGTGGCCACGCTTCAAGAGTCAATGGAAATGTTTGGCGATTGGCTGGCTCAGGTCAGTGACGAGGACCTGGGTTACTATGCGCCCATGAATCGTGAAGACTGGGAGACACTGGCGGCCGCGGTCGCGCTGGCTTACGTCCACGAAGACATTGAGCGCAGTATGGTCTCGTGAAGCCAAAGAGGTTTCAACCAAGCCGATGTCGTACAATTAGATTCTCCTGTCGCGCAGTGGACGCTTGCGCACCTCGATGGCGTCTGGGAGTGGATTTTTGGGGTGAACGGTATGTTTGTATGGACTCACTGCTGTCTCCTATGCTAACAATGGTGCTATCCAGGCGAAGAATGGGATGTAGACTCCCAGCCAGCGAACAGAGCCAAGGGCGCCGCGATATTTATACGCATGAACATGACGGCGCAGGCCGAAAACCCGCAATTCCAACTCATGGACGGGCGGGGTCAGATCGCGGCAAGGCGCGATGTAAAGTTTGCACCAGGCATCATCCCTTCGCAGGAGATGTATGTATAACTACTACGGTTCGAAAGGTCATGACGGTCGTTGACCGTCTGGAGCGCGATAGGTTTACGACCCCCAAGTAGCTTCGTAGGGGGCTAAAGATATCCATTTCGTACCGGTACTTTGACTACCTTATCCTGGTATTTAATCTACATATGGAGGACCTAAGATGACTCTTGTGATACTGGTTTTAAACTTCTTTTCTGGAGTCAAGGTAAATTGTATCCTGTCGATTCTAGTCTTATTCGAGGATTTTAGACAATTCGTAGCCACTTGGTCTTACGCTTTTTTATGGGGTACGGGAAAGCTTTACTCTAGCCGATACTTCATCTTTTATCGGGCTCAGAACTGGTTTTATCCAGTCGGTCTTTCGCTTTTTGTAGAGCTCGGGACGACTTGTATCTATTTACTTTTCAGTTCAAGCTGTGGGGCTAGGTAACTTGATGGCCACGCGATGATAGTAGATATGACTATATCTATTAGGTCTTAGGGCTAGATGTAGTTATATAAATCTCCAGCTCGACGGATTAATCGGCCATCTTGTTTCGTGATGCATTCCGCATCATATTCAACCGTTTTATGACGGCATCCTTTCTCTTATATAACAACTTAAGGCCTGAATTGTTATTACAGCTTTCATAGACATGCGCATATCCAATCTACTTTCTGTTACATGCTGCTCAATTGTAACTCTCTAGTTATTATTACCGCTCAGCTTCGCTACCAATATGTTAACATGATCTGTTGCTGGCCGACAAAGGTGCAAAAGGTAGGTATTCATGTCCACCTATACTATTTTCGTGCTCTTCCCTCTTTATCTGAGCGTAATTCGAACTCAACACCTATTCCAACCTTATGTATAGTGTTTCTAGGGTAACTCGATTATACTCCTAGTTTGAATCTCTATGTTCCTCCTGAATACACGACAATATCTGTCAGTGGCCATGTAACATGGTAGCGCCTCCTGGATGCAAGCACCTGCCCTTCATATACCAACACCCTACTTCACGTAAGCACATACGACCATAGGTCACAGAGAACAAGGCATCCCGTCCGCTCTGCCAAATTTAAGCTGTGAACCGGTTGATTAGTAGTTAGGTGGGTGACCACTAGCGAATCCCAACTGTTGTATGTTTTTGTTTTTTTGCTGTTTGCGAGTCTGTATGACAGGGGTTTCCTTGCTCTTCTGTGCATGGAGCAGCATGTGGGGGTTAAACAGAATGCAGGGTTTGAATATGTTCTGTTGAAGAGATGGGGAGCGTAAGACGTCTACCTTGATATTCAGGTCGAACAAATGTTTTGAGCCTTCAAAGAGCAACACTGCTTTATACAGCTAAGCCAGAAATTGTGTGTCTTGCCATGGCTAAAGCAGGGTTGATGGGTTTTGTTCCCGAGGGCCTTCAGTGTTGGTAGATGTGCTTGCAGTGGCGCAACTTACAACATCGACGATATATTTGACTCAACCGTGATTTAGAGCAGAACCTCTAATTTCGACGCACTGTGAAAAACAATGCATGTGACAGAACAGAGTCTCCGGCTTAGATGTGCTCTGGCCTACATATAGAAAAATTCGGACTGTTAAGAATTTCTGATGTTTTGCTGCGCACTGGTATCTCTTCTGCCGACAACAATTGCTCTTCGATGAATTGTCGTTAACCTTGATAAACGCAACAGCTGTCGGTCGGACCGTGCGGATAGGAAGCAGTGTCAACTAGGAGGAGACTTAAAATGGGGCATCGTATATGCGCTTACTGTTGGTAGTAAAGGCGCCAATACACCAGCGAAGGGCGGTGTCTGCTTTTGGAAAGCCTCCCCTCGGGAAGGCCTAAGAACATGGAGGTGGGGAAAACACTGACCATTCTTTGGCTCGAGTATGTGAAGAGTAAAGATTGAAGCCGACAACAATCGGCCCTCTTGCTACTGGAAAACTTTTAGTACTTAGTGATCAATAACCACCAACTCTTCAATGAGTGACAATCTTGCTGCCAGGTAATTCGAGTACACCGTAGTTGTGTAAAATGAATTTGAAGGGAATTTTGAGCACCAGTCCCCTAAAATGGCGCGAGTAGAGCCATAGGGCTGAGAACCATCTCCACCGTTACTAGCAAGGATGCGGTGAGTGGAGTTGAACCTTGTTATGAGGTGGCATTGGAGATCCAGAAGGAGTTAAAAGATGATTGCGGAGAAAAGGCTCGGTGATAGGAGAAGCGACCCCGAGGCTCGGACAACGATTCCAACGATGAGGTCTTTCCGCCACATCCGTATGACCGTCAGTGGTCGGAGGCGCAATCAGTTGATGCGGATGCTGGAGACCCGATGGCGCGTTCGTTAGACTGCGATCCTTGGTGTGTTCCTTACACGTCCGTGCGAGGACGTGGGTAGGATGTGTTGTTCTTCACTTATTCAAGTAACGAATCGTCAAGATCACACATGCACTGTAAATCGATAAGGGACCTTTGTGCATGATTCATCAATCCCGTTGTGGATTTGCAGTTGGGGGCGGTCTGCGATGAGTCTTCATCCCGCCAAGCACAGGCTGCCTTGGACAAACATCCAGTGGGTCGCGCGTATGAGTGGAAAATTGACGCGCCAGCATCAGTTACTGGTAATGACGCCTCCCTGGCAATTCTAGAAGAAGCTTAATGCTTACCTATCTGGGTAGTAGAAGGCTGAGAGAGATGGCCCGGACCCCCCTTTTTTACATCTTGACTACCTAAAAAGTATCCACTAGCGTTGACTAAACAGTCGGCAACGATTCAATACTGGCGCGATACTGTCCGCGGCATTGTCGGCAGCCAAACCCACCCGCCCCAGTTCGCGCGGTGGGCCATGCAAGGTTGTCGGGCCGCTTTAACCTCGACTACCGGTCAATTTTCGACACCTCAACGTCAGAGGGATTAGAAAGCAACCACTGGCGCATCCTTATTCCCGCGATCATATATTTTGTATCTCCCCCGCCGTCGCCTCTCTCTTGCCCCCCACTGCCGAGTCTCCGTACAGCATCTACTGTTGGTCTCTGAAGAGAGGAAAGCCCCCCGGTATGCAATCCCTACTCCAATTCAGACGCATGGGCCAGACCGTGCAGGCGCAAGTCCAGCGCGACCTCGAAAAGGCCCAGCACATAACCATTCGGCCCCAGCCAGCAGTAACTGAGACACAAACAGCCACTCCAGAGCCGCGCCCGCAGTCTTCGCACTCGGAAATCCAGCAGCAGGCGGACCAGCGAGAGGAAGAGGAGAAAGAGCAAAAAGAAAAAGAGAATGCTCTCGAACCGACTGCCTCCAATGACTCCTCATCCTCTTCCGACAGCTCAGTCTCCTCCGCCGAGGGTGACAATGTCGACATCGAACGTGTAGCCACGGCTGCGACTGCGCACACCCAATACACCGCTAGAGCCGCTCTCGGTCACAGCTTGACCGGCATCCATGCTCGAGACCGACGTACGCATGAGGGCAAGGGCGAGCAAGTGTTTGTGGTAGGATGGGAAGGCGAGTCCGATCCTTTGAATCCTCGCAATTGGAGCCATGTTAGACGTATTGGCGTCACCTTTCAGATCGCTGCCATTGCTTTTGTGGTCACTGCTGCTTCGGCCATTGATGCAACAATCCTGCCGCAGGGTGCTGTTGCATTAGGAGTGAGTGAAGTCACGGAGACTTTGGCGACAGGTATGATAGCTGGACACACCTTTCCCTGGGAACTAGCTAATTGTACTTGCAGCCATGTACCTGATAGGATTTGGCGTGGGCTCGCTTGTAGCAGGTCCATTCTCGGAGACATTTGGCCGAAACATTGGTAAGACGACCGCTGAATGGCAATTGTGTATTGAATGATTCTAACCATTAAAAGTTTATATGGGTTCCTTGATGGTCTGGATGATCTGGATCATGGCCTCTGCACTTGCTCCCAACATTGGAGCTCAGATCGTCTTTCGTTTTTTGGCTGGCTTCTGCGGATCCACTCCGCTGGTTTGTGCCGGAGGTTCTATCTCTGACATATACAACCCGATCGAGAAGACGTATGGCTTTCCGATGTTTGCTACCACGGCGTTCGGCGGTCCAATCCTGGCTCCGGTAATCGGAAGCTATATCGGGCAATCTAGCCTCATTAGCTGGAGATGGTCGGAGTGGATTATGCTTATCACCGGAGCCTTGGTCCTGGTACTTATTTTGCTCTGCATGCCGGAGACCTACAGTCCCCTACTCCTGCAGTGGAAAGCCGCACACTTCCGGAGGATTACTGGAGATGATCGTTTCAGGTCCGAGCATGAAATTGTGACGGCAACGCTGTTCACGCGACTGAAGGTTGCTCTTACGCGTCCTTTCCTCATGGCAACGGAGCCCATCATCGCGGTGATGATGCTTTACTTGACCGTCATCTACGTTGTCCTTTTTACGTTCTTGGATGGTTACACTTTCATCTTCGAAGAAACCTACCACACCTCTCAAGGCCTGGCCAATGTCATCTTCGCCGCCATGTTCGTCGGTATCTTGCTGGCCCTGATCATGGTCCCTATCGTTTACCGCAAGACTGTCAACGAGCTGGAGCGTGTTCGTGCCAAGGGAGCGACGCACATCAACCCGGAGATCCGTCTCTGGTTTGCCATGCTCGGCGCTGCACCCGCTATTCCCATCGGGTTGTTTTGGATGGGATGGACCGACTATGAGAACATCAGCATCTGGTCACCCATCATCTCGTCGGTGCTGATCGGCTACGGTATCATCGGCATTTTCCTGAGCGCGTACATGTACGTCATCGATTCGTACGAGATGTACTCGGCCTCGGCCCTCACGTTTATTGCGCTAGTACGCTACTTGGCGGCAGGCGGCATGACGGTTGTGGGCGTGCCGTTTTACAAGAACATGGGTACGCACTACACTTGCACGATTCTGGCGTGTATTGCGGCCGTGTTGGTGCCGACTCCATATGTTCTTTACAAGTACGGACACCTTATTAGGGCTAAGAGCAAGTATGCAGTATCCAGGGAGGTAAACTAAGTGGCGGGAACGAGATGGATGCAATTTGGAGGTTGTTGAAAGATACGAAGAAGAATTGGAGTGGAACTCTCGAATTTTCGGAAACTTAGACGAGTTAGAACTGGGATCTGTATTGGCGCTTTCTACAGCGTTCGAAGGTTGGCTGTATTTAGGCGGAAGTGGATAAAATGGTTGGAAGGACAAAGTCAGGGTTGAAGACGAGGGTTGCACAGTTAATTTGTGTTATGATCTGACGGCTTATGTAGATTTTAACGCGTAATCTCCTATCTGTAGTTTAGTCGCTTCCGCCTACTTTTAGGTCGTGCAACTGGAGCAAGAAAAAAGCAAACTTGCGAATGCGCATTCGCCCACATTCGGTCAACGCTGGCACTCCCCCGCACCTGACGATAAGAGTCTTCGTTCTCTGCAAAGTCTAAGGCTTCAAGCAATGCATTCCAGATCGCATTCGACTGCTGACGGCCATGGTCACGTTGAAAGCACGTACAAGCCACAGGGGTTGCTCACGCCATGATTCGCGCAGTCGCTTGACCATACTCTTCTTAGCCGTGGCGTCGATTCGGCAGCACAACGTCGACTCGCCCGCCACACGAAAAGTCAAGGATCGCTCCAGCAGCTTATCAATCGCCAAATAAAAAATCTTGTCGCCAGCACAGTCCGGGTGGCACCATCTGAAAGCGGCGGCCTATCAGTCCGTCTACTCTATATAAAAGGGACCCGCTGCCGAAGATTACTTTCGTCCTGCGTCATCGTCACGGCGAGGCGGGATCATGCAATAGTGCCCTAGTTTTTCCTCTATTTGACTCACTCGGGCGCTCTCGAACGATATGGCAGAGTAGTGGTTTGAGAATAGGCACATCATCTCCGCCTAACGAGATAGCTCGCGACGGTATCGGCCGCGCTAAAGGCGTATATATCAGCCTCACCGACTCGACTGCCGGACCGCTCGCAACTCAGCAATCACCATGGAGAAGGCCGACTTGTCGCGCGCCGCGTCGACCGACCACCCGGAAACCGGCCTTTTGGATTTCGACAACCATGCCGAGAAGAAGCTTGTGCGGAAGCTCGACTTTTGCATCATCCCGGTGGTCATGCTCATCTATATGCTGAGCTTCCTGGATCGAGTCAACATCGGAAACGCTCGCTTGTATGGATTAGAGGAAGATCTTGGTATGAACAGCGATCAGTTCCAGATCGCCGTTTGCATTCTCTTCGTCCCGTACATCCTCTCGGAGCTGCCGTCCAATTTGCTGCTCAAAAAATGCCGCCCTTCAAGATGGATCGCATTTATTACGACAGCTTGGGGCCTTGTCGCCACCCTTACCGGAATAGCGCAAAGTTATGGTGGTTTGATTGTCTGCCGCCTATTTCTCGGCGCGGTCGAGGGCGGTCTTTTTCCCGGAATGGCCATCTACTTGACATTTTTCTACACCAAGCGGGAGCTCGCTTTACGGATCGGATACCTTTTCGTCAGCTCTGCTCTGGCCGGCGCGTTCGGAGGGCTCCTCGCCTATGGCATTGGGTATGAACGCATTTTCTTTTCCTCTTCCTGGTCACGCTAACGGAAACCAGGCATATTGACGGTGCAGCCGGGCTCCGAGGCTGGCGCTGGATCATGATCATTGAAGGAATTCCAACCTGCTTTCTGGGAGTTGCGTGCTGGTGGATCCTGGCTGACGGTCCGGAGACGGCCTTCTTCCTGACACCCGCGGAACGAGAACTCATGGTCAAGCGCCGCAATCGGCAGACGGGCCACACGCTATCGGCGCAGGAGTTCCACAAGAAAGACTTCATCGACGGGCTGACAGACTGGAAAATCTGGGTGTTCTCCATGGCTCTATTCGGGAGCGACACGATGCTTTACGGCTTCAGCACGTTCTTGCCGACCATCATTCGGGGCATCGACCCGACGTATTCGAACTCGATTGTGCAGGTCTTGACGATACCCTGCTACGCGCTCGGCGCCATCACGTACCTGATTGTGGCGCACTTTTCGGACAGCCAGCAGCGTCGCGGGCTGTACGCGGTGCTGTTTGGAGTGGTGGCGATTGTGGGGTATGCGATGTTGCTGAGTGACATCAGCAGCGGCGCTCATTACGCGGGCTGCTTCCTGGTGGCCATGGGGCTGTACGTGCACGTGGGGCTGCCGCTGGCGTGGCTGCCGGCGAACAACCCGCGGTATGCCAAGCGCACGACGGGCACGGCGCTGCAGCTCTCGCTGGGGAATTGCGCGGGGTTGATGTCGAGTTTTGTGAGTAGTGCCTAACAGGGATATTGTTGTTGTGTGCGTTGGCTGACTCTGGACCAGCTCTACCCCAAGGCCGAAGGACCTCGCTACACGCGCGGGCTCGCCGTGACGCTGGCCATGGTGGGAATGGCGTGCGTCTGTTACGCGTTCATGTGGTGGTGGTACGCCAAGGCCAACGAGCGGCGGGCGGCGGGCAAAGAGGACTACAAGGTCGAGGGGATGGCGCAGGAAGACATTGACGAGCTGGGGGATCGCAACCCGCGGTTCGTGTACACGATATGATACCTCATGCAATGCAATGCAATGCAATGCACGTAATGGCGCAACGCTGATTGCTCCCTCGGCCCTTCGGCGGGACGTCCCTGAGCCTCGGCAAGCGGCAGCTCCACCTTGCTACCCCAGACCCTAGCCAGCCACGAAGCCGATCCGCAGTCCAACTCTCGCGACTCGCGGCCGCCGCCTCAAATTGTAACCTGACCCCCCCGGGCCCTGCTTCGTCCATCTGCCTCTCTTTCTCTCTCTCTCTCTCTCTCTTCCTCCCCCCGCCCCCCGGTCAGCCGTCATCCCCAGCCAATCGCCATGCCCCACCAAGTCCTCACTCGCGACGCCGTTGCCAAGCACAATGCCCCCGGCGACCTTTGGTGCATCATCGACCACAGGGTGTACGACCTGAGCGACTTTACTGACGCGCACCCAGGCGGGTCCGTCGTCTTGGCCCAGGTCGCCGGCACCGACGCGACCACGGCCTTTTACAACCTGCACCGGCAGGAGGTGCTGCAGCGGTACGCGGGGCTCTGCATCGGCACACTGGAGGGCGAAGCGCCCGAGGTGCTCGAGCCGCAGCCCGGCGACCTGAGCCCCGTGCCCTATGCCGAGCCGCTCTGGCTTCGGCCTCAGTTCCGCAGCCCCTACTACCGCGACAGCCATCGCCGCCTGCGCAGGGCCATGCGCGAGTTTACCGACCGCCACGTCTCCCCCGAGGCCCAGGCAAAGGAGGTCGACGGCACCTACATCAGCCAGGAGCTCATTGATCGCATGGCCGAGACGAACGTCCTGGCCATGCGTTTGGGACCCGGCGAGCACCTGCATGGGCGGAGTCTGCTGGGAGGCGTGGTTGATGGCAAGGAGTTCGACTACTTCCATGACTTGGTCATGGCGCAAGAGGGCGTGCGCGCGAACGCGCGCGGCTTCCAGGACGGAAATATGGTAAGATCGGCTGCGAGGTGTTGATCTTGTGCTCGTGTTAATTATTGGTCAGGCGGGCATGATGATCAGCTTGACGGCAGTGCGGCAGTGGCTCGGTGACCGCGCGCTACGCGACAAGGTGACGGAGGAATGTCTGAGCGGGAAGAAGAAGATCTGCCTGGCCATCACCGAGGCTTTCGCCGGTAGGGCAAACTCTCGTACACCAGCCGAGACGGGAAGGGCTGACAAGGTTATGCAGGCAGCGATGTGGCTGGCATTCGCACAACTGCCACCAAGACCCCCGACGGCAAGCACTACGTTATTAATGGTACCAAGAAGTGGATCACCAACGGCATGTTCAGCGACTATTTTGTCGTTGGCTGCAAGACGGAAAAGGGCTTTTCCGTCATCCTCGTCGAGCACGGCGAAGGTGTGGAGACTAAGCCTATCAAGACGTCGTACAGCACTGCGGCCGCCACTGCTTACATCGAATTCGAGGACGTCAAGGTCCCGGTCAACCACCTGCTTGGCAAAGAGCACCAGGGTTTCAAGGTTATCATGAGCAATTTCAACCATGAGCGGTGGGCCATGGCTTGCGCGGTCATCAGGTGGCAGAGGACTATTGTGGAGGAGTGTCTCAAGTGGAGCAACCAGCGGGTCGTGTTCGGCAAGAACCTTCTGGCGCAACCAACGATCCGGCAAAAGTACGTCTCAGCTCCCACTTTCCTCATTCGGCGAATCCGTTGCTGATAGAATATTAGGCTTGCCAAGATGATCTCGCACGCCGAAGCCAACCAGGCCTGGCTGGAGCAAATCACTGACCAGATGAACCATATGACTTACGAGCAGCAGGCAAGGAACCTCTCGGGCCCCATCGGGCTGCTCAAGTCGTTTGCGACGCGCTCGGCGCATGAGATTGCAGACGAGGCCGTCAACATCTTCGGCGGGCGAGGTCTGACACAGAGCGGGATGGGCCGAGTCGCAGAAATGTTCCATAGGACTTACAAGTTTGATGCGATTCTGGGGGGAACCGAGGAGATTCTAGCGGACCTGGGGGTGCGGCAGGCGATGAAGGAAATGCCCAAGGCCATGTTGTAGGTAGTAACGGCCGTCACCAGCTAACGAGACAAGGACGCTTGTACATAGGGAGTGGAGTAGGAAATATGTATATGCTGTGAGACACTTTCACTTGGAGTAGTTTGTGGGGACTGGTTGTATCCTTGGCCATGTCGGTTGACGGAGACGGAGGGTAGGTAGTAGATAGATAGAGACATTGCCGAGCAACAGGGAGAGAGAAGCGGGCGCGCACGGCTCGCGTGGCCGCATGCGGACGGATTATTGTGGGGACAAAAGGGCGGGCGAGCAGTCGTAATCATAATCAGCGAGTGGCCGTGGCACGCAGAGTACCTATGGAGGGAGCGGTGAGGTTACTTTACTGCGTCGCGTCTCCCCAGAGTATTGAAGGCCGACCGAAAGGGGGCGCGGGCGGGTGGCACAGCGCCTGGAGGGACCGGGTAACGTCTTGCCTCTTGGACTAAAAGAAGACGGCTCGTCCCCTTGGTGTTGCATGTGACCGGGGCCGATACGTGGCAGGCACTTGCATGATGAGACATGCGATGCAGGTCCCGAGGAAACGCTCAGGTTCAAGCTTCTTTCGTTCAGCCTAGCCCGACACCGGGCCTTTGCGCGTAGCTGGGGCTGCGCTGGCCCTGCTCGTCATCAATCACCGCGCGCTCCCTTTGACTCCAACTAGCTGATTATTCACCCGTCGCCACTACCTGCTTCCCGACTTATATAACCTCCCGCCCTGCCCGTTCCGACTATTCCTTCATCCATCTTCGCCTTTTTGCCTTGAGCCTTCGCCTGAGCCTTCCCCGTCTGCCGCCCTCCGCCGCCTACTACTCGTATCTTGCGTCACCTGCTTCCCGCCTCCCGCCTCCCGCCTCCTGCTCTTTCCACCAGACCACCACCACTACAGCCATGCGTTCAAACAGCGTCTCTTCCATCTCCAGCTCCGCCTCCTGGGATTCTGAGGACACCATGCAGATCTTCGTCAAGAACGTTGCCGGCGAGAGTGCGTACCATACCACCCAGCCAGCCCACCTGGTACCAATACAAAGAGCTAACAGGCCGCAGCATTCCCCCTGACGATTCCCTCCAACACCTCGATATCGACGCTGCGGAACTTGCTCGCCCTGCGGACCAACCTGCCCGCCTCGGAGCTGCGCCTGGTGCACGCCGGCAAGCACCTCACCGACGCCGACTCGAGCCTGGCCGACTACCGCGTGGCGCGCGAAGCGACGCTGCACATGGCCCTGCCGGTTCGGGGAGGGATGCCGCCCAAGAAGATCCGCTGCTCGTACAAGGACTGCAAGGACGCGGCGCAGCGCATCGTGGGCGACTGCGGCTTCTGCTCCGGCCACTTCTGCGGCCGTCACCGTCTGCTCGAGGATCACAAGTGCGAGGGCCTCGAGGACTGCAAGAAGGAGAGCCACGAGCGCAATGCCGACAAGCTCAACTCGGAGCGCACCGTCGCGATACGCGGCATCTAGACTTCGTCACGACCCATGGCCACGGCTACTACCTATACACGGACTAGAGGAGGAAGCAAGGCTGAGGGCTGCCTGACAATGGGTGCCTTGAAAGCTCTTCCTTCCCGACCCGGCGTTCACCTTTCTATTTCCGGATCTGGGATTTTCTGGGGGGCGGCTTTTCAGAGCGTTGCTGCCTCTTCTGCTTTTCTGCCGCTTATTGTCTTTTCTTCCATTTTCTCGAGCGTTCTGATTACGACGCACTGGCGTTCAAATGACCGGCGTTCCGTCGGTCACTGGTGGGATTCCTTGCTTTGCTTTGCTTGCTTCCTTTGGATCCCAGCTCCCAATTGTCAAGAGACAAAGAGGCCTCTCCCCCTGCTAGCTGTAGATACCTGGCTTATTCTGGGATATTGCGCGGAAAACGGCGTACGCGCCGCCTCGCCGCCGGCTATCGCAGGACGGATACATAGCTAATAAGTGCGCTTAGAGCGCCTATCTGCCTACCTGCCTACTTTCAAGTCATCTTACCCGTCCCGCCTCGCCCTCCTCTCTCTCTCCCCAACAATACGCGCATCCTTGTCCCACGTCTGCATTACCTCCCGTCGCTGTGCGATGCGACAAGCAACTCGTGACACCCTCACCCGCCATGGCCGCTGCAGCCCTCCTGACTGCGGCCAACTGCCTGCTGCCAGGTCGCCTGCACCGTGTGCGAGTGCGTGTGCGCCAGCCCATCAATCACCCACCGGCCCCCCCACCCACTCACGACCACGCCCCCTGTCCAAGTCCCCGCCGCCGCTCGCTATATTATTTTATGATTTTATTCCCGCTCGGTACCCGCGGTCCCGTCGCCAGGAAACACTCGCACCGAGAACCCGACAGCCTGGGCACCGGCGCGCCGCCGCGCTGGAAACAGCCCACCATCACGCGACTTCGCACGGGAAGCGGGCGGGCGACCTGCCACTGCCGCCGCCGCCGCATGTATGTATGTATGTCTATGTGTATGTAAAATGTAGGGGATAAAAGAGCGCAAGGTAGAATATGCGGGAGGTGATGGAGTAGGATAGACTGCTCCTCACCAGACGTGACGACCACCACTCCACCACTACGACGACGACGACAGATGGCAAGGCGATTGGGTGTCGGTGGCTTTGCCGGTTGCTTGCCTCAGGCTTCCCTGCCCGGAGCATCGGCGTGGGTCGGACGCCCCAAGCGTGGAATGGAAGCCAAACCCGGTGCCAGCCACAGGCGCCAAGCCACACCTGACGCACGCCGCTGCCGCGAGACGGGAGGGCCGGGCGCGCAGGCTGGCCGAGGCCTCGCGCGCCCGGTCGTGGTGGAGGCGCCTCCGGACGGCGTAGTGGCGCTGCCTGCGACGGGAGCCTAGAGTAGAGGCTTTTTTTTACTCTTTCTCGAACGTTCTCGTCGTCGCCGCCTCCTCCTCTATCACTGCGTTGCGCTAGGGAGAAAAGAAAAAAAAAAAAAAAAGGCCTCGTAGGGCGCGCTGCGGCCGGCTCTCGCTTTCGCCGTCGCCGTCGCCCGTCGCCGTCTTCAGCCTTGCGCCTTGCGCCTTGCGGCGCACGCATGCACGCACGCACGCACGCGCCGTCTGTTCGCTCGCCCCGTCGTTCCTCGCGCCTTGCCTCTGACGCTCTTACCTACTCATCACCCAAGGGGTTGAAGGGAGGGGGGCAGCAGCAACAGCAATGCGCGCGCCTCGCCGTCGCACCAACAGAGCTTCTCCTTGCAAGTGCGCGGCCGTGGTGCGGTGTGGGGGAAAGGGGGGGGACGGCGCCAATGGTGCGCGCGGCGTTTGCGCGCCCGCGTCTTGGACTAGTCGCCTGGGCTGGCCGTTGCTTGCTTCCTGCGGCGCGCTTGGTGTCGTTCCTGCGGGAGGCCGGATGGGCGCCTAAGGAAGGAGGGATGGAGGATGAATGGATGGAGGAATGGAAGGAAGCAAGGAGCATCTGACGGCGAGAGTGAGGCGGACGTGTAGGGCGATGGCCTTGCCTGCCTTGCCCAATTGGGTTCGGGAGCGTGCGGTTATGGATTGAGGCTGCTCTCTTTGGGTTTCTTCCTGGCTGATGCCAATGCCAATGCGCGACGCGGACAGAGATTGATTCATCCTGCGCCACGATGGGATCGCACAACGACACAAAGAACGTCTGGACTTCTTTCGTCTGAGTGCAAATCGCACATAGGCGGCCATCCATGATCCACACGAGCGGGTCTGCCGTACGCCGGGAGGCGAGCGCTATCTACCTTGTACCTAGAGCTGAGCAAGCAGCCTGATGAGCTGAGCTGAGGTCAGGTCAGCGCGAGTGCGGGCAGACTGCACAGCAGCAGTAGGCGCCTAAAGGTACATGTACTGCAGACGCAACAATCAGATGAATGGCGTTTTCCAGGCTCGCGACTCCTCTTTCTTCTTCCTCTTCCTTTCTTCGCCCGTCTCGCCAGAGCTCGTGGTCCCCGGCAAGCCACATGCAGCAGATGCCGAGCCGGCCTTCCCGCCTTCCGACTCGCACCGAAGTCCGCTGAACGCCGCTACGTCATTGGCCGCTCTGCATGAGTCAGCAGAGTTTTCAAACATCGCTCTGTCCGACTCGTGCGCCTTAGCCGAGGCGGGCTTTTTGGCTTTCTCGTCGTGCTTCTCCCCGCTCCTCCGTCCTTCTTATCGATGGTTTATCGCCCTGACGAGCTTGACGGGCAGATACGAGCGCTTCCACGGCCGGTTCTGCCGTCTTTGCCTTTATCGTCGGGAAGGCATTGAAGTTTTCGATTAACGTTACCATCTCCTTCAAGGGCATTTTAAGTTCACGTTCCTTATGGCCGGACCACCGTTCATTCTTTTTCGTCTGGGCTGTTGCCGAGAACATGGTCATTCTCCCTGTGGCGGTTTCATATGGACTTGTGACAGCGTCCGCATGAGCAAGCTACTGCACCTCTCTTTGAGCACTTACTGTTTCCGGACAACTGATATTTAGAAAAGTTTACGGATTGCTGAGCTGAGCACAGATCTTGGTTGCTTTAGAGTCACTACCCACTTGCTTGAGAGTCCGCTGACTACTGAGACATAGCTGACAATACCGAGTTGAACGGCGTCCGTATGACAAACCGGATGACAGTTTTTGCGAGTCGTTAAAAAGAGCTTAGTCGCACAGCCCGGTTTCGTTGCGCTGGGTAGTATTGAAACATTCGCAGGACATTCCTCCGTTGAACGGCGAAGCGGAAATTGGCAAACTTTTTAAAGGTTAAATTAGGAGTTAGAAGAGCAAGGTTCCGGGATCTGGGGTCCACCGAACACCCCCTCGACAGAGAAATGCGATCTTCCGCCGTCTTCGTGTAACACCTAGAGTCATGATCGATACCAAACCCATCTGTGCCAGCCACGTGTACATCAAGCAAACACTCACTTGGCCTATCATTCTGGAGCCTGGACCTGCCCTTGCTTGGATTCTCGATATACTTCCGGCCTGGACCGAAGGTGGACTTGTCTCGGCAGCAACACAAGACAACTGTAGACTCGTGGATGCTGCCACACCTGAGGCGGGCCGTGCTCCGGTGTTCCAGAGCGCAGCTTCACCGGTTTGTGTTGACGAAAGCACAGCGGCTTGGCGACCTATGAAGTTGCTTTTGACTAGGAAATATCCTGGAGCATCTTCGTCAATAAAGCAACCATGCTTCGATCTACAATCGGCAAGGCGGAAAAAAGGAGGGTTGCGTACGCGTCCAGCGCAGATAGTGGCTTTGGGCATGCGGCCAAGTCAGCGGAAGTGGATTGGTGCAGAAGGAGTGGATATAAGCCAAGAATAAGACAACGGTGGATATCGGGCAGCATATGATGATGCGAGCATGCAAACGTAGGCCGCGATGGAAGCCAAGCCAGATTCCACGTCCCGCCAAGGCCGGGCATTAACGGAGGTCGTCCGTCGCGACACTCTATCCGGCTCTAGACCCGTCGATCGGATCTCTGTTATCTCCACGATGATGATCATTCCATCCTGCACTGCGGAGAACGGGGCAGTGCAAGCGTGGAGATGAGAGCTGCCTGGCTGACGGTCGACGATTGCTCCCAAAGCACGACAGCCTCGCCGCGCTCGCCCATGGCGGCAGCAGTACCACTGCCCCGACTGGCACAGCGTCTGGCAATTGTCATGCAGGCAGCGGTGCAACCTGATGAGGCTGCCTCGACTCAACGACGGAGGCATGCCGAGAGGCGGACGGCGGGAGCTGAAAGGCGGGATGCCGCGGAGCAGAGGTGCAATGTCGCACGCCGGGAAGTTGCACGAGCTTGGCAGAGGCCTCCGGAGCTAGCAATGAAAGGACTGACGGTGGTGACGGGAGACGACGGGAGGCGCTTTCTTGTCTCTGTGGATCCTCTTTCCGTCGCGGTGTGTGCCAAGAGATGCGGAATCTTGTTTTCTTGGCAGCCAAGCCCGCGATGCCTTCCGCTCCTCCCCACCGATTCCCTGTCACGCCTGTCTCGCAGTTGCCCGCGCCCGCCACCACCACCCCCCGTGACGACCAGCGAGCAGTCCGGTGCTCTTTCCGTCGTTATTGGGGCCCCGTTCTTCATTTCGCCATGCCAATGTACGCCGCGTGTTTGGCGATAAAATATCAACGTCAACGTACCGTTCGCAGTGTACAAGCTTACCCACTTCACAGCCACAAAGTTTGGCATCCGCGTTGCGGTCCGCCGGCTTGGCTGGCGCCCGTGTCTCTGCTTTCTCTTGCTTCTGGGCTACACCGCTCCTAGTGCAAAAACGCCATGCTTGGCACCATGGTGATCGATTCGTGCCCGACGCTTCTTGCTGCGCCTTCTGCTATTTTCCCTGAGCTCCAAAGTCAGGAGTTGCCGTCAGGCGCTCTGTTAAATATCTCCCCGCAATATCCCCACGTCGATGCCCCAGGTCTCCTTCCGCTCTGGCCAACATATGTGCCCGGGCCACTTTCTCACCTCGTCCCAACCTTCCATCACGGTCTTCAGTGACCTCATTTTGCCCTCACACCATACCTACCCAAGCCTACCCCTCGTCTCACATTTCCCTCAATTCCCTGGCTTGCACGTTTCACTCTTTGAAATTCCCTCTGTCAAAAATCAAGGATGCCGGCAGTTACCTTTCCCCATGCTGTCCACACGGCTCCTGGACAGCGTGCGGGACGCTCGCCAGGCAGGTCCGAATCGACCGAAAAGGACTCTTCACCTTCTAAGCTTGAGCTTGGGAATGTACAAGGCAACGTCTCGGACACCTCGCTCATTGAGGAAGGCAATTGGCCAACTTCTTGGCGCGCCTGGACCACTCTAATTGCCTGCTTCTTTCTCATGTTCAACAGTTGGGGTCTCGTCAATGCCTATGGAACGTTCGCTTCCTACTACAAGGATGTCTTACTACCTGGACGGGATGCCCTATACTTCAACCTACCAGGGGCTACCGAATGTTTCATGGTGCTGACCCTTTCGGGTCCCGTTGGCCGCCTGTTGGATGCCGCTTATCACCGACAACTTCTGTTCACAGGCTTTTGCATCATTACCCTCAGCTTCTTCATGCTCAGCATCAGTAATGGAAAAGCAGGCATGGGTGACGGTAATGCTGGGCTCATCTGGCTCACGCACGGCTTTCTGGCTGGCCTCGGAATGTCATGCTTGTTCGTTCCCAGTTCAGCAAGTAAGTTGGACATGCCCCGGTACCTATCTCAAAAGGAAAACCCCCTGACAAACATAGTTGCTGCTACGTGGTTCCACAAGAGGAAGAGTTTTGCCATCGGCATTGTCGCGTCAGGTGCTAGCATTTGTAGGTTCCTGAACATTGATTAAAGCACGCAATGGGCCCTCTCTATCCACTTGAAAAAGAATTATGCTAACACAAGCGTTGCAGCTGGCCTTGTGTACCCCATTATGCTCAGGTTTCTTACCACGCAGCTCGGCTTTAATAATGCCGTGCGTGCCGTAGCTGGGCTGATTGGTGCCACCACGCTCTTTTCGTTCTGCTTCGCGACACCGAACCCGACTCATCATCACCGGAAACCAGAGACGTGGCTAAGCAAGCGCGTATGGGTCGATACGGCCGCGTTCAAGTACAAGCCATTTCGATGGCTCGCGGCGGCCATTGCGTTCCTGTTTCTGGGGTTTTACTGTATCTTCTTCAACCTTGAGGAGGTAAACTTGAATTTTCTTTATTCTTGTTGGAGGCCATTGGTGGCTGATACTATGTACAGTGGGCTGCAAATAAAGGTTTCGGCCACAAAACAGGAATGCACCCTCAAAGTCCCAGTGAGGATAGCAGCTCGATCCTCACGCCTGGAATCGCTACGTATTACATGCTTGCGATCATGAATGCCGTGAGCACTCTTGGCCGCATCGGATCCGCTTGGCTTAGCGATCAGTAAGCCACTCGTCTTCCTTGTCTCGGTGAACTGACCAGGCTGACTTCTCCAGCTACGGCGCCATCCGTGTTCACGCCGTCGTCACATTCGTAGCCTCCCTCCTGACCCTCTTCCTCTGGACCTTTGCACCCAGCTTTCCTGGCGCCATTTGCTTCATCGTCTTTTTCGGCATCTTTAGCGGTGCCGTCATCGGCCTGCCTCCCGCCAGTATGGCCTACATCTTGGGCAAATCGCCTCAACAGCAAGCTCGCTTGGGTCAGTGGACTGGCATGATGTACACATCCGCCGGCATTCCATCACTCATCGGGCCCGTTATTGCCGGTCACCTCATCTCCAACTATAATAACTACATCACGGTACAACTGTGGAGCGGAACATGTCTGCTTCTCAGCGCAGGCTGCATGGGCGTCGTCTGGTGGTACAAACACCACGAAGCTGCGGCGGGCCATGACGGACCTGTGTTCACAACTCCATCCGGCCCCGGACTTAGCAAGTCGCAGACGGTTGCTAGTGCAATCAGCACGGATACTTGCCGCTCAGATGTAACAGTTGATAGCCAGATCTCTGAACCAACGCCAGAGCTTGAACCGGCTCAGACTGCAGAGACACGAGACTATCATCACAGAGAAGAGGATAAGACCGAGACTGAGAAGGAAATGGTGTAACCGCAGCCGAACCCTAACACTACATTTTGTTTTTCTTCCGAGTAAGGCGGCTTGGCAAACGTGCTTTTTGCGGCGCCTCAGCTGACGATATGATACCACAAGGGAACGCCACAAGCTGCGAAGCGCGTGCTCCTATGTATTTCTTTGCTTTTTCGCTGCCGCAATGCCGTGCTCACTGCATCGCACCTCGTGGTTGATGCCCAACGGCTGAACCCAACAAGAGGGCGCGGAGCTGAACCGGTATCCAGGTTCCCGGCGTTTTCAGGGGTGTATTGGACCTAACGATTTCCTTTGTCAAGATATAAAACTTGCTAGACAAGGCGGTTGTTTCTTTTTCGTTAGAGCGACAATCGTCTATGATGCTTTCACGAACATCACGGCCGGATCACTGGAGTTGTGGAGTTGGAATGGTGGTTTGATAGGAAAACGTAAGCTCAGATACCATGGCAAAAGTAGCGGAGAATATGCATAGATGACAAGAACTTTGAGATGTTGTTGAAGTAGAGCTGTCTGTACTTTTTGATACACGTATGGATGGGTGAATGGAGCCCGAGAGACTGAGATGAGGCTGTGTGTCTATCACGCTCGCTCTCTCACTGACCCATCGGCGATGGACAAAAGAACGACGTGCAAGGAGCCGTCTTGTCCAGATCAGGATCTCTAATTCGCATATTCAGACACACCCCCTAGCCTCCTACTAGGATTGGTCTGCTGTACCTACCAATCACGCCTTCGATAGTTGGAGATAGCTTTAACTTAAGACTCACGTAGTGCTGAGTAGTGCCCTTGGACGCGCAGATGATAGAGGAGGCGAGGAGTTGTATACGTACGAATGTGAAAGTATATAAGAGTGTGAGAGTACTCTCCGAGGGTACGTAGGTACAAGATACGTGGGGACGGAACTACTCCATAAGGGTACGAGGATAAAAACATATATAGATACGAGTGTATTCCAAGAGGGCATGAATACAGAATTTTTGAAAAGGTAGGAAGCAATTCATGTACATGTACAGGTGCAATCTACATGGGATGAGCAAAACAGCTTGAAAGGGTGTCGTCCAGGCCGTCTCTATATATACCGGTACATCCCTATACATACACGCCTTTATTCTAACACGATCCCTAATACCCTACCCGGTAAGGTCTGCTTTGCAAACACCCTCACGCGGTTCAGCATTTAGCCTCGGAAAACAGTGCAGCAAAAAACAAAGTAGAGAGGGAAAACCTTCCCCGCACCCAAGCCACCGCGCAGCAGCTGAGTGAATAAACCAGGTCTTACTTGCAGCGTCCAGATGGCGCCACGCGTAAAAAGCAGGAGCTTGAACTTCAATCTTAAGGGGTCTGGCCTGGCCTGGTGCTACACGGTAGGCTGTACCGACCGGCTGTATGAGTAGCTGCGAGGTCAGGCGTGCTTGGGTGGGGATATTGGCCGGAGGCGGGTGAGCACCATGCTGGCTTTATAATATGGGACCATTGAATGGTCTGGACCGGGCCGCAGAGCCGCAGGACTGTGCTGTCACTGAATTCTGATAGTGGCTAGGCATGTACGAGTAGACGGGTAGGCGGGAGAAGTCCGCTAACCGCATCGTCCTCGTAGTTACCCAACTCTCGGCTGGCTTCTCTTCCTCCCCGATAACAATCCACTCATAGCAATGAAGCGCATGGTGCCGACTAACCGGGCCACTTTCCTAAACAAGCGCCGTAAGCATCCCTATCGGAAATCATGCACATGACCATAGAAATCCCTTCGATCTTATGATAGTACTATATGCTGGCTTCTATCGCGTTAGCACGTCCCGTCTTGACCGCAAGCGGTCTTACACAAAGGCCGAAATCCCGGCATTCGAACGTTCCAGGCCAGCGCCTGAGGGACAGGTTTTTCCAATGATGAGGCTGCCACAAAGGGGATGCTCATCATCAGCAACAAACAGTGATGACGACCAACACCATCCCGCCATAACAACAAAACACCAAATCAACCACCAACAGCTGCAATGGAAGCCGAATGAGTCAAGCACCGTGAGGTCTGTCGCCCTCGGACATCTGTCCTTCGGACCAGGGGAATTCTTCCAGCCATCGTTTTGACACTATGCACTGTTAATCTTCCAGCTATTCAACCAGTTATGTCCTTCACGGAAAGACAAGGGAGTGTGCAGCATGGCGATGTGGAACGGCGAGCCCCATGTAGCCATGTCGAGAAGAAGAGGTCAAATTCCTATATAATGCCAAAATAGAACGCGAGGATTCCGTCGCGCCTCCTATTGTGTATTTGAATGATGAAGACCAGAAGAGAGGCAAAAATGTCAGCTTGTTGGTATGGCGGCTCCGGAGTTTCTGAAAACGGCACCGGCCCGAGGGCACATAGAAACGAACGCCAACAACTACTGACTTTGGCAATCACCGCGAGCATGGCGTGGCGATCATCTGCATCAACGCCAGACACTGGCGATATTCGGCATCATCGCGATGCAGTGCGCCACTGTCTGTAAGGTACAGGCATGGCCATCTTCTGCGGTTAGTTAGCTCTTTGGCCGTTTTGTCCCTTTCTTTTTTTCCCTATCTTGTCGACTTTTCCCCCTCTTTGTACGAATCCAAGCTTCTGCCCCAAATTCCGAGAAACTTCTCCTCTGCTTTAACCTGGTCCCGCTTGACACCCGTTAGGCGGTAGTGCGGCTACTTGACCACCCCTCTCTGGGCTTCAGTGACTAAGATGGGCATTGGCAGAAATATAGAAAACAGACAACTTAGCTATATTAAAAGCATTTTTGCCCTTCTCGACCCTCCAATGGCTCCACGCGCACAATAATCCTCAAATTAAGACTAGTAGCTAGTACACACAAAAAACGACGTTACCATAATGGCCCGGTTGATATGCAAAAAACGGCCAGAATCAATCTCTTGATTCCGCCCAAACGTTTCTTTCCTCTGTGCTGCTCAAAGACGACGGCCCTATGCTACACACCCAGCTCTAAATCCCACCACGACACCATCACGTGCCTCCAGACCTAGTGCTAACCCACCCACCAACCACTGGCATATGGATTCGTGCCTGATCGTCTATCTGTAGAAGTCGAACTTGTCGGCGTCGCCGCCCACGCCCTTGACCTGCGCCGAGTACGCGTCCTCCAGATCGGTTTGGATGATGTTGTACCTGTTCTTCCGGACAGCGCGCAGACCGGCCTCCTGCATGATGGCTGCGATAATGGCACCCGACAATGGCTCGTTGCGCACAATGAGGGAGTCGAGATCGACCTCCGGCGACAGGCTCATCTTCGACGCGATCGTCGTGAAGATGAGACGGCGTTCGCGGCGATCGCGCAGCGACGGGAACTCAATCTTCCTGTCCAGACGACCCGGACGCAGCAGCGCGGGGTCCAGCGTGTCGGCGCGGTTCGTCGCCATGATGACCTTGACGTTGCTGGTCTGGTCGAAACCGTCCATCTGGTTCAGCAGTTCCAGCAGGATACGCTGGACTTCTCTGTCGGCACCGGTCTGGGCGTCGAAACGTTTGGTAGCAATGGCATCGATTTCGTCGATGAAGATGATCGAGGGCGAGTTCTCGCGGGCCATGCGGAAGACGTCGCGCACCATGCGCGGACCTTCACCGAGGTACTTTTGCACGAATTCGGAGCCGACGACGCGGATGAAGGAAGCAGTAGTGCTGTTGGCGACGGCCTTGACAAGCATGGTCTTGCCGGTACCCGGGGGACCGTAGAGCAGGACACCGCGCGGGGGATCGATACCGATTTGCTTGTACAGGTCAAAGTGCGTCAGGGGAAGCTCGACGGCCTCGCGAATCTCCTGTTTCTGCATGTCCAGACCACCAACGTCGGCGTACGTGACGTCGGGCTTCTCATCCGCGCCCAGCATGGCTATCGACGAGTCGGCCTCGGGAGGAAGAATGTCTACCAGGGCATTCGAATGCCTGTGCAGCGCGACGGACGAAGAAGGCTTGAGAAGTTCGCGGTCGAGAGTGGAAAGGATGCGGACGACATAGTTGGAGCCTGTCGAAGACTGTACGATGCCGGTGCTGTCTCCATGTCAATTCAAGCTCTTGCTACGCGACGACACGGCGGCTTACTTTTGATCTATCGCCTCCATGAACTGGCCGATGACGAGAGGCACGCTCTGGATGCGCTTGATCTCCTCCTGCGCGCGCACCAGCTCCCTCTTCAGACTCCTGCGATGCCGTCAGTCAGCGCATATTCAGCAACGACGGCGGCGGCAATGACGCACCTCTGCTCATCCTTGATGTACTCCTCCTGCAGGTTGATGTACTCCAGCTGGCGCTGCAGCTTCTTGAAGGTCGAGTATTCGTCGTTGCCGTCGGTGGAGAAGCCCTCTAGCGAGTCGATGTCGGGTATGGATGAGGGAAGCTGCTTCTTGTGAGGTGGCAGCTGGTTGGCCGGGTTCTGGACGGCGGCGTCGGCCATGGCGGGGAGGGGAAAGACGGATGGAGAGGTGGGCGATGGGCGGTCGATGTGGGCGTCGAGGCGAGGCGAGGACGCGGAGAGATGGGGCAAGTGTTGGGTAGGGTGTTGGTGGTGGTGGGTATGGAAGGCGGGAGCTCGATTGATGAGGCTTGAGCTCCTGCTCGCTGTTGCCGCCGCCGACACCGACAAGCAGCCGCGTCACGTGGGTAATGCCTCAGGCCTCACATTAATGAATCCTCGTCCTCGTCCTCGTCCTCGTCGCCCTCGGCCTCGCAGTCCTCCCTCCCCCATACGGATCATCGTCCCCAAGCACCGACCGCGGGCGCATGTCTCACCTGGCGATCCTGCGGCGACAAGGTCGGCGGGCGGAGACGATAATGGCGCAATAGCGTTGCCTCTACTGGATGATTCGTGTGTCACTCGTCCGTCGCAGCTCCCGGCGGAGAGAGGTGCTCGAGAACTAGCAGCAACCGCAGCACATCCGCATCCGCATCCCTGCTCCCCTCCCCTCCCTCACCCTACTCTCTCCCACTACTCGTACTGCTCGCCCTGAAGCCCGCGTGAAGTGCCCAGTGTCTGTCGTTGTTGCGTCGAAGCCGGGGCAGAGCTGCTCGCTAAGCAGCCATGGATTTCAGCCTTGGCCCCGGGGCCAGACAACCCGCTCTCTGCTGTTCCATCAAGTCACCCACCCGCACACGCCCACACCCCCTCCCCCCCCTCCCCAATCAAGCCATCGTCCTCCGCGCTGAGCCTTAGTAAGTCGTGCCTAGATCCTCCCCCCAGATGTCCTGCTGCCCCATGGGGACGACGGCCCTGTTGCTGTTGCTGTCGCCGTCGCGTCGGTCGCCTGCGCCCGCCCCAGCCGCGACTGCGCTCACCGCATCCCGATCGGCTCGTCTGTCGCGCGTCGCGGCTCGTCGAGCTTGCGAGGGCCGTTGGCACGCGTCGCTTTGATGGCCGTGGTGATGAGCTGCTGACGCTGCTGCCCAGGTAGACGGATGGACGCGTTCACGCAATGAACTTCGACGCCCTCTCCGCAAGCAATGGCTTCCTCGACGGCTCGGCGAATGCGCTCATGGATCCGTCCATGTTCAATGCGAATAGCCTCGACCTGAACCAGTTCCAAAACCCCCAACTCCAGCAGCAGCGCCTGCAGAACGGCTCTGTGCGCCATGCCTCGCCCGCCGCCTTCCAGAACCCGTCATCGTTCCAGGTCAATCCGCTCGTCCCTTCCAAGCGCCCGCGGCCCTCTGAGGATGCGGCCAGCGCATCGCCCAGGCAGGCGCCTGGCAACATGAGTCTTTCAAGGTCGCAGACGCCGCAGCAGATGGGCTTTCCCCAGGGCGGCTTCCAAGGCGGCCAACAGGGCCTGCAGGCGCCGAATCCCTACCAACACCTGCAGCACGCAGGCTCCGCGAATGCCACGCCCTCTCCTACCATGCAGAACCAGCAGTTTCGCCCTCCGCCACCCGCCCACAGAATGCAGACAATGTCGCCGAACCCCTTCCCTCAGCAGCAGAATATGGGCATGTCCCCTACGCCCGATCAGGCTAGTCGCGTCAACACACCCCAGAATCCCGCCATGGCGCAAATGGCTGCCATGAATATGATGCAGGGATCGCCGACGACGCAAGGCTTTAATCAGAATTTCGGCATGACGCCGGGAATGACCGCCGGAGGATTTAATGGATCGATGCCCGTCCAGCCCGTCGCTCTTTCCCAAAATCTCCAAGCGCGCCAGGCCGACGCGCAGCGCATGTATCAAATGCGCTTGCAACAGCAGCAGCAGCAAATCGCAGCGAACAACTTGGCGGCGCGGCAACAAGCGGCGGGCGGTATGAACATGCTAGGGTCGTCGGGACAGCAGATGAACCCCGCCATGGCCATGGCTGGGGGAATGCGACCGAATCAAGGACAGATGCCTATGGGCAACGCGAACGCCTCCCAAGAACCGGCCTTTTTGAAGAACGTCCACGCGTTGATGCAACAGCAGGGGATGCCTTTTAATCCGCAGCCCACTGTCTGCATGCGACCCGTCAATTTAATGCAGTTATATTTTACGGTAATGAGACACAAGGGTTCGAGGAATGTCACGCACAACAATGGCTGGGCGACAATATCGCAGATGATTGGGATCCCGCCGCAACAGTTTCCGTCGGCTGGGAATGAGCTGAGGATGGTTTATGAGCAAAATCTGCTGCCATACGAGACGGCTTATTTGCAACGGCAACGACAGAGGGAACAGCAGCAGCGGATGGCGGGATTAGGTGGCGCGCCACAGGCTTCGCCTATCAAGTCGATGCCCAACAACCAGCAGGATCTCCAAGCGCAGCAACAGCAATATCTTCAGAAACTGCAGCAGCGCGCAGCGCTCTCGTCATCACAGCCCCCAATGGGCGAATCCACGCCCTTGCGAAATAATTCCGTGCCTTCTGCCAATGGATGGGGCACGCCGCAACCAGACAATTCTGCAGGGCCGCAGGATGCGTTGGCACAACACCGGAAGAGTATGAGTCGACAACTTGAGTCCACGCCGCAGCCTCAACAGCCTGGTGCATTCCCCACGCCTTCACCTGGGCCAGGTGAGAAGCCGATGGACCAGATGGCCAAACCGGTCCCAAGCGACATGAACGCGGTCAATGGTGCTCCGTCCATGGATAACAAGGTGGTGCTGTCGAGCGAGTACAAGCCCAAGCTTCGCAAGCTGATTGATACGCACGGGGGCATCCTCGTCGACGATCACGGAAATGTTGGCGAGAGGCTCGCGAAACTGAAACCGGAAGTCCCCAGCGTGGATGAGATGGGTGTGATCGACATGCGCGCGATCAGCATGTGCCTCCAGTCCGGTCTCCACGCAGAGGTCAGGTATGCGCTCGACGTGTTGGTGCGCTTGTCGCATGAGCCCCGTTTACATCTGGAGCTGGAGAAGTGCGACGACTTGATCGACGCGATAGTGGACTGCGCCGAGGAGCAGGTCGAAACTTTGGCGGATGATGCCGCGGAGGTGTCAGACATTCTAGATCTCACTCCGTATGAGGAGGTGGTCAGGAACTGCCGCGTGGAGGTGGAATCGCTGCGAGAGTATCCAGAGTTTGGCACTCCGGGCTACGACCTCGATCGGGCTGCCGACCGCCTCATTGCCCTCACCACCATCCTCCGCAATCTGTCCTTCTTCGAGTCCAACCACTTCCTGCTGTCGAGCGCGACCGTCATCAAGTTCCTCTCAAACGCCGTCCGTCTGATGGGAACGCGCGTCATGTTGCTCCGCAGCAACGTCAACATGGTGGATTTCATGAAGGACATAATCACCTTCCTCTCCAATACCTCGGACAAGATCGAGCTGCCGTCGCGCGAGGACGCGGTCAACATTCTACATTTCCTACTCGCTTTTGCGCCTAGTCCTGCTCCGAACGCCAACTCACCTCTCCGCTTCACGCCCTACCACCCCTCAGTACATCGCTACCTTCCCTCAGCCGTCGACTGCCTAGCGAAGCTCCTCGCTCGCGACGACCCAAACCGCCACTACTACCGCCAGATCTTTGCCTCGGACATCATCTCTGCCCCGCCGTACGACCTCCTCACGCGCGCCTTCGCTCTCGCCATTTCCGTCGTTCCCGATCAGACGCGCGGCCACCAGATGCGCATCGCGGACGCGCGCAAGCCTTACCTCACGCAAGGCATGCTCGCGGCCGACATTCTCGCAGGAATGGCGCCAAATGCAGACGCGGGTGTTGCGCGGGCATGGCTGGAAGCCGAAGACGGCTGGGCCAAGAGTCTGGTGCGGCTGTGCACCTTCCTGGCGACGGCAGACAAGACACCACTTGCGCCGCCGCCGGGTCCGCCAGGACGCATGGCGCCACGGCCACAGCTGGGGCTCGACGACCAGGGGTACGGACTCATCACGCACCGGGCGCTGGCGATGCTGAAGAAGCTGGGCGAGAAGAGCATGAGCGACGAGGAGCGGCGAGAGCGCAAGCTGAACGTCGACTGTCTGCCCAAGACAGAGATGCTGCTCGGCGCGCTATATACGCAGAACGTGGACGCGGTGGCGCTGAAGCGCATGTGTGCGTTTGCGGGGCTGAATGGGTGAGGAGGCCGTGACTGGCTGGGTACCTACCTAGGCACTTGTCTGGCCTGGCTGGGAGTGGGTTGTGGTTTGGGGTTTGTGGGGCTGGCGGGGCGTGCGTGCGTGCGTGCGTGGATGGCTTGGCGAGTAAAGGTGGTTGGCGGGCGACTGCTTTGCTTTTGCCTGCTTTGGCTGGCTGGCTGGGCTTGATTTACTCCTAGCGTTTTGAATCACACGTACCTCCAGACGTTGTTGGCTAGCTCGGTCAGGGGTCTCTCTCTTGCCTGTGGCTGCGGCTCCCTTTGAGGCACTGCTGCTGCTGCTGCCGCACTGGCGAGACTCGCGGCTTCGCGGCATCATGGCGTGTGGTGGCGTTGAGTTTAGCCCTGCGGCCTGGAGGCGTGGGTATAGCAGCGACGGCGGCGGCAGCAGCAGCACAAGGACGAACAGAAGAACAGACAGGCGTAGGAGTACGGGCGGGCCGAAGGAAGCCTGGTTATTTTTTAATTCCTGCTTCTTCGACCTGTCTGTCTATCTATCTCCTCTCGTCATCTCGCCTCAGTCTCCTACCTACCTAGGTATGCAAAGACGTATCACGCAAAACGAGAGGATACGAGACGAGGCAACGCAACGCAACGCCATCCGGCTTCTTCTTCTCCTCCTTTTCCTGCCCGGCTGCGTCGCGCCCCGCCGCGTTGCGTCCTATACCTACCATCCGTCCGTCCATGCGCTCTCCTCTCCTCATCTCATCTCATCTCATCGCCTACCTCCGTCACATACGCGCTTCATATCACGCCATATCACGGCACGGCACGCCCGCATTTTGTGTAATACCTATCTACCTATCTACATACATACATGCAAAAGAGAAAAACTGGGTGGGACGGCGTTTATTGTTTTCGGGGGGTTTGCGTGTTTTGGTTGGCACCTCTCTCCATCTGTCTGGCTCTGCGGTTTGCGTGCGCGTGGTGGGGAGAGAGGACTGGACGGAGGAGGATGTTTGTGTATGCATAGATAGCTTGGTACGTTACGGCACGGTACGGTAGGGTACGATATTCTGACGTTTTTTCTTGGTTGTTACGTGCTTAGCTCGTTTCGTTGATTGGGTGTTGTGTTGTGTGATGTGTAGTCAACCCATGAGAAAGCGTGGTGATGCAGAACGGTGGTGTGGGGCGTTGATGCAAGACAGTGCCGGAGAAGGTTGATGAAGACCAGCGTTGGACATGTTCTATCTACATTATGTGGCAATGGTGTGGCAGCATGGAAGGAAGTTCCCCGCAAGGATCGACGGCTAGCGAGATCATCAGCCTCGCATCATCAAACACTTCCACCTACCAATCTTCCCTCCCTCACCACAACACAACCCCAACAAACCAAACCGCCAACCCAAGCCAATGCCACACATCGAACTGCTCCCCCACACCGGGCCCGGCGCCATTGCCCCCGCCCCCGGCTGGGCCTACGTCCCCGACACCGGCTACGACCCCAGCAAAGCCGCCATCAACCCCACGGCACGCAAGCGCACCGCCGCGCACGCGCACACGGCCGCCGCCGCCGCCGCAGCAGCCGCAGTCGCAGCCGGCAGCGGCGGTTATAGTGGTGGAGGGGGGACAGACCACCTCTCGGCGCGGCAGCAGTCGCAGCTGGCCAAGCGCCTGGCCGAGCTCGACCGCGACAACCACAAGGACGTCGCGCTGCCGACGGGGCGGGGGAGCGCCAGCGCAAGCAGCGGCGCTGGAGGAGTAACGCCCCGTGAGCGCGCGGGCAAGAAGCTCACGCCCGCCGTGCGCAAGATTCTCATCTCCGGCCGCACGTTTGCGCACTGGTTGGCGGACGAGGAGGCGTTGGCTGCGCAGCGCCAGAGCAGTGGTGGTGGTGCGAGTGCGCGCTCCCCGCCGCCGCCGTCGTCGTCGGTGGGGTCGCCTGCGCTGAGCGGTGGTGGTGGCGGAATCGGAGGCACGATTGTTGTTGCTGGCGGAGTCAGCAGCGGGCGCGTCACCAAGCGGGGAAAGGCCTCGAAGCGCGGCAGCACCGCAGCAGCAGCAGCAGCAACAACAACAGCAACAACAACAACAACAACAACAACAACAGCCACAGCCACAGCCACCGCCGCCGCCGCCGCAGCAGCAGCAGCAGCGCTCGCCTCACCCAGCAGCACGCCCAACACGCCAGACACACCAGCAGCACCCCCGGGCACCTCCTCGACCACCACGGACAACGAGCCAGAACCAGACACGCCCCTCCTCGCGCGGCCCGCACACCTGCCCCTCGCCCCGCCCTCCGCGCACACCCTGCGCACCCAGCTCAGCCTCCCCGCCCTCCCGTACGCGGCCGCGCGCGCGCAGCCACCAGCAACAGGGGCCGGCCCGCCGCCGCCGCGCCGCCGCTTCTGCGACATCTGCGGCTACTGGGGCCGCGTCGCGTGCTTGCGGTGCGGCGCCGCGCGCGTGTGCGGGCTCGAGTGCAAGCGCGCGCACGATGAGACGGCGTGCTTGCGGTTTGGGTAGCGGGGGAAGGGGGGTTGTTGTTTTTGTTCTGTTTTGTTATGATATCCTGGGTAGGGGTGTAGTTAGTGGTGGGGGGTAAGGATGGGGATGGGCTATGTACCTATGAGGAGGGTTCGAAGTGTATGAATACCTGTAAAGTGCCTGCCTACGCATGCATGCATGGTACATACATACCATCCCATCCCTTTTGTCTCAATCGCACAAGCAAGCACTTCATCACTCACTCACTCATCAATCGATCAAACCCCCATCTCGATTTCCCTCCAGTCCAGTCCTGCCTATTCCCCCTCACTCTATCCGTCGTCATTTCGCATCATTTCTTTTCCAGCTGAGCCTCCATCTCCCCATCCATCCTCGCCAACGGCGCCGCACTTGCTTCATCTTCGTCTTCATCAACATCATCCGTCCACCCATCCATCCATCGTCTGGTATCCCATACCGCCTCCACCCTAAATATCCACCCCCCACCTTCTTTCCTCCACGCAGAGCAGAACCAGAATAGAAAACAGAACACACACGCATCAAGCCTGTCATGACACGCCCAGGCTCGCAATCTCGCCCATTTCGCTGCGCGCCTCGCCGCCCAGCCGGTATGTCGCCTTCCAGCGCATGCGCACCGCCGCCCCGCTGCCCCGCGGCACCCCGAGCAGGCGCACCGTCTGCGCAATGCCTTGCTGCTGGTGCGGCGCCAGCGTGAGGCCCGACTGCGGCTCGAGGCGGAGCTGGTAGCTCTGTTGCGGGTGTGTGAGTTAGTTGATGTACGTGTGTGTGTGTGTGTGTGTGTGTGTGTGTGTGTGTGTGCGGATGGGTGGGACTGAAAGAGAGGAATATTACGAATAACGGAAATCTTACCTTGTGCACTGCAAGCTGAATCTCCAGCCCACTAATCGGCTGCGCCGTGTTGTTCGAGATGCGCGACTGGATGAGAAGCACATCGTCCGACTGGCGCGAAACCGTAAACTCGTCGCGAATCGCCGTGTTGATGGCCGTCAGCGTGTGCGGCTGGTTCGGCAAAGCCGACGAAAAGCTCCATTCGTCGTCGTCGCTGGCGGCGGCAACAGCGGGGGCAGGAGGAGGAGCGGCCACAGCGGCAGGAGCTGCGAGCGGCGGCGTGGGCGTGGCGGCACCCGACCCCGCCAGGTCGAACAGTGAGCCCGACGCGGGCCGCGCCGACTGCTGGAACTGGAAGGGCGAGCCACCGCGCAGAGCGGGCGACGAGAGCGCCGCGAACGGATCGGCGGCGGGCTTCGCGGGCTGCGGCTGCTGGGCTAGTTGTTGCGGGGGAGGCGTGAACATCGAGGGCTGCGGCGGCGGAGTTGCTTGCGCGGGTATCGAGAAGCCGCCGAGGCCGCCGAACGGGTCGTAGTTGGGCTTGGGGGTCGTCGACTGCTGCTGCTGCGGGGCCGCGCCCACCGACTGCAGCAGATCTTGCGACGCCGGCTGCTGCGGCTGCATGGCCGAGCCGTTCGCAGGACTTCCCAGCGAGATGCCGCCGCCGAAACTGTCGCCGCCGAGGTTCAGGCCGAGCAGGTCGTCCTCCAATGCGTTGCCCTTGGGTGCCGGTGCGCTGGAGCTGGATTCCGGCTGGGCGGCAGCAGCAGGCGCTGACTCCTCTTCCGGTCCACCAAAGTCGATCAGCGACAGCTCGTTGTTGGCGCCTCTCGAGACGCCCGCACCGCTGGTACCAAGAGTGCCCTTCGGGATCTTCGCCGCGCCTTCCACGTCGCCCTTTTTAATCAGCTTGTACCTCTCGAGCGTCCGGTGTATGCTGTCATTGATCTCGAACAGCTTGGCCACTGCCTCGTGATCGTCAGACTCCTCCTCGCACATCTTTTGGATCTTAGGCTGCGCGCTCGCCAGCGCGTTCGCAAGTTCCTGTCGCGCTGTTAGCAATTCGAGTATCCTCCACAATTGACGCGTCAGCCAAGCGCACCTCGAAGACGTCTCCCTCTTGAATCTTATCGCCCGCTTGATGCTTCTGCAGCATGTCCTCCAGCAGCTTGGCCTTTTGCTGTATCTTGCCAACCTCCTCCGCAGCCTTGGCTCGGTAGTCGGTCTTGTTTCTCGTGTCGAAGCCGGCCATGATCTTCATGAGCCGGTTGGCTTCCTGCAGGTCGTGCGGGGTGCCTCTCCGGATGAGCTCCTGCAGCTTGGCGGATTGGGCTGCCTTTTCCTCCTCCTCCATTTCCTCGGCGGACCTGAGGTTCTGCCAGGCTGTCAGCATGCGGCCCAGAGCGCGCCCAGCGTCATACGTACATCGCTCGGGTTCAGCACGGCGGCGTCCTCGCGGCGGACGGCGGGGAAGGTGTAGCCCTTGTAGCTGAGCAGGCGGTGCATGTCGCGGATGAAGCCTAGGTCCTCCTTGTAGCGTGACGTCTGGCAGATGGTGCAGCGCCATTCCTCGATCAGCTCGAGGATCTTGGCCATGACGCGCGAGCCATGAACAGGCGGGCGCTCGGGGAAGCGGCGGACCAGCTCGTTGAGGAACTCCTTTGTGCTGATCTGCAGGTGGAAGGGGTAGCCGCAGTTCTTGACGCAGATGTCGAGCAGATTGAGGGCGAGCATCGAGATGTTGGGATTGCGCGAGTTGACGTGGGAGACGATGGCCATGGCGGCCTCGCGCGGAGCGTTGCCCTTTTTCTGATTGATGAGCTCGGCAATCTCGATGTTGAGGGCGAGATTTGGCTCAAAGTTCTGGGGATCGCAGGCATTCATGATGTAGCGCTGCAATGGGGTCATGGAGGGCTCGGCGAAACCGCCGAAGCGGTCCCGCGTAGCCATTCGCGCCGATGCTGCCTCCACGGTGGTGGAGAGACGGGAGGAAGGGGGCGGGACGGGAAGGGAGCTGAAGCGCCGGATGCGAGGGTTGATCGGAGTAGATGCGTGTTGTTGTGGTTTAGGTGTAGCGTTAGTGTAGCCTTGGACCGTCCGGGGATGAGCGCGGCGGGGGGGCTTTACCCTGCCCTGTGCAAGGGGCAACATTTATCAACCATTGCTCCACACAAATCTACAACACACAACCACCACCATGGTCCGCCACAAAAAAGACAACTTTTCCTCGCGCGGAAAGAAATTCTCAAACCCCCCGCGCAACCGCGGCCCTCGCAACCCCGAAGACGGCGAAGACTCTGGCCGCGCCACCCGTCCGCCCTTCAAGGCCGCCGCCTGGGATCTCGGTCACTGCGATGCCAAGCGCTGCTCGGGCAAGCGCCTCATGCGCCTCGGCCTGATGCGCGAGTTGCATGTCGGCCAGAAGTTTGCCGGCGTCGTCGTGTCGTGAGTACCTCGCCACAGACACGCGAACCCCACCTGACAGACTTATTCTTCAGACCCAAGGCCAAAAAGGTCGTGTCGCCCGCCGATCGCGAGCTCTGCGAGCAGTACGGCGCCGCCGTCGTCGAGGCCTCGTGGAACCGCATCGACGAGGTGCCGTTCGGGCGCATCGGTGGCAAGTGCGAGCGCCTGCTGCCGTACCTCGTCGCCGCGAACCAGACCAACTACGGACGCCCGTGGCGACTAAACTGCGTCGAGGCCCTGGCGGCCTGCTACTACATCTGCGGGCACGCCGAGTGGGCCGAGGAGATCCTGTCGTCCTTTTCGTACGGCGACGCGTTTCTCGAGATTAACGGCGCGCTGCTGAAGCGCTACGCAGCTTGCGCGGACGAGGTTGAGATCCAGAAGGCCGAGGACGAATGGCTGGAGAAGATCGAGCGCGAGTACAACAAGAGCCGAGAGGACAAGGACACGCGCGGCGAGGACGATGCTTGGAAGGGCGGCAACATGAACAGGCGAGCCATTGACGACTCGGACGAGGAGGACTCGGAGGATGACGAAGACGGCGAGGGCAAGAAAAAGAAAAAGGAAGGCTCGGAGGCGGAGGACGACGATGACGAAGAGGAGGAAGACAGAGATCCCTACGGCCTGCCGCCCTCCGACTCGGACGACGAGGAAGAAATGGCTGAGCTGCGCCGGCGCGTGCTCGCCTCAAAACCCTTCGCCAACCCAGCGCCAGACACGAAGAAGGAGCCAGAGCGGATAGCGCGAACGGAGCCACCGCCGCCGCCGCAGCTGCAGGAGGACTCAGACGCCGAGTCGGGCTCGGACATTGACGGCATGGACGACGAGTTCGACAGCATCATCAACGCCACGCCCGTGACGGACCGCACGGGCATCGCCAAGAAAGAGCGCCAGAAGCAGATGGACGTCGAGTACAGCGCGACGTTTTCGCGCACGGTGGTGAACGCGCCGAAGAAGTGGTAGAGAGGAGGTAGATGCGGAGGCGACTGCTATTTATTGAATCTATGATGATTATGATAGCCACGAAGCAAGTCTTGCTGATGCGCGCGCTCAAAGCAGGCACATCGGTAAGAAGAACGGATTTTCCGCGTAAATGCTGCTTTGTAATGGTTCTTGCACACCGAGATAAGAGGGTGATTCTTCAATTTGGCTAGGTATTGACACACAAAGTGACATCGAAGCGCAGCCTCCACAACCATCTAAGAAGTAACCTGTAGGGAGCATTTCAAAGACACTGCAACCATACTTAGACACCTCTCTGACTCAAGTTGATACATAAATCCAAGGCGACGCGACATACTCCCAGTTCTACAGAACACCACTCCCTACGAGTATGAGCAAGAATTCCTACCCTTTGCCGCCACCTGAGGGATTCACACAACTGGCCGTATATATAGTATCCCCTACCTCTGCTCCACCAACGCCGCCACAACGAGGGAGAAAACGTTGCTACCTCCGAGGTTAATCTCGATTGTCGAGGCACTTGCGCGCGCGTGGCGTGCATCTTGGATGGGTAGCAAAAGCCAACACGGACGGACGTGGTCGGCATCGACGCGGCACCTACACTATGCAGTGTCAATGCTACGTGCGTGCTCCCCTTGGGCTCAGGAGTCCCCTGTGCTCTCACCGGCAAGCAGTTCCTTTCCTCGCAAGAGATGAAGTCTCCATCACGGCATCCGGACTCACCCCATCCATGCCAACGCCAACGCCAACGCCAACCCCACAAAGATTCTCGAAGAAGTCAGAAGATCGACGTCACCCACCACCGTTCGGCAAACCACGCAAACCATGCACAACGGCACGCAACCACCTAGCTAAGAACTCATACATATACATACATACACATATACGTACAAGAACCTCCTACAGTCTCCCCTTATCACCATCAAACATCTTCCAATGCGCTCTCTCAGGGCGCTCCAGGAACCAAGATGAACCACCAAGGCGAAAATTCTGTTCGATTTCAATATCAGCGCTGCGGCTGTACCTTTTGTTGATGCAGCTCCGGAGGGTGCTTTGCTGATCTTGTGCGCTAGGGCGGTGGTGTTGTTGTTCGTCGTCGCTGTTTGCGGGTGATGGTGGACAGGGGTTTGGTGCTCTTGGTTGATGATGTTGATGATGATGACGATGTGCAGAAGGCCGAACCATACGCCTCAGTCTGATGGCTCAGTGCGGTTGATCCTTGCGGACTTTGCAAGCCACACGGCCTCGACGCGAGGCGGACAGTTTTGTCGTAGCCATCGACAGCTTCGCGGCATGGTTCTCACGGTAAGCAGTGCTGTTGTGTTGAGCACACCAGATTATCTCAAAACATTCATTGCAAAGCACCAGTTTCATGTAACCGCCATTCATTGCCTTAGCAAAAGTCATGTATCTCACAAAGCCAGTGAGCTATCTAGTTGTGCGTACGCGTGTGCGAGTGCCATCTCCATCAGAAGAACTATGCTCCCTTTCTCAGAAGTTGTTGTAGAAGCATTTCGCTGCGAGACGCTTGTAACTGAAGACGAAAGAAGGAAAGAAAGAAAGAAGACATGACAAGCACAGACGCCTCCATCCATCCCTCCATTCATCCATTCATTCATCCAGCAAATCAATTCCCTCCCCTTTCTTTCTTCTTCCCTCCTCTCTTTCTTTGCTCAAGCCTGCCTGAACCGAATAAAGGCGCCTTGCCTTGTCTGTCTAGAGCACAGCCCCAACAAAGCCCGTCAAGCCCGCCAGCGCCACGACAGCGCTGAGAGCAACGTTCGCGCTCGCGCCAGCATTGGTCTTCGCGGGTTCCGGCGCTTCCGTCCTGCGCGCCAGCTGCGCCGCCGGGATCGCGGTGGCGTCTTCATTGTCGTAGTAGCTGGTGTTGATCTTTGTGTCGTCGTCGTCGTCGTCGTCGTTGCCATAGTAGCTGGTGTTGGTCTCCTTGTTGTTGTCGTCGTCGTCATTGTCATAGTAGCCGGTGTTGGTCTCTTTATCATCGTCATAGTCACAAGAGCCAGTGTGGATCTCTGTGAAGTCCATGATGCTGTTGGAGAAAACCGGCGTGGGAGCGGCGTTGGCGGTGAAAGTGGTCGACGTGCGAACTGGCACCGTTGTCATAGAGATGCTATCATCCATGCCCTGCAACTCAGTCTCACGCTTCTCCATTTGCATCTTCGACACCTCGTCGCTGTCGGCAATGCTTCCGTCCTCCCCGCCATTCCACTGGTACCAGCGCATGCTGCGAATCTCCCAGTACGCTTCCTTGAACGCCTCCGGGTTGTTGATGACATACTCCTGGCACGTCGACGAGCCCGTCTTGGCCGCGCACCCTTCCTGCCAGATGTGGGGTTGGCCAGCCCACTCGCCGCAGAAGTCCGTGTTTAGCACGATGCGGTGCATCTGGAAGTGGCGTTCAAAGTCGCAGCCGGAGCCTTTAAAGTGCGCCTGCGGGTCGCCCCACCTAGAGTCGTCCGTGCTGGGCAGCTTCAACGCTCCCTTGCCATAGACGGCCGGAGCCGCATTCGATTTGGCGTAGAGACTGGTCTGGTTCGGCGTTGGGGCGAACGCGGTCCGAAGCATTGGGTGCAGGTCCTGCCTGCGCTTGTGCGGGAAGAAGAAGATCTTGATGCCATCGGTCGTCCACTCCATAGCGAAGATTCCGCCGCCGTTCTTGTTGAACGCCGGGCCGTACGTGGGCGCGTAGACAGCGTCACTAGAGTCGCTGTCCTCGTCCTCCTCTTCGTCCTCGTCATACCTGGGAGTGAGCTTGCGGGGATTCTGCGGCGCCTCAAACTGGCAGCCCATGTTAGCGGACTGGCCCGGAGCCTTGACATCGCAGTTCGCAGTAGTGAGGTTGCCCGTGAATCTGACCCCGGAGGGTTTGAAGTTGGTGCCGGGAGTGTTGGTAATACCTCCACCGCCGCCGCTGTAGCTGTTCTGGCCGTCGATGGTACAGCCAGAGCTCGTATGCAGCGTCATGAGATTCTGTTTCTGGATGTTGACGCCCTCGATGATGTCGATCTCGCCGTGGTTAGGCCAGGTGCCGGAGCCCAGCGTCCACAGCGCGGGCCACACGCCGCAGATGCCGCCCGGCATGTGTTTGACGTCCACGACGAGGAGGCCCTTCTGGTAAGACGTCTTGCTCTCGAGACGGACGGCCGCGCGCCCGTTGGGAGAAACGTTCTCATAGTCGACGTCAATGATGGACGACTCTTCGGTCGTCGTGATGAGGCCTAGACGCTCTGCGTTCTCGCGGCTTTGGTATCTCACGGTGCCGCCGGTAGGATCACCTTCGGTGAAGAAGTCGAACTTGTTGAAGAAGGTGCGCGGGGCATAGTCGTCGACGAGGACGTACTCGGCGGAGGCGCCCCAAGCGAATACCGCAATGGCTAGCACTGCGGAGAGACGAGGCATGTTGCGTCTCGTAAAAAGAAGGTAGTAGTGTGTGAACAATGAGCAAATGAACGAATATACGTTGGTGTTTTGAGCTCGTGGGGAGGGGGCGGGGGAAGCTCAGGACTATATACCCCGGAGCAGGTGAGAGTTGGGCAGGGAATTCACAACAATGAATTGATTCGAGCCCTCAAGGTGGCGTACCGAAGTGAACGAGTATTGACTGACCCATTGTTTCAGGCCATTGTGCTGCGCAAAAACAGTAACAGCTCCTTTGCCCCATTGATCGCCATGAAAGGCCGGCTGCACCTCATGGGCGCCACGCGGCTGGTTGATGGAGGTGTCTAGATGCAGCGAGTGTTTGCAGCATAGTTCGGCGACCTAAGCTGAGATAAGAGACAGCATCACAGAAAGCGTGCTCTCGTGATGTTATCATTACACTGCAGTAAGCAAAAGAGGAAGTGCAAAGGTCAACAGCAGAACATGGTACAAGAGTGTAGTCATCAGAGACATTTAGGTAGTGGGCATGGCGGGGTCGTGGGGAAAAAGGCAAAAAGTCAGGCGAACCCTATAAACCCGCCTATGGAAGGTTTCCCCAGCGAGTCACCGCTGTGGTCCGACGCACGACTGCGCCTTTGATGGCCTAGCAATCTTGGAACGGAACACCGAAGAGCTTACAAGGATATCTAGAACCCAACCCCCAGACCGACGCTGTATTCACTCGCGCTCACTAGGCAGAAATTGAAACGGGCGCAGAGACCTTATAGGCGGCTGATCAAGTCCACTCTAAAACGGGTCAGGGCCTTACAAGATAGTCGCACCTGAGTTGGCTTCAGTCACGTCGGGTTCCCCACTGTGGTTAACAGCCGTCGCCGTCACTCGGATTCGAACATACCCCCAAGGTCGTCACCTTATAAGGGTAATTAGAAACCGAAACCACTGGGCCAGAGGCCCAATCCCCCGGAGGATGAAAGAAACGTTCGCTGTTGCGTTTATATGGTGGTGCCCTCGCTCTAGCGGCCCCTCCTGCAGCTATCGCTTTGCGCGCCAACAATGCCCACCCTATAGCTCTTACCTTGGTGTTGCAATGCGGCCGCAAGCCCGTGAGGCGCAACGTCACTCAACGAGTGTCGCGATCGTGAGGCAGCTGCTCGCCACTGACAGTCATCTCATGGTGTTGATGTTCTGACGCTGCCCGACGCCGTCACCCACGACAGGACACCTACATTTAGCCACGTCGCTGCGCCCGCCACACTGCTTCAATAAATAAACTTGGTGTTGTAGACGCTGCCCACTTGCGCATCTCAACCAAGCGTGGTGTTGAATCTGCCTCACGCAACCTTCTGCTCCACGAATCCCTTGCTCTTTACTGCGTTGCACCACTAATTCCCCCAAACTCGTAGCAAATGAATTTGCGCCCGCCTCGACGCCCATATATCCTCGCGTGGCGCCCGCGCAGGTGGTATTGTGAGCAACACACGCGCAGCGTTATGAATCCAGTAAATACTATACCAACCACAAGCAATACCAACAAGCATTTGACATCGCAACCGGTGCATACACTGTCTGTTGGCATCATTGCGTGGGCTTCGTGAAAGATTCGAAGTTGAGGTGAGGTGAGGGGCGGTGAAGTTCCCCGGACCCGCTCGCAGAAATCCGGGGAAACTGCTACACGTGACGACCTCTCTACCGAACCACCACGGAACCATATCTACTAGCCCGTATACGTACCAAGATCTTGGGTACCCAATAAATATTCCCGAGCACCGGAAAACCCGCTCTTCTACTCCCCTACCTATGACTGGCTACCAGTAACAACACCGTCACATCACCCCTCATCAACTCGCATAACCAAGGTGCTACACATCTTTGATTATTACCAGAGCCCAGAACAAGGCCCACTCAACTAGTAAGCTGAATTACCGCGCAAAAGCACAAGCCCAATTTCACCACTGGCATGATATCGTTGTCCGTTTTCCGTGCGAGAGGGCCAACAGAAAAATGCCCCTCACAGCCCCCATGTTTTTTATCTCGGCTCAACTGCCGCCCGGGCCTTGCGCGGCGTACAGATCCTCCGTCTTCGGCGGTAAAAGAAAGAGAAACCAGGAGGGAAAAGAGAAGAAAGGAACATTAAGCAGATTGAGAAAGATAACATGTGCTTCCATGTCGATGAACGCAAATTCGCTTCTCTTTCCTTTTGGTTCGCGGAACCAAACTAGAGAATGCACGCATCCGTGACTTTTTTGTTTGTCGTATGTGTTGCTGTGTGTTGAGATAAATTGGAGAGGATGTTCCCTGAATCTACAGCTTTCCCCCCGTCTTGGCCTCCCTGACCTGCTCGAAGACCTGGATTGACACACATCAGCAATAGATCCAGAAATCACAGAAGCTGTGAAACTCACCTTCAACATCTTACGCCTAGCACCCAGCGCATTGACGCCCCTCTTCTCCAGACCCTCGTCGTCCAACTCAACCAGCTCCTGCCACTGCAGATCCTTCAGGTTATCCGTATATTTGTGTAGGCGCAGACTCCTGAGCCAGGCAGGGATGTCTTGCAAAAGGTTGGGGTCCGTAGGATCCTCTGGCGGCTTGGAGCTGCCCCTCCGTCCACGCGGAGAACGGCCACGGTTAATCTCGGAGTGGTCCGAGAGGTATCCTTCGTGGTGCGAACCAGGGCTAAGATTGACGCCAAATTGTCCAAGGTTCATATTAGGCAGGTTGTTCATACCGCCCATGCCGCCCATTCCACCCATACCACCATCATAAGCGGCCAGGAAGCCATTGTTCTGGGGTGACGCGAAATTCATAGCACTAAGAGGACCACCGCCCTGCATAGCAATACCAGGAGAGTTGGGGCGAGACCGGCGACCGTTCATTGCTGCGAGCTGCTGAGCTTGCAAAGCAGCTGCTTGCTGAGGAGACAGAACTTGGCCATATTCGTTTGTCATCACGAGGTTGGCAGGAATGCCCTGGTTCTGGTTGTTGTGCTGCTGCTGTCCATTTCCTTGTCCTTCGGACGAGCGGGCGCGGCGGTACTTGCGAACATCATCCAGCTGTATCCGGTTGTTGACGGTGGAAAGAGCTGCCAGCTTCATCGCAGTAGCATTGGCAACCATGTCCGCCTGCGTGTTGCTCTGCGGGAAGTTCCCGACCATTGGCGTGTTCACCATAGAAGCCCAGCTGCCGCCGCTTGGTCCACCATAAGGCGAAAGCATAGGCATGCCTGCTCCACCGTTATCGGGAGCGGCAAGAGTTGTGCTCTGGATGTTGGTGTCGCCGGAAATCATAGGACGCGGGGAACGCAATCCGCCAGCCGAGGGAGGCGGCTGAGAAAATTGGCCCATGGGCTGCTGACCAGAAGAGGACTTCGGGCGAGAGACGGGCGGCTGGTTTTCGGAGCTACGCGGACCCCAGGGGGAAGCGGGGGGTTGTTGCTGGTTGTCCCTTTTGGAGTCATCCGGAGCGGAAATGGTCGGCGCCATGAGAGAAGACCTGTCGCCTACAGCGCTGTTGCGGTTAGAAGGAGGCACTGCACCAGTGTGTTGAGTGAACTCGGCCTTTTGCTTCGCAATAGCTGCAGCCGCATCAGGGAACATGGAATTGATAGTGTTGGGGTCGAGGCCAGAATTGCGCTTTGCGCCGGGGGATGGTGGCGGACGGCCAAGTCCCATAGAGTTGCGAGATCCTTCGACGTTGAGCTTGCTCATAGCGTCACTGAGCTTCTGAGACATGGGGTCTTTTTCAGTTAGTATGTTTAAAAAATGGAGGCGAAAAATCCAGCTTACCCTTCTCGCCAAAGTTGGCCGGGGAGAGAACGCCAGACATGGGGTGGCTCTTGGCCATCTGCTGCAAGACCTGGATGAAGAAACGCTGCTGAACGCCGGTGGTTTGCTGCAGGAGTTGATACAGAGCAGCAGTTCTTTCCGGCTCGCTCAGAACGCGGAACCACTGCTCGATGGCGCTCAGCTCGTCCTTGAAATCTTGGTCCAAAGTAGCAGCGGCCATTTCCTCCAGCGTGGTTTCATACTGGTCGATGTCGGCAATCCACTGTTGCGCGGCCTTGTCCATGTTGTCCTCATCCTGGTTTCCGGCTTTGTTGAAGTAGACCTCGGACGAAGGGCGGATGCCGCGGCTCGACAGAGGCGAGGAGGCGAAGACACCCATGTCAGCGGAAGCTCTGAGATGATGGTTCGCGCCGATGGCGCGGGACGACGGAGGGCGAAGGGAGGAGCTCCCCGCTTCGGGGGTGCTGTTGCGGTTTCCCGCGAGCTGGCTGACAGACATTATGGCTGTCGGATCGAGTCAAAGTGTTGGTTTTGCAAAGGATTCTGCGCGAGGGCTGTCAGTTCCGGGCCAGGCAAAACTTGAGCGGGCGATGCGGGCGGGTGACGTACAGGGAATGCAATGAGAGGATGCGCTCAGATTGCCTTCGAAAACGCCCGCAGATCAACTGGCCTCAAGGGAGCTTCGAGAGTGGCTTTCAGGAGGTCGCGACAGCGAAGGCGTGCGCTCTGTCGTCTGACGGCGACGGGAGTGGCGGGCGGCGAGAGCGCAGAGGGGCGCGGGAGAAGGCGCAGGAAACAACGGCAGCGGGAAGAAAAAAGAGCAAGCTACAAGAAGGAATGGCGAATGGTGGTGCTCGAGGGAAAGCCGATGGTCTGGGAAGGGCGCCGGGACGGCGTTAAGTCTGCCCGCTTGCTCTAGCGTAGGTACTCGGGCTTACGCAGTGACGAGTGGTGGTGGCCGCCGCTGGAGAACAATGACCATATGCATCAATGCGCCGGGGGCGGTGGATCGCCTTGACCCGTACACGCCCCTTTGGGAACGACAAGGATACCGCTTTGGGCGCCTTCCCAGCTATCTAATACCGGTCTGTCTGCCCCAAATGCCTCAGCGCCCCAGCACCCCGACTATCGAGCCCACCATGACTGCCGCCTCGCGCTCCCAATTTCCGCCCGCCGCACCATTACCCCTGCTTAGCGTGCTGGTCGGCAGCTGCGAGCCCCGATTCACGCTCTCTCTCACGGCCTCCCGCACTCTGTCCTTGTTCGTGCGGAGCGTCCGAGCCGACACTCCTCCGCGGTTCAGAATCTCTTGCACTCGCGGCGACAGCGCCGAAGCCAGAGACCGCCAGAAGTACGACGCCAACGACGACGTGTCCAGCGAATTCAACAGAGGCTGAAGGAAATTCTGAGGTGACCCACTTCTTTGTTTGCTTGTGAGCGAGTCTGCCGTTGTTGCCGTGTTTCCAACCAGCGCGTGCGGCGGCGCCTTGACGGACTCGAGCAGCGTCTCCAGAGCGACTATGTTCTGGCACCGTGCCGATATCTCTAGCAACGTCCGTTCTAACGTAGGCAATGTTGCCAACGCCCGAGCGAGAGCCGCGAGAGACGATTTGAGAGCCGTTTGGAGGTAGTCTTGCAGCGCTACAATGAGGAGCGCGGGCTCGAAAGTGCCCGTCGTGGTGCCCGGCGATGTCAGCGACAGTAGATACAAAGTAAAAAGTGCCGATGTCGTGCGGGACCTTGTATCCTCGGTTTGCGCATACGTGGAAGCAGCGCTGGGCTGCTGGCCCGACGCTAGCAACGAAGACATTGAGAATTCTTTGACAATTTGCTGTGACCGAGAGATGAGAGTGCGTTCTGCAGGCGCCACGAGGTCATCCTTCAATGTAGTAATGACATCGACTCGGTCTAGCCCTTCTCCCTCTTCACCAGGCTTGGAAGCTAGCAGAACTTGCCGCAGTGAGACCAAGGTATTCGAGGATCTGATCATAGCCCTATGGTCCTCCTTCTTCGCCAAGATTGCACCCGATCCACCTATCTCGGCCATCTGTACCTCCAGCTGTCGGCCCAGCATGAGACATCGGGCGACGGCACGTCCGATCTTGACAGTCTGGCAAAGCCGCTCAGCGGCTACGCGTACCTGTTCAGCAGCCTCATAGCGCTCGACGACCTCCTTCTCAAGCGTTTTGTATCCTTCTGTCAAGCTCGTGACTTGAGCCTCCACCTCCTGCAGTATGCGGTTGCTGGACTCAGCATGGTCTTTGGTGTACTCAAGCAAAGGAAGCGCGGATTTGGTCGTAAGGGTATCTATGTGCGTGTCGATTTCTTGGACGTCGAACAATACACGCGATAAGGGTGTCGAGAGATCAAGGGGTGTGTCGGAGGGGTTGTTGGTAGCAAGCACCAAGCTGTTCGCAAACGATGTCGTGGAAAAAGAGGGATCGAGAAATGTCTCGTAGTCGATATAGGACGGTTCGTTGTCAGCCATTTCCAACTGGAGGCGTTTTCGCAGCCGCTTCGGTGTCAATTGGGATTGTGTCACTTCTCAAGACGCGGGCACGCAGATCAGAGTTGAACCTGGGCGCGGACACGGCGGAGTACCTAGCTGTTCTAGAGCACTTTCTTGGCGCTATCTCTCACCGCCTACGCTGCATGAAATCATCGACCAGAGATAGGTGATGTCTGTCAATATGAGATGAGATTCACCGTAAAACGATAAAGCGATTCAAATCGCACGCAAGACCTCAATAACCATAAAGAAGGATGGCACCATTCCCCATATATCACTCCTTATCCAGCTGCGGGCTTGAACTCTGGGTATAGCTGAGGCGCCCATAGAATGTATGCGATTTCCAATCCTCAGGACTTGGATTTTACTTCTACTCCGTACGGAGAGCAGTCATCTCAGTGGGCAATGATCGCGCTTCACAGTGACAGGCGCACAACGTGAATTCATAATGCAAGTCTCATTCATCTCTGCCGCCCACCATGATATACTAGCAAATAGTTCCGATTCCCATATCGCCTGTAGGACAAGACATACAAAGTTACAATTAAGGAGAAAGTGCCGCTCGCTGCTCTCAAAAACTCTACGAGGCCTGCTTGGCCATGGTGTTCAGCGCGCTACCGTTCTTGAACCACTCAATCTGGCCCTCGTTGAAGGTGTGGGAGAGCTCAACGTCGAACGTCTTGTCACCGTTGGCGGGGTGGACGCGGAGGGTCATGGGCTTGCCGACGGCGATCTGGGTGCACAGAAGGTCGACCTTGTCGTCGGGCTGGATCCTGTCGTAGTCCTCGGGCTTGGAGAAGGTCAGAGGAAGCATACCCTGCTTCTTCAAGTTGGTCTCGTGCTGCGAAGATTGTTAGCTATTGCCACTGATTGAACCAAAAAGGGGGTTAACTTACAATTCTGGCGAAAGACCTGGTGATGATGGCAAGACCACCCAGGTGGCGGGGCTCGAGAGCGGCGTGCTCACGGGAAGAGCCCTCACCGTAGTTCCAGTCACCGATGACGACCCACCTGATGCCCTTGGACTTGTAGTCACGGGCAACAGCGGGGACGGCGTCCCACTGGTCGGTGGTGAAGTTCCTGATCTTGTTGGCCTCACCGTTGGCGGAGTTGATGGCACCGATAAGCATGTTGTTGGAGATGTTGTCAAGGTGGCCACGGTACTTCAACCAGGGACCGGCCATGGAGATGTGGTCGGTGGTGGTCTTGCCCTGAGCCTTGATGAGGATGGGCAGGTCAAGAGCATCCTTGCCGTCCCAGGCGTTGAAGGGCTGGAGGATCTGGAGACGGTCGGAAGAGGGAGAGACGGCGACGTTGACGTTGTCACGGTTCTTGGGGGGAGCCTGGTAGGTGTTGCGTCCAGGGTCGAAGCCAGAGGCAGGGAGAGCCTCACCGGTGGGCTCCTTCAGCTTGAACTCCTTGCCATCGGCGCCCTTGAGGGTGTCGGTGAGAGGGTTGAAGTTGAGGGTACCAGCGATGGTCAGAGCAACGACGAGGTCGGGGGAGGTGACGAAAGCGTGGGTCGCAGGGTTGGCGTCGTTACGGCCGGTGAAGTTACGGTTGTAGGAGGAGATGATCGAGTTGGGCTCGCCCTTCTTGACATCCTTACGGTCCCACTGGCCTTTTTTCAGTTAGCAAAAATAGTAAAAAAGAGCAGATCGAGAGGGAAACTTGCCTATGCAAGGTCCGCAGGCGTTGGCGAGGACCATACCGCCGAACTCCTCGAAGGTCTTGAGTTGACCATCACGCTCGATGGTAGCGCGGACCTGCTCGGAACCGGGAGTGACGGTGAAGAGGGACTTGGCCTTGATACCGTGGTCCATGGCATCGCGGGCGATGTTGGCAGCACGGCTCATGTCCTCGTAGGAGGAGTTGGTGCAAGAGCCGATGAGACCGACCTTGAGGTCCTCGGGCCACTTGTTCTCCTTGACGGCATCCTTGAACTTGCTGATGGGGGTGGCAAGGTCGGGAGTGAAAGGACCGTTGATGTGGGGCTCGAGCTCGGAGAGGTTGATCTCGATGAGCTGGTCGTACTCCGCACCCTGGTCCTCCTTGAGCTCCTTGGCGTACTCGCGAGAGAAGTCACCAATGTCCTTGCGCTTGGTAGCCGCCAGGTAGTCGTACATGCGGTCGTTGAAGGGGAACAGGGAGGTGGTAGCACCGATCTCAGCACCCATGTTGCAAATGGTACCCATACCAGTGCAGGAGAGAGACTCGGTACCAGGGCCGTGGTACTCAATGATGGCACCGGTACCACCCTTGACGGTGAGAATGCCAGCGACCTTCAGGATGATGTCTGTAAAATGATGATAATCAGCATGAATTATTCGCTCAATGGCATCTCTAAGCTTTCCAAAGCTGTGTCGCTCGTTGGGCCCCCAAAATGTGGGTACCCATTGAGGCGACGCGGCTGTTTGAGCGGAGCGGATTTCGAGAGGTTTTATCAAACTTACCCTTAGGAGCAGTCCAGCCAGACATCTGGCCAGTGAGGCGAACACCAATGACCTTAGGAGCCTTCAGTTCCCAGGGCAGGTTGGCCATGACATCAACGGCGTCAGCTCCACCAACACCAATAGCAGCCATACCAAGACCACCGGCGTTGGGAGTGTGAGAGTCAGTGCCGATCATCAAACCACCGGGGAAAGCGTAGTTCTCGAGGACGATCTGGTGAATGATACCAGAGCCGGGTCTCCAGAAACCGATGTTGTACTTGGCGCAGGAGGTGGACAAGAAGTCGTAGACCTCCTTGTTGATGCTCTGAGCACGCTCAAGATCCTTCTCGCCGCCAACCTGGGCCTCAATCAAGTGGTCGCAGTGGACGGTGGTGGGCGTAGCCACGGAGGGCATGCCGGCGGACATGAACTGCAGGATAGCCATCTGGGCGGTGGCATCCTGGCAAGCAACACGATCCGGCCTCAGCTTCAGATATGACGTGCCACGCTCAATCTCCTGGCCGTGCGGGTCATCGAGATGGGAGTAGAGAATCTTCTCGGCGTACGTAAGGGGCCTGTTCAGGCGGTTACGGACGATGGAGAGGTTCTCCGCCATCTTGGCGTAGTTGATGTAGTTGCCCTGCTCATGGATGTTCTGGGAAACCTTCCTGCTGAGGGGAGCATCGCTGACGGTAGCCAGGCCACGGCGGGCCAGCCGCGAGAACCTCTGCATGGTGGGCGGCGATGGAAAGGGAAGGGGGAGAGAGAATGGGTGTTGGAGAGAAAGAAACGTGGAGGGGAAGCGGAGAGCTTGTGAAGGAAGAGTTGATCTGCGCGCGGACCTCGAGCGTCAGCGGCTGGCCAATGAGGATGGCTATGATAAAGCGAGCCTAACCTCGGTGCTTTGCGGGCGAACGTCACAGCTGGGACGGCCGTCCGGAAATGTGGCCGGCACGTGACATACAGCCCGCGACAAATCCGAGCGGCGCGGGTGTGCGGGCTGCCCGGGTCCCGCGATGAAATCTCTGCGCATCTGCAGGTCGTCCAGCCAGGGCCCGCTGCTCCACTAACGCTTTTCCGTCCGCTGCTCCGAGGCCTAGGCTCCGTGCGATACGGACCTGGTGTTTGTGTGCATTGCATTGCTGACCTACTGCCACCTGAACCTCCCACCCACAACGACACCATGCCCGCTATCAGAGGCGCAGACTCTAAGAAGAAGACGCGTCGCCACACGCGCGACCTCGACCAGATCCACGCCGACCTGCGCTCCGACCGCCACCTGCAGCAGTACACCGAAACAAAGGTCGAGGAAGACCTGCCGGGCCTGGGAAAATTCTACTGCAAGGAGTGCGCCAAATGGTTTGAGAGCGATTACAACCTCGTCGCGCATCGACGCGGCAAGCCTCACAAGCGCAGGTGGGTTCAGCGCGCGCACAGCTGGACGAGCGCAATCTGACGTGTCTTGTAGGGTCCGCCAACTGCGCGAGGAACCATACAGCCAAAAAGAAGCGGAGGCAGCTGTTGGCCTGACTACCGACAACGGTTCTCGCACTACGTCTGCTGCGCGCCAGGACAACACCGGCCTCTCGAGCGCCGTCGAGAACATGGCTGTTGAGGAGGTACATTGAAGAGCGCACACTGGACGCGACAATGGATGGTCCAGCGGATTCATGATAGACGAGTCATTCAAGCATCGGGCGGCGTTCTCACGGGATTTGGTCGGAGATCGGGATAGGTTTTTAAAAGGATGAAAGGAGATTACGGAACAAAAGCCACGGGCGTTGCGGAGTGCTTTTGGACATTGCTCAATACGCATCGTTGCTCTTCCAGAATCCCGTACTGCGCCACGCCCCCCTGTCGCCGTTGCCAGCGATCGCGATGCTGTTCTCCTAGCGGAAATGATACACATGTCTAGCCCTTGCATGGGCCTGCGGCCGGATAAAAACACTCGCGCCGACTCCCGAGGCCCTGATGGATCCAGAACAACCCACCTGTGATTGGCATAGCCGATGTTGTAATCTTATCTCTGATCTCGGTACTGGCCGACAGGCCGACGCGCCCTGAAGACAACAGAACAATAATACTCCTAGCAGTTGAATATGACCGTAATCATTGTCGATTGAATTTTTGTTATAGAATCTCTCTACAAGGTTGCTCCAGGCAACTCTAGGCGTCCACCAGGCAGCAGTGTTAAAGGTCTTCCATTTGTCTGCTTCTGCCTGATGTTCCGCATAAAATGAGGCCGAGTGACAGAGCAACCAGCGACTAACCTTCCACAAGTTGTCTCCCACCTAACGTCAAGCATTCTACCTCATTCTGGAGAACAGCAACTATGGCCGCATTCATTCCCACACAACTTTACGGCGGCGCCTTGACCGCAGAGCTCCCCGCAGGGTTCGGTGACGTTAGCGACATTCGTCAGGTCCCTGACAACCAGGAAGTTTACCTCGATGCCAACGGCTTCGCGAGCATCATCTTCGACATCACTGAGTGCCTCGACCAGTCTCAGGCGGGAAATGATGAAGAAGCGTTGAAATTCCATTTCCACGACATCGCTGGCGACACGACTGATGCGACGAACTTCTGGCAGTCCGGTACTGCGACTTTTACAAAAATGCCGTAAGCAACTTCAACTTTCTTTGATCTCTCTGGAGCTACTAATATTTCTATAGGACCTTCCCGGCGTACACACTCATCGCCACTCAACACCCAACCACCGCATCCCGTAGGCCGCAGCCGGATTTCACAGCTATCTTGCTGATCCTGTTGCGCCTGGAACAGAAGAAAACCGACATTGTTATTACTATTAACGTACCTCACGTTCCTGGAGAGTATCCAAAGGATGAGGTCGACTTCGCTGCGGCGAAGCAAGGTCCACTCATGGATCATGCTGCTGCAATGAGACAGCAGATTCTTGAGACTTTTGAAGTCAAGGACTGGAACCTGTTTGTTGATGAGTAGGCTGATTTGATCCACATCCACAAGGAGCGGTGACAGTCTGTCACCCTGCGACGATGTGACTCAGATGACCCTGTTCCGTCCTCTCCCCGGACAATACGAACGAGGTGATGACACTCTCGATGTGGACGGACAGCCTGCGATTCGAAATACGACGAACAGGCAATGCGTATGCAGACAAATGGATCAAATTTACAAACTGTGTAAGGACTCCCTCTGCATCATAAACAAGTAATTACTGTCATTCTAACGTAAACAAGTGAGACTCCTACATCCAAACGTGACACCTTCTTGATCGCCACGAATGCTGTAACTCGAACGCCTACTACCAAAAGCCTATTATCCAAAGCCATCATTGAAACCACAACTCATCAACATCGATAGGGCAAGACAAGTATTGATTGACATCCTATAAAACCAGTCAAAACATAACACAGAGCCTTTTTCTATCTAAAAAGAAAGCTCGTTAAAAAGTATAGACTAATAAGAGATCCCACGTCCAGCAAAGTTCCAAGTGGTAAGAGTTGCCTGATTTTATCGTCGATTTCATTATACCTCACCACGGTCTATATGTCATAGTATCAGTCCTCTTGGTGTAGGCCTTTAGTACGTGTAGGGACTAATACTACCCTATTCCGTAAATGCATAATCACAAGCAATGTATATTTTTAACCCTAGATCCATTTGGAGACATCCTAGAAAGGCTTCTATACGCTATGTCATATAGATACTTTTATAATATACTAAGCAACTCGTGTAGAATTCTCATACAGCACCTCCCGTTGCCGATATGTAAAAATAGACGTAAGGTCAGAGCACGGTAACGTACCTGACGGTTAAACGAGAATGACTGCTCAGCGAGATAGCCAATCAGAGGCTCTCGATATCAAGATGAAAAGTCCTATACAAGCACAATAACTACTAATAAGTATACAGCTTTAGTACAGTTATTATCTATTATTGGACTTTATTTTTCGCATATAACCTTATTTTGTTTTACTTGGAGTCGAAGCATAAAGGTTAGCAAGGCATTGTTAATCAGGACCCGGATAATCACTACCAAATCCGTTTGCCAAGAGAGCATCCGATGAAGCCCAAGAAGAATATCTGATTGGCTATCTCGCTGAGCAGTCAATCTCGCTCATGGGTCAGGGACGTTAACGTTAAAATAGCCTCGGGAATACGGTTATGGAGACTGGTCCAATTAAGATCAGTATTATAGTACTAGGGTGACAAGTGTCACGTCGCAAATGAAAATTAATGCCTGAATAGGTCAGCATTCTAGTATCCGGATTTACAATTTTCTCGATCATCATCATTGAAGTTGCATGAATCTCGCGTGGGGAATGCTTCTAGAAACAATGACATATTTGGACTAGCACCGGGAGATCGCCGCGGCTATGACGCTGTTGAACCGCAGCTACTCATCTACTTTCTTGTCACTCAGCTTGACAACAACATAACACGCACATCCCTTGCCGTTTTGTCACTCCACCATGGTCAGTCCCGCGAAGCGACGCAAAAAGAACGACTTCAAGGGCTCCGACCGCCCCGTCCGGAGCTTGGACTACTTCTTTGCCAAACAGAAGGACGCCTCCAAGAATGCAACTCCACCCGAGCAAAATAAAGATTCTACGAATGTCACCTCGAGTACCCTAGCGGACAGTCAACTGACTGACGAGGAGCTCGCACGAAAGCTCCAAGAAGAGTGGAACAACGAGGTGAACGTCGCAGGTACAACAGCGCAGAGCGAGCGACCTAGCGAATCGCAGATTGACCAAGAGAACAATGGTCCGGATCAAGTTCCAACCGATCTCAGTCCTCCAAAGCCCATACCAGAGGAAAAATCTGTGCCCAAAAATCCGTTCGCGACATTGACGTTGCAGTCGACTGCCACCGCCGAGGATACTATCACCACCAATATACCGTTCGATGAGAATCCGTTGACTTTCGATCCTTCAAAATATATTTCCAAATTGCAAGGGCACTGGGCAGCAGATGGTGGACGCGCGACGTACGCGCTGCTGACTCGGTGTTTCATTCTGGTTAACAGCACGACAAGTCGCATTAAGATCGTGGATACATTGGTCAATTTGCTGCGAACAATAATAGAAGGAGACCCTCAAAGTTTGCTTCCAGCCGTAAGCCAGTACACTTTCATCTCATGGCGGCTGGTGGATTAGTGCTGATTAATACAAAGGTATGGCTAGCTACGAACTCCATTTCCCCTCCTTATATCGACCTCGAGCTCGGCCTGGGTGGTTCTGCTATTTCAAAGGCCCTCAAGAAGGTGTGCGGTCTTGACAATGCTTCACTCAAGACGCTATATAACAAATACGGCGATGCGGGAGACGTAGCTTTCGAGGCCAAAAAGCGTCAGAGCTTTACACTGAGAAAGCCGAAGCCATTGACCATCGCCTTCGTATTTGACTCGTTGGTTAAAATTGCAAGAAGCAAAGGGACTGGCAGTGTGGAAGCCAAGCAGCGCCTAGTAGAGCGCCTCTTGCAAGACTCTCGAGGTGCTGAAGAGTCGAGGTATATTGTGCGGACACTGGTGCAACATCTACGCATCGGTGCCGTCAAGACTACCATGCTCATAGCTCTTTCGCGCGCATTCCTTATGTCGCGGCCAATGGGTGCGGAGTTTCCCATACACTCGCTATCTTCTTTAGCTAAGCTGAAGAAAGAAGAATTAACTGAGATCTACTCCCGGAACGAGGAGACAGTAAAGGCATGCTTCGCTCGTCGACCAAACTACAATGACCTTGTACCCGCACTTCTGGAGATTGGCGTATGTGACGAGCTACTACTACGTTGTGGGCTCGCACTGCATATACCGCTCCGCCCCATGCTTGGCAGCATCACCAGAGACATGGGTGAGATGCTCACTAAATTACAGGGACGGGATTTCTCGTGCGAGTACAAATACGATGGACAACGCGCCCAAGTGCATTGCGATGAGAAGGGCAAAGTTACTATATTCTCGCGACATCTGGAAGTAATGACAGATAAGTACCCAGACCTTGTTGCGTTGGTACCGCAGATGCGCGGTGACGGCGTTAGCAGCTTCATCATGGAGGGCGAGGTCGTGGCCATTGATCGCGAGACTGGCGAGCTGAAAACATTTCAGACGCTTGCCAATCGAGCAAGAAAAGACGTGGTCATCGGTAGCGTCAAGATTGATGTATGTCTCTTTGCATTCGACTTGATGTATTTGAACGGTGAAGAACTGCTAGGCAGGACGTTCAGAGAGCGCAGAGAACTTCTAAGAAGCCTCTTTACAGAAATACCCCATCATTTTACATGGGTAAAAAGTCTAGATGCGACTTCTGCGGACCAGGAAACTGTGAGCGAGTTTTTCAAGGGCGCCACGGCAAACAAATGCGAGGGGATTATGGTAAAGGTGCTGGACAACCTGCCAAATCCAGATTTACTGGACGAAACCGTGGACGAGAAGCCGCCGTCGTTACCCCCCACCCCCAAGAAAAAGAAAGGAAAAGGGACTAAGAACAAATCAAATGCCGAGTCCAATGGTAACGAGGGAGAGAAGGATAAAAGGACCAGCGGTCGCCGCAAAGCACTGCTATCTACCTATGAGCCTGACAAACGCGTCGATAGCTGGCTTAAGGTGAAGAAAGACTACAACACTTCGGCCGATACAATCGATCTGATCCCAGTAGGAGGCTGGCACGGTCAAGGACGCAAAAACAAGTGGTGGTCGCCGATTCTGCTCGCAGTGCGCAATCCTGAAACCGGGATGCTCGAAGCCGTCACGAAATGCATGTCTGGATTCACGGACAAATTTTACGCAGCCAACCGTGCCAAGTACGACCCGGACGCCGAGGTCGGAGACGATAATGAAGATGATGACAATGACGCCGGGGTGGGTAACACACGCACGACCAAGCCCGCGTTTGTCGAATACGCGGGTACTCCCGCCGTATGGTTTGAACCGCAGGAGGTGTGGGAATGCGCCTTCGCAGACATCACACTCAGTCCCACGTACACGGCGGCCATCGGGTTGGTGAGTGAGGATCGCGGCCTGAGTCTGCGGTTCCCCAGGTTTTTGAGGGTCAGAGAGGACAAGGGGCTGGAAGAGGCAAGCACAAGCGATTTTCTGGCCGATCTGTGGAGGAAGCAGGAAGCTAGGGCGCCAGCGAGGGAGAAGGAGGCAACAGAGGCGGACGAGGTAGACAAGGACGCGGAATGATAGGAGGTAGATGGTTGTTTGGTGGCTGGTTTCTCAGGGATTGGTTCTCCACATGCTCTTCCGGAGTGACAGGAGCAGCGTCGCGTCCTTTTGTACTCGCGATGCGGAGCGGTTGCAGACGAGAAGCCGGTATATGTATAACCGGGTCGTCGGAACAGCAGCATTTGGCGCTTTGACGGCCAATTTGTATCGGAACTACCTCCGAGCCTGCATGCGAGCCTATGCAAACATATTACGGATCCGTAGCATGCGTGCAAAAGCAACACCAACGCAGCCGGAGTCATCTCCTTCAGAGCCATCAGAATGCCACACAGTCCACAACCGAATCCATGGACCCCTGCTGTCGTCCTAACTTTGTGCGAAAATTACGTAGAGTAGGAGGGATTCCTTACTGCCATTGAAGTCTGCATCGGGAATTGCGCCCTGCGTGCGGCGTCGTTCCCCGGCCAGGAGACACTTTTCGGAGTTGGATCCCGAGGCCTGCCGCTAGCAACGTCTACTCGTTCAATCGAGCCACATACACGACGACGGAGCGCACTCCGCACGCTCAGACCAGGCAATTCCATGCGCGCCCCCTTCCTCCTCGCGGAGACCGCTCCTTCAGACGTTCGATGTTGTTATCAACCCCGGCGACGAGAGCCAATCACTTGCGCCGTCGACGCGACATGGACAGATAGGACCCACGCGGGCCGGAGTCCGTTCCTTCAAACGGGCCATGCCGCTGTTCCTCACCGTATGCATGCAGATATCGTCCTGGTCCCACGCCGTACTCGTACATACGGCCTGGTCTCCGATGAACACCCCCTGTCCCAGCCTGGTCAGGATGACATGTTAACCTCGCACCCTTGTGCTGCCCCCCCCAATATCCGCTGCCCGTCACAGCCGTCTCCCTGCAAACGCTGGATGGTGGTGTATGAATGCTTCCGCAATTGGACTGCACCAGACGGCTGGGCCGCCGTTGAGCAAGTCCCGGGCCTTTGTCAACGGATATTGCAACTGGCACGCATCCTGAGAGGACGGGACAATTACCCGGCTTCGACAAAAAGATCGACACAACGGAGACTCCTCCTTTCAGACGTTCAATGTTGCCTTTAGCGCTGCACTCAAAGCGTAGCTATGCTTGAGAGCTAATGCTGTAACAAATCTGAAGATCAACGGCCACTGTGGCCGTCCAATCCTTCGTTGTTTCGGGTTTCGGCATCTTGTCCCATAGGCCTACATGGTTATCCCGTGTGCGGAGACTGCTCCTTCAGACGTTCGATGTTGCTGCCTGTTCATGTATTGGGCTGTCTGTGCGTCTGGATTCATGGTATGCCATGGCCCTACCCTCTGTCAGAATGATGGCTGAGCTTCCGAGCAAAAAGATGTGCATTTCTCACCACCGAGGATGTATTTCGTGGCAGACATGGCACATTTACATGTGTAGTGTTCTGTCAGTTTCCGTCAATGACTATTTGATACGTTTACCACAGGTCAACATAGAGTGATTAAGCGTGTTCTCTAGAGCCGTTAGCCTGACCATGGCAACAAATCAGCATTAAAAATGTGGTAATGCCCTTGTATTTTCGGCATGTGGGTTTAGGACGTTACATAAGTAGACATAGTAGGTAGGCCTTGACCTTTGAGGTGAGTCATGTGGTAATCTATTTCCCACACAGCTCTCGAGTTAAAAAAATTAGCTTGAAAATACAGACGATGCCGCGGAGCCGCCTCCTTCAGACGTTCGATGTTTCTTTTGCGTTGTTGTAGCTATTCTGTTAGTGGAGGTCCTCTTGTCGACGGAATGTTTATGGTCCTCCAATAAGATGAAATAGTAGACAATTGTGATGCTGCCTCGCAATCTGATTTGTTGAACCCTTTACCACTGGCGTACCGTAGAACCTGATTTACCTTTAGTCGTAAACAAGATGTGCTTTTCTCCTAGAGTACTCCTATCAAATGTTCATATTGGACCTGTCTGTGCTCGTAATCGCAAAAGTTCCTATGTTAGGTAGACCGAATGAAGTGCATAACGCTGGATGGCTCACAACATATGCCATTGATCTTCTTGTACTCTGTTGATACTTGTGATTCCGCTTTGATTGTAAATATGACCACTCGAGGCCCGGAACTTTTGAGCAACGTGAGTATGCGCAAGGATTGCCAGCATTTGCATATCCAGTGTGCACGATGCAACAATAAAGGGTTCAGGGTCAAGGGAACACTGTTCCAGCCTATGAAAGGCCAGCATAACGATGGATCCATCTCCTTCAGGTAACAAGCGTTCTTGGTGATCCACGATGTCGAGCGTGTTGTGCGGAAAATGATATCGTGATGACACTGCAGGTGACCATCCGTTAACACACGTCGCGGGGAATCGATGAACGTTGAACGTGCAACGGAATTGACTCCTGTAGACGTTTGAAGTTGCTGCTAGTTCGTGAAATGGGGCATGAGGAGAGGGCGAAGTCGTCTCCGTGACCAAAGTGAAGAACAATGAATCGGACACAAACGAAAACACGACACTCGGCCTGAACGATCATGACGGCCAAAGCGTCACCGCAACCCATTTAACCTCGGAGCTTATGGCGGAACGATCTCCTTTAGACGTTCGAAGTTGCTACGATTCTTACCTAAGAAGGACACCCGGGTGCACGGCGGTATTGTGGAGGGCGGTCAGTAAAGATGGGCATTGCCTGGCCTAGAGTATGGTAGCTCGCAGGAGCTAGTCTGAACTCCTTTCCCCTTTTTTTTCTTCTTCTCCTGCTGGCATGAGCAAGGGAACTGAGAAGAAGCAGAGGGACCACATGAAGTCGGCGCTAGGTACGTACCACGTGTTGGTGGAAACGCGAGCCGAGTACGAACCCGTCCAACGTATTCCAACCTCACCTCTGTCGACTCTTTACTACGATATTGTACATAGGTACCTCTGCGACGACTGCAATCTCGCAGCGTCGATACTAAGTGGCCCTTAACCCGTCTCCACCCATTGCGACGACGCTCTGTCGCTTGGCATCCGGAGCTCGGTGTTTAAAGCCACTTCGCCTCGTCATCCCCACTCGCCTCGACCGGCCTCGAGCTACGCCTCTTCGACACGCATCGAGCTTGCGTTGGGCCGTGTCTCGCAGGACGAAGCCAAACTGCTGCCGAAGTGCCGGATGAGCGTCAGAGCACACTATCCCAGCAATCTTCATCCAATTGCTGCCCTCTCAATGGCCATGACGACGCCTCAACACCTACGCGTGTTTCACTCCTCTAGCAACTTCTTGTCTTGGCAATGCCTGTAGAGCATCAGACCAAGACAGGATGACGACGCCCTTCTAGGTGAGCTGGGCAGAGCCCTGCGCAGCATCTAGAAACGTCTAGGAGCCGCGTGGACGATTGCCATCGTCCCTGCTTGCATGGACCTATCAGAGACATGGATTACTCACTGTTAGCAGGTCAAGGAGCCCCCCGCGTTGCCATCGATAGTAAACTCTTGGCGTTGATGCAAGCACAAGGCCATAAGGTGTCTCCGCGTGGTGCTAAACTCTTGTTTCAATATCCCGTTTGAGTTCCGCTCCGCCGGGGCCAGACGGCTTTGCGTCCAACTACCCACAGGGCTCCCTCCCCATACCCAACGGCCATGGCCTACTCACTATGCTTTTCGCCGCAAACATGGACCAAGCTGACGTGGTCCCCTGTCCAGCTCCCCGATCATTTGCAAGTTGGAAAGATCATCGCTGTGATGATAAATACTGCAATATAGTTAGTCCAGGCTGGTAGTAGCTGCGAACCGCTGTTCATATAAATAATAGTCCTTCGATTGGCCGTCATTCTGAGTTCCCCCAAAACAACAGTCTTCTTGCTTCTCATTGCCTTCTGCCTTCTCTTGAACCAACCTTCAAAGTCGTTCATTCACCATGGTTAACTTCCAGACCTTGGGCGCCACTGTGCTCTCCCTTCTCGCGGCCTCCACGGTCGTCGCCCACCCCGGCCATGACCACAAGGCTGAGGCCATGGAGCGCGCCGCCTACTTCTCCAAGGCCGAGAGGCGCTCTCTCGAGCACTGCTCGGAGAAGCTCAAGGCCCGCGGCACCGAGGAGAAGATGATTGCCCGCCGCCACGCCATGCATCAGCAGCTGCGCAAGCGCACGCTGGTCCAGCGTGACCTCGACACCGTCCTCAACACGACGCACCACTCGGAGCAGGAGGGCATCACGCCCAACGTCGACCCCAGCGTCCTCTTCTCCGGCAACAGCTCTTGCATCCTCGCCCCCGAGGCCACCCAGGGCCCCTACTACGTCACGGGCGAGTACTTCCGTCAGAACATCACCGAGACGCAGTTGGGCGTGCCCCTCTACCTCGACATCCAGGTCATCGACACCAACACCTGCGAGCCCCTCCCCCAGGTCGCCATGGACTTCTGGCACTGCAACGCCACCGGCGTCTACTCGGGCATCAACGCCAACGGTAACGGCGACTCTTCCGACACCGCGAACCTCGACAGGACGTTCCTGCGCGGCATCCAAGCTACCGACGACGACGGTGTCCTGCAGTTCATCTCCATCGTTCCTGGGTACGTCTCTCCTTCATAACACCCTGACTCTTGAAGCTCCTGCTAACCCGCACACAACAGCCACTACGTCTCCCGTGCCAACCACATCCACATCGTCGCCCACAGCAAGGGCACCTGGTCGCACCTCCCCAACGGCACCATCACCGGCGGCACCACCGCCGCCCACGTCGGCCAGCTCTTCTTCGACCAGGACCTGCTCGAAGAGGTTGAGCAGTTCGAGCCCTACAGCACCAACACCCAGGACTGGACCAAGAACTCCGAGGACTCGATCCTCTCCGGTGAGGCCGACACCATCGACCCCGTCGTCGAGTACGTCCTGCTCGGCGACTCGGTCGCTGACGGCATCTTCTCCTGGATCTCCGTCGGCATTGACAGCACCGCCAACCAAACCGTCACCCCCGCTGCCATCTACGCCTCTGGCGGTGGCTACACCAACCCTGACAGCCCCAGCATGGGCGGCGGCGACGCTCCTGATGCCGCTGGCACGCCTCCTGCTAAGAACTAAGTGGGGTTTGTAAAATATTGCTTGTATGAATAGGAGGGAAATGGGAATGGGAATAGGGAGATGAAAAGACATGGTTGACTTTCGGAGCTGTTCTAGACGGCGCTAGTTACATGAAAAAGTGCAATATAAGACATTGTCTCTACTTGTCATACCCACTTTTGTTTGTGATGTGTGATGTGAGATAAACACGAAACATGTGAGCCGGACGAACTTGTGGGTATCATACAAGGATTCTGCTAGCCCTGTCTGACAAGGTCCAGGACTTCGTGGATGATTCGCAGGTCTCTTTGAACGTCAACTCCCCAGTTCGAAATGGCGAAGCGACAAGCAGGTGCGCCGTCCCAGGAGGTTCCAGAGACGTATATTTTCCTTGTTGTATTGATTCGGCGGACAAGGTCATTGTTGATTTGCTCGTCATTCGCTCTGAAAAGAACAATAATATATATGTCCTCCAGGATATCATCGTGTGGCTTAGATGACTTTGGGAGAAGTTCGTAGGCATCATGAGCCAATATTAGACTCGCAATGCCTCGGGCCAAGGTGATCTGTCGCTCGAGCATGTCGCGATAGCCATCCCGGCCATACGCTGCAAGGGTGGCGTATACGGGCAGTGCGCGGAAACGACGCGAATTCTCGATACCGATATTCAAAGGAGACGGTATGGAGCTCGCGTCGGATCCGGCAACATTGAGGTATGCTGCATTGGGGTTTTGGAATACTTGTTGTCCAAGTGGCAGATGTCGGCTGAGAAAGAAGCCGCAATCATATGGCTGGGTTTGTTAGTCAATCAACAGTAAATGTCGCAATGGAGATACGAACAACATTGAGGAGTTTGTGGCCATCTCCAGTAATTGAATCAGCAAGTTCAATTCCTTCTGTACAATTCTTGAGCTTTGAAAACTCGGGTTTCGTCAATACTCGGCCAAGGAGTCCGAACGCTAGCTGTCGTTAGCGGCACGCGGTTAAGAAAGAATACGATGCAGACATAAGGAGAAATCAGACGGAGTGAGACCAATGAGAAAACCAAAAACATCCGGAAACATGTGCATTTAATGAAAGTCCATGGACATAGTGGATTGAAATGCTCACCTGCATCAACATGTATCCAGGCACCGTATCTATCACACAGCTCCCTTATCTTTTTCATTTCTTCAAAACTTTCGGTCGCGAAAAATCCAGTGTTGACCTCGGCACAAGAAATTGCCACGATTGATGCGAGTTTTTGGTCTTTCAAGGCCTCTTCCAGTTTGGCCATATCGAAGTCATGGGGCTTGTGGTCGTCACCCACGAGTTTCACACACGCTCGACCAAGTCCGAGTATGCTGGCTGCTTTACTGAGAGAGGAATGCGGTACTGTGGTCAAGATTTGAACATCCTCAAGTCCAGCTGCACGCATAGCACGTAATAGTCCTAATTCGCCAACACTCACGGCTGCCGAGAATCTCCTGCGGGCAGCATCCGCAATTACATGCTCTCTTCCGCAGGCCAGTCCTAAAACGTTACTAGCCGTCGCGCCGGTCGTAAATGTTCGGTGAAGCCATGCAGATGGATCGAGGTGGAGTAAGTCACAAAGAAGCTTGTGCGCATGGTCTTCCACGTCGGTAGCGACCGTCTCATTTGGTAGGTGGACTTGTACGTTCTGATCGTGCAAAGTAACGAGGTTATCTGCAAGAGAGGCTGCTGGTGTAGAACCACCAGTGACAAATCCATAAAAGTTCGGAGATCTGCTGGCAGCATTGACACCTGGAACAATGTCTTCGAAAAGGTGGTGGGAGGTTTTCACGTAGCCAAGTCCTTTATCGGGCAGTGATTCCAGTAGTGCTGTCCTCGCATGCCTTAATGCCTGTTGAGTAGGAAGAACGGCTTCTGGAATAGTTTCGTCGTAGCCGAAAGGCACCACGGCGCCCGCTGGTGGGTCGTGATCTCCAATCGTCATGGCGAATCAAACAAAGTTTTGGTCGTTTGGCCGGGCAACCGGTTCCTGCGACGTACCGTCCACTTTCAGCAAGATAAAACGGATAGGCTCACTTCGTGGAGAGTCACGCAAGCTGAAGGAGTCCTACAAAGGACAAAGGTAGAAGATGAGTCGTTGTCCTTCCCCGCCTTCCGCTATGCTTATGAGTCTAATGCGCTAAACGCGCACGTGACCGTGTTTACGCACGGATATCACCCTGATCTGCGTACTTGTCAACCGCGTCGAGACGCGACAACGGGGAGCAAGCGCTGCCTGCCCGGTTAAGAAACAACACACCAAACGCCAACCGCATCTCGCCCTTCACCCATGGACGAAGAATGATCAACCATCCACCTGGCGGCACTCCGCTGAAATGACCAACAACAATCTCAGAGCGCATATTTCTTGGCTGCTAACTACGAAACCGTTCGTTCCGCCACCGCCACAACACAGTGCGCTACCCATTAACGACGAACCGCCGGACTCAGGCTTCGGTAGCTCTGGCGAACTTGATCTCCATCGCAATACCCGCGCGCGAAATGCCAATCAAGACCAGGACACTCCATTACCTGCCGCCGTTCCCAAAATCACACCTCTCCAGACTCTAGATACATCAAATCTTCCGGGATCGAGGAACCCGAGCAGTGTTGCGGGCTTAGGGACAGCGGATATGGCTAGACTTAGGGTGGCGCCTAGTTCGGCTGCCAAACCACGGCTTGTTGTACAGGAGCAGTCTCGTAGTGCGTCAAGGACGCCCCGATCACCGCAGAAGACAGAAGCGCCAACTCCTCTGTCAAGGCCTGGTATACGTCAACCTGAATTTTCAAGGACACCCGTCCCGCGCGCCACGTTCAGCGCCAAAGACAAATATGCGCGACTGAATGGCATATCCATAGATGATTCGGATGTCGATGCTATAGACATGACGGGTGATTCTGATGACCGCACTGACTCTAGCCCTGTCATAAATGCGCGTGCACCAACCTCGAGGAAACGAAAGAGCGCGGAATCTGGAGACGACCTTCAGGCCAACCAAGTACAACAACGGCGCACTATCCAGTCAAGGCGCGCAGAGGTACCTGTGAACGATTTTGTGCCAATTGAAGACCTTGAGGGCCCGCCTCCCGAGGACCCGCCCCCACCGTATTCCTCAGTTGCAGGTAGGGGTTCCCCCTCCCGAAGTACCGTTCGCCATACGTCAGGAGAGTCCAGTACTCAGTCTGCTATAACTGGCACACCCGCAAGAGAAGAGCAGCAGCGCGTCTTGGAGAGCCCGGTCAGGCCAGTTACTGGGAAGCGAAAGCCTTTAAACCGAGTCCTCTCCGAGATTTCAGATGGACCAGAAATTGCTCTCGTGCACCGTTCGCCAAGGAAAGTCCGTTGGGACAATTTCGGGGTTTCGTACGGGGAAAGGAAGCGCAGCCCGGTGAAGGCACCTGCAAGCAAAATGCGCTTCGTTGCGGACTCCGAAGACGAAGAAGAGGACCTGGGCAGCCCGAAGGCCTGTAGTCCGCCTTTAGACGACCCATTTATCGAGTCACCAAACCAAGCCCAGAATATGAGCCCCATACGCGCAACATCGACAACTCGCGTGGAAGGGTTTAAAGACTTTCGATGGCACGGGTGTAAGGAAGATTTGCCACCAGCAGCAGCAGCACCACCACCACCACCACCACCACTGCAAAACTCTGACGGTCGTTTAAACTATGCCATCGTGCATGGTCGCCTAGGCTCGTCATCCCGAGATGTTGGCCTTGTGAAAACTAATGGCAGCTTAACTGTCTCTACCCCTGGCTCGCAGCAAGCATCGCCATCCCTTGTCAGTACTTCCGAACAAGAAGCCGTTTCCGCCTTCTCGGAGTGGCCGGATGATACAATCGAAAGTTTACTTAATGTTGCAATGGCAGAGCGCGAGGAGTCCATTGCAATGTTAGTGAGCTACGAACTAGAGTACGAGGAAGACTCGGTTGAACTTCAAGAACGTGTAGATGAGCACAAACGGAATGCACGAGCCCTTCAAGAACTTCTCGACACAAAAATCAGATTTCACAAAGTCAGCCAACAACAGGCGGAGATAAGAAAGAGGTTGATCATGAGTTACGAGGATAGTATGGTAGCCCTCGACAAGTCCGACAAAGATCGGTGCCGCGCCCTTGGAAGAGCCGCCACCAAGGAGAAAAAAGAGCTAGAGGTTGATATTGTCCGACTACTCCGCATCGTTGGGTTACTGGTAGATTCTGGGCAATCTGCACGGTTGTTGGAGCCAAAATCAGCCGGATCGGATGTTGTTGTTCGTTCAACACAGACAACATCCACGACGAACGTTGACTCCAAACTACGAATACCGGATTTGGATGCTACGGACCAGACGCAATATGTGCAACAGACTCAAATTCGATCAAAAAGCCCTAACACGGTGCCAAACCATATTGCCATATCGCAGCCCTCTATTCGTAAGATTCCGTACACGGACGCCGCAGATCTACCTGCTCCAAGCCCTCAATACTTCAACTCCCGGGACAATAAAAAGTCCCAAAGCATACCAACACCGCCATTTTCTATTGAGCCTCCTAAAGAAGAAAACTTTGGTTTGGATGAAGTCGATTTTGATGTCGACTTTGAAGATGACCAAGCCCTAATGTACGGCACGAACATGGGTACACCCCCCATGCAAGCAGCCGATGATGATGATTTTGATGACTCCGATATCGACGACGAAGAGATGTTGGACGTGGCCGAAGACATTGAAAACTTTGAAAAGACCAACACACTCAACTGGAACCAGGGACCCCGCGACGTTTTCCAAGAAACTACTGGGAACCGGTTAGCGCAACGGCAAAGACCTGTTCCCAAAAAGACAGCAACATCAATCGCATCAGGACTACCAGCTTCAAGTGCTCATCCTCAGTATCAATGGTCCCGAGACGTCAAAGCGGTCCTCAAAGATAGGTTTCACTTGCGAGGCTTTCGTCCAAACCAGCTCGAAGCCATCAACGCCACCCTGGCTGGCAAAGATTGCTTTGTGCTCATGCCTACGGGAGGTGGGAAATCTCTATGTTATCAACTGCCATCTGTCATATACTCCGGCAAGACTCGGGGCGTGACGGTTGTAATATCGCCGCTTTTGAGTTTAATGACAGACCAGGTCGCACATATGAAGAATCTCAGGATTCAGGCTATGTCATTCAATGGAGAAACTAGCGCCACTGAGCGTCGTTGCATCATGGACGGATTGCGGGAATCACACGTCGAGAAGTTCATCCAGTTGCTTTATGTGGCCCCAGAAATGCTCAGCAAAAGCGCAACTATGGTCAGCGCATTGCAAGCGCTTCATCAACGTCAACGCCTCGCCAGGATCGTGATCGACGAGGCACACTGTGTTAGTCAATGGGGTCATGATTTCCGACCTGACTACAAGCTCCTGGGAAATCTCCGAAGGCAGTTTGTCGGTGTTCCTGTCATGGCATTGACTGCTACGGCTACTGAGAACGTCAAAGTCGACACCATTCACAATCTGGGTATCAGAGGCTGCGAAGTGTTCGCTCAAAGCTTCAACCGGCCAAATCTTTATTACGAAATTCGACAAAAAAGCAAAGGCACCGACGTCCTTGAGGATATCGCCATGACGATCAACAGTCAGTATGCGGGACAGTCAGGCATCGTGTACTGTCTTTCTCGTAAAAAATGTGAGCTCATCGCGAAAAATCTGAAACAACGATTCAACGTCAAGGCTCAACATTACCACGCTGGAATGAGTCCTTCTGAGCGCTCAGAAACCCAGAGGTCTTGGCAAACAGGTAAATGCGATGTCATCGTTGCTACAATTGCATTTGGCATGGGTATCGACAAGCCTGATGTGCGTTTTGTCATCCACCATAGCATTCCGAAGAGCCTGGAAGGCTATTACCAGGAAACTGGCCGCGCAGGACGCGATGGAAAACGGTCCGGATGCTTTCTCTATTATGGTTACCAGGACACGAACACACTCAAATGGATGATTGACAAGGGAGAAGGTGAGAAGCTGCAAAAAGATCGACAATACGCCATGCTTCGGAACGTGGTCCAGTACTGCGAAAACAAAAGCGACTGTAGAAGAGCTCAAGTCCTTGCATACTTCAACGAGCAATTCAAGCCCGAGGATTGCAATAACACTTGCGACAATTGCAATTCAAGTAGCACTTTCGAGCCTCGAGATTTCACGGAGGATGCCATTGCAGCCATCAGCTTAGTGCGAAAAATCCATGAGCAACAGGTCACGATACTGCACTGTGCTGATGTCTTTCGAGGCGGCAAATCGAAAAAGATTACGGACCTCCATCATAATTCGCTAGATGAGTACAGGGCAGGGTCTCACCTAGAACGCGGCGAGGCCGAACGACTATTCAACCGCTTGGTGAGCGAGGATGCTCTCAAAGAATACAACGTCCTCAACGGAGCCGGATTTGCATCTCAATATATTAAAGTAAGTGTGCCTCATTGTCAAACCTTGTTCACAGCTCTGACACATTTCAGCCTGGTAAATATGCCGACGAGTTTGGCTCTGGGAGACGGCGACTTATAATCCATGTCCGTGCCTCCCCTAATAGCAAAAGCACAAAGGGCAAAGCTGCACCGAAAAAGAAAGCTCAAACCGGTGTGGCTGCCGCCTGCGGTGGCCTTCCTCTTTCTACCAACGTCTCCTCGCCGATACAAGCTGCAGCACGCAGACGCAAGATTCAAAGCTACAGGCTCGACAATCAGGATGCTCTCCACGCCAATGGCTATGAGAGCGATGAGTTTGTGGCCAATGGCGAGGAAAACTCCGACGACGACTCGGATGACTTCGAGCCTATCCGAACGACGTCCAAACGAAAGAGGGCGACGGTCCAAAAGCTCGGCCCTCCAATCACCATAGACGAAAAGATGGACGGTCTTACCGAGTTACACCGGGAAGTCGTCGAGAACTTCGTGCGGGAGGCCAGACGGGAGTGTGAAAATGTCATGATGGCCAAAAACCTTCGTGCTCATCCATTCACGGACACAATGCTGCGAGAGATGGCGATCAGTTTCCCCGCGAGCCTTGACGACATGCTGGCCATCCCAAACATCAACGCGGAAATGGTAAAGCATTACGGCAAACGTTTCCTAAAGTTGATTGAGAAAGCCTCGGTCTTTTACGCAAGCATGATGGAAGAACAAGACGGTCAAAGGGCACCAATGGACCCGAATCGCGAGATTGTCGAAATCAGCGATGATGACGACGGCAATGATGGTGGCGATGATTTCGACCTCGATCTATCGCCGCAGGATGTGCGTAGCTCATACTTCCAACAGGAAGATGATCCGGATGTCACGGCATTCAACGCGAAGTTTGAGCAATGGCAAGATGCCGCACACACATCCCAAAAAGCTCGCGCAGTATCTCCGAAGAATCAACGGGGCAAGTTTGGGAACTCGAGCAAAAACTTCTCTCGCAAACATTCGCGCAGGTCTTCGGGCGGGTTCAGTAAGGGACGGAGCAATAGTGGAGTGACGAAGAAGACGACGAGCAAGAAGCGCGAATCTGGCAACGGATTCAAGTTCAAGCCCAAGAGGGGTGGTGGCGGCGGTGGTGGTGCAACGGGGGGCATTGGTATGATGCCGATATGATTACCTAGGTACCTTGGGTTTGCTTTCGATTGGCGATATCGGAATATTGTGCACGGTATATATTTTTCGTTTTTTCGGGAGGCGTTAGGCGGGCATTGGAGCTTGGGTGGATTGCTGAATACCTACCTAGTCTTTCCTAATTCCACGGCGCATTCTTCGCCCGAGTGGCCCGAGGTGGGCCAGGGTGAGCCCGAGCGTGAGCCCGAGCACGGCCCACGTGGCCGGATAGGGTCAAGGCCTCTCTCGCGATATGGTTTCCGGTAGCCCCAGTGTGGCCCAATGGACGCGCTCAAGGGACGCGAACAGGCAGGGAAACATAGCGCTGCGTGCAACATTACTCAAAACGCGGGGAAATGCACCACGCAGAGTCGCTCGACACCTCCAGCAAAGATCTCAACCTGAGTCTCTTGACCCAGAATCTTCTAGCCCTCGTGCCGAACCCGACGTTAGCCTCTGCCAGGGGAGCTTATGCCACGCGACGCCCCGCCCGAGAATTTAAACGACCGCTCTTCTGCAGGATGCCACGGAAGCCCAGTCGCCCGCGTGTCCGGTCCCTCTCTCGCCTTTCTCTTCCATCGCGCCCAAGTTTTCTCCCCTTGAACTATGGACAAGATTGACGACGTCCCTAAGACCGAGGAACAACAGCAGCAACAGCACAACATGGCTCATCCTCACAAGGAGATTGCTGTCCACACCGATCGGCCCGTCCTCGAGAGGAGGGAAGCCTACGGTCCGCCAGGTGAGCAATTGTGCTCTCTTTCGACGAATCCGTACTCTAACGCCTCTATTCGCAGGTTTCCGTGGCCTCTTCACCTGCTATTATGTCGCCCTTTGCGCCGCCTTCTCCGCCTTGGGCGGCTTGCTCTTCGGATACGAGTAAATATTCCAATGGCCCTCAACTCAACGAATCCCGTATAATAACATCTCCTTCCTTACAGCCAGGGCGTTGTGTCGGTTATCCTCGTCATGCCCCAATTCCTCGACCGATTCTCTCGCGTTGCGGATGGCGCGGCTGGTGCAGGTTTCTGGAAAGGATTGCTCACCGCAATGATTGAACTCGGGGCATTGATCGGTATGATGGCCAATTTAGGCACGACAAGTGGATGAAGCTGATTATGATAGGCGCTTTCAACCAAGGATGGATCGCAGACAAGTTTTCCCGGAAGTACAGCATTGTCATGGCCGTCTGCGTTTTTACTGTTGGCTCTGCGCTTCAGGTTGCTGCCGTAGATTATGCGATGCTTGTGGTGGCGCGCTTGATAGGCGGTGTTGGCATTGGCATGTTTGTCTCCCCATGGCCTTCTCTATTTGCTCCATACTGATCCCCTGTACAGGCTTTCCATGGTTGCGCCTCTGTTCATCTCCGAAATCTCTCCCCCCGAAATCCGCGGCGCGCTTCTTGTCCTGGAAGAGTTCAGCATCGTTACCGGCATCGTTATCGCATACTGGATCACATATGGCACGCGGTTTATCAGCTCAGAGTGGTCATGGCGCCTGCCGTTTCTGCTTCAGATTGTTCCCGGCCTTGTTCTTGGCGTTGGCATCCTCTTCCTGCCGTTTTCTCCTAGATGGCTTGCCTCCAAGGGCCGCGACGAGGATTCGTTGAAGAACCTGGCCAAGCTCCGACAATTGCCTGCCTCCGACTCCCGGGTCTTGCAGGAGTGGTATGACATTCGGGCCGAGGTTGCCTTCCAGAAGGAGATCCAGCAGGAGAGGCACCCGAAGCTGTTCGGTAGCAGGGCGAAGCTCGACCGTATTAAGCTCGAATTGGCTGCATGGGCAGACTGCTTCAAGCGCGGATGCTGGAGGAGGACCCACGTTGGAATGGGTCTTATGTTCTTCCAACAGTTCGTTGGCATAAACGCCCTGATTTACTACGCGCCGACGCTGTTCAAGACCATGGGCCAGGATTACGATATGCAGCTGGTGCTCGCTGGCGTTTTGAACGTTGCTCAGCTGGTCGGCGTAGCCTCTTCCATCTGGACAATGGACAAGGTTGGCAGGCGTCCCCTTTTGCTGGGAGGAAGCTTGGTCATGTTTATTGCTCACTTGATCATTGCGGTGCTCGTGGGCAAATTTGACAAGGACTGGCCAGCTCACAAGCCGGAGGGTTGGGCCAGCGTGGCCTTCCTCTTTGTTTACATGCTCGGTAAGTTCTTCTTAGTTCCCATTGGGCTTTTGGGTCTTGTTCTTACATTTACTGCAGCTTTCGGCGCTTCCTGGGGTCCCGTGCCTTGGGCGATGCCTGCGGAAATTTTCCCGTCCTCTCTCCGCGCCAAGGGTGTTTCTTTGTCGACGTGCTCCAACTGGCTCAACAACTTCATCATTGGTCTCATTACGCCTCCGCTCGTTGAGAACACGGGATATGGTGCTTACACGTTCTTCGCCGTGTTCTGTTTGTTGTCGCTTGTTTGGACATAGTAAGTGTTGTCGCTTAGCAGTATAAACCGACGCTTTCTAACTCAGCTCCAGCTTCTTTGTCCCCGAGACCAACGGACGCTCCCTCGAGCAGATGGACCATGTGTTCAAGGACTTCAGCAACGAAGAGGAGGAAGCGAGAAGATTAAGGATCGAGGCCGAGATCATTAGGAGCGTTCCCCTTGACAACAACTCGGACGACGAGGAGAAGATGGTGGCCGTGTGATGAGGGATGAGAAACGAGATGACAGTGATGACGCGGATGACTATGATTGTCTCACGCATGCGCTTGGAACGACTTTCTATTTTCTACGTAACGCCTATATATGTACACACGCTCTTAATGAATAATTATCACAAGTCAAAATTAAAATCAAGCATAGTGGTGAAGTGCCTTACAAGGGCGGGCTGAGTGTTTGGTAAGTAACTTGCAAATGAACGTTGGTCCCGGATGATCTGCCTACCCCTCAATTGTATTTGACATGGAATCTACTGTGCCCGCCGAGCATCCCCGGGGTAGTTATAATTAGCTACATATAACTCTATAGCTAGTAAATACTTGGTAGCTATCAAATATATAAAGGGAAGAAGAAGAAAAAGATACAAGGTATTGAAAAATACATAAAAAGCATCTCACAATGTGCAGGAGAAATAAGATATCTCCGTGCTTTCATAATGATTTATATACGTTTACAGGTGCTATCACGTGGGTTGGGCAGAAACATTCAGAAGGGGTGAGCAAATTATCCGGGGCCATGAACGTTCAGGTCCATGTGCGGGGTAACAAAGTCCATGTCCATGGAACAGCAAACGCCGAATATCGGGCGGACGGACAGGAGTTCATTCGAGTTGTATTAAGGGAGAGAGAGAGACAGACTGATTTCGGCCTCCCATGATCTATAAATTCACCACAGCACGCGTCGTTGCAGTGGCACGCGGCAGGCAGCGCGTTCGCTTATTAAAGATCAGCTCCATTCCCCGCCGCGTGCCCATCCTTGCTTGACCTTGTGACTTGGTCCTGCTCCAGCCTGCCGCCCCTTCGCCAGTCGGCGCAGGAACACTGCTTGCGGAGTGTGCGCAGGTCGTGTTGCGCTAGCCCTAAGGACCAACGGTGACAAGGTTGCCGAACAGCGCATCGTCGTCACAGCCAGCTCAAAGCCCCTCATTCCTCCCCCTCTGAAAGGACCAGCAACGAGCACAACATACTGCAGCCCGGCCTCAGGACCTCCTCCCCGCTATCCCTTACCGTCTTTTTAGACGCGCCAGCGAACCAACCCTTGTTCGGCGACCGCATCACCGCCCACCATGTCGCAATTCTTTGAGAATCTTTGGAACTCCATCTTCACCCCCGGGCCCACCCCCACCCTCCTCGTCGCCACAAACGCCAGCTTCGCGGCCCTTCAGATCACCCTCTTCGGCCTCTTGGTCGCAACGTACAGCATACATTTCGTCATACTTTCATTCCTGTGCGGCGGATTATGGTGGGCTATCAACTGGTTTGCCAACGAGCTCCGGCTCGCCAACGAGAAGGAGGAGGCCGCGAAGAGGATCAGGGAAAGACGAGGCAAAGAGAGCGGCCGGAGCAAGGACGGCGAGAGCTCGGTGGCCACCAAGGTTAGCGCCGCCGAGGGCAGGGAAGGCGGCGAGGGAGAGGGCATGGACACCGGCGACGACACGGAGACGGAGACGGAGGATCTCAAGAAGAGCATTCATAGCAGTGCTAGCGCCGATGCGTCGCCGGCGCAAACGAACATCGCAAGTGCAGGCGCGGGCACGACGACGGGCGCACAGCCCAGCCTTGCACCCACGAGCGACGATGCTTTGACGAGGAGAAAGGCCTCGGCGGAGGGCGCGGAGAGCAGCACAGACAGCGAGTGGGAGAAGGTTGAGGAAGAAGGTGAAGGATATGGCCGTTTGGGTGGGATCAAGCGTGTCGGGTAACTTTCAGGAACCAGTACTCCCGCAGAGGGGTTCTGGAGACATTCAATAAATAGTAAACTGCTTGCATTCTAGAGTATTTCCTCATGGGTTGCTGCACGGCGTCGGGATTGAAAACGACGTAATTTTTGAGTGACTTGTCGGTAAGTTACGTGACGGGCAAGCTCGGGCACCTTGGCTTGGCCCGTCACGCTCAAACTCCACCACCTTCGACATCACTTCGTCAAGCACTTTTGACGCGCCCAAACCACCTGCGCAGGAATCACACCCGCTTGACAAGCACAATCCGGAGTCGCCAAAATGAAGCTCGTCAGGTAAGCTAGCTTCCCGCCAATTTCGCGGAGCGTAGCGCGGGCTAAGCTTTTCTCCATCAAGGCTCGTCGACCGCGAACCAGGCTGACGGCTTCTGGGACAGGTTCCTTATGAAATGCCAGAATGAGACGGTCACGATCGAGCTCAAGAACGGTTAGTCATCTGCGATACGTGCTCGTTATGCGAGGCGCAAGACATCTTTACGCGCCGCGCGGACTCTGACAGCGTCACCTAACCAGGCACCATTATCCATGGCACAATTGCCTCTGTTTCTCCCCAGATGAACACGGCTCTCCGTACCGTCAAGATGACCCCGAAGGGCCGCGAAACTCTCTCGTTGGAGTCGATCAACATCCGCGGATCAAACATCCGCTACTACATCCTCCCCGACAGCCTGCCGCTGGACACTCTCCTCATTGACGACGCGCCTAAGCCCAAGAACAAGGCCAGGAAGGAGCAGGCTGACCGTGGCGGACGTGGCGGCCGCGGAGGCCCGAGGGGTAGGGGCCGTGGCCGTGGCGGCAGGGGACGTGGTGGTGGCAGGGGCTTCTAAACAGTTTGAGGCTTGGATCGACACGGAAAGAGCAGCGGCTTTGAGCTGGGTTTCACGATATGAAGAAAAAGTGGTGAAGGCGATCCCGAATCATGGCTGGTTCGACACTGAAGATAACCCGCGCTCTCACGTATAATGGCGCGGAAAAGAGGTCTGCGCTTCGGAGCCTGGTGGGGGATATGGGCTATTCTGCGAGAGTGCTTGAGGCAATTACGTTGCCTGTTTGGCGTAACTGGATATTGCAGGAATGACAGCGAAAAGTAACACCATTGCGCACGTTTTGAAGAGCAAGCGACTCTTGTGGTTGAAAGAGCAGCGCGATTGCGGCCCACGACACGGTTCACCCAGCAACTAACCTCAATGTTCTTGTGCACAGCGAAGGCGCGAAAGAAGACGATTGATTAGATTTTCCAGCTTCACATGACGTGAACAGCAGCGCGGAATCTTGGCGCGTTTGGGCAGGTTGCGTCAGTGCGCGCGCAGTCAACGGTTGACGGGTTCCGGCTAGGGGACCCCGCAACGATCGCCGCCATTGAGGCCCGCCGAGCACGCAAGACACTCCTCGATATGAGGTGCACTACAGCGCCGAGCACGCAATGCCTGGTCGTCACGCCATTTCCGAGCCTCTCAAGGCCTGTCGTCGTCCTCGGGCGTGAATGGTTTAAGACTCTACCCCTCCTAGACCATTTTATTTCCTGCGCCGCTTTTCCCCTCCACACTGCTTAGTCTTACCTGCCTATCTACTCTCTCATTTTTACACAATGGCACCTGCCCTCACAGACTCAATCCCTCCACCCCCGTATACTGTGCCCTCCAAGGCCACGATCAACACAGATGTCTTCCCTGACGGCCTCAAGACCTCGGGACAGCATGCCCCCCTCTACGACAAGCTCCGACCTTACTCTGAATTTCCCAAGGAGATAACAGGCCCTACAGTGTGGAAGGCCGAGGACTACAAGAACAACCCGGAGCGCTGGACGCATCCCTTAAGTGAAGAGGAGGTTGCCGAGTTGGGCGAAGCAGCTGATCGCTTCATTGAGGCTGGCACTCCATTGACTGGCATTTCCCAGGTAAAGAACCCCAAGCATCTGATTGGTTCGATAATGTGTAGCTGACGTCTCCACCCAGGGCAACTTCCAAATTCCGAAGCTCTCGAGGACTATGACAGCACTGCGCAATGAACTGCTCAATGGCAAAGGATTCATCTTATTCAAGGGATTCCCTGTAGAGAAATGGGGCGTCCACAAGAGCGCGGTTGCATACATGGGCCTTGGGACTTACTTGGGGTACTTTGTATCCCAAAACGGCCGCGGTCATATCTTGGGCCACGTCAAGGACGTTGGTGATGACCCCACGCAGATCGACTCCGTCCGCATCTACAGGACAAACGCGCGGTAAGCATAACACAGCCTCTTGCAGTCGAGACACGTAGCATCAAGCTAACACGAGCATAAAAAGCCAATTCTTCCACGCCGACGACTCGGACATTGTCGGCCTGCTCTGCATCGCGCGCGCGCTGGAGGGCGGCGAGTCAGACATAGTCTCCTCGCACCACGTGTGGAACACGCTGCAGCGCGAGCGCCCGGACGTGGCCGAGACGCTGACGCAGCCCATCTGGTACTTTGACCGCAAGGGCGAGACGAGCCAGGGCCAGGACGGCTGGATCCGCACCAGCATCTTCTACCTCGAGACGGGCGAGAGCCCGCGCGTGTACTCCAAGTACAGCACCTTGGTCCCTCCTGCCCTGTCAACCCCCATGTCCCCATCTCTCCCCAAACCCACAACCGTACCTACAAGGCGCAGACAAGCTAACACACAACACACACAGATGGGACCCCTACTACGTGCGCTCGCTAACGCGCTACTCGGACGCGGGGCTGATCCCGCCCCTCTCGGCCGCGCAGGAAGAAGCGGCGCGCGTGCTCGAGGAAACCTGCCTGCGCCTCGCGCTGCACATGATCCTCGAGGTGGGCGACATCCAGTTCCTCTCCAACGAGCACGTGCTGCACGCGCGCACCGAGTACCGCGACCACCCGCCCCCCGCGCCTCGCCGCCACCTGCTGCGCCTGTGGCTCAGCACGCCCGAGGACGAGGGCGGCTGGCGCTTGCCGTTCCATGACTCGCACGAGAAGAAGAGGGGCGGTATCCAGGTTGACGATACGCCTCCACGCGCACCCGATGATGCTGAGTAGGGTGGTTGGCCGGCGGATGGAGGGGTTGGCGTATTCTGTATTGTAGGGGTTTATGTCTTGATCTTATGGGGTGATATGGCGGATGATGCGGACCTTTTGCTGCTGTCACGATACCAAAATGCATGCATACATTGAGAGATTCTTAAATCCTTACTACCTGGGAAGCCTATGACAGCACCTAACATTTTCGGTTGCATGTGCTCTAGCACAGATAACGCGGCTCCATCCAAAGAACTGACCGACTCTTCGCCGCAGCGCTTATGATGAGAAAAGGCCTGGCAACCCCCGCCTCCGATGTCGCTGGATAGGTACTGATCAGTCGCGTGATGAGCTTAGAGTATTGGTGGCCTAGAGAAAACAGATACCAAGCTCTGGTGAGTATTCCGGGGAACAGCCTTGTATGTCTTGCTGTGTGACTTGATCTAAAGCAGTGTTGTTGTTGTTCCAGTTGAGAATGGATTTCAACTAATTGGACACGGAGGGCGTGAAAGAAAGTATGCAGGAACCGTAAACGTGCCCGCTCGCATCGAACTGCTGTCAGCTTGCATTATTGTGTTGAAAGCCGTGTTGGATGTGTGGTGAATCAAGGGTGAATGGAGAAGAAGGGAGGCCATGAAAGTTTGTGTCCACAAACGGGTGCGAACACGCAGCCCCTGTAGCCTCCCGCTATGCATATGCATCCATAGTAGTTTGCTGCCGCCCAAGTCCCAAACTCCGATTGACAATTGCAGTCGCCTCACGCCTCTACATGACAGCGCAGAAAAATGCACAGCCAGGATCACGTCGGCTCGGCCCGCTCCCGATCTTGACGCCGTACCGTTCGCTCCTGATGACTCTGACGATTCTGGGGTTGTAGTGGCCTCTGTAGTCGCAGCAGGGGCAAGAGTACCGGGGAGCTATGCGGCGGCGGTTGGGCTGTGGCAGCGTGGAAACGTGCGTCATGGCCCGGTCTTGGTACATGGGGCAGTTGGTGAGGTTCATCCATGGCGAGCAGGGCATCCGGAGCATCAGCCAGGCGTGGCCGCATTCGAGCGACCTGTAGTATGTCGTGGTGCACATGGTGGTGAGGCGATTGTTCCTTGCAAGTGCTCTTGTTGGTAGTCTGTATTGATTCTCGCGTGTGCTGTGGAGGGGGCTGGGCGAACAGGTTTATAAACAACCAAGCACTTCTTTATGTTAGGGACCACGTCACGCGTGGGAAAAGGATAGTTCTTTTATTGTTTTCCCTCGTGACCGGGATCGTCGTCTTCAAGTTCTTGCTTGCGAATGGCTTGCATGAGCTCGTAAAGCTGGCCGATTTGTTGATCTGGGAAGCGGTTAGAAAGAAAAGGAGCAATCGCGACGGCTCCCGACAGGCGACTGACCGCTCATTTTGTCCAGTTTGCTCTTGTCCAACTTTTCGCCGCGCCACGAGTCGCCTTCAATCTGCTGCGCGTACATCTGCCACTCGGTGAGGAAGCCAATCTGGGCGGCGGCAGTCAGCGGTGCGCGCGCGGGGGGTTGTAGGTGGGCAAGCGCACAATGTGGATTGGGTTCTCGACGTCCTTGTGCGCGCGGAATTCCGACTTGACGTATTCGTCGCCGAGCAGGCGCATCTGCGGGTCCAGCTTTTGGCGATGGGTGCGCAGGATGCGACGATACAGCGGGATGGGAGGCAGCAGGGCAAGCGGGGCGGGCCGCAGCGGTTTGGCGGCGCCGGCAGCCGTTGCTTCAGCCAGACGCAAGGCAATTGAGGGCCTCATTGTGCTATCAACAAGATGGATGCGGCGCGGGGCGGCGAAAGCGGCGGCGGCGGTGATGATGGACGACGGACGCCATTTGGCCGACGTCACTCAGCGATTTTTATACTCCCGCTTCTCGCTCGCCCGCTGCTGCACCATGCTGCCGACGCCCAATACCGCCCACGTCGATTTCGACCGTGTCTACGAGCCGGCCGAGGACTCATTCTTGCTGCTCGACACGCTGTCAGCCGCCGGCGAGACGGCCTTTCTGCATGACCGCTTTGGCGCTGCCGCCTCGCCTCTAGTCGCTGAGGTCGGCCCTGGCTCCGGCGTCGTGCTGGCCTTTGTCGCCCAGAATGCGCGCACCATATTCGGCCGCAGCGACGTGCTGACCCTGGGTCTCGACATCAGCGCCTTTGCCTGCCATGCCACCGACAAGACTGTCCGCTCCGCCATCAAAGAGGCTGCGGCCCCACATAGCATTTATCTCGACGCCCTCAACGCCGATCTGTCCGCGCCGCTCCGTCCGGGAGCTGTAGATGTCCTCATTTTCAATCCTCCCTACGTCCCGGCCGAGATGCCCGACCTGGCGCAACACGAGCGCTACAACCAGTACGCCTCTGGGACGCAAAAGACGACGTTTGAGCAGGATTCGTATCTACTGTCTCTCACGTACGCAGGAGGCGTCGATGGCATGGAGACGACCAACAGGCTATTGGAGGAGCTGCCGCATATTTTGCAGGCAGAGCGCGGCGTAGCGTACATTCTGCTCTGCGCTCAAAACAAGCCGCGCGAAGTCGAGCAGCGGGTCAAGGCGTGGGGCCCGGAATGGTCGGCGGCCAGCGTTGGTTCAAGCGGCAAGCAGGCAGGCTGGGAAAAGCTGCAGATCCTGAGGATATGGCGCAATCCTTGAGAACTACCTATAATACAATACAAATCTACAACGTGTGCGCATTGCTGTGGTGCCGCAAAAGTGTTGCCCGGCCAACAATCGATAGGGCGAGAGTAAACGTCCTGGTCGCTAGCTCGAGCACGTTCACCACCAACCATCAGAGCATGCATGCCTACCACTGCGGAATGAATAGATACCCTTAATTCGTTTCTTCTTGCTTTTTGCTCTACTCTACTCTGCTCTACTCACGACTTCATCCCGACTCTCCATCGCAAACATGTCCGCCGCATACTCGGACAACACGACCACCCACCTCGAATATCCGGCATCAATCATGCAGAAGAAAGCCCGCCCCTCCAGCCTGCGCGCATCGAACAAAATCCCTGCCCTCGACATCTGGGTAGATGATTCGCCGCAAAAGAGGCCAGCCAAGAGGTTAACCGCCGGCAACATCGCACAAGCCCAGGATGGCAGATGGAGCGCCACGCCATCGCAATCAACCCGCCGCAAGCTGCCCACCGACATGGAAAGCGCGCGCCCCAGGAGGCGAAGAGTATCCGCTCTTCTAGCAGAAAAGGGCCTTAACAACACCCCGCGCGCAAGCGCAAACGACGAAAACGCCGCAATGCCACCACGGACGAAGAAATCCGAAATCCAAAAAGAACCCCGCCGCAGGACCATCTATATCCCTTCCGATGATACCACCATCATGACCATCCACCCTGGAGCATTCGCGTCCGGTAGCAGAAATCCCCGCGCCAAATCTCCCGATCTTGGTTTCGACCTGGTAACCGTATCGGAAGAGGAGCCAGGCCAACTCAAGTCAGCACTCAAGCAGAGCCAAAAACCAAGGAAGCCGCTGGTGGCCGCCCCCAAGCGCGCTCCCCTCCAGCAGAGTACGCGCCCATTTCAGGCTGTTTCGTTCGTGGAAGATAGGGTTGGAAAGGGTGTCGGGAAAGAAAACATACCACCAGGAAGGTCATTTAAAGCGGGAGGAAAAGAATCGAAAAAGGCTTCCGCCCAGTTCCCGGAGAAGAAGGACCATTCGAAACAGCCTACCAAGCCAGACGCGATTCGCAGAGTAAGAACCAGTGCAACGGGACCTACGAGCTCTTCGCTGGTCAAAGGCGAGACGACTCGCAAACGTACGAGCTCTGTGAGCTTGCAAAAAGAAACTCCATCCAAGGTGCTCAAATCTGCTCGGTATACCCCCACGGCAAGAGCACCGCTCAAGGAAAAGACACCGAAACATCTGAGAAAGCCCCTCTCTTCTTCAGCCTCTTCTTCGCCCTTCCATAACTCAAGGACGCCTCCACGCGCGTTGCGCCGCCAGAGGCTGGAAAAGGCGCCCTCTAAGCTCAGCGTGCCTATGCTGGCTCAGCAAGCGGAGAAACAAGAGGAGAAGTACCCGGTCCTCTTGGAGGATCTCCAGAGGCCAGAGCTCTACGAGGACAGCTGGCTCAGCTACCAAGAAGTTGCTATCACGCAGCTGGTCAACAACCTGTTCCATTCTGCGGACCCATGTTCCATTGACCAGGAGGCCAAGGAAGGCGATTTAAGAAGGCAGCTTCTGGCAGTATATCAAGAGCCTGCAATTCCGTTGTTGCATAAGCGATTGCAAGCGTCTCTCCTATACGGTGCTTTGAGCATTCCGAAGGACCTGTTAGACAAGGCGCTGCGCCTCAAAGATGACGTTGGACAACGCCGAAAGTTCCTCGATCTCTTTGTCAAGACATATGACCTTTCGCTTCTCAAAGCAGCGGCAGAGGTGGTCATTGGGCGGCAGATCCCTGTATCCTCGAGGCTTTCCTCTGGCTCAACATCATCTGAGAGTGACTCGCGGCACAAGCGCGCAGAGAGAAAGGCGATCGAGGGCTTCCTGGACATTTTCTTCATTCGTAATGAGGATGCTGTTCGTGTCAAGGCTGGCATTGGCAGCATAGCTAGCATTGCGCGAGGACGAGAGCAAGCAGGCGATGACTTTGGATCCCAAGGCTGGTCATGGCGACGTACCGTTCTCCGCAGCTTGATGCTGGTCCTTCTTCTGGACTTGAGCAAGAAGCGTGACATTATCCCAACTCCTCTATTCCAGACAACCTCTAACCACAAATCATCCACTTCGGTCCTTCAGGGGCTGGCAAGTCTTCTCTTGCCTTCTCTGGGTGACCTATCACGACCCCTGGGCCACCTCGACTACCATCTGCACTGCATTCAGTACCCTCTGCAGGAATACGACTATCACATCCGAAACCTAGCAACAGACTTGAGAGATGGTGTCCTTCTGACACGGCTTGTCGAGCTCCTGCTGTACACTCCTGCTACTCTCGCACTCCAAAAGGACAACATTACCGTCACAATGCCCACCGGCGAGCTGCTCACAAGCTCCATCAACGCTAGCGATAAGGAAGCTTTTGTGCTGTCCCAACACCTCAAATACCCCTGCATAGGCCGAGCACAGAAAACATACAACATCCAGATTGCGCTGAGCGCTCTGGAAGGTGTCAAAGGCATCGCCAGCCGCGTCGCTGCAGAAGTCACAGCCGAGGACATCGTAGACGGGCACCGCGAGAAGACTCTCGGCCTCCTATGGGGCCTTGTTGGAAAATGGGGTCTGGAAGCGCTCGTCGACTGGAAGGAAGTGGAGCGTGAGATCCAGCGCCACCGTCAGCAGCACGATGCCGACGAAAACGCCGACCCCGACAGCGACGAGGAGGCTGACCCCGAGGAGCTCGAGGGCCTCGAGAAGCACACCTCTCTCCTGCGCCGCTGGGCGCGGGGCATTGCGCGCGGACGCAGCCTGCGCGTCGCTAACCTCACGACGTCCTTTGCCGACAACCGCGTCCTCGAAGCTGTCGTCGACGCCTACATCGGCTGCATCCCTGCTGTCGCAAACACCGACACAACCACAAGCACGCTGCCCGCAAAACTGCGCTCAATCGGGTGCAGCGCGGCCTTTGTCTCTCTCTTCGCCGCCCCCACAACCGCACACCACTCCAAACCCATCCCCTCCAGCGACTTCACCACCACGACGCTCGCGTTCCTCGCCGCGCGCCTGCTGCCCGCCTCGCGCGCCCACCGCGCCGCCACAACCCTGCAGCGCAGCTACCGCGCCCGCCTCGCCCGCCAGCACGCCTCGCGCCGCGTCGTCCTACTACGCCTGGCCGCGCACTGCGCGACGGTGGTGCGCGCCAGGGAGCATGTCGTCGGCGCCGCCACGGTGCTGCAGCGTGCGTGGCGCCGCGTTCTGGACGCCAGGATCGAGCGCCTCATCGGCGACGTGCTGGGCTTCCAGGCGGTGGCGAGGGGGTGGGCGGCGCGGAGGAGGGTTAATGGTGCGTTGGCTGCGGGGAAGAAGGGAGGCGCCGCTGGGAGGCGCGGAGGGAGGATCAGAGGAGGTTGGTGAGTGAGTGCGTTTGTTGATACACACACCTTTTGTTATTGGTCATGTGGGTTAGGGTTTGGGACTTTGGCGTTGGTTGGCTGGTTGGTTTGGTTTGGTTGACAATGGCGCTTTATTGGAATTCTTACGTTGGAGCAACCCCTTTTAGCGACTTGACATACGTACATACCCTTTCGTCTGTAGAATTAAACGGCCTCTTGTCTCTTGTACCAAATAATCAAAGCTGTTTTATGATTCCCAAGTCACACTTGACCAAATATTTACATAGCCTGCGATTCTAAACATGCATACCGCCGAATCCCCCATCAATCAATTGGATCCATTCCGCTGTCCGGACCAACGCCATCTAAAAAGCACAACGCCTGGGACCATGACTTCTTTATACATATAGGTGAGTGTTGTTCGTCATGTCATCCAATCGGGGTGCAGGTCATCAGTGCCCGGCTTAGCCGCCCCGTTCTCCAAACTCCTTGGCCCAATCCTCAAACTCCTTCAATCCCTGCTTGCTCACGCTGGGCCTGATGCTCGTTAAGCTGGCCTGGAAGTCGGAGAGCTGTATCGGCCTAATCTCGTCCATTGTCATGTGGAGCAGCTTCTCACCGAGCACACGCAACGGCCCCATTGCAGCGTCTTTTGCGAGCGCCGTGATGTCGGAGCCAGAGAAGCCTTGATGGAAAAGTTAGTCTGCGAGAGAGAGAGGACAGTAAGAAATTGCCGCCCAACTTACCTTCTGTTAGTGTTACTAGTTCATCCAAGTCCTCGTCGGTTACACTGTGCTTTTGGTGGCTCAGGAGCGTCTTTAGTTGCAGCTTCCGGACATGATCCTCCGGAAGAGGAATATATTGCCTTCTGACGAACCGCCTTCTTGCCGCTTCATCAATGGCCCAGGGCAGATTAGTGGCGGCAAGTACAAGCACTCGACTAGCATCACCCTTTTCCTTGTCTTTTTCTGTTTGTTCTCGACCTGCAGCTGCTTTTGCCAGGTCGGACCACTGTATCAAAAACTCCGTCTTGATTCGGCGGGTCGCTTCATGTTCGTTTGAACCAGAGCGCGAGGAGAGCAAGGAATCGATTTCATCGACAAATATGATGGAAGGAGAGAGCGCTTTTGCAAGCTGGAAGAGGGCACGCACAAGCTTCTCGGACTCTCCCAGATACTTGCTAGTAAGACTGCTTGCGGAAATAGCGAAAAACGTCGACTTGGACTCTGTTGCAACAGCTCGTGCCAGCATTGTCTTACCTGTGCCCGGTGGACCAAACAATAGCATGCCCCGAGCCGGTTCCCGCAGGCCCATGAAAAGGTCAGGCCGCAAGAAAGGGTACACGACAGTTTCCTTGAGTGCAGACTTGGCCGCTTCAAGGCCGGCAACGTCATTCCAGTGCACTTCGTCGCCTTGAATGACAATCTCATTGAATATCTGCTTGGCTGCAGCTTCGTCAACGCCTTTTGGAAGGCGTTTCATCAGGCGCTCAACGCGCTCTTTCCAGGCCTTTTCTTCAGGAGACAGCTCGGAAGAAGCATTTGTGGAGACATCCGACATCGGACTCGGTGGCGTGTCGGCTTTTGTGGGTGCGGCTATGGCTTTGTCATTTTGCATCGGCTTGGCTTTCTGCTCTAATCCACTGCTCGTGCCGTCTTCTTCGTCTCTGATTGATAGATTATTCATGTGAATTGCCCGCGAAGACTGATCAGCGGCAACAGCTTTGCGGTGAACAGCCAGCGTCGTTTCTAGGCGCTGAACTCTATTTTCTGCTGCCAGATTCATACCTTCTCGGCTGCATCGGGCCTCTGGTGGCTTTGGGGCTACTCTCGGCTTGACTTTCCTCGCATTCAACAGCCCAGGAGGGTATTCAGTGGTTCTAAGGCGAAGGGAACCAGGCTTGGGTATTGGTTGGTTTTCGGGTGCTTTAAGGTTTGGCCAATTCCTAGTTGGAGGGTAATCATTTGGAGGGCTTGGTGTTTTCTTGCGCTCATGCCCTAGGGTTGTCCCTAACGGTGCATTTACAATCAGTGAGGCGGAACCACGATTTGACGCCGTTGAGGGTAAGGAACGTGAACCCCCGATTCCCTCACCGATTCCATTTCCTGTATTTTGACCGGGGGATGTGCTTGCGAAAGGCTCCATTGTTGTAGTAGTGGTTTGTCTTGGTGCTTCCATTGGCGTTCGACTGCTCGCCTCTTTGGACATTGCCGCAGCTGTGAGCGCTTCTTTACTGGCGTTCTCGGCAGCTAACATGGGCATACGAGAGCCAGGACTGGACATGGAGCCCCAAGCCTGTGTTGCGGCCTTGGCAGCAGCGGGAGGCCGGCCTTTCAGACCGCTTGTAAGACGCGACGATGAAGACTTCCTGCCATCCTTGTTCCCAGGACGTAGTGTCCTGAGCATACCAACTTTCTTCTCCGGACTAGGCGTTCGCGACGACTTTTTGAGAGGCGGTACTGACAGGGCTGGTGCAGAGGTTCCGAGACGTGGTGAGACGCGTGACCTAAGACCATCACTGCTTCTGTTGGACAGTAGGGATGGCCTCTTTGGGAGAGCTGGTCTAGAAAGGTCTGGATAGTTGACCGGGGGGATGGTGCCTTGAGCGAGCCAGCCAGCTCTATCTCGGTCTGCCTCTGACTTCGGGGTCGCGCTGGTGGCGTGCAGCACAGGACCGGCAGGTTCTCCCAAAGTCCCATGCTCCTTTCCCTTTTTGGTCTCTTTGCGGCTCTCTTCCAAGGCTTCGAGCAAGTCGACGCGCTCCTTGCATTGTAGCTCGAGTTCACGCAGCGAAGCCTGCAGTGCCTTTTCCGTCTCGGTCTTGGGAGCATAGTTGGCAGGGCGGCGATGGGCATTGAAGTAGTAAATCTGGTCGAGGGCACTGCGCCACGAGCGCAGCGCTTCGGCCTCGTTGCCCTGGCCGGTCAGAGGGCTGAGGTGCGGGGGCGCAGTGGGGGCGTTACCTGGGTCTCGAAGTAGACGGCCGTCGAGCAGACGAGATAGCAGTCGTCGTAAGTCTTCTGCATGGCAGAAGAAGAAGGCTTTTGGCGCATCATCGGGGATGGAGGCGCGGCGGAGAGCGAGTTAGGTTGGGCGCGTGAGTGCAGTCAGCGTACGTTGCTGACGTAGGATGTGTGGCTAGTGAACCAAGCCTTTTAGCGGCGCCAGGATGCTGGTCCATTACTGTAACTACTCTAGCTAGCTATCCGTCTATCCTACATATTTTGATTCGTAAACGCCAGCCCGGACACCCTTCTATGCCTCGTAGTGAAACAAATATCCTACTCCTGGCCTTGCGCGATGAAGAATGCCTTTGCCATTTCGTAGGCCGTCCTGTAGTCATACCGTCAGCAGTGTCCCGAAGCCGGTTCCGGCGTAGCTACTCACCAGCAGATCGCCGTGCTGGGCATCGTCGTCACTATCCGAGGCTTGAGTCCTCTGAAGAAACCTCCCCACCCGTCCCGGCGCTTGATAATGGCCGCGGCCTGCACCAAGCCCCGAACATTGCGGAGCTCCGGGTCGGTGGCAGTGCCTCTAGTTTGCAGCAGTGTCTTGATGACATCGAGCGGCGTCGTGAAGCCCGCAGCGACGCCTCCGGCAAGACCGCCCGCGGTGCAGTGCGTGTAAGGGTCCCAGCGGCCTGTCGGGTTCATCGTTTTGGATAATGACTCGTACGCGACAAATTGCAGCGCCGTGAACGGCACCGTCATGCACAGCGTCGTAGGATACGACACGTAGAATGCACCAACGCCCTCGTTGCGAAACACCGAGCTCGCGCAGTGTTGCAGGGATTTGTAGGTCGATCCGTGAAGCTGCATCCGCTGCTTCATGACTGCTTTGGGTCAGTCCAGAGGCACCAAACGACTCGCGGGCGCCTTCTTACCATCGAAGGGGTTCATGAGCGCATCGCTGGCAATCGTCGCAGATGCACCGCTTACAGCTACCTTTTCGTCAGCTACCGGCCCCCGGCGCATCGAGGGTGCGATTTCGGCGTACCAGCAGCAATAGGGTGATGCTCATGCTTTCCTCCCTCATTTCCGCCCATTGCATGCTTGACCGCTTCGTATGTTGCAAAGTAAACGGCGTGCGCCGGTCCTGTGAAACCGTCAGAGTCGTTGGTGTAAAATTCCGCAGATTCGGCCACTCACCAGCCCCTAGCACCACGCTCGACACGCCTCGCCACAATGTCCGGAACCCCTCCAGCCTTGTGATTGTGATCATGGCATTCGAAATTCCCGTGTACATCGCAGTCGGCGAAGGGTTGGCAACTTGCATGCGGGTCTGCGGGATTCAGTCAGCGCGAGCCCGGCGGCAAGGACAGGCCAACGCACCTTGAGCAGGTCAATCGGATACATCACCGAATGTTCCTATAGTATGTGAGCATGCGCGCAACTGTCTCGGGCAAGGCGGCAAAAACATACGGCGATGCCAGCGAACGCGCCTGCCAGCATGTTCGCGGCGAGAGAGTAGTTGGGCGGTAGAGATTCATAGCTAGACATTGTAAGCGTAGCTCCTGCCAAGGTGTGCGCATTGAATCCAGGCCTACTCGTATTCAACTTCTTCTACAGGAGCTGGTACTCTGTCGTGGGCGGCCATATAAGCCACCACGCCCGGTGCTCGTTCGGTAGCTATGGTTGCGGTGGTGAAAGGCCGGGGGCGGGAATGTGAGGGCTGGACAATTGACAGGCCAGAGAGAATGCGCGAAAGAAAGTGGTCAGCGTGCAATCATTCGCGGTCCGGTGGTGGTAAATTAGCTGGAGCGAAGAGGCGACCGCCGTCACTTTTGTCAAAGCTGCCCGTCGGATGTACGTAAAGTACATCCGCGGACCTCCAACCATGCACTAGTCGTGTTTATGTCATCCCGTCAGCCTCGACCGCAACCTCACAAATTTAAAGGCAATTGTTGGGTTTGGACTAACGATGGAGTTGGCCGCCACTAATGTGTCATTCATGCCTCGGCTTCTTGTATCTCTCAGGTATTGTAAAATTCAAACGACGTACACGCTTCTACAACCTGTCTCATTGGAGGCCAGGCAAATCTACAGAGCACAAGGCGAGTCAGCCCTGGCGTGTCTATCCCATGCTTCGTGGTGTACCAGGTCTTGGTCGCCGCTCCCAGATGGCCTTGCGTCTGGTAGGTCCTCAGTGTTGCCGACTACTGTCGGGAGTGTACACACAACCCTGTTGGTGAAAAGCCCACTGCGCATGTTCAGGCAAAATCACCCTCAACAATCGCACCGCTGGTGCCACCTGGGGAAGCCGACAACATCTCGAATGTTCGGTACACCAGACAGGTATCCTAAAAGCCTGTCGAAACCTATGCCAAATCCGCCGTGGGGGACGCTGCCATATCGTCGAAGATCCACATACCATTGCAGGTCGCTGGGTTTATTTGAGGAGCCAAGTTCCACATCAGCTTCCGGTTCCGCAATTGTATGAGAGTTCGTGCCGCGCGCTGCGTCGTCATGATCACTTGGCCTCCGCAGGCCATGCAAATCCATGGCGGCAAGCAGCTCGGGCAGGCGATGCTCACGCATGGACCCACCAACTAGTTCGCAGATCTCGGGCACCAGAAGATCGAAGCAGGCTACGGTCGGTGAGGCGTTTGGTACTTCTGGACCATAGGTCGAAGGAGCCATATAGAACGGTTTCACGGCGCGAGGATAGTCAGTTACAAAGACCGGTCCTCCTTGCCCGATGTGTTCGGCAATAAATCTCTCGTGCTCAGCTTGCAACCCCTCATTGAATGACGGTTTGAAGTCGAAGATTACCTGGCCTTGTGACTCCGCTTCTTTTAATCTTGAAATAGCTTCGGCATACGTTATGCGTGGCCATGGACCCCTGCGCAGGGCTTCCCACCTCTGTGATAGCGTTTCGGGTGTGATGTTAAGGTGTTCGTCCTCCTTGACCCACGCGGGTGACCTTGCAAGAAGGAGCTCTTTCCCCACCGCTGAATTTGTCAAGTGGTCCGCCACGTCTCGCAGCATCTCCTCGACAATATCCATGATGCCGTCGAGATTCTCCACAAAGCTGACTTCTGCCTCGAGCATGTAGAACTCGCTAAGGTGGCGCGGCGTGTCGCTCTTCTCGGCACGGAACGTCGGGGAAAGCGTCCAAACCTTGCCAACCGACTGCGCCAATGCTTCCAAGTGCAACTGCGAGGAAACGGTTAGGTATTTAGGGGATCTAAAAAAGCGGTCTTTAGGATTATCTTTTTCCGTTGACACGCAAAAGACCTCGCCGGCGCCTTCACAGTCCGAGGAAGTTATAATGGGCGGCTGAGTCTGGATAAATTCGCGCGTGGAGAAGAATGCAGTGACGTCGGCAATGACTTGCGAGCGCAAGCGTAGCATCAAGGAGTTGAAGGGTGTGCGAGTGCGTAGATGAGGCAGAGTACGGAGGAACTCGGGGCTGTGGTACTTCTTTTGCAATGGATAAGACTAGCGAGCAGGTCAGTGAAGAAGGCGCATGTGGCACGGGTGGACAGCTCTCACGACAGCGTCATGGTGGCCGAGGATGCGAACGTTGTGGGCGTGCAACTCGTGGGCTTGCTGCTTGCCCGAAGGCGAGGTTTGCCATTGGCCGGATACAGCGACGCCGACACCAGTCGAGAGGCTACAGACGTTGAGCGTCAGCAAAGCCGCGGCAGCATCTGGCAGGGCGGGCTCACCCACTCACCCTGCGGCCTGCTCGGGGCTCAGGACGACCTGCAGCGACTCGAGGGAGGAGCCATCGCCGACGGCAGCAAAGGCAATGCGCTTCTGTTTGCGGACGGAGCGCACAAAGCCATTGACAGTGACCGTTTCACCCGACGTCGTCGTGGCGGGCCGCTGGCGGCGGAGGAGAGCAGCAACGGAGGAGGCGGCCACTCGTTGCACACGGAAGCAGCCAGGCGGCACGGAAGCAGCGCACAGCGGCCGGCGCAGCAGCGGCATTGCGAGGGTGTGGGAGGTGTGGGAGGACGGGCGCGGCGCGGTCGAGGTTGCGCTGTTCCTGCATGGATGATGAGGCGATGTCAGATTTCACTTCATCGCTGGTGCTACCATCGCACAGTGTCAGAAGCGCGAATGCCAGGACCGGCGCATTCGCGATCCTGCAGCAGCCTCGCCCTCCACCCACCTCCACATCTCAGATCCGTCACGGGGCCCGACGATCTGGAAATGGGCCAGAGTCAGGACGGCCTTCCCTTGCTGCCACCGGCCATGCAGCGCCTGGAACACAGCAAGATCGCGCCCTGCGCCTGAACCGCATCTTCGAAACACCATTTCCTAGTCAGGACCCGCGTGTTCCCATTCGCTGCTTTGTGCTGCTACAATGCCATTTGGCCCAACATATAGCCATGCCTCCTACTTGCTTTCCGTCTCACCACCACCCTCCCGCTTCCTCACCATGCCTCCATCTAGACCCAGACCCTCCGAGATTGCCGCAGAGGCAAAAAGGACTTACATTCCTTACATCGAACGGCAGATGCCCGAATATCCAGCCTGGTCCGCTCTCCAGCCAAATCCTCCCCCCGTCGCCCTCGAGCCCGATGCTAGGATCAAGGAGCGCCTCCGCGTCGCCATCATCGACGGGGATCCTGTCGACGTGGCTTTGGATTGGTACCGCTACGGCCGCCAGAATGGCACCATTCCCCCGTCCGCTCTCAGGATCCCCGTTGTCAACATGGCCAACGAGAGGCGTGCCGGTGGGGATTGGGAATCGGGCCTGCTTGCACCTGAAGAATGCTTCGCTAGAAGGAGCAACCTCGTGCGAACCTTGTTGTGCCCCTGGGGGTCCCAGTATGCAAACCCTCACTATCCCATACCTCAAAGAGGCGGCATATATTCCCCACACGTTGGTGAGTGATTGTTTCCGAGCATGTAAATGTGAGCATGACATTGATCCCCCATTCAGTCGTCTATCGCGACGGCCCAGAAGCATACCATGTCTGGAGGGAGTTTCGGGTCCTGCCAGTCATATCCGTAGCACCGGTGCGGCGCCCGAAACTCGACGAGACCGGCTGCCAGTATTCATTTGAACAGGAGAAAGAACTGATGCTCGACAAAATGCGCACTGTCCTGCGTATGACGGTCTTGTACGGGCATAGAGATCTCTGCCTTGGTGCATTCGGCGTTGGTCCGGGTTTCCGTAATCCTGCTGCGGAAGTGGCCAAGATGTGGAAAGGCTTGTTGTTTCACGAAGAAGAGTTTCAGGGTGCCTTCGCCAACGTGGTCTTTGCCATAGAGACCAGTCAACCCGGAAACAAAGGGGGCCCTTCGGAATATGAAATCTTCAAGCAGGAATTCGACCCGTCCAACGTCTTCAGAACCACGTATCGGCAGTAGCTCGAGCCAGGAGCTCGTTCGGTGCATGGAGGGCTATCTTCTCTTCTTTTCGGGCGCGGGCGCTTTGTTCCCCTCATTGTTCAATGCCAATTTTCGGTCTTGCTTTGTTGTTTGGGACGAGCAGCCGACAGAATCATTCCTTGCAAGTTGAATGCGAACAATTCTGTAGCAACGTATCTGCTATTCCCGAGGGACGAATGACTTTGAGCCACGCTGTATTTCCTTTGCTCTTGTACATCTGTCGACATGAAACAGCCATGATGGCAGTTCCGGTCGTCCAAGCCTAGGCAGCCAATGGTGCTCACCTCACCCCACCACGAGGAAACGGCATGTCGCCCCGATGCATCATGCACCCGCGAGGGTTCACGGATAGGAGACAGAAGTTGGGTCGGGAGGTGGGAGACGGCAGTATCGGGCCTGCCCAGTTCATGTACAAATTCGGACGTCAGTTGCACATTGCCGGCGCGGAGGTAACTCCGTGCTTCCCTGCCTACAATCGGCCGGTGCACGTTTGGGGTCTCGGGCAAAGACCAGATGACGCATCGAAGCCGTGTCTCGAGCGCACAGGGGATGTGCAGCCCGTGCTGGCGATGCATCGGCTGCACGCACTGGCTACACGCAATCCGACGTCAATCAGCCCAAGAGACAGCTTCCCGCGTTCAAGCAGGCAGTCACCGGTCGCCACATCACAAACATGCTACACCAAGACCGCCGACACCTGCGATTCCCTGTTATTCGTACACTCGCCATCGCTCTGCCTCCTGTGGTGGAATTATGCCCGGCTCTGCGGGAGCGGCTGTGCGCCTTCGGCCTCGAGCTGTTTCAGCGTCTGCTCCTTCTTGTAGTCCACGATTCGGCGTTTCTTGAAGTATTGCACCTGCATCAATCCAGGACCGGCATCAGCAACACTCAACCTACGACGCCTGCGCCGACTTACCCAGCTGCTGGCGCAGTTTTGCTCAAACACTTGTCCCTCCTTGCCGCATTGCGCCGCCGCCGTGTCCTTGTTCGTAACGCTATCGATGATGTTGTGTTGGTCGAGGCATCGGAAGTAAGCATCGCGAGCTTCCCAGCATTGCGCGCGACGGGAGCGGTCGGGTGCTTCGAAGGCGCCGTCGGACGAGGGCTTTGGGCCGGCGGGCTTCGGCGACTCGGACGAAAACCAACCCATAGTCTTTGAACGAGGGTGACAAGGTGAGTGGAAGAGTTGCAAAGTTCTCCAAGTTCTGCGTGTGTTGACGGCAATGTGAATGAGTTCTTGATTATGTAATTACACTACTTCCGACGTTGTGCCGTCCAAGCATGCGTAGGTACGCCAAGGCAACCCCGGTTTCATGCAACGTCGGGGGCTACCTGTCGTCCACCTCTGCATAGTCCTCGGTCTTCCACACAGAGTTGATGCCTCGTCGCCGACGACCACCCCGTCCCGGCGCTCTCGCAGATGTCGCGCCTCTTCGCATTTTCACCCAGATCGTTCTACTCCAGCTTGCCTATTACCTATCTGCTGCCATCCTGATTCTATTCACGGCCTTGGTCGCAGGGAAGGATGTCAACCTCGATTTGCTGCTTAGTTGGCGCAGTTTGCGCGGGGATGTAACCGTCGGCTGGATGCTGGGCCTTATCTGGATGCTGAACAGCCTGATCTGGTATGTTCTTTGAAGTTCGCCTGCTGATGATCTCTAACACCATCTGTCGCGCAGCGTCATATACCTCCTTCTCTTGGTCGCTCGCTCTAAGCTGATCCCCGACTTTGCTCTTACCATCCACTTCCTCCACCTGCTCGTAACCTCACTTTACTCGCATTCGATCCCATCGCATTGGCTCTGGTGGGCGGTGCAGCTGGCTAGTGCTGCTTTGATGACATTCTTGGGGATTTGGAGTTGTCAGTGGAGAGAGCTCAGGCCAATCAATTTCGGTGGCGGCGGAGGACCCAGTCGCCCTGCGAAAAGGGGAGACGTTCCGGAGAACGATGCGCAAGCGGATGAAGGAACGAGCTATGGGAGGGGTAGGGGCCGGGACAGAGGCCAGTACGAAATGGTCTCGACTGTGCCTAGTGAAGAGAATGTATAGAGTTTGGTCGTTCCTGTGCATAGTTGGCGTTCTACCGGAAAGATGATACCACGGGTCCACCAGAACCAACTGTCTGTTGAGGGTGAAAGGGTTGTAATTTATCTATCACCAAATTATGGATCTCTTTTTCACAAGTGTAGTATAAAACCGGCCGGGCTTAACGTTAGTGGCGCCGGCTGCGAAAGTGAGGGAAAGCCCTACGTAGTAGCTTCCCACTCGGCAATAAATAAACTGTGGTCCGTGCATAGATCGCCGTGCTCGACTTTCGCGGCAATACTAACCTCTTTGATCTTTTGTCTGCACCTTCTCCCGCTATTATTCTAGCCTCACACGCCCCTGCTCTCGGCAATAGGACACGCTTAAGGGCTCTTGCCAGCGGATGAAAGTTGTTTTCACCATCATGGACGGCTTCGATGATGATTACTACGTGACGCAGCACGAGCAATATCACAATCCGTTTGCCGCTCTGCTTCCGCCAGGCTTTGGCTCTGCAGACCTAACTGGGTACGACAATCAGCCCCATGATGCACACTACCCGCCAGATCATGGGTATTATGGCCAGGGACCCATCGTTCACGAGGGGTTTATCCCAGCCGAGGAAGATACGCAGTATAACGAAGATTCCCATTTTCACTTTGGTCGGGGCTATTCCCGGTACCCTAGTCCAACACGATTCGAGTCCTCACAAGCTGAGGATGATGTGGGTGTGGATGGGAGTGATGAAGGGGACGAAGATGGTGTGCTGATGAACGAGGAACTTGTTCTTAACTCGGAAATGCCGGATAATAACGACCCTTCTTTTGATCCGGACTTCTCCATGTCAGACGGAGATGCAGTACCTGATGAAGCTTCCGACCAAGACGTCGACTCTGAGTACGAGTCGGAGCCCGAAGGAAAGCGCGGCGCTGGGCGAGGACGAGGACGAGGACGAGGAAGAGCACGGGGCCGAGCAAGGGGCGAAGGGCGAGGTCGCAGTCGCGGTCGCGGCCGGGGCCGTGGAAGAGGTCGTGGTAACAGAGATGCTGGCGAAGGTAGGGCGCAAGGATCTCAAAGGGGGAAAAGAGGGCCCCGTGAACCCAAGGATCCCGGTCCAGAATTCAAGCGTATAATGGCCCAAGCGACTCAATCATGGCTCAATGAAGAACTTGATCCAGCTCTCAAATATGCGAGCGAGGCCATCAAGATCAACCCCGAGGTTTTCGCCGCTTACAATCTTCTCTCCGAGATTCTTTACGCGAAGCACCAATACGAGGCATCCGTACATGCACTTTCTATGGGTGCACTCCTACAGAGAGACGTAAATCTCTGGCATCAAATTGCTGCTAGAGTACTTGAGTTGGAAGGCGACGAAAAAGACCGCCTTGAATGGGCTCACCGATGTTTTAGTCAAGTCATTCGTATCGATACCAATGATTGGGAAGCGCGCTGCAGAAGACTCGATTTTCAGCTAAGATTCAACCACAAGGGTCAAGCAAAGTCCGAGTTGGAGATGATGCTGAAGATCGAAGGTCATGAGAATGATGTTGACAGACTACAGCAGTTGGCTGAGCTATGTGCGGTTACTCACGAGCCGGAGAGGGCTGTAGAACCTTTCCAGAAAGCCTTGAAGCATCACATGAAAACTTCCAAGTCTGAATACAGTCAGCTTGATTGGCAAATCCTCAACAGCTATTTGGAGTTGATGCAGACTCTGAAGCGGTATGAAGAAGCGATCCCTTACCTTCGAGCTGGTGCCCGCTGGATCCTTGGTCGAGAGGATGAATCGTTCTGGGATTCCCAGCTAGATGACCGTGAATGGGACATGGACGATGAGCCTAGAAGAGTTCAAGTGGAACAGTTCGTGCCCGGGAGACATAGCTCTGAGACATATGGAGCCGGCTTGCCATTAGAGATCAGGGTCAAACTTGGCATGTTCCGTCTCGGGCTAGGCTCTGGTCATTATGAAGAAGCTTTGGTAAGTTTTGAAACCAGTCTGGACATCTGGAAAATACTAATTGTCTGCCGTAGGCCCATTTTGAATACCTGCAGCCCGAGGACGAGTCTGAACTAGCCAACGTGTTCGACTTTGACGATTTGTTCAGGGAAGTCGCCGATGCACTCACCATCTCAGGCAGCCATAGCGAAGCACTTCGTTATTACATGGCTCTCCGGAAGATACCGGAAGTTCCCCAGACAGCTCTTTGCATCTCAATCGCAGCATGTTACTGGGCGCTTCGACGCCCGGACGATGCTGAAGCATTCATAGAATCGGCATTGGGAGCTGCCGGCACCAACCTTTCCGCTCGTGTGCAAGTTGCGCGATTTTTCCAAGACTGGGGCATGACCTCCAGATGTGAAGATATAGCTCAAGACGTCATTGCAAAGGGAGGCTTGGATATTGTCAAAAGAGCTCGTCTCAATGTGCAGATGTCTAGTGCGCATAAAGCCTTACAAGTAAAAGACTCCGCTGGAAAACTAAAGTCAACCAAGCAAGCTGCAACCCAGGACCTCCTCCCGGCGCCAACTACTTTGCAGTCTCTGGAAGCCAAGAGGCCGGTCACTAGGTCAAGAGTTTCAAGAGTTTCAAAAGAGCCTAAAGAACGAAGGCGCAGACTCCGTGGTTTGTTGGACACAGAGAAAGAAAAGCTTGAAGAGGCGCAGCTTCGGGACAGAGCCATAAGAGAATACTATCAAGAGCTGGTATCTCTTCAGAGCTCTGTAGACGCTGGTGATGAAGAAGCAGTAACAGCATACATGGATGCTGCAAGTGAAATGGTTGATGAATTTCGGAGGATGGAGGCATTCTATCCTAGGAATGACAAAACCCTCAAGTTTACCGGCTATGTTGGTCGCGCTACCGGTCCATCTAAGATGAGGGAATCAACACTGGCCTATCTCGCGACACTCTCAAATCGCGCGGGCGCAACAGAAGCAGACCCAGAGAGCCATATGTACAACGGCGAGAAAGCACCCGAAGACTTCCACGATATCCCTTTCGACGAGTGGCTAGATATATTCTGCCAATACGCCTTGCTTTTAGCAAAGCGAGGTATCAACGGACGCTGCTGGATCGTTATCCAGGCGGCTGCCGGGGCGAACATCTTTCATCACGATGCTAAGCGCGAACACCATATTCATGTGTGCTGGTTAGCCTGTGCTCTCTTACTCCGCGATGAGGAGCACCTCTGCAATGCATGCCGTTATTTAATCAAACAACATTCCTATGCGAACGATGCATATCGTCTCTATGGCATGATCAACAGACTGTATGCAGGACATCGGTCCTGGTACAACGGTGGACCATCTCAAAAATTCGTGTTACGGTTGATCAAAGCCATGGACTTTGCTTTGCTCGATGCAGAGGGGCGTAAAATGTACCACTTTGGTGATCAGGAACGTTCTGGTTATACAAGAGGCGGTTTGCACGAAGGAAACCCAGAGGGAATCACTGAGCTTAATGTGGCTCTGCTTGTCATGTACGCCCATGTCCTGGCAACTGGTGGATCCGACATCAACGCTCTCAACTACTACTTCCGCGCCTACAGTCTCGCTCCGGACGATCCGATAATCAATTTCTCGATTGCAGTTTCCTACATTCAGCATGCTATGAAGCGACAGTCGGAGAACCGCCAATATCAAATTGAACAAGGGCTGGCCTTTCTCTACCGTTACTATCAAATACGTACAAGAGAGAACATTGCCATTTTGGTCCAGGAAGCAGAATTCAACGTGGCTCGAATGTGGCATACACTAGGTCTTACGCATTTGGCACTTCCTGCATACGAAAAAGTTTTGTCTCTGAGAGAGCGTGTACGTCTTGAGCACAAGGGAGAATTAAGTAAATCGGAGGATTTCTCGGCAGATGCGGCGTTTGCGATTCAGACAATCCTGGCTTTATCCGAAGAGTTTCAGAGCGCCCGAAGACTTACTGAGAAATGGCTTGTAATATAACTAAGTGGACTATTCTATAATACACTCTTTAATCCCTAAGACTCTTTTAACTTAGTATTATATATATCACGATTTTTTTAAGAGATTATATTAAATAATATAAATTAGTTTGCTCTAATCTATAAATAAGGAGTAGGGTAGAGTATTTAATTAGATTACTTATATTTATAGTAGTATATATTCTAGTAATTTAGTAGTATATATATAATCGCTTTAATTATAGTAAAGATCATTAGGTAGCTTAGATAAATAAAACTCTTAGATTCTTAAATTCTTAGATTCTTAAATCTTTAGGTTTTTAAGTCCTTAGATTTTCAAATATTTCTAAATATTTTTTAAATATTTCTACGGCTATTTACTAAGATATACATTTTTATTACATAATTTCTAAGATATATACACTTAAAAAGTCTCTCTAAGATATATATATATATATCTTAGAAATTATTTTTCTTAGGAATATCTTTAATTTTTTATAAATATATTTTACTTTTTTAAGAGTATATTTCGATTTTTTTGATTTTTTTTTTTTAGAAAATATCTTCAATTTTTTAAGAGTATATATTAGCTTTTTTTTTAAAGAATATATATATGTATGTATTAAGAAATATATTTGATTTCTTAAGAGTAAATTTTAACTTTTTTTTTAGAATATATTTAGTTTTTTTTTAAAGAGTATATTTATCTTTTTTAGTAATATTTTTTTTAAAGAAATATATTCGAATTTTTATAAGTATATTTAATTATTTTAGGGTTTTTTTTAGAATATATTTAGTTTTTTTAAGAGTGTATTTATCTTTTTTTTAGTAACATATTTCCGTTAAAAAAGAGTACTAAGATATATAATTTTTTTTAAAATAATTTCTAAGATATATATATATTTTATAATATACTATAATATATTTATTTATAAGCGAAATATATAAAAATATATATATCTTAAAGAGACTTTTTTAATATATATATCTTAGAGAGACTTTTTCGATATATATATCTTAGAAATTAAACGTAAAAAATTATATATCTTAGTAAATAGTCGTTAATTTTTTTTATAGAAAATATTTAATATTTTACAAATATATTTTCTAAAAAAATATTTCTAAAATAAATATTTTTCTAAATAAAATTCTAAGATATATATTTCTAGGATATATTTTTTAATATTAAAATATTATATATATAGCGTAAAATTTTAAAACGTATATATTTACTTATCTTAAAAATACTATAATAGAGTAGCGTTAGTAAGATAAGTTAGGTAGATAAATTAGCTAACTTAGTAGCTATTCGGCCTAATTAGTAGGTAGAAAGATAAAGAATAACTAGGTAGCTTTAATATACCTAGGTTCTATAGGTAGTTAGCCTATAGAACGGTATTCTCTTATTTAGAAGATAATAATAATAATTCCTAGCCGCGTATTTAGCTTCTTTATAATTTAGTTACTTTATAATTTAAATAGAATCTTATTCTCTTAACCTCTTACTAGTTACTAGTACTACCTAGACTATAAGAACCGCCTTAACGTTTTCTATAGCTAATTAGTTTTATAAGTCGTTACTAGCCTAACTACTAACCTTCCTAGTCTACCTCCGCCGTATAGGTAGAGGACTAAAAAAATATCTATTATTTATAGTATCGCGTTCGCTACCTAATTAGTTATTATTATTATATTATATAATTTTACTAGAGTTTTATAAATTTTCCTAGCTAAATTAGTTTAATTATCTCTCACGCCTCCGCCTATTTACTATCTTACTAGATAACTTTTCCTAGATCTATATAATTACCTAAGATACTATTCCTACGGTATAATAATACTATATATATTTTAGAAAATACTTAAAAAAAATATATATAAATTTTAGTAAATAGGTAAAGATATATTTACTATAAAATACTTTAAATATAATGTAGGCGGCTATTTACTAAGAGATAAATTTTTTTTAAGTATTTTCTAAGATAAATATACCCTTTCTAAGATAATTATATCTAAAAGGTCTCTCTAAGATAAACATACTCTTTCTAAGATAATTATATCTAAAAGGTCTCTCTAAGATATATATATTATTTTAAAGATAAATATATCTTTAAATTCTTCGCTATATATATAGTAATTTTTTATAGAATATATATATATTCTAGAAATTATTTAAAAAACAAAATTCTTTCTTTCTTTTAAATAATTTCTTTTACTTTTTCTAATTTTTTTATATTTTTTTTTTTCTAAATATATATTCTTTACTTTTTTATTAAAAATAAGTTCTGCTTTTTTTTAATAATATATTCTCTTTTTAGTATATTTCGTATTTATTTTTAAAATAAAATCTAAAATATACTTAGCCTTTTTTTTTTAAGAAAAATAGTAGATATATTTTTTTATAAAAACGAGATATATTCCTATAAAGAAGAATATATTTTAGAAAAAGTATAATATTTTCTTAGAAGAGAATAAATTTTTAAAAAGAGTAAAATACTTTCTCTAGAAAAAGGGAATAAAATTTTTTAGCTAGAGAAGAATTTATATATACATATATTTTTTTAAAAAAAATATATATATTCTTAAAACAAATTTAGTCTTTTTTCTTAAAAAAAAAAGGTAAAGATATATATTGTAGAAAAATTAAAAAAAAAATATTTAAAAGAAATATTTTTAAAATAAAAGTATAATATAAATTTACTAAGATAACGAATATTTAGTTTTTAATAAAATATATATATATATATTTTTCTAAAAAAAAAATACTAAGATTTATATACTTTTAAATTATCTTGAGATTAAATGAATATATTTTAGAAAAATAGCTAAAACTATATTTCTTTATATGTTTTCTAAGATATATATAATACGGCTATTTACTAAGATATATACTTTTTTTCGTATAATTTCTAAGATATATATATTTTATATATTTCGCTTACAAATAAATATATTATAATATATTATAAAAAAAATATATATTTTAGAAATACATTTGAGAAAATATACGTATTTTAGTAATTATTTTAAAATAATTATATATCTTAGTAATTTTTTTTATTTAAAAAAATATATTACTAAAAAAAAAGATAAATATACTCTTTAAAAAAAACTTAAAATATATTCTAAAAAAAAGTTAAAAATCTATTACTAGAATATATACATATATACTATTATAAAAGTTAATATATTCTAAAAAAAAAAATTGAAATATACTCTTAATAAATTTTAAAAAATAGATTCAATTTATTTAAAATAAAACTTTTAAAAAAATGTTTCTAAGATACGTATTTTTTTAATATTTATTTCTAAAATACATATTTTTAGTACTAAAATACTATATATAAAGTATAAAACTCTAAGATATATAAATATATATATCTTAGAATTTCTTTAAAATATATATATATATTCTATTCTATTAAGAATATATTTTTTTTCTTTTTTTTAAATATATATATATTTAACTTTTCTCTAAAATATATATTTCTTTTTTAAGAATATACCTCGCTTTTTTTTTTAAAAAAAAAAAGAATATATTTTACTTTTTAGGAATATATTTTTAAAAATTGTAAAAAAACACTCTTAAAAAAAGAAAATTTTTTATTTAGAAAAAGCGAAATATATTCTTTAAAAAAAAGCGATACATATTTTTCAAAAAAGAATAATATAGTTAAAAAATAGCGAAATATATTCTTAAAAAAAGAATATATTTCTAAAGAAAGAATTTCTAAGATATATATACTTTTTAATTTTATTTCTAAGATATATATTCTTATAATATATTATAGTATATTAAAGTTTATAGAGATATATAAAAATATATATATCTTAGAAACTATTCGAAGAAATATATATATCTTAGTAAATAGCCGTTTTTTTGTAAAGAAAATATACTCTTATTTCTCTTATTTTTATTTTTAACTATATTATACTAATATTTATTAGATCTTTTTATTATTATGAAACGGACTATAAATTATATATACTCTTATTCTACCTCTAAAAATTAGAACTATTTAAATTTAACTAAACATCTTACTTCTTGTTGCTAGAAGTTTACTATAAAAAAACCTAGCAATTCGCCTAGTATAGAGTCGATTAAATAAGTAAATTTTATATGGAAAAATATTCTATATTACTAGGTAGCTTAGAGAGCTAAAGATTCTATTTCTTCGAATATTTAAAGTAACTAAAAAGAAATAATTTAAGATATTTAGTATCTTTTTATTAAAAGTATATTTTTATTTAAATATACTAACTATTTTATAGCCTTTTTTTAAAAAAAATTTTAAAGAACTATAAGGAAAAAAAGAAGTCTTACTGAATTTAAAAGAAATTTAGAGATAAAAGAATTCTAGTAAGCTTTTTTTTTTTAAAGAAAAAATTATTATTTAAGAATATATTTTTTAAAAAAAATTAAAAAAAAAGAGTATATTCTCTTTTAAAAAAAACTATATTCTCTTTTAAAAAAAACTAATATATCTTATAAATAGGTATATATTTATTTCTCTAGATATATTTTTAAAGGTAGCTATATTAAATTTATATAAGTATATTTTAATTAATACTATATATATAAGAGATTAACTAGAAAACGGATTTTACTATTACTTAATAGTAATAATATTAGAATAATTATATTTTTAAAATCACTATAGATACTAAAAATAAAGAAAATTAGGTTTAATTTCTTTGATTTCTAGAAAAGTCTTTTAGTTCTACTAAAAAGCGAATTTTCTCCTATAGAAATTAACTAGTTATACTAAATTCTAGTAGAATTATTATTATTTTAGGTTAAAGAAAAGGACTAGTTCGATTATATATTAGCTAAAATTTATCTAAATACCTAGTATTATTTTTACTAGTAGTATATTATTAAAAATATTACTACTAGTTTTAGTTATAAAATTAGCCTGTTTTATAATATAAGCTTTTTTTTAAGAAAATATATTTTTAAAAAACTTAAATTTTTTAAATCTATTCTCTTCTAAAAGTTTAAGTTTTTTTTAAGTTTTTTTATTTTTTTTTTATTTTTTTTTAGAGATATACTAATAAAAAAAGCTTTACTATAAAACTTTTTAATAAGAATTTAATAGAATTTTTTTAAAATTTTCATAAATTAATCTTTTAGCTATAGACTATATTCGCGAAATTTCTCTAGATACTTAGTTAAGAATTAAGGTACTAAAGATATATTCTTAATTTAGCTAATTTATATTAAATATCTTAGAATCGGCTATTCCTCTATTCTCTATAGTTTTTTTTTAAAAAAAAAAAAATACTTCTATATATATATATTCAAAAGAATATACTCTTATTTTCGCTTTTTCTTTAAAAAAAAAAAAGAAAAAATATAAACTTATTTAAATAGTTCTAATACTAGATAGTCTCTATTTCTAATAGAAAATACTAGTAAATTAGGTTTATTTCTTAATAAAACTTATAATTTTATATAAATATTTTTTAAAAAGAATATATTTTAAATTTTTCTCAAGAATAGATTTAAGATTTTCTAGAATTTATTATAAGTATATTTTAATTATTTTTTAATATATATATATTAAGAATATATTTTAGTTTTTTTTTTAAAAAAGAGATTTATTTTAAAGAATATATTAAAGTTTTTTAAAAGTATATTTTCTTAAAAATTTTTACTAAGATATATATATATATATTTAATATATTTCTAAAATATATTATTTTTCTTTTTAATTTTTTTTTTCTAAGATCTATATATTTTTTATAATATATTTATTTATAAGTAAAATATAGAAAAAAGTATATATATCTTAGAAAAACTTTTTAAATTTATATTTTAGAAATATTATATATATTTTACTAGAAAATATGTAAAAAAAAATATATATATATCTTAGTAAATAGCTAATAAGTTACTAGTATATACTATATAGCTTAATTAATATATATATTTTAGAAATTATTAAAAAATATTTACTTTATTCTAGTAAATACCTAATCTAAAAGTTTAAGAATTTAGAAATTTAATATCTTTATATTAAATTTAAAAGCCTAAGGATAAAATTTATCTAAGTTATATAAAGTCTTTAATTATATTATTAAATTTTTAAATAAATACTTTTCTTATAGTTAGAGTTATTAAACTAGAATTTATATTACTAGTATAAGTTATTTAATTTACTACTCTTTTTTTAATTTTTACTTATAGATTATAGTAATCTAATCTATATATTTTTTAATATAATTTCTTTTTTAAAAAAGAAAATTATAATAAAAAGAATTTATATATAAAAATAATTATTTTATTAAAAATAACTCTAGTAAATTAGTAAGTACTTATAATTATAGAAATAGGTTATTATTAAATTTATAGAATCTAAGTTATTTATTATATTATATTAAGAATATATAAATATCTTATAACTACTAAATAGTAGGTAGTAGATATAGGTATTCCAATTACCTTAGTACTTTTAAGTTTATACGTGTACGACACAATAGAGAACAAGTACATATACATTTTACTGAGATAAGCGCTAACCAGCGCTCTATTTAATGTATACAGCTATGCAACGAAACAATGATAACCGCTGGAACTATTATCGAGCGATGTCTAGCCGAGGAGCATGCGGCGAGGGTCCTCGATGTACTCCTTGACCTGTTGGAACTTGTTAGTAATCGTCAACTGACAGCACCTCTCTTAAAACATACCTTGACCAGGAACGTCACAGCTTCCCTACCATCCAGAAGGCGGTGGTCGTAAGTAAGAGCAAGATACATCATCGGCCTGATCTCAACCTTGCCATTGATGGCGACAGGCTTCTCCTTGATAGCGTGGAGACCCAGAACAGCTGTAAATTATTAGTATTTGTAGCGATTGAAGAACACTAGTGGCGATTTTATTCGCGGAGTAAGCTTACCAGTTTGGGGCAAGTTGATGATCGGAGTACCCATGAGAGAACCAAAGACACCACCCTTGATCGCAACTGTTAGCTGGGACATACTTGGAAGAGGGGTTCACTTACGTTGCTAATGGTGAAGCTTCCACCAGCCATGTCCTCAATAGTGAGCTTGTTGTCACGAGCCTTCTTGCCCAAGTCCGCAATAGCCTTCTCGATGCCAACCATGTCCATCGACTCAGCATTCCGCACCACCGGAGTAACCAGGCCCTTCTCGGTTGCGACAGCAACGCTGATGTCAACGTAGTCACGGTAAACAATCGTGTCACCGCCGTTGGGTCCCTCAATCGAGGCATTGACTGCCGGAAGCTCCTTCATCGCGAGCACGCAAGCGCGAGAAAAGGCACTCATGAAGCCGAGTTTGACGCCAGACTTCTTGAGAATATCGTCCTTGTACAGCTTACGGAGCTCCATCAAGGAAGACATGTCGACTTCATTGAATGTGGTCAGGGACGCCGCAGTGTTCTGAGACTGCTTCAGGCGCTCGGCAATACGGAGGCGCATGCGGTTCATTTTGACCTGCAAAGTGTATAGTCAGCTCCGAAGTAAAGAACAAAGCTTTGCCAGTTCCATTTTGACTTACGCGACGCTCCTCCCGGCTGCCAAAAGGTGTGTCGCTCTTCTTTGGCTGTTCCTCCTTCGCCTGCTTGGATGGCGCAGGCTGAGATTTTTTCTCCTCCTTAGGAGGTTCCGGTTTTTTCTCCTCCTTGGGAGGTGCTGGCTTGTCCTGAGACTTTTCCTGCTCTTGGCCACCCTTAGGCTGGGAAGAAGTCTCTTGCTCCTTTGACGCGGGCTCCTTGGGTTGTTCCTTGCCCTGCTCCTTCTTTCCACCGGAAGGAGCACCGCCAAGCTCCATCGAGATCAGATCCTGGCCAACGGTGACGGTATCCTCTTCCTTAACGAGCAGCTCTTTAATGGTACCGGCCTCAGGCGCATTGACGGAGACATCAATCTTATCCGTCTCAATGGTGGCAATCTCCTCGTCGAGCTCGACATAATCGCCAACTTGCTTGCTGAACTGCTTCAAGGTGCCTTCGGTGATGGACTCAGCCATCTCGGGAACTTTGACAATCTTCGAGGCATAGGTGCGATATTGCGAGAACAGGAATTGAGGCAGGCGCTGCGAGCTGCGCGGGTAGGTGACGGCAAAGCGCGCAGAGGTAGCGAGAACGCGGCGGAAGGACATGATGAGGGCAATGGTGATTGGCCCAAGAGGCGGGGGAGCGGGCGCGACGCGAGGGACGGAGAGGGAGGAAGCTGTGATGTGGAAGGAGAAGGGTTTGGCCGGTCAAGACGGAAGTGACGAAGCCCGTTCCTTCTCTCGGTTGAAGCCGGCAATAATCCTCAACTTCCATTGGCCCCGAGGAGTACGCTGCCCCCCCGGAAATACATTGCTCCACTTTGACCAGCGACGTGACGCCGCGACAAACCACCAGCATAGCTACCTACCTACAATCAATTCCTCTGCCACGCCCGTAGCTGCGGCAGACGCGACAATGGCAACCAAGAATACCGTCCTGTGTGTTTCTTTTCCTTCTGGGTGCTTGCGCGGATGATAATACTGACCCCAGCTCAGTTCCCTTTACCGCCGCTCGTTGAAGCTCGCCCTTGACTGGGCGGTCCACCGTCACCTCTGGAGGGGCCAGGCCCTCTATATCCGATCTTTGTTTGAGGCCAACAGGAACGTGTCGGAGCCCCGGCAACAGAGGGTATGCTGCGCCTGAGGCAGATCCGCAGACTAAGCAATTGCTGATGCAATGTGCACAGAGGATCATCCAGGAGACCGAAGAATTGCTTCAAAAGTGGAAGCACCCGGATCCTTACAGGGCACCGACGGCTCCAGGCGGTATGTCGACAAGCACTTGGAAGCGCACAAGTATATTGACGTATCTAGGCTCGAAATATGAGCGCAATGTGCCGGCGCCCATCATTGACCGTAAGATAAACCCCCATCCTTGCTATTCGCAACACTAATCGCCCTTGCAGCCCCGCCCCATATGACACTCTAAGAGAAAGTGGTGGAAGCTTCGGTGAAGAATGGTAGTTGGGAGGCATTCACAGTATATTAACTGTCAGTTAAGGATTGGTCCAATTGTGTTGATTGCATTTGTCACTCGCGGGCAGCGGTGCAGTGACGAAACGCTAGCTTAAAGGAATAGCAAAACAGCGTCATTTTCCATCTGTGCATCCCAGGCGCGATCGATTTAGTCATGCCCCTTGTTGTAGCGCAGTGTCAGACACATCCAGCCTTACAGCCAAACAGATAATGATAAAAATGACTATAAAGAAAAATGCCAAATCTACGCACTGCGAAATGGTCGTTCCGCGCCTCGATTTGATAGTTAATCACGGTTGTCTCAATTATGACAAGAGACGTCTATTATAGCTCGTGCTTTACATTTAGACTATAATGCACGTTATATTCCTATGGGTGCTATTCTCATATATCGTGAAAATGCACCCAGACGTCTCTTCTTGAAATCCGCGCGCTGCTGTTCATAAAGTTGCGACATTGATGGCGTTCCAACTCTCGTAACTCCGTTAAAGGCCGATTCATGTGTTGATGCTCGCCTGCGTCCGTTCGAATGTCGATTCTGATAACCCCTATCCCCTCGAGGCGCGATTCCGTCCCGTGCTGCTGACCGACTGGAAAGCTGTAACCACGGTTCGCGCCGCAGTGTCGCTGAGAAATAGGGGGAAGACAGCAGGATGAAATCGACCAAATCACTAGACGGCCAGGGAAAGTAGTGAAGTAATCGACTCATCAGATTTCATCCATCGCCATGGATGTAATGTACAGCAACTGCCCTATTGCAGTACTCAAAAGCCGTAGCCGTAAACCCAGAACCCGTTCCAGAACCCCATTATCATTGCAGCAAAAGAGGAAAAACCGCCAAACCACGCCCGGAAAAAGCAGAAACACGAGAAGCGCCTACAGCTCTTGGCTAGGGCCCTTGCCGGGCTTGGAAGTCTTCTTGGGAAGAAGGTCTGGAATTGGTCAGCGGACATGCCCTAGAAATCCGATTGCAAGCGAAAACGTACTCTGGTGGATGTTGGGCAGAACACCACCTTGGGCGATGGTGACGTGACCAAGCAGCTTGTTCAGCTCCTCGTCGTTCCTGATAGCGAGCTGAAGGTGACGGGGAATGATACGGGTCTTCTTGTTGTCGCGGGCGGCGTTACCGGCCAACTCGAGGATTTCGGCAGCGAGGTACTCAAGAACGGCAGCGAGGTAGACGGGAGCACCTGATGAACGTCAGGAAATTGCGCTTCGAAAACGCAAATCTAGGGGAAAACTCACCGGCACCGACACGCTGAGCGTAGTTGCCCTTCCTGAGCAGACGGTGGACACGACCGACGGGGAAAGCGAGACCGGCCTTGGACGAGCGGCTGTGATGAGGCGTGTCAGATGTGAAAGACGCGTCTAGAAAGCGCGCGAATTCGAGGGTGAACTTACGACTGCGCGTTGGACTTGCTGCCACTGGCCTTGCCTCCAGACTTGCCTCCGGTCATTTTTGCGGTGGTTGTTCGGTTAACGGGTTAGTTTGGGGTGGTGGATGAGCTGCTGGTGGAGCGCAATAAGTCGGGCTGGTGGGGATGAAAGTGGGTGACGAAGGTTGGGGAGGCGGGCGGCGGGGAGAGCTTATATGGGCGGTATTGTCGGACGTCGCGTGCAAGCGATCAATTCCAGCAGTGACGGCGTGTCGGGCGGGGCGGGGCGAGCCAGTCGCGCAGGGGCGCGTCGCGGATAAGCGAAGAATTACGCTCGCAAGCGGACTAGCGTACCGCGTAACGCACGGGCCTCACAACAAGCGGCGGGCAGACGCGCCTTCCTTGGCCCGATCACCTGCCGACCTTTAAGTATCGCGCCCGCCCGCGCGTCGACTCTTGCACCTTCATTTCTCCGTCATCCAACAACGAACCCATACCGCTCCATCGCGTCAGCTTCCGCAGCTCACTCTCCCGCTTAACCAGCTCAACTCATCGATCTAATCCGCAAAAATGCCCCCCAAGGCTCAGAAGACTCCCACCACCGGCGGCAAGGCCCCCGCCGGCAAGGCTCCCGCCGAGAAGAAGGAGGCCGGCAAGAAGACGGCCGCTCCCTCTGGCGACAAGAAGAAGCGCACCAAGTCCAGGAAGGAGACCTACTCCTCCTACATCTACAAGGGTGAGTGCAGCCGCGTGCCATTTCACCCCCGCAATCGAGCTAACGCGTCCGCCAGTCCTCAAGCAGGTCCACCCCGACACTGGTATCTCCAACCGCGCCATGTCCATTCTCAACTCCTTCGTCAACGGTACGTGACATCCGCGCTCACATCGCCTTCCGAGCTCAAAGCTGATTCGAATCCAGACATTTTCGAGCGCGTCGCTACCGAGGCCTCCAAGCTCGCTGCCTACAACAAGAAGTCCACCATCTCCTCCCGCGAGATCCAGACCTCGTACGCATCCCCGCATTTCAAACCCCGCATTTTGGGCTGCATGCTGACTCCTCTACAGTGTCAGGCTGATCCTCCCTGGTGAGCTTGCCAAGCACGCCGTGTCGGAAGGCACCAAGGCCGTCACCAAGTACTCTTCTTCTACCAAATAGACGTACTTTCTGGGCCGGTGTTTTTTGAGGGTCGATTCGGTGGCGATGTTCCCTGATTTAGCTCACATCAGGGCGGATTGGGTCGGGGACGGTGTTCATGGGTTTTCTTAATGCGATCATGGGATGGCTTGCTTCACACTTTCAGGCCGGGTATTGGCTTCACGGACTCATGGATTTTCAGATATCACTCGAGCTTGTACATTAACGTTTCTCTCTCAGAGGCAAGCAGTCCGAAAGGAAACGGTACTTCAATTCTCCCGCGTCTTTGGTTTTGGTCCAGGCTCCGCATGGGCCTCGGATTTGTGTCGAGTTTGTAAAGCTACCGGTCAGGTTTCTAGGCGGATCCCAGTCGAAAGTAAGCTGCGGAGGGAGTTTTCCAGAGAACACGAACTCGGACCATCGACCAACTACGTCAAATTCAGACCGGGATTCACGCTGCTCTTACAGACGAAACGAACATCTCTTCTGACGAGAACTGCACCGGAAATGCGATAAAAATCGCGGGAAGAAGCGTTCATGATTCAGGCCAAAGCTCTATTCCGTGGTATACCAAAGCTCCCCTAAACGCCACCGCCGGATCCGATGCATCTATTGCAGACCATCCTCGTCTTCGTCGTCGAACGCTTCCACCTCGTCAATTGCTCCTTCACGTTCTTGCCCGCCGTGAATAGGTGGTTCGGAGTCCGCAACGTGAATTATCGGCTTTCCGTGCACCTCCTTGACTGATTTCCGCCAAGTCCGCCAGTCAGTCTCATCCTTGAGCAAAAAAGCAATCAACATCGAGGGATCCATTTCAGTGACGTGCAGGCGGCGGAGACGACGGGTATGGCAAGAATCGACATCTTCAGACGTATAGGCCGAAGGATCAGAATGATGTGGAAGATAAGTTCGGGTAGTGTGTGGGTCCAAATAGAAGAAGTAGGAGCCTTGGGTGCCGACGAAATAGTGGGATTGAGTAGGGCGACCACTGCGTAATGTTAGTTACGATACTCTGTCAAAAATGCTGTAGTTGGGGCCCAGGAACTTACCCAGCAATTCCTATCGACTGCGGCATCTGCAATGATGCTTTGAGAGCCTCCCAGTATACAGGTGTGACCCTATCAATGCCGAGCCTGATCCCAACCAAGACTAGTGTGGGGCGGAATGTGCCGTCGCTATCTTTCGCGACTTTCATAAGGCTATCCTCATACACGTCAGAGCCATCTCCGGTGATATAGACTCTAAGTCCAGCATCTTCATAGCCATTTGAGAGGGCTCTGGGGGGCAGTTAGTGCTCCGTCCATGGAAGGGGGGAGCATGGACCTACTGTATGCATCTTGCCGTGGCAGAGGGGCCAAACCATTCGCCGGGGTGTTTGCCGCAGGCCGACGCTCCATGCTCAACGAATCTATGTATCGACAAAGGGGCTTTTGGATCGTCGGCGAACCACGAGAGCAAGCGACGCTCTCCTTCCGGGTTTTGGCCTCTCCGCCAGTCTACATACACCATTTAGTCCAGGCACCCACTGGTCTAAGAGGGAAGATGCTTACCTCTGCCTAGCTTGAGTATCAATAACGCATTAGCAAGCAGACTCTGTCCCGACCTAATCATACAGCCCCAACCAGTATCGCTGGAGAAGTCTGTTTGGCCGGTAAGTTGAGTCCTCCAGCGGACCCCGAAGCTCAAAGCAGACGCAGCCTTCGGGTCCTGCGACCTTGGGATAGCCACGAAGTTGGAGCGATAGGTAATCCAGATGCGCGCCTCAAAATCATCCAGAAACGGGGCCGGCCAGCCTCCTTCCGCGCCTGACTGAAGAGTGGTGTCTGCATTTCCCCCGTCACTGCTATTATGGCTGACAGTGTCATCACCAGTCGAGCCGGACGACACCGTGGAGCCGTGTGATGCAGATAGGCCGGGCACGGTGCCCTGTTCCTGGGCGGAGGCTGGCTTGGACTCATAACACTTCCCCAGGCACCAGATGGACGAGGCGTCGTCGTTGCGGAGCGCGGGATCCCAGATCATGTTGATGACACGCTGGCTGAGGCGGCCGAAGTCGACGCTACTCATGGTGAAGGAAAGGCGCCTTCAGCGAGGCAGCATAGAAGGATGTCGTTGACGCTGGTAGGTACGAGTTGCAGGTGTAGGTATGTAGTGGTGAACGGAAGCGGTAGGCAGCTGCAGCTGACACTCCCCGCACGCGGTCAGAGAGCTAGGGCCACGACGCGCCACACACCTTATCGATACGAGTGGCGCTCGAAACGTCAACCAAGTCCAAGGTGCAAGAGCTTCTTCCACTCCTTCCTTTCCTTGCCACCCGATCCCGTCCCACCACCACTATGGCTCATGGACGCCGAGGCAGAGGCTCTCATCGAGGCGCAACCCGCGCCGGGAGAGGCAACCTGCGCAGTTCTTTCGTCCCGCAGTCAAGGAACCTTGACGGTTCGTTTTCCCGCCCTCGGTGTCCTTGATGCTAATCCTCATGCCCTCTGCAGCCCACCATGCTTCGCCTTTTTCCCTTCGCGATGAAGCTCGTAACACTGAGTCTCGTCACCGCATGTGGTCCTCCGATGTAAAACTACGCAATGCTCCTGTTGCTTTTGTCAGTGCGGGCAATATGGCTGGCACCAAGCCTGAAGAGCAGTCATCGCCACCTTCTGGGGATGAGCATTTGTCTGAAGCAATCTCGCAATCAGAAGATGCAATGGCCAAGATGAATCTTCAGTCCGCTGTCGCTGACCCACCCATGGATCCAGCGGAAAGAGAGCCAATCAATGTCCCCGAGAAACTTATCTCAGAAACCACGCCCATTACAGCTGATAGTCCGCCTGCAATGCTTTTCTTTGAAGACACCGCTGGTTCCAAAGCATCTGTCGATACTGGTCTGCCGCCACCCACACTTCGTAGTACTTCTCCGACCCCTTCGGATTCAAGCGAAGAGGTTGTCCTATTTCGAGGTCGTAACGCCGTGAAGACCGTAACGGAATCACTTCCATTGTCACACACAAACAGTCATCGGGGAACTTTGTCCGCAAACAAGCCTCGAGAGAGCAAGAAACAGGCACCGGAGGCCAAGCGTGCGGGAGCTGGAACAGGCTTTAAACGCCCCAATACTGCTCACTCCACATCGATAGTTCTGCATCCAACTCGTAATCCAAACTCAAACACGAGCCATGGGCTTAAGCGTGCCTATGGGGGACGCAGCTCAAAACCCAATGATGAGGCAATTGCGGATTACTTGGAGAACATAAGAGCTCAAGAAGAGGAAGAGGATGGTGGAGAAGCTCTGTACGATCCCTCTATCTTGACTCAAAGAGCACTTGGGCTTTCGGACAGTGACGAATGGGTGGATGAGGTCCCTCAGCAGAAACCGCTCGGAAATCAGGTTGAGAACCCGTACAAAACCGACTGGGAACCTGGACAACTTGAGGACTTTGACGGAATCAGTACTTCTTCTAAAATGACTGGCGTGGTCAATCGTATTTTGCGGAAGAGGGACCGGCAAAATGTCACACAATATCTTGTCGTTTTCGAAAACACAGATGAGGACGAGGCTCGCTGGCTTCCCATCACTCGTCTAACTCAAGAGCGTGAGCAAAAACTGGTTGCGGATTTTGAAGAAACAATTGCGAACCTCATTCTGGGCAATGAAAGGAGCAGCAGCGAGTCTGAGGAGAGCGAAGATGATGGAGAAGAGGATGCCAATACTGATTCAGAAGATGACGATGACGATGAAAGTTTTGAAGACGAAAAGGACCTTATCCAAAGAAAGATCGATCGTATGAGCGATGAATCTATCGCTCGACTGCTCGCCAAGCAAGAAGAGCTTGGTATGGGATCAGATGAACTTTTGCTCTTCGATGATGACGACGATGACGATGACGACGACGCTTTTGATGATTACGATACGCGTTATGGCAAATCCGCCATGCAATCATCACGTCGCAACCAGCCAAAGTCAGGTCGTGGCAGAGATTCCTTCCCTTCCGCAAGCTTGATGGCCGATGTCCTCGACCAAGATCCTTACAATGGTTTCGACATTATGGACTTTGACAGACCCAGCCTCCGAAAGAAGAAAAAGAAGGGTGCTACGGCCGACATGTTGTTTGAGCTTTCCGATGAGGATTTGGCGGCCCAATTACGGTCTACCTGGGAGACTGATCGCAAGAAGAAGAGTTTGAGGAAGCAGGAGCGCGAAGAACTCCGTGCACAGGGACTGCTCGGCAAGAAGAACAAGTTCAAGCCTGACCTCAAGGCGAAGTACGATGAAGGCATGACCTTCAATCAGATTAAAGAAGAGATAAGGACTTTCCTGAACTCTCCTAACCAGAGCCGTCCCTTCCCGCCCATGGATACGCGCGACCGTGCTATTGTTCACCAGCTTGGAAACGCTTTCAACCTCAAGTCGAAGTCTGTAGGTGCAGGAAAGTCGCGTTTCACTACTCTCATCAAGACATCCCGCACCGTTGAATACGAAGAGGCTATATTTGCCCAGGTCGCGTCCCGTTATGAGCGACGTTTCGTGCCGCGTATGGACAAGTCCGCTGCGAAGGGAAAACGGAACGCTGCAGGCGGTGGAGGTGGAGGAGGCCGTAACGCGGCTGTTTCTTACAGAGATGGTGATGTTGTTGGTGCCTCTGCTCCCGAGCTTGGAGTTGAAAACAAGGGACGTGCCATGTTGGAGAAGATGGGCTGGAGTTCAGGCACCGCGCTTGGTGCTCTCAACAACAAGGGAATTCTGCAGCCAGTGACACACATTGTGAAGACAACAAAGGCAGGTCTGGGCTAATCATAGTCTATTGTTACCCGGCCGGATACTGGGTAGATAAATGCTTGCTGTCTTCTTATTTGTACTAAAGTTAAAAAGCAAATGTTATGCGTTGTTGCATACAACAGTTTGTTCCAGGTGAATGCTACTCGTGAATAGCTAGCTAGTATTTAGTAATGGTTACAGGGGCGACAATTGTAAATAGTATGAGCAGAGTTTAAGCTCAGAGCCTTATTGTTATGTCTACAAGGAGCTAATGCAAGTAATGGTATGTGCATGATTTACAATAATACAACGAGGCTTTAGAAACAAAGGAAACAGGGTATGTTAGTATGTCAAACAGCTAACGCAAATAATAGCTCCAAAAATCCCCCTTCCTTTTTTCCCCCTCCATGTGAAAGGATAACGCCGTTTGTAATGCAGGAACGCCTCGAAAATGCAAAAAGATGCCACGCCGCTGAGGGACTATTGGCACTGAGAGCAGTGGAACCGTTTATCTTTCAGAAGTCTCCGGAGGTTCCTCGCCTGGCAGCAAGATCTCATGGCCAGTACCATTTCTGACCCAGAAGCTTGCGAAACAGCCCACCAAGCTGACAGCTGCGACAACCCACCAGGCCACGCCAACCATTCCCTTTTCCAAACCCACGCCATACCAGTAGCCGGCGGCGATAGGTCCTACCGTCCGGAAGGTAGAACTAACACTCTGGCCAACCCCGTGAATGGTGGCCAGGACGCTGGGGTGAGGACTTGAGTTGTTCAGGAGGATGATACTCGCCGGAAGGGCGAAGGTACGGGCCGAGACTTGCAGGGTAAGGATGAGGCTGATTCCCAACCACACCCAGAAGCCGGTGGCAGGGCTTGGAGCGGGCGTCGGCGACGGCAAGAGAGAAAGGTATGGCGCCAGGACATAAGCCAAGGGAAACAAGAAGAGGGAGTACCGGAAACAGCGCATGAGGCCGAATCGGCCGTTGGCCCAGGGGTATATCGACAGTTGGAGAAAAAGGCCCACGATGCCCAAGACGGCAAGGGCAAAACCAATTGCAGCTGGCTCGAAAGCAAGACCGCCGCTGAACAAAAAAGGATTCGATCGCTTCGCGAACCGAGTCATGACCTGAGGCTCGGGACGATCCGTTGACAGGAAGACGATCCATAAGCTGGAGAACGCACTGTTGTATTTCATTAGTTTTGCAGCTTGACAGTAAAGCTAGCTTATACATACCCCATGTGAAAGTCGAATACAGCGATTGAAAAGAGAACCCAGAGAACATTTGAAGTCCAAATGCGATGGAAAGGCAAGACTTGCTGGCGCTTGCCTGTGAAGGGCTTCTCCTTATTGGAGTTGACCACGGGCGACATCTCCATTGTATCTCCGTCCATTCCGGAAAGCAGGCCGTGTGATTGCGAGTTGTCGATCAATGTATACTTGGGAGGACTTTGAGAGGTCAGGCGCGCGATTACTCTCTTGCTGAGTTCAATCAAGCTTGGCGGTTGGAGTCTATTGTTGCGAAGGCTCGCCAAAGTCTCCCGCAGGAAGAAGTGAACGAAGACGGACTCAACAATGAGCAGGATGGCGCAGAGGAGGTTGGGCATGGCATATGGATAGTCTTCCATCCACTGAACGCCATCGCTACCGCCGAAAATGCCACCTGGTCCGAAGAGATTCGGGTAAGACACGACCGGTTCTACGAGAATTCCACTTAAAACTTAAGACAGACCATATTAGCAACAGACCAGAACTGTACAGCGAGAGGTCGACTTACTTGGACCGAGGATATTAGCGACGTTAAAGGCAAGGGGCAGCAACAGGAAGGCACGCGAATGGAACCTCTTATCCACCGTCTCAGCAACCATTGTGCGCGCGGCACCAATGGTACCATTGATGGCTCCTCCCAGCATTCTCCATGTGGCAGCTTGGAGGAAGGTTTGGGAGAAGCCAACGCCAATGCAGGAAACGGCTGTTCCGATAAGGCCAACCATCAACACCCGTTTCCTTCCGCACCAGGGAGCATCAGCGACGCGACCCCATAGCACAGCCGTCACTATCTGCGTGGCAGTAAAGCTGCCCTGCAGCACACCGGCCTGATGCGAAATCGCAGAGTCGGGCAGAGAGGGGTCAAAGGACTTGAGCTGGTGGACCATGTATGTCTGCAGTGCAGCCATCTGGAAAAAGTCGACGAGGCGGGAAAAGGCGAGAATGGCAAGCTGGTCCTTGTGAGGCAGCGAGGCCCACGAAGCCGGCGGAGGCTTCGTGATGGGAGTGTCGTCGGAGCTATCGTGGCTCGCGACCTGCTCGAGCCGGCCGAGACTGACGGAGCGCCCGTGGGCGGTGGGAACCATGTTGGAGTCGTGGTGAAAGTTCATGCTGCTCGATCGAACGTCGGAACCATGGCGTTGATGAGCCTTGTACTGACGGATAGCGGCGCCGGTGGAGGCGTCAACAGGCTCGGCCTGGGAGGAAGTTCTGCTACGCATGATACGGAAGGAGTTTGTGGCTGTCAGACATGGCCGGGGTGGAAGGAGAGAAACGATAGGCGGTGCTTTTGTCTGGGCGGGTGAAGCAAGAGTGGGTCGCAGGTGCGTACGCAGCTCTCACGGAGCTTGCAGCCGCGGGTATGCGCCAAGCTGCTTGGCACACACCGAGATTGGGGCTTATTAGACCAGGGGCTGATGCGCGGGGTGGGCTACGCGTCATCTGTCGGCCGATCGCACGGAGACGTGCGCGGCGGGACGCGCAGGTCCGCCGCACGCCGTTGCCGGAGGGGCTTGTTGCCTGTTGCGGTGGCTTAGGTACCTGGCGGCGTGCTGCTGGGTCGGTACGCGGTGCGATCGTCTTATTCTTTTTTTTTTGTTCCTTAATCCTCTACCCATCTATATGGGTTTTTATTATCCATGCCATGCTCACGGCCCTTAAGTCCGCGCCGCCTCGGCATCATCCACGCGCGCGTACTTGCCACTATTACCCGTTCCTAGCACTTCCTGCAGCGACCGCTGCCACCCCGACACGCTCCGCATCGCTCGCCGCTTCCAGAGGCACAGCGACAACAGGCCCAGGAGCGCCAGCGCCACCGACCCCGGTCCAGCGATGCGCACCACAAACGACCCCACTGACTTGGGCAGTCCCGTGTAGTACTTGCTGCTGTTCAGACCCGTGTTCCAATTGGCCCCTCCATTGGCCACCTGCGGCGGCCTGGCCTCGACCACCTCGCCCTCGGCTAGGTCCGGATGCCTCTGGCAACCCCAGTCGTCGCAGGCCGGCATGAGTCCAGCCGACGGCACAAATGTCTTGGTGACTGATGATCGCCGGATGGCGTTGCCGTCTTTATCCAGAGCTTCTGCAAAGGCGAATAATCGCACGCTGGCAATGCGGAGCCGTGTCTCGAATCCAGTCTTCGTCGCGTTGCCCACAAATTCCCATGGCCCATCTGCCGTGTTGCTTGCGTAAAACTTCCAAGACCGCACCTCTGTTGCACCGTTCCACGAAACGTAGAACGCCATGCCTGCCACGCTCGTACCGGTTCGTGAGAAAGTCCAGAGTGAGGGGTTATCGGCTGGCGTAGCTGACCACTCATACTTGTACGCACGGTAGTTCATGACCCCAGATTCCGGCGCGGCAATCTTGCCATACATGACCGCTTCGCCAGTCGGCAGATGCTCAGAAAAGAATGGGTGATCGCCCCAACCCACCATAACATGACCGTCCTTCAAAGTCTGGAGGTTGCCTTGCGAGGCCGCTAAGACGCCATCTGGAGCCACCCACTCCTTCGTCATGACAGCCGTCCGCGCAACGTGATTAATAGCCACCTCCATTCCCCGCGACGACGGGTTAGTAATGTTGAAACCGTTGCTCGCATTGTCGAAAAGCGTGAGCACCGTGTGCGTGCTATTTTCCTTCTTCCATCTAGCATGGTGCTGGCTTGAGAAGTGGAGGTCAATGTTGTGGAAGGTCGGATTGGCGCCATTGAGCTCCCAAATCACATGGCCGTCTTCGCCGGATATTTTGTAGATGGCCGCCATGTGACGCGCGGAGATGAGATAATCACCTTCGGCGTTCTTGTCGATAGAGTTGATGTGGAAATAGTCCCATGGGGACATTGCGGTTCTTCCATGCCCGCTGGTGTCTGTGGTGCCAGCCTGGGTATAGCTGAAGCTGGGGGAGAGATGGTCCAGACTGCGCCATTCGAACAGGACCTTGCCCGTCTCAACATCCACCTCTTGGAACATACTGTCGACGATCCATCCCATGCCTCGGTCTATTCCGAACGGCGCCAAATCGTACTGTCGTGTCTGGTAGACCGTCATGACAGCGGTCTTTCCTCCGGGAAGCACACGGAACTCGTGCATGTCAGCCACCGCTGTCGATCCTCCACTCTCGACGGCCTTGACGATCTTGTACTGATTGTCCATGATGATGCCGTGGCCCCTCGCGAATCCCTGATACTGCATTCCCTGGTAGAAGCACAAGTGGTCCGCACCTTGGTAGTCACAAACTCGAGGTGCTTGTCCCACTTGCGGGCCCATGAGACCAGCTCCGGACCAAACAAGCTCCTGCGGCAATCAGCACCAGCTTCCAGCCAGAGTGGCGAGGTGTAGCCATACCCCATGATTATCATAAATGTACGGTCCTGGGTCGGCGTTGCGATAAGGAGCGAGAAAAATGTAGCCCGGAGAAAGGAAGTCGGACCACAAGACGTCGAAATGTAAGATGGGCGCCTGGAGCTCAGGTCGCTGGCGGCGGGCGGTTAGCAGTGCGGCCAATAGGGCGGGAGAGAGCGGAGGAGCACACCGAATAGAACTGGTAAACAGGAGAGGTTTCGTTGTTCAGGTCGGCAAGCACGCCGGCGGCGAAGGAGAGAATGAAGGCTGCATGGAGAAAGGCAGAAAGGTACGAACGATGGACTGAGAAGGGAGACATTGGGAAGAGGGCTAGGGGGCACAAAGCAGCAGACATGCAGGACAGAACAAGTAACCTTGGCTCAGCCAAAGGGACGAAGAAACAAAAGAAGAGCACGCAGGCAGATGACGCGGACACGCGAGGCGGTCGCCTTGCACCCTGGAGGAATTGCAATCGGCACGTCCCCACGTCGTCGCATCTGCACGGCACTGGGCAGCACGCGCTCGAGGGTTCGGCCACTCGGACCCTCCTGCCGCGCACGACGCGGCTGGGCCGAGCGCGCCCAAGAGCCGAAAGGAGATTAGGCGCGCCGCTCGCTCCAGTGCGCCCCTCCGCTCCACGCGCTACGTCAGACAGTCACCGCCGATGGTCAAGTAGGTGGAATGTGGAATTAACACGCATGATGAGGTATATTGCAAAACTACACTAGCTAGACCCGTCTATACCGACCAATACTCCGCTTCGCCGTTTTAATTATGTACCCATTGCTACCGTTCAACCCCTTCCCCCATTAGCCCAGGAGCTTGTGGCCCCAGAAGCGGTGCACCGTCATTGCCGACGCCAGGACGGCCGCCGCAACACTGCCGCCCACGACCAGCGTGCGCACGGCGGCATTGCACATCTGTGCCCGGTTCCTCGCACGGCACCGGTCGACGAAGCCGTCCGTATCGTTGGTGTGCGGGAACTTGGTGTCGGGCACGGGCACCTCGAGGAACTCGCAAAGCGGCTCCCAGCCCTGTCCCATGCGGTACTCCAGCAGGTTCTCCGGAGGCACCAGCTTGCGGATCTCGGCATAGTGCTCCTGGTAGATCTGCTTGCCGTACTTCTTGAAGTCGCCCTTGAAGAAAGACGTCCAGAACTTCTCAAGCATGGGCTGGTACAGGCCCGCGCCCCAGTCCCACTTGGCGACCATCTTCAACTCCGGGTCGTTGGCGCGCCAGTCGACAGTCTTCAAGCAAGAGCTAGCCACGGGTTAGTCGAGCTTACAGACGTGGTTGTCGAGATAGGTAAACTTACGCATGCCACGAGTCGACGTCACGGGTAGTCAGCAGGATCTTAGCATCAGGGTAGGCCTCGATCAATTCCTTGGCAAAGGCAATGGCGGGCCAATCGCAAAGAGACTACATGTAGGGTTAGCGGGAGAGCACTACGTCGACTGAGTAAAGTTTTTTTTATTCGTACCTGGCAGTGGCCCAGCAGCTGGTCCCATTGCTCGCGGCCAAAAGTGCCAACGCCGTCGTACTTGGCAGCAAGAGCGTCGCGCCACATCAGGCAGTCCGGAGGGTTCTCCACACTGGCGGACATCATGTGGTAGGTGTCGTTGAAGCCGAGCTCACGGAGAGCATCGCGAAGGGCTGGTATGGCGTGAGTTTCAGCGGCGAGGTTGGACGTGGGCATAGAACTTACAGGCAGTGCCAGTCCTACCCAGACCCAGGCACATGACTCTCATAGGCACGGTGCGGCGGCATTGACGGCGATCAATGTCGGTGTCATGGGTAAAGAGGTCGGTGATGGGCTTGGGGGTGTACTGGTCGGCGAAGGTCATGGTTGCAGAAGGAGTGACTTTGTGAGCAGAAGCAGAAAGAGAGAATGTGTACAAAAAACGATCAGACGTCTGTTTTGGCAGCAATCAAGCCCCGGGCGCCGGCATTGATATATATGGAGCCGGTGCTGGCTGGGCTGTGCGCAAGCCCCGACGTTTCGATGACAGGGTCGGTGACAGGCCGTCGACATTTGGATCGGCCGCGTCGCGTCAGGAAATCTGCACGCACACCGGATTACGCGGCGCGGTCCCCGTGCAATCACCTGCAGCCCTGCGCAGCGGCTGTAACTTACGTGCAACGCGCGCGGCAACGTGGCCGGGCTTTGTGACTGTGTGGAGAGCGATCGCCAGGAGACGTTCCAATTCACGCAACCCTCGCTCGTTCCTGACGGCTTGTCCACTGGACCTCCTCCCACCGCCGCGCCCCGTCACGTCTGTTTCATCCCTCTTTGGCCTGATCGCCTCTCCAGACCGCTTCCCCTCGTCCTCTCTGGGGGAGCAGTGAGCACGGTTCCGAGCTTCGCGCGATCCACCCTTCCAAGAGCCAAGCCTTGCGCCTGCGTGGTATTGCCCGCCTGTGGCAACAGCGTCGCGCCGATATCGCTTGCGCGTCGTTGTCGTCGTCGTCGTCGTCCCCTAGCCGTATCTCCACCAATCCTCCTCCGCGACATGCAGCCAAAAGTTCCGTGGCTCAGGGTGTCAGGGTATCTACGCGAGAAAATCCAGGGTGTCCGTGATCCTTGTCGACGATGCTTGGCCCGTTACTGATAAACGACCGCAAGACCTAGCTGAAACATCCGCGGATAAGGAGTGACGATCATAGCTCGACACATTAACGTTGCTCCATCAAGAGAACCTTCAGTCGATCCGTTCTTGTGGGTGTGGCGGGTCCTACCTTATCACCCGCAATCTTGGCGAGATCGTATTCTTATCCGTCGGAGAGGGTCAAGCGACAAAGTGCGACATCCATGTCATCGAAGTTGAATGTTGATCTTCCAGAGAATTAAGCTCCCCTGATCTGCGTACGCATGGGTGTACGTACACAATAATTCTTTTGGACCTTTGGTGAGGCCATAGTCAGGCGAGCAAAGGGGGGACGAGCACGTGTAATGCGGCTTGACTAAGAGACGCGTCAGATAATAATACACTTTGGGATTTGTCTTTTTGCTGGATTTGAGACGCATGACGGAGCGGCACAACGCATAGTTCAAGACACTATATTCCCTACGGCGCCAAAGAGTACCTCGTACGGACAAAAACGGGAGTTCAATGATATCTCGAATAGTAGCAATGTGGCCTCCGAAGCAAGGGCATGGATAATGATACACGCCAGATGGTATACGGAGGCACAAAAGCCACCCCCGAAGGTTCTGTATAGCCGAATAGTCCCTCGAAATGGATACCAGCAAATGTAATTGGGCCAGATTGAGTAAGCATGGGTTCTGGAAGGTTTACGAGACGGTCGCCGGGCCGGTAACGCTGATCCTGTTTCCTTGCCTGTGCATCTATCTATTCTGGAAGCGCGACATCGGTACTTTCTTCCGACAGGCTGTTTAGTGTTTACCCAGGTCTTGGTTGTTGCGGAACACAGCATGATGATCAGCATTACTAATTTGGAAAAGTAAGCGTTGCCTGGTCAACAATCGATAAGCTCAGTGTAAACGAAGAGTTGAATTTCCCGCCACGAGCTTGAAATCACAGTTCCCAAGACCATTGTCATCGAACGAAAGCAACAACAAGTCCAATATGGCCAGGCTACATGAAGAGAGTGACGATGAGCTCCCTGCGCTTTCTGAGCTTCTCAAACCGCGAACCAGGAAGCCCGTTAAATCCTCGACCAAGGAGCCTACCCTCCCTACGTCTAAAAACGGAGAGTCTCCTCCCAAACCAACTACAACTTTGTTTTGGGAGCCGTCAAGGAAACACTGCGATGTGGAACTACCACCACGAATGCATTCCTGGTCGAAAGCGACAGAAAACAGCCCTAGAAAACAGCGCGTTTTGAAGCCCAGGCCCTTGAATGCCTATTCCGAAACACTACCTTCAAGAGATTACAAACTCTACAGTAATACAGATAAGAATGTGGCCTCTGTTATCTCTTCGGAAGTCAAAAGCACACCCAGACGAGCTGCAAAGAAGACAATAAAGTACATCGTGGAGGATGATTTCTCCGATGAGAACGAAAGCAGTTCTGAACAAACCGACGATATCGAAGAGAGCCTATGGTGCGGATCTGAACCGTCTTTGAATAACTCTGATGATGACGAGGCCATTAATGAGACACCGCGCCGATATTCCTTGACGCGGCTACCCAAAGAGCGGTACATGGAAGTTGAAGCACTCCCACGAAACTTCCCGCAACGTATCGATGGTTCCGTGAGACAGCTTTTTCCTCCTGAAAAATATAAGACAAACGCTCTCATTCAGAGAGCTGACAGCATCGCGAACGATAATTCGCAACGCCTAACATCTGGATCCTCCACTCAAGAACGCCCCTCGAGCTCCTCGTCTGCAGATGACGATGCAGTGCTGCGATAGTAAGGCCCAAATACCGTGGCTCGTTTGATATACTTGGCTAACCTTCAAATAGTTCGCCTCCACGAAGGAAATCGCCACAAAAAACCTTGCAACCTCCTGTGCGCCCTTGTACGCCACCGCCATCTACCAGCCTTTCAAATTCCCGGTTAGTGTCTCCTTCTAAGAAGAACCGGATACCCACCCCGCCGCATCAGCAGAATACCGATGCCTTCTGGTCACAAGAAGTCATCAACTCCTGGAACGATGAGCACTCGCCTCAAAAACCTTTATTTCCACGTCCAAAGGCAACCACGGGAACCGAACCACAGCCATCGAGTTTATCCGGGAAATTGAGCCCAACTAAAAAAAACCCGAGTGCGGTCCAGGCTCGCAAGTCGTTTGAAAAAGCCAAACACCAAATTGCCCAAGACTTTTTGGAAGAGCTTGATGAGGTGATATCGGGAGGCAAAATCAGCGAGATGGCCGCCGACTGCGGAGGAGTTAAGCTGATATGGAGTAAGAAATTGAACTCCACAGCCGGAAGAGCCAACTGGAAGCGAGAAAGTGTGCGTGTTCAAGAAAGTGGCGCAACAATGATGCGATTCAAACACCATGCTAGCATTGAGTTGGCTGAGAAGGTGATAGACGATGAAGGTAAGAAATTCGACGTACTATTTACGTAAAACGGAAGTTTACACATATCCAGATCGCCTTGTAAATGTGATTGCGCATGAATACTGTCACCTAGCCAATTTCATGATCAGTGGCGTACGCGACAATCCTCACGGGAAAGAATTCAAAGAATGGTATGCCTACGCCATGATTTCGATATTACTCAGTGTGCTAATGGATGATACAGGGCCAGGAAGGTGACAAGCAAGTTCAGCTCTCGCAACATAACCGTGACAACGAAACACTCCTACGAGATCGACTACAAGTACGTTTGGACTTGTGTGAGCTGTGGTCATGAATTCAAGCGTCACTCAAAATCCATTGACCCAAATAAACACAGCTGTGGCGGCTGTAAATCAAAACTCATACAAACAAAGCCGGCTGTGAGACAGAAGGATCCAACCAAAGGCCCAAGCGAGTATCAATTATTCGTAAAAGAGAACTTCCAAAGGATCAAAAGAGAAAACAGCGACAAGAGCCACGGCACTGTCATGGAAATCATGGGTCGGGAGTACAGGAATTGGAAGGCAGAAAAGGAAGCCGTGACAACATCAAACAAACTCAATGATGTCACCAAGGCGCTGGAGATTGTTGTACTGGACTGAACTTTTAGTGCAGATTTCAACTCTTGAATGCTCTGGTGGACTTTCGATCCCACGACAGATGCGAAACGAGGCGTAATAACTATATGTGTGGCTAAGAATGCATGCATTGAGTCGACAGAGAATCCTCGGACTTTTAAATGACTTTCATGTCTCCGGTACAGTTATCGTACGGGAACATCAAATTCTGAATAACTATAGACTCGGTTGGTTGTGCTCGAGGGCAATATCAAGTTCACTTGTTGATAACACATGTGTTCTGTCACAATTCACAATTGGTCTATTGGGTAACGGATAGTGTACATGATTTTTTAGGGAAGATCTTCTAATCGAGCACAAATACCCATGATAGTTGTCAAGTTTAGTGATAATACCATACCGGATACATGATTGATACAGTACCAAACTCTTAAGCATAACTAACTACTAACTTATTTTAACTATTTAGCGCACAAAAAATCACTTACAATTGGACAGATAGTAGTAAGTTTAAATGACTTTACCACTATACTATACAATTTTATCTTCTATAGTGCCATCGGGGGATCCGTTGTCTAAAAATATCCCGTAGCACCTCACTAATCTGGATTCAGCCAGCGTCATCAGCGTTAAACGGTACATCATACCAGAAATATACCAGGTTGGAATACAATTCACCGTCAGCTACACATTCCAACAACCGATTTCAACCGACTAAGGAGTCTATATAGTTTATCAATTTAGTCATATCCGCTTTTAACTTGCAGTCATGGATAATTAGATTTACAGTAGTGAGTAGACGTTCGTTATAGACCAGATATAAACGCACATACATACAGATAAATCTGTCTACATTCGAAGAATTATAGTTTTAATATTTAACAACTCAGTACATCCAAAGTGCTAGAGCATGATATTTTTAATTTGACTACGCTTCGATCTAAAGACTAAAAATAGATAAGAACATATTTATATATATAGCTTTTATTATGTCCTAAGAGGACCGATTTCATGTGCTTTTCACTATGGTTGTGACATATTTAAATTTATCTCTTTATGTTTTTAGATAAATTAGGACACCGAAAAACGGAGAGAAATTTTAGCAATCGACTATGTTGGTACCGGCTACAGATGAACACCCAACCTTGTAGCTATAGAGGCGAAGCACGGACAGCAATACTACTACACCGGGTCTCCCGCCGTACGCCGCCAGTTACAAGCCAAAAGCTTGGAAATATTTAAGCGTTCCATCCATGGACAATCTTATCGATAAGCCAACTTAACCTCAACTTCATCTCCCTTTCCATTTCAACATCCCCGCCATAGTCACAGCAACAATGCCTCTATCAATTCCAGCGCCTTCACGTCATATCCAGATTGAGCCTCTAACGGCGTCTTCATTCGCACCATTTGGTACCGTTGTGGAAAATCCTGTGCGGTCCGCAGCACAAAATGACCCCCGGCAACCATCCCTTGCTGCCCCGGATGTCGTATCCGCAAACCAAGGCACCGCTCTGAAATATCTTGATGTTACGCACATGACAAACTTCTACGATCTAGCGCCGAGCGGGAAGCCGGCAAAGGCTGTAATGAATATGTTTGTGTGCTCGCCACGGAAGCTACGCAATGCCAATGGCGACCAAGTCTTCGATGTTTCTATCCTCGAGCGCCATCCGTTTACATCCCAGACATTCGTACCTATGGGTCTCTCTCAATCAGACCCTTCGACCCAGTACCTTGTCATAGTTGCACCGACGTTGCCAACGGCATCTGGTCAAGGCGCTAACCGTCCTGCGCCATACCCAACTCCCGAGCCTCGCAGACGACGTTCTATCCGTGACATCTTCTCCCGGGCCAGACCATCACCTTTCACCAATGAGGTTTCGGCCCCTTCAAGCGGATCTTCCAAAGCTACCGACACCCATGGGCCTAAAGGCGCAGGCCTTCCGGACTTGAGCAACATCAGGGCCTTTATCGCAAAGGGACACCAGGCCGTGACCTATGGCGCGGGAACATGGCACGCCCCAATGTGCGTACTCGGGACTGACGACATTGACTTTGTCGTGGTCCAATTCGCAAACAGCGTCGGACTGGAGGATTGCCAGGAGGTGGAATTGAAGGCTAGCGAGAGATCCGAGGGAGTCTCGGTCTTGTTAGGGGATGGGGCTGTGATGGAGGTTCCATTTAAGTCTAAACTCTAAATCTGGCCATGAAGGGGGCGAACGGGAGGAAGACGTGGGAGCGAAATGACTGGAGGTAGTTACAGACGCTATCCCTGGAGCGGCAGGATTTTAGCGTTCCCCTACCTACGTGTACAAATTGGGCAATAGCTAGCAAGGCGTAAACTTAAGTAGTACTCGAGTAGTCTGGTGATGGTCCTGTAAGGGGTTTGGCCAGCATAGGAACAGAGACTAGGGGTGGCTGAGCATACTACGTTTGATTTGAGATGATGTGCGACACCCGAGGTACTCGTACAGGGATGGAATGTCACTCGTACTCGTACAGGGATGGAATGTCACTCGTACTCGCAGAGTAGTAGAGAAGCTTGTCGCAAAGGAAGCCATGATGATGATGCAACAATGTCTATGCGGTGTGAAGGTACCAAAAGCACGGCCACGCATCAAAAGGCATTACTCGCGGCATGTGGCTGACGCCACAGATTGACGGACGGGACTAAGGACCGAACGGATACCGGCCAGTGCGTGAGATCGATTGTCGCGGCCGGATTGGGAAGTGCGAGGCGCCCCACGCCCTTGACGGACACGACGGAAAAAAAGCAAACAGGACGAAAATAGAAGCAAAAGAGACAGCTGGCCGTCATGATGATCGCCGACGCGCGGAGCTGACGGCGCGAACGAGCGAATTTGGCCGTGGTGCCGTCGCGGTGAGGGAAGGTGAAGGAAAAGGAACGAGGGACGAAGGAATGACGTAGCTGCCGCGGCGCATCAGGAAGCATGTCCGACACGGACCCCACCAGCCACATGCACCCGCTCTACTTTTTCCCTCCATGTCCTCCACCCGTTGACACATGACACTGCAATTATGAAATTCCTCCTGCGACACCGACATTCGTGCCCGCGCCCGATTGGCCCGCCCCGGCTGCCAGCGTAACCCCTCAACCTCCCCTCGAGCGCCGTTAGGCGTTTCAGCTCGGGCGCTGTCCGCGCCTGATTAGGTCAACGGCCCAATGCCATTGCGTCACTGCCATACGTGCGGAATCTCCCCCTCTTCTTACGGCACACCGACTGTGGCCGTGCAACGCCTTTGCGCCTCTGCCCGGCTCCTCGGCAGCCGGGGTGTGTAGCACCGGCTGCATCGATTGGCAATGATCGGCCTCGCGTGCGCCTCTGTGGCGACGACGGTTGCAGCGGCGCGCGGCATCGTGTAACTTGCGCGCGCGTGCCGTCGAACCACGGATAAGGCTGGAGCGACCGACCAAAAGTCATGCGACCCGCGGCGGATCCGCTCAGTGAGCTGGCATGCGTCGATCTGTGGCGAGTGCCCATGTGGCGCAGAAGCAAAAAATGGCGATCACGGCATGCTCCCTCGGCCGTGCCGACGACCTACGTCTTGCAAGTCGCGCGCCTGGAACGGCCGGCCGTTGAAACGGCGCATAGTGCAGTTGCCAGACGGTGCGCGCCCAATGTCCGTGGCACCAATCTCACCATCGAATAGGCGGCCAAGTACCAACGCGAATGCGAATAATTAAGCGCCCCCTTTACGAGGAGGCCTATTGTCTCTAAAACATCACACATGATATAATGGGTATTGAGAAAACAACGGAATAGAACGAAGAAGATTTGGTACAGGTGTGTGTGTGTGTGTGTATGCGTGCATGCGTGTATGTGTGTGTATGTGTTGCTTCAGGCCAGAATCAAAAGCATAAAAAAGGAGAAAAAATAACAAAAAGTCGCCAAGCTAGCCCAAGGGTATCGCCATTTCCTCGCGGAGGGATCGGTGGCATAAAAGGCCAGTGAAAGAAAGGAAGAAAACAAGCAAAGCGACAGAGCGGGTGAGAAATACTAAGACGCAATCTCTGCCAAAGGCAATTGACCTCCGCTGCCGTCGTTGCCAGATGTTTGTAGAATTAACCAAAGGGGGGTATCGTTGATAAAGCTGCCAATGCCGGCATATGGTATCTTAAGCCAAAAACGCCAGCGGGTGCAGCGACATGTCCCTGAAGCGCCTCCTGCCAGCGCTCGGGTGACGAATAGTACAAGTCATTACCAGTCATTAGCGGTTTTAACGAGTGGAGGCGCACTTAGGTGCGGATCAGAAAAGCAACCGGAGCTCGTAACCCGAGGTGGAAGTTGTTTCAGTGGCGCCCACTTCCCCATCGACTTGAATATCGCTTGGTCCAGCATCCCACTCGCGTTTCATGGGCGATTGGGAAGTGATCTCCTGGAACTCAGCGATGAAGTCTTGGCCTTCGGGAAGCTCTTGGACGGCCTCATCATCCAAAAGGATGCTTAATCCTTTCGTGTTAACCCTGAGTGTACGAACAACGCGCGTTGGTTCGATGTTGCACTTCATGGAAATGGCGTTGACAAGATCCTTCAACGTGCGTTGCATGAGGTACACCGCTCGGTAGTAATCGTCTTCAAAAGGCCTTCCAGCAAACCTCGGTTGAACATAGAAGCAAGCGACTGTCGTCTAGTCAGCATTAAGGCTCGGGGTTGGAGATGATGGCGAAGAACTTACTAGGCTTGATTGTGCGCTCAGGAGGAGGCTGATAGGAATAATCGACGCCGAGGGCTTCAATCCATCCCGTGAGCCTACCTTGCCGATCCGAAGACGACCTTTGCACCTTTACCGGAGCATTGGAGCCGGCAGTGGGCTGGACGGCCAAGTCCCCCATCGCAGTCTGTGACATGCTACGCCATTCATTGGATGACATGCGAGATGGAGGCGGAAACGATTGGAAGGTCGAGCCGCGGCGGTCACCTGAATGATGTGACTGCGAGCTTGGAGTAGGCGAGACAATCGAAGACGTAGGGTTAGTGTGAACACTTTGCCTCTCCCACATGGTGGTATCGTTGGTGTCAATCTTGGTAAGGTCCTGAGGCTCGCCAGAAAGGTGGACGGGATGAGCGTCCGGGTCATCCATCTCCTCGCCTGTGAGATACAGCACGCTGGTGGGCCTGGTGGAGGTAAACATGTCCTGCAGCGTGGCAAGCTTCAAGTGCAGGTCTTCTTCCGCCGCTGGCCGGTTGCCCGTTGAGCTGGCGGAAGACATTGACCACGTGCGCTTGTGCTTGGGCACCTTTCCAGGGCGGTCGTTGTTGTTAACACTGGGTTTGGCAACGGAGCCACGCTTTCGCTTGCCAAAGTCCTTCATACCAGACTCCGCCTGCGCAATCTGTTGCTTCAGCTTATCAATGGTTTTCTTGACGTGCGTGACATCATTCGACAGCTTTCGTTCGGCGCCGTGGTCGCGGAAAAGTTTGACCTTGCAGTAACAGATTTCCGGGTTGGGTGCTTCAGGCAGCGCTGGCGCCTCACCACTCACGGCCTCGGTCTTGGCGCAGAGCCTAACTGGAATGCCTTTGACACCCTTGGAGTGGCTAAAGTCCGTGGAAAGGAAGTTGAACCGGACTGCGAGAGAGCACTCGAGTCCTCCGTTGGCGCTCGGTGTCCAGGTCACGGCAAATCCGTCAAAAGACGCAGACTCCAGCTCAACCCTGGGTCTCGTAGAGCCATCGCCGCCCCCGACTTGCGTCGGGTCAACGAACTCGACGGCCTGAAGACGGCCACCGCGTTGATGAGCCTCATTCGTGCCACGTCCTTCTTTCCAAAGTTGCCAGCAGGCTGCCGGCCGTTGGCGTTGCTGTTCATCTTCAAAGGAAATGCGGATGTAGGTGCGATACTTGAGGGGCGCACCCGGAATTTGCGGAGCGGGGGATGTGTCCACGATTGAAATAGAGTAAGCCTGGCCCTTGTTGAGGTAGGTTACAGGAACCTCGTCTGCATGCTTGATCATTGCAGTCGGCGCGTTGAGCGTGACAAGCCAACGGAAGCTGTGCGCGATTAGCACCCAGCAATTCATAACGAAGGATTTAGGAGAACTTACTTGACATTCTGCTGCACCGGCGGTGGGCGAACATGCTGTTCCCCGTAGGATGGAGCGAAACCCATGACAGGAGATTGCTCTTGCATCTCGATATCCACGGGCATGCTGTCCAGTGCAGGCTCTTCCTGTGGCTGAGCCATTGGCTCAAAGGTCGACGGCTGGTGGGTGAAATGGTGCGGTGCAAACGACTGGTGCTGGGCAAGCTGCGGCGGGAGGGCGAAGGGGTTTGGATTCTGGAATTGTACGGATGCAATAGCATGAGGCTGAAAGCCATGCATGGCTCCCGAGGTCTGGCCAGACAGGCCCTCACTAGTGGGCATGGAGAGCGGCGTGCCCAGCCCCATGCTGAACCCGGGGGTGTGGAGATCGCCGGCCTGACTATGGTATAGCGTGTTGGTACCGCCAGGCGTGGGCGTGTAGTAGCCGGGCGGCTGGTTCGCGAACGACGCGAACGCGAAGCTGTTGGGGTCCATCAGCGAAGGCGTGAAACGCCATGGCTCGTTGCAGCCTCGCGGGGTTGGGTCTTGGTCTTTGAGATCGTCCGTGTCCCCAAAGTGACCGCTGCAGAGGAGAAAAAAGCGCAGTCAGCTACCAGGTGCTCAGCGACAAACAAAGGGCGCCGGCGACGCGGTTGCGCGCACGCGCGTGCGCGAATGCGCACATCACGAAGCTCGGCTAGCGCAACGAACATCGGCGGGTGATCAACGTACTGGAGAGCCAGATCCAAAGCCGAGGCCGTGTTCTGCGAGGGCACGGCGGCCGGGCGCGAGACAGCGTTGACCTGGGGAAAGGAGGCCTTGAAGCTCGCGATCAGCTCGTCATTGGGCTTCTGCGAAGTGGCCCTGTCGGGGTCAGCGAACAGCGAAGGGCAGCGAGGGCAACAGCATACCGATTCCGGAACATGTCTGAAGAGCTCGGTGGAGCAGGCAGTCAGGATGCCAGGGGCATAGAGAAGCTTTGTAGAGGGCGCAGTCAGTCGGTGAGCGAGGTAGCTCGTAGGGAGGGTCAAGCCACAGCAGGAGGAGGTTGGCGCATGCATGCGACGGACAGCGCCAGCTTATGAAGTGCAACGCCGACGGCCGTTTAATCGAGCGCCATGTGGAGCAGCGAGGTGCCGGGGTCAGGACTCACGCTCGGGCCCGCGTAGAGGGATCGCACTGATGAGACGATGATTCGGGCAGAGGCTAGTGCGCGGTAAGGCTTGAGGCCGTGGCGGTGCAGCCGTGTGCCATGTGCCGCCGGCCAGGTCACACGTTCCAGGCCGGCGCTGTGGCGGCGCGCGCGCATCACCCAATCTCACCTGTCGGCGGAGATGAGATGGCTTCCCCTGCGTGATGAAAGGATAGCCGCCATGGATCCCCCGCGACGAGGCCAGCCGAAATGAAGGCCGCCCATCGGAAACGGGCGGCTCGTCCTCGGCCTCGGGCGCCCCGGCTTTCGCCGCCCTCGCACCATCGTTTTCGTCCTCATGCGCCACACCTGCCCGTTGATCCCGCCGTGGACGCGCAACTGCGCGAGCACAACTGCGTAAGGTATGATGCAATCCGCCGCCCGGGGTATCGCTTGGCCCTGCCATCGGAAACGCACTAGCCCCCGGCAAATGCCCTCATTCTTTTTTCTGCTTTTTAACATCTAACCACCAACATCCCCCCCCCACCCCTCATCATGAAGTACGTAGTAGTACATCTCGACGGCCTCATCTCCGAGCCAACCACTCTCACCACGCCACTCCCGCTTTCCCTCTCTCTCTATCTAGCTAGCCTTTGTGGCTGCTGCTGCTGCTGCTGCTGCTGCTGCTGCTGCTGCTGCTGGCCCGCAGCGCTTCCGTTGCCGCGGCCACCGCTGCTCCCCTCACCTCGACCTTTTGCTTGAGCGCCTCGTGACCGGGAGCCACCTCAGATCTCTCCGGTGTGGCCGGATCTTCGGGCGGTGAGCGTGCTTCTCGGACCGATGCGACACTGGCGCCCGATGTAGATCGAGAGGCCGCGTTCATCATCGCTCCTGGTCTGCGACCTGCACCGGGAGCCTGTGTCGGATCGACTTGGTCGTGGCTGTACCGCTTCACAGTCCTTCGAGAACTGACACTGGATGAGACACTGCGCCCTTGCCGTGACTGGGCCAATCCGCCCATCCAGGTGGGGCTGGGGATACTCGTGGGCCTCGGCGAAGGCCCGGCCACAGTGGCGTTCTCGCAACTAGGAGTACTGATCGAAACATCGCTTGTAAGAGCACGACGCGCTCGATTAGTGACTGTAGATGAGGCCGTAAATGTCCCAACTACGGGCGAAGGGGTCCGTGTGTTTAGCAGATCGTCAGCATCGTCGCCGGGGACAAACGAAAAAGGCCGATAGGGCGTACTGGCGCCCTGCTGTTGGTGATACATTGCCGAAAAGCCTTGCTCCCTTGTTTTTACATCCAGTGATTCAGGCGAAGAGGCCTGTTGAGTTTCAGGTTCATGAGGAAGGGCGAAAAGCGAAATGATCTTGGGAAGGACAATCTCAATCCCCAAGCCACGTCTCGCCGCAATGATGCTCGCAATCTTCTTTATAGCCTCAAGTTCCTCACCCGCCTTATCCGTCTTTTTGATGATCGCCTCAAGGTCTTCCTCAATCTCGTCAGGGAACTGATCGCCACTAGAGCTGAATGTACTCGCGTCGCAGCTCGTGGCTAGTAGGCCTCCCTTCGCACCCGAGCCGCTCGGGAATAAGGAGACTCTCTCAAGCGTATAGGAAGTGTCTGATGGCGGCGTGCCCACATTAAGGGTTCCGTGGGAGTAAGCGAGTTCCTTAGACATGGTGATCATCTTGCTGGTAAGGGACGTGAGAGACAGACAAGAAGCTGCTGTAGAGTTCGTCAGGAATGCCAAGAGTTGCTGCATCATTCCGTTCCGTCTTACCTTCCAGTGACCTTGTTGGCGTTCCATCGTGAGCATTCAAAACAGTCTTGTTAACAATTTCGCTCTTCTTCGACCTTTGGCGAATCACACTGTCCTGACGTGTGGCCATTAGCTTCGCCATACCACCTTTCCCCTTCGCTATTATAAGCTCAAGGCGCTTTATCTCATTCTTAAATGATGCCTTTTCGATGTCGTGCTTTTTATGGAGTTGCTCCAGCTGTAATACCATCGATTGCATATTTTCTGCCAAACCCGATACCTCATAGGTCATGCCGCGATATGCCTCGATAATAGCGAAGAGCGAGCTGTTCATTTGCGGTGGAAGTCCCTTGAAAGGCTCTCTGCAAAGCTGCTCGAAGATTGCATTGAGCATAGTGTTGATGTCTGGGGGTGGTTCAATGCCAGAAGAAATAATGTTGCCTGCCCAGAGTTCTTTCTCGAGGTCATCATTTGCGGCCTTGCCTGTACGATGCGGAAGATAAGCTGAAAGCTTCTTCTTGGGGCGTTTTGGTGGCGTATCTCCAGCAGAGGGAGAATTTGCATCGCTGTTGCCGCGCGATTTGCGCATCCAGATCTGTAGTTCTGCCATCTGGTATGGCGAGTTATAGTAGCTTTGCTTCTGCAATAAGCTTTTTCTTGATCCGAAAGCAGACAATGTGAAAGGTTCAACGTGTTTCTAAAAGTATTGGTTGACTGGGAACAAAGGTATACGGAGAGGTGAAGCGCGTTGAGAAGGAAGGTGATTGTACGGGGGCAACCCCAAAGAAGGAAGTCACGGACGGTGTCAGAAAGTCCACCCCTCCGCAACCCCGCGGAACAACATCGCAGGTGGATAAGCCCTTTGCCCCAACAACCTGTAGCTTCGATCTTCCTCCACTCGGAAATATGAGCAGTACACCAACTGACAACCGTCTTTAAGCCAGAGCGGTCACAAATCTTTACAGGTTTGTACGTTATTTGTACGCATGTTAGGCCTGATAGACACAGTACCCAATCGCCTTGGTAATGCTCGGCAGCATGCACCCATATGTCCTTGCTCTTTGTGCTACCACGGCTGTCAGCCTATACAATGAGGAAGCCCTCTAAGTATGATAGGAGGTCGGTATCCAAGTAAACAGTTCGGCAATCCTACCTGCATGGACGCGCTTGAGGCTTAACTACTCTCGCCTGCTCTAGCAAATTGATGTCGGTGGAAAGGCTTGCCAATAATGCATTACCCAGAAGCCATGTGTAGGCGGGAAGCTTCTCACAACATTTCTCATTTTATATCGACTTGAACCACGCTGTTTTGATCTGTATTCATTTAACTACCTTGAGACTCGTTGATCGCATGTTTCCCTTTCTCCATGCACCCAAACCCCACAAAGACGAGGTTGGATGATTGGTAATGAAAGGGCAAGTACATCTTGGCACGATAGATAATCCTTCAGCTGTCGCGCATGGGATAAGCGCGGAGCTGTACACACTAATGCCATGGGAAATTTGAAGAGAAGTGACGACAGCACACAAACCGTATAACGAAAGCGTAATATCAGACCTACAATTTTGCAAAGGTGAACGAGTTGGTGGATCCCAAGAGACGCGCTCGTTCGCACTCCGGGTTCGGAATCGAAAGCCATTTCCATTTTTTCAAATAGAGGCTGCAGCGGACAGTGCCAGCTCAATTACGCCAGTCACATTGACCTTCGTGCGCCATGAATACCATTGCAAACATCGAATTGTCCGTTTAAGCCGCCTCCCTCTTGCCCTCCTTGACCTCCTTCTGCAAACGCGAGTGCTCGTCAGTATTCCATTTTTCTTGTCTGCTAGCTTAGATGCCGGCGAGTACGCACCAGAGCCCTCATGGTGCCGTGAAGGGCGTGCCTGTGGTTCCTCCTGAACTTGGGGTCGGTGCCCTTGAGGGACGGGTAGCGGTGGGTCTTAGGCTTCTTGATACTGGATTCCGGAATCAAAATTAGCGGCTGTTCGAGGTTCGTGCGGTGACATCGTAGATGCGAATCGTTTCGTTGGGCGGTATCATGACTGCGCAATGCTCGAAGGAAAGAGGTGGAATGTACCCGTTACGGTGAGCCTTCTTGCTCTGGTTGTGCTGAGACGAGTTCTTGGACTCTGTGCGCGCAAGCTGTCAGCGATGCGAAATCATTAGGCTGCTCCATCAAGAGTTACTCACTGGCCATGGCGACTGATGTTCTGTTGCAGCGTCAAGGTTATGGCTTTCGATGTCGTCGTTATCCGAAGCGGAGTACTTGGGAGCGCACGAAATTCCAAGTGCGGTCGCTTCTCACGCTAAACCTGAAATGGCACTAGCTCACATATTGCCAAGACAAATCTTCAACCACAAGATGTCTGCGTGCCTACTTCGCATTTTTGCCTTGGCGGAATAGTGAAACTGATAATACCCAATTGAATTCTAATCATCTAGTTCGCGACCAAAATCAATCAAGCGCAATTTCCGCGCATCTCTAACGTGGAACTGGGCCACTTTCGCTCGCACGAGAAACCGAGCAGCAGCGGAGTCTCTGTCCAACTCAATGTATGGCCCTTCACCGCTGTCGCCAACTAGTGCATCATAAAGCTTGCGGATCAGATTGTGTAACTCTTCGCCTGCAAGTTCTTTCTCATCCAGTGGCTGTCCATCAACCGCGTCTGTTTGCCCCCATATCTCATCAATCCGTCTTTGCCTCGTCGAATCTGAAGGAGACTTCCCAAGCTTCAAGGCCTTAGGCTTCCCCTGGTGAGAAAAGCCAGCGGCCAGCATGTCTTCGTCGATTTCCATAAGGTCTCCGACAACAGGGCCCCCTAACTCTTCGGCAGCAAGCATTACCGCAAGATGGTCTTTTGTGAAACTGTCGAGAGCCTCTTGAAGTAGCCCTGTCTCCGCATCATAACGTCGCTTTTGTTCTCGCGTACTGTTCATAATGTCTGTCGCTACTTGTGTTGGCGACCTTCTGGCATTCTCTTGGCCCCGAGCCTGCAGATTTTCGATGCGGCCCGTTAAGCTTTCCGTGAGAACATCAGCATCGCGCAGAGAGCCCTCTTCGCTTTCGAGATGACGTTCTGTAACATTAAGTTTTTGCCGAGTGGAATTGATTGCATCCTTGGCTTCAGCTACAGTCTGCTGGACTAGGCGCGTCGCTAAAATAGCGGGAAACACAGACACAGGGCCAGGCAGATGAGGCTCAAGGGGCGTGAGACGCTCATATGCCTGCTTCAACAAGCGGAGTTGCTGCAGCCGAGCACGTGGATCCGAGGAAGGCGCCTGGGACAGCGGCTCACGCGAAGACGCGCGAAGCTAGAGCGTGTGAGCATGGTTCGGGGGGAGATTGCCGAAGCATTTCGCTGTCTACCTGGTCCAAGGCGCGTTGTTGGCTGGCGACGCGCTCTCCCAACTCCTTGACTGCCTGGTCGAGGCGCGCGGCGAACGGGGGCGAGTCGGAGGCATCAACATCCATCACGTCCTGCTGGCGGGTGTTGGCGGCATATTGCTGGATGTTGGCCGTGACGTCCATGACGGCGCCGTGACCGAAGACGTCCAGCGCGCGGGCAGCGCGTCGAGGCAGGCCGAGTCGCCCAGGGCACGTGACGGATGATCTGCGCCAAGCGACGCACTGCTGCGCTCCGCATTTCAAGCTACGGCGGGCTACTAGTAGCTTCCTCTGTGCTGCTTCTTTCCTTTCCGACCTCCTCCCGTCATCATCTGCCCTTTCTCCCTCGACGCGACCACCGCCCCCATCGATCCTCCATCGCACCCTCGTCGCTCGTCGGCGGGACGCTGCAAGGTTTGCTTTTGCCGGGCGCGTTTACTTCTGCACATCTGCACAGACAGAACCCTCACTCAAGCTCTCCGAGACCTCTACTCTCGCCCGATCCTCTCCTCCATCCGCCGCACTTCACCGTCTCAATCCCGGCGACTTCCTAGCACCTTCCTCTCACCACAACACTTCACCAGCCGCTTCGTCCCCTGCTCCGATCGCCTACACCAGCAAGTTTTCCTTGGACAGCCCCTGCTGTACATAAACGATCAATCGAAGACATTTGCGACCGGCTATCTGTGTCGTCACTGGCAGTCATCTGAAGAAGAAGAAAAGATCAACACCTGAAAAAAGCTTTACTTGATACAGCAGGGCCAAAATAGCCATCAGCGATATGTCTGCCTCACCTACCACCACCGCTGCGCCCTCGCAGAAGCGGCCTCTGGAGGAGCCCTCTTCACCTTCCGGTCCCGGCGATCAGCCAGACGCAAAGCGCCCTGCTCTGGACAAGATTGTTAAAGATGAAGCTGCATCAGACGACGTAGATGTCAAGACCGCTGAACCCGCGTCGGCCTCCGCGCCTACCGCCACCGAAGACACCAAGCCCACAGGCGACGCGTCCACTCCCTCAGCCCCACAGAACGGTGCTCCACAGGATGGTCAAGGTGACACTGTGGTGCCTGATGCCCCCACCGCTGCCGCGGCCCTTCCCACTGAGACACAGCCCATCCAATCGACTTCGGCGAGTGGCGTTCCCGCGACTTCCCAAGTTCCTGCTATGAACCACCAGGATGAGAGCGGCTGGTTGCACGTTCGCGCGATCATCTCCAGTGCCGAGGCCGCTACAGTCATCGGCAAGGGTGGGGAAAACGTCACATTGATTCGACGCATGTCAGGCGCTAAGTGCACGGTTAGCGACTACTCTAGGGGTGCAGTCGAGCGCATCCTTACCGTCAGTGGATTGGTGGATGCAGTTGCCAAAGTGAGTTGAAGGTTGACCGTGGTGAACACTGACTCTGGACTGACTGCTATTGTAGGCTTTCGGCTTAATCATTCGCACGCTTAACAATGAGCCGCTTGAAGCTCCCTCTACACCTCAGTCAAAGACTTACCCTCTTCGGCTTCTCATTCCCCATATCCTGATCGGTTCCATTATCGGCAAGTCCGGTGTTCGCATCCGTGAGATTCAAGAGGCATCCGGAGCTCGCTTGAACGCTTCAGACTCATGCCTTCCTCTGTCCACTGAGCGTTCTCTCGTTGTCCTTGGTGTTGCCGATGCTGTCCACATCGCAACGTACTACGTTGGAAGTACTTTGGTCGAACAGCTGACGGAGCGTTTTGGTGGTCCTGCGGCATCTGCGTACGCAACGCGCAGCGGCGGTCCTGCAGGTGTTGTTCCTGGAGGCATGCAGGTCGTTCCGTACGTTCCTCAGCCGGCGGGAGGCCAATGGGGCCACCCCGAGACTTTCCGTGGCGGAAAGGGAGCTCACGGACCGAGGACTCCCGCTGCCGCATACGGTACCCCTAACATGCACGGTCAATACCCCCAGCAGCCCCAGGCGCCTCTCCACTACGGGGCTGGCTCGCCGCGCCACGCTTACACCGGCGCCGGTCCGCATCAACCACAGCAGTACGGCACTCCTCACGTTGGCCAGCCGGCCGCACATGCCGGTCAACCCGCCCAGCCTATCCAAGGCATGATGCCTGGACAACCGATGACTCAGCAGATCTTCATTCCGAACGACATGGTTGGAGCTATCATTGGCAAGGGTGGCGCAAAGATCAACGAAATTCGCCAGCTCAGTGGTAGTGTCATCAAGATCAACGAACCCCAGGATAACAGCAACGAACGACTTGTCACGATTACCGGCACCCAGGAATGCAACCAGATGGCTCTATATATGTTGTACTCTAGGCTTGGTGAGTTCGACAAGCACGGCGACCGCAACCGCCATTGAAACCCCGCCTCAGAAGTAGTACCTGCTAACGTCCATCAAGAAAGCGAGAAACACCGCATCTGAGCGGCCTCGCATTTCTTTCGGCGAATTATTGGAAAGGGGGGGTAAAAGTCTACCTACTTCGAGGTCTTGCCTTCCAATTATGTACTATTTTTTCTTAGGCGGTTATAGGTCAATTGAGCATCGATAGCTTACCTGGACTTTTCTTTGTGCTTGCGTCGTTTTTCATCATTGCGGCTTGCGTGCAGTCAAACACGTTAGTTACGGTTCCTTTTGTCCCATGGAAGCAAACGCGAAGAGGGCAATGCTTTGCGGACGGTCTACAGTGCGGCGTCACAGGTCGTCGCCAGGGTCCAACTTCCTCACGAAACACGGTCGCACCACGAAACAACAACCTTCTCATCAACCCACGCAGCTGCAGCTCACTCAATTCATGCAGAATTCGATTCTTCATTCAATTCTAATTAATACCTGGTCTAGTATCCCTTCGCCTCGTACACAGCCTGCCACCTATCTCTTATAGACCGAGCTAGCTTCTTTAGACTCACGTTGTCCAGCCGGTCCTACGCTTTCGGAAGCTACTCAGCTAGCTCAGCTTTAATCACTTCCTGGCTACCTTTTATATATTCTAAGTCGGGTCGTAGCTGAAAGAGTCGTTCTTTTAGAGGAAACTAGAGGTATTCCTAAGGATTAAGATCTAGCGAGTACGGTAGCAGCTCGAACAGCCGAATAGCTTTATTAATAAACTACTACTAGGTTAACTTAGTAGTATAGAGCGATAAATTATTATATACGAATCTTATATCGGGATCTAGCGACCTATTAAGTATCTAGTCTAATATATCGTAGTAACTTTTCGCTATAACTCCGTTATTTTTAGACTCGGGATCTCTCTCTATAGATAATTAGATATACTTAGTTAGACCGTACCGGACTAAGAAGCTAGCCTATATTATATAGCGAGGATATTTCCCTAGTAGTTTCGAGTAGATATTCTATCTCTAGTACTTTCTTTCCTAGGTTTATAAAAAACCTACTATAGTCTCTTTCTAGAACCCTACTTAATATAATATTTATCTATAAAGATAAATTTATCCTAAAACTTTCTTTTTTTATAGTATTTCTTTACTAAACGGTACCGCTTTCTAGTAACCTCTTTAGAAATAAAAGGTCTTTTCTTAGCTTTCTACTTTATTATATTGTATTCTTTTAAAACCTTATAAATAGTAGATTTACTATAATTTAATTATAGGTCTTTTATTACTCTTTTATAAGAGTATTTAGGATAGTTATTAATATAACGTATTATCCTACGCTAGGTATAGATATTAAGTTTCTTTTTAGGCCCTAGTCTAGGTACTAGGTCTATTTATTATATTTTTAAAAAGCGGTAGATTATATCTGCTATAGTTTTTCCTAGAATATATAAGTCTCGAGATTTTAGACTAGCTATAGCTAAGAGAATTTGCGGTAAGAATTAAAACTCGCTAGTTATGAGAAAGAGTAGCTTTTACTAGTGATTTTCTATTGATGTGGTCTGCAAAGAAAGACTCCATGTTGTGTGGTAGGAGGTGAGAGAAAGCGGGGTTGAGAGAAATTTGCGTTAGTGTTGGACCCTGGCGACGACCCGTGACGCCGCACTGTATGGCACCAAAGCAAATGTTGGACACGGGTTGTCGCTTACCGCAGGCGCATCGTTTGTTTGAAACTTCCGCATTCGGAGGTCGATGGGTGAGGAGCAGAACAAAGGCCAACTGCTACGTTGGTCGTCACGCCAAGCTAATGAGGCAGTCATGCTCGAAAGACGTGAACGTTTTCATTCACGCAGGCATCCTTGCTTATAATGACGGAGCTCCTGTTCTTGCTTATAATGACGGAGCTCCTGTTCTTGCTTATAATGACGGAGCTCCTGTTCTTGCTCGGCTCCTTGATTGATAACGCAACACTCACGGCTCCTGTAAAACCCCAAATCCTCTCCTGGTACCTTCGCCCTTTCTAAAGCAGGGCCCCCACGGCTTCGTCGTGAACTCTACTTCAACAAGCCATCCACCCAGCCATCTACTAACTCCGAGCGCTTGTCACAACGTATCACAGAGCTGCTTCAAGCGCTTCACATGGCAACGGAGGTTGAAAAACCGCGAGCATGGGGCTCACTGGCCCTGTCGGCGCGCGCCAGGAACCGGCCCTTTTCGTTGCGGTGAGCAAAGCAAGGGGTTGAAGTTGCAAATTATGCATGCTGACAGGGTAGCACCAGGACGCAGTTCAGGACCTTTACAACGGTTTCCACCATTCTGGTCGGACGTACGGCGACGCCATTCCTCGTCCATCGGGAGGTACTCACACACCACTCGCCCTTCTTCGCTGCCGCACTCAACGGCACGTTTGCCGAAGGCCTGAGCCAGTCCGTCAGGTTGCCCGCCGAGGATGTCTCGACCTTTGAGATATTTCTGCACTGGGCCTACACTGGGACGCTCGACGACGTGTTCCAGCGCCAGGGCAAGGTCGCATTTTATCTCCTGCTGAACCTGTACGGCCTAGCGGACCGCCTGACCGTGGAGCGCCTGCGGAACCAGACCGTTGACAAGGTCGCCGAGCTGGCCGAGAAAAGCAACAGCGTCCTCACGCCCAGCGACACTTTCACGCTCTACGAGGAAATCCGCGACACGGCCCTGCTGCGCAAACTCGTGCTTGACCTCTTCGCATTCAAGAAGACCGACGTCCTGCTGGCCAGCCACCCAGACGAGTGGCACCCACAGTTCCTGCGCGAGCTCATCGTGCGAGTCAAGCGCCCGGATCTTCAGGGCATGAGTCGCCACAGCCTTGACCCTTGGAAGCCGGCCAGCTGGAACCTGACCCGTGCGTGCTGGGTCTGCCGCGATGTAATCCAGCCAGGACTTAGTGGCAACAAGTGCGAGTCTTGCGGCTACGTCTTTTGCAACACTTGCGTGAATGCGGGAAAGGCATTGTGTGGGGATGATGCAGCAAAATTGGCCAGCTGCAAGCCTTGGATGAGAAACATGTGCAAGCATTACCATGAGCATATGGAGACGGCGCCGTGTGCTGCGAAGTAACTTGCATCCCTGGCGACCACCAAGATTGATTGATGTTTCAGTGTAGATATACCCCCCCCCCCCCCCTTTTTTTTTTTTTTTTACATTGGTAGTTGAGGGTGATTGGAGAGAATAATAATTTGATTTGACACAGCTGTCGTTCAGAGAAAACTTCCAGTGCAACCATAGCCTTCCCAGTCAACGCCTTCGAATAAAACAAAGCCACCCGGGGTTATCATTCCGTATCTAGCCTGACCGAACCGAACGTTGATCTCATAAACCCAAACCCGGAACCAATCCTTATGCCCTGGGGATAATGTAGTCCCTGTTCTCGACCGTTACACTCTTGGTCTGCATTGGAAACATTAGCTTTCACTGTTCGCAGGATTGAGACAGGCGACTTACCATATGGTTAACCTTATACACACCCACCAACCGCGAAGCCAGCTCAAACATGTTGTTTCGCAACGAGATGACGACGAACTGCGCATTCTTGGTGCGCTCCTTGATGTAACTTGCAACAATCGAAACCTAACGTAGGATTAGCTAACGTGGCAGCTTTAGTGCGCAGGCAGGGAGTACTCACGTTTCTGAAATCCAACGCCGCATCAATTTCGTCCATGACATACAAAGGCGTAGGCTTGTAGTGGTGCAAGGCGAACACGAGTGCCAGACTCGAGAGCGTCTTTTCACCACCAGAAAGGTTGCTGATGTTCTTCCAACTCTTCTTTGGCGGCATGACTGAGAACAGGATGCCTTCGGAGAAAGGATCCAGGGAATCCACCAGCTCCAGCTCAGCATTGCCGCCCATGGTGATCATCTGGTACATCTCCTTGAGGCGCAATGAGATCTGACTGAAGCCTTCCATGAAGCCCTCAAGACGCAGACGGCGCAGTTCATCGCAGCGCTTCTTAGCTGCGTCGCGTTCGGCAACTGCAGTGGCCAGATCAGCGCTGCGTGCTGTGTGCTCCTCGCAGCGGCGGCGATATTCTGCCAGGACGCCCAGCTCGACTTGAACATTTTGAGTTTTCTCTTCCAATGCGGCGATCTCGCGCTTGAGAGAATTCCTGTCCATGTCCTGCAGCTCATCCTTTGTGTACGTGGGCAGAGAATCGCCCTCCTGCTCCTCACTAAACTCGCCAACGTTCTGGATGGTCAACTTGCTGAGCTTGTCCTCCCAATGGCGTAGGCGCATTTCATTTTCCTTGAGGGCTTTCTGTTGTTCCTCCAACTTGTTGCGCATTTCGATCTCGATACCGCGCGTCTCGTTGAGCTCCGTAACCTTGGCATCCAGTTCAGCCTTCAAACTCTGCAGCTCTTCTTTCTTTTCTTCAAGCGCATCTTGCGCTTGCTCTGCCTGTTCCCTCCATCCACTGGTGCCGCTCTTCTGGTTTTGCACGTCCTCCTCAACCTTCTCAAGCTCTGCAGCCAAGTTCTCTAGCTCAGCCTCTGCCTCTCGGTAGGACTTCTCATGTTTGGTCTTCTGCTTTTGGGCCTTTGCCTTGGAAACCTCAGCGGTCGACATCTCTTCGGTGAGTGTGTCAACTTGCTCTTTGAGAGCATCTACCTTGGCTTTCTGAAGACGTAGCTTAACACCGCCAACCTCCATGATCTGGTCTTGCAGCTCTTTGATTTCCTCTTCAACTCCAGCAGTTTCAGAGTGGAGCTTTTTGATGCGTTTCTCCATACCGGCAATGTCCTTCTCCAAACTAGCCGCACGAGCCTTATCAGACTTGGAGGGCTGCTGCTCAGCAGCAATTTCTTTGATACGACGCTTCAAGTCCGCGATGTTGCGATCAAAACTTTCAAGCTCGAGAGCGAGCTTTTGCGCTTTAGTCTCCAACTTGGGTATTTCGTCATTGAGTTTCCTCAACATTGTTTCCATCTCCCTTTGCTGTTGTTGGAACTCCTGGAAGCTCTGCTCAATGGTGTCGCGGTCACCCTCGAGCTTGGCAACTTGGTCTCTCGTAACGTCCCCGGCCAGCTTCGAAGACATCCCACCCTTCGCGACTCTGGTGCCACCACCGCTCATAGTACCGGACTTGTCGATAAGCTGGCCATCGAGAGTTACCACGCGCCATCTCTTTGCTCCATAGGCTATGCGGTTGGCTTGTTCCAGATCCTTGGCAACCAGCGTGTTCTGGAGGACGCTGAAGAAGGCGGGTCTGAATTTGTCGTGCTTGGGCTTCACCAAGTCGAAAAGTCTGGGGACTTTCTCTGGAGTTTCGATCGGGGACAGGTCGCGCTGCGGTAAGCGGTCCAAGAGAATGAAGTTGGCCCGACCAAGATTGTTCTTTCTGAGGTACTCGATACATTGTTGGCCCACTTCGACGGAGTCAACGACCATGTTATCCAAGGACGGACAAGCAGTTGAAATGGCGATATCGAACTTCTGGTCAATAGCACCAAGGTTACCGAGCCGGCCGTGAAAACCGTTGATACGACCAGACTCTTTGAGGCGCATCAAGCCTGTCAGGACGTTCCCTTGAGTTTGGGTGGCCGAAAGGCTGGCGCGTGCTTCGTCTGCCTTTTGTCGAGCCCCCGATAACTTTGAACGAATCGCGGGTTCTTTCTCTGCCAGCCCAGCCAGCTCCTTCTCCGCTTCCTTGATCGCTTTCAAACAATGGCTCTTCTGTTCATCGCATTCCTCCAATTCTGTTTCCTTGGCAGCCTTTGATTCCTCAAGCCCCGCGATTTTAGCCTCGGTTTCGGCGATTGCAACGGCGCCCGCGTTATCCTTCTCGCGCAATATATCCAGCTCACTTTGTGCGACAGCCATGGCTGACTGCTGCTCATTGATCTTTTCGTTCCAGGGCTCAAGAGACTTCTGCTTGGCGGCAATTTGGTCGGAAATGTGTTGAGTCTTGCCCTTGAGGCTATCTCGGATTTTGCTCAGCTCCTCCTCTTCACCCTGCATGTTTTCCTGCAATTCGGCGATTTGCTCAGTGTTGCGAGCAATGTCGTCGGAAGATTGTTGCACGGTCGTCTCCGATTCACCAGCGGCAAATCTACTACTTTCCAGAGTCTTCTGAAGCTTCTTTTGTTTGTTGGTCAAGAACTTCTTCTTCTCTTCAAACTTGACCGTCTCCTTGTCCAACTTGGCGAGCTCTTTGACCACTTCTTGAGTTTGCTTCTCGAGCTTGTCGTAGTCCTTAGACCCAGCCTTGTATTGCTTCTCAAGTTCTTTGATGCCTTCCTCGTTTCCTTGATGTCTTTGTAGCTCCTCGTCTAGTTGACCAGATAGTTCGTTTATGGCTTCCTGGGTGACCGCAATGTTGTCATTGGTATCTTCAACGTAGACCTGATACAACGCAGACTGTTTTGTAGCCAACTCATTTTCATCCCGAATGTAGGCCAAGGCCTTGTTTTTCTTTTCTTCCAGGTTCTCCTTTTCCTTCTCGACGTGTTGCACTCTGTTGCTCTTCTCCATGCAGACTTCATTGAGGGTTTCTGTCTGCGCGGCCGATTCTTCGATTGGCGTCTTGTATTTCGACGTGCCAATAATGTCCTCCAGGTATTCCAACAACCCGTCATCGTGCTCATTCGCGGCCTTGGCCTTCATTTGCGCAATGGATTCTACCTCACCCTGCAAGATGAGGAATCGCTTGTGGTCAAGATCGACGCCTCTTTCCCGAAGCAATGCCCCAACAACAGTGAAGTTTGATGGCTTTCCGTTGATGTAATACTGACTAGAGTTGCTCTTGAATGCTCTCCGTGAGATGACAAGTTGCGAATCCGGGATTATCTCATGTCCTCCTTGGGGCAGGTCCATAACCTCTTGAAAGTGGACTTCGACCTCACAATAATCCAGATTCGGGAACTCCGCCGAATTATGAATCAACGCAGATATCTTACCCTGTCTCATCTTACTCGCCCTGAAGCCGAAGACGAACAGCAGAGAATCAATCACATTCGATTTTCCGGAACCGTTCGGGCCCACGACAGATGAGAAGGAAGCATGGAATGGTCCAACCTCCTGTCTGCCCGCGTAACTCTTGAAATTTGTCAGAATTAGCCATGTGATAACAATCCTGGATTTCGGCGGCGCAGGCTCTTGCGAAGTCGGCATGGCTGTCGCTCTTGCTCTAGCCGCAATATCCATTGGCCTCTCCAACTCAGTTATTCGCGGGTCAACCTTCTTGACTGCGTGTGGTGATATTGGGACGGGTGGCTGCTCGGGCGCTGGTGCATCGTTCATGTCGACATCCATCATGTCCACGTCGGCATCCGCAGTCGGCGCCTCGGTTTGTTCCACAGCCCCAGAGTGCTCCACAGGCTCAGGTTGTTGCACAGGTTCGGGTTGCTGCACAGATTCAGGCTGCTGCTCAGGCTCAAACCGCTCCACGGACTGTTTCGGCGTTTGGGCGTCATCCGCCTGCTCGTTGACAGTACTTTCGGTGATGTCTGCTAGCGGCGTTGATTGGTGCTCGGTTTTGGGAGATGTCGTAGGATTCGGAGTCGGCGGGGGGATGTCATCATCTGTGGCTTCTGTAGTTGGAGCAACGGAAGCTCTGGCTCTGCGACTCTCGCGGACGTTTCGTCTTCCTCTTCTGGCAGTGGCAGGAGCTTTCACAGGCTCTGCTTCAGCATCCTCAGCTGCCACACTGGCTCTTGTTCTCCGCGATCGGGTTCCAGTGCCCGGTGTCGCCGGTGCGTCAGTGGTCGGCCTGCGCGACGCCCGCCTCGTGCTCTTTGGTGCGGGCGTGAACTCTTCCTCGTCACTGTCCTGCTGTTGCATGGTGTGGTCTTCTTCGTCGGAGGATTCGATAACCGCACGACGGGATGCTGCTCGCCGCGATCGAGTGGGCAGCGCAGGCATCGTGTGCAATCGGAAGTATGGGAGTTGTGCTGTCAGGTTAGTTGTTCGACCGTTGTAGCTCTCCAGTCGCCAAAACATGGCGATCGCACAGTAAACATCGGCATCTTGGCACTCAAAACGCCGACAACACACGGACATTTCCCCGCAGGCACGAGGCTCGGTGGATTTTAATCGTGGCCGGACTGCACGAGCGGAACATTGAAGGCGGACGGAATGAAGTCAACTAGGCATTGCAAATTAAATGCATTCAAGCTCTTGGTTGTTCTCGGACTTTCCCCTTTTACTAACCACAATTGCAATCTCCACGCATGGCCATCCACGCTCATTACCTTTACTTGCAACGCTTCTCGACAATGCTTGCACCATGCTCCTCGTACTCCTTTTTGCTGACCCACAGCTGCTCAATAGTTAGCAGTGGTCGTATCTCTCGACGGGGGGGCTCAGCAGTACTTACCTGATGAAAGCTACCCAGGCTACCAAGAATGCTACCACCAATCCAGCTGGCGTATTTGCGCTCCACCGTATTGCCCGGTGCCTGCAGCCTGATCCTAGGACCAGGATAGATTTGTGCCAACTCCAAATTCAGGCGATCGGTAAAACCGTACAAGAGAGAAGATCCGCCAGTAACCACGATGTTCGCGAGCAACGCAGGGCGCACTTCCACATCAACTTGACCAAGAGACTGGATAACGAGCTGGGAAATGGTCTGCTCGTCGCGAGGTCTCGGATTGTCGGCATCAATCAGTGCAGCCTTGGCATCAAACAAACCCTCCGCTGCTTTAAACCGTTCCGCACCGAAGACTTGGTTCCATCCATCAGGCATTTCGAACGGCCTGCCAGGAGAGTTCCTCGCGATCTCCTCGTTGGCTCCAGTCAGTCTGCCTGGTCCGCCCCAAACCTGCACCACGGACTCCTTGAACTCCGTAAGCACACGCTCTTCCTCCATTTTGCGGAACGATGCAGTCGGCGGCTTGGCAAACTCCTTGTAAACGGCTTGGGCAGGAGCTCCAGCCTCTACTGGAGTCTTTGATGCAACCACATAGTGCGGTGTCAGTGGGACCGGAGGTTGCGATTGGGCAAAGGTCAACCGAAGTTGGTTTGAGATGAAGTTGCCCGCAAGAGGTGACTTCATCACACCTGAACCGAGCTAGTCAGCAGGATACTTACGGTCGTCAACAGAGCCCGGACTTACCCTTTTTGATGACCATGCCATCTACAACAGGCGTGATCGAGGTGGTCGCAGCACCTACGTCGATGACCAAAGCGGTGGGCTTACCGGATGCGAATCTAGTATCGTTGTTAATACTCGTTCTTCGTCACCAAGCCACTATGCGCACCTACGCCGCAAGAACTCCGTTTTTAGCAATATAGAACGCCGGAGCGCCCCAGTCCTCCATGGCAACCTCAATGCACTTCTCCCGGTGTTTCTGCGAGCTCCACCCAGGCTCAGACATGAGCAACGGTGAACCCTCGAGCGGCTTCTCAAGAACCACAGACTCCTTTATGTCGACATCCATCTCGCCATCCAAGGCTTCGTTAAGACCGTTGTTTGCCGGGTTCGTAGGTTTTGCGCCGGTCAGGCGCGAAGTAATTGCGTACTCCCATAGCTTGACAGCAGTATCCCAGTCTTCCACTACGCCCTCGGTGGACCAGGGGTTACGGATCTCCAGGTTTGAAGAAGGATTGTGTATCGCGTTCTCGCCGAAAACGGGAGTGATAAGGTCTTCGCGCACGCCATAATAAGTCGGTAGGACAGACTTGGGGACATCCTCTCCCGCGAAGCCTGCGCGAGTGGAAGAAAAGCCGGGGTCGAGTACGACGGCGGAGACTTCGTCTAAACAGGCCTTGTTAGCATCAGGTCAATTGACAAAGTGAGTGCAAAGCCTACCTCCCGCGTACTCGTTGGTCGCAGGCACGGACGAGCTATGTAACGCCATGGTGGGCGCGAGATATGCGCAAAACGGATGCTTCGTTTGTCTAACGGATGCGCGCGAAATACGCGAGGGTGAAAGGGTATGCGAATAGATGACGCGAGATGGTGGAGCTGGTCGCGGTGGAAGCTACCTGGTCAAGGGCGGAGCGCGCAGGGCGGTGATGGCAGCGCTTGCCTCGGTGGTATGTCCGTGCCCAAACATTTCGCTTTTATACAGCTGCTACTAATCTACTTGCAGTAGCTATTACGATAACAGGTAGCTACTAATCCACATGAAATATTCATAACGCGGCGGGCTTGGCGGACGGCGGACTTGGCGATCGTACCTAGCTTACTTGCCGGACCGTCACTGGACCCTCGTCATTCCTAGAGCTCTAGGTACCGGACATGGTCTGAGTCTCTCTTTTCTCTCTCTCCTTTCTCTTTCCGCCGCCATGTCCTGGTTTCAGTACTTGCGGCAACTTTACTCCCTGGACACACTCGACACCCGCTTCATCATCTCCGCATCCACACCCCCGAAGCAAGCCGCCAGCGATCCCCAGATTGACCCTGCGAAGCCCTCCCCATCCGAGGCAGCACAACGCGAACAAGCCAAAGGAGATGACGCAAAAGCTCCGTGCACTCAGCCTTCGAAATGGCGGACTCCCGAGTTCTACTTCTACTACTTTATCTTCATAACCGTCGTACCGACTATGTTCAAGACCGTATACGATGTGTCGAAAGGTGCGACGATGTCCGCACGCGCTCGCAGGACACGGTTGCTGATATGGCTTAGAGTCGGATCCCAATTACCCCAAATATGAGCATTTACTTTCCGACGGATGGATTCCTGGACGGAAAGTGGTATGTTACAATAAATTGGCTGTTCCGGACGTTTATCTGACAGCTGTGATAGGATAATTCAGATGCTCAATACTCCTCCTTCCGCGACAACGTACCATATCTGTTTCTAGTCGTCATTATCCACCCCCTACTCCGTCGGGTGTATGACTATTTATGCCGCGCCGATACATACACCCAAGTTCGACCGACTTCCACTGCGTCGCCAAATGGACAGCTTACCATGGGTCTGTCAGCGCATGCTGCGGCAGATGCAAGATTGGAACAACGCATATCCTTTGATCATGTTTTCGCTTTGGTCTTCCTGTTCGCCCTACACGGGCTGTCAGCAGTGAAGGTTTTCCTTATCTTGTACGTGAACTACAAGATTGCAACTGCATTGCCACGGAGCTATGTACCCGTAGCGACCTGGACCTTCAACATCGCTACGCTTTTTGCCAATGAGCTTTACCGCGGGTACCCGTTTGCCGACATTGCAGCTTTCGTGGGCCCCGGAACAGCTGCGTCATCCGAGGACAACTGGGGAGCGTGGTTGGACAGCTATGGAGGCTTGATGCCGAGATGGGAAGTCCTTTTCAACATCACGGTCCTCCGCCTGATCAGTTTTAACATGGACTATTACTGGAGCTGGAATATGCGCGGCGGTAGTCCAATCGAGGTACAGACTCTGCTAAGCCAATCCATTGGGGACATTTGCTAACGCCCAAAAGAAGAAACAGCTCGACCCTGCCAACTTGTCTGAGCGTGATCGCGTTTCTACGCCGGCAAAGGCAGGAGACTACTCGTTCCGAAACTACTTGGCCTACATTTTATACTCTCCGCTTTACCTTGCAGGACCCATTCTGACGTTTAACGACTATATCTCGCAACAGCGCTACCGCGCTCCCAGCATCACTCGCCAACGCACCACGCTCTATGCCATTCGCTTCCTTCTATCTCTCCTCGCCATGGAGCTTGTTATCCACTACATCTACGCCGTTGCTATTTTCCATGTTCAACCTAATTGGGGCATGTACACGCCATTCCAGTTGAGCATGCTGGGCTACTTCAACCTCCACCACATATGGCTGAAGCTGCTGCTGCCATGGCGGTTCTTCCGCCTCTGGGCGCTGCTCGATGGCATCGACCCGCCAGAGAACATGGTGCGGTGCATGAGCGACAATTACTCAGCACTCGCCTTCTGGCGGGGCTGGCACCGCAGTTTTAACCGCTGGATCGTGCGCTACATCTACATACCCATCGGCGGCAGCGGCATCGCCGGCCGCTGGGGCAAGGTCCGCGCCATCGCGAACTACCTTGCCGTCTTCACGTTCGTCGCGCTCTGGCACGACATTCAGCTGCGGCTGCTGATGTGGGGTTGGATGATCTCGTTCTTCGTCGCACCTGAGGTCCTGGCCGGAATGCTCTTCCCCCGGCGCAAGTGGACCGACCGCCCAACGGCGTATCGCATGCTTTGTGGCGTCGGCGCCGTGGGCAACGTGCTAATGATGATGGCGGCAAACCTGGTCGGCTTCGCGATCGGGCTGGATGGGCTCGAGGGCCTGGCGAAGGGCATTTTCGGAAGTTATTCCGGGCTGGGGTTCTTTGCTGCGGCGTGCGGGGCGCTGTTTGTGGGTGTACAGATCATGTTCGAGGTCCGCGAGCAGGAGATGAGGCAGGGTGTTAGGATGAAGTGCTGATCTAGCAGACTTTCTGTATCTATGGCCCGGCGAGGGATTCGCTGAGGATAGATGGAATTATTTGATACATGCACACATAGAAACACGAGCGCCACATTTTCGACATACAATTTATCCGCAAGTATAAATTTCGTGTTCGTCGTTAGAATCAATAGTTCAGAGTAGAGACCGTCGCCCCGAGACCAGCAAACCAAATTCACTTGCAATCTTCCCATATCATCTGCCCCACTACAATCCAGCATCCTCCTCAGCAGGAAGCCGCGACACGAAGCTGCGCCTCGCTCTCCTTCGCGAGTGCTGCCTAGCAGGCCAGTACGGCCGGACCGGGGATCGTATACGGCTTCTTGTCGTTGTCGGGCTGGCCGGAGGCGCCGTAGATATTGATGAGGATGCCGCTGCAATCAGGCACGCAACGCATTAGCCTCGCTTCCTAGTTATTTTTTCGCGCAGCACGCTTTTTTGGGGGCCGCCGCCAAACCAAAACCCAATGTCGTCGCCGTGGTTAAGTTAACTAGCGGCGCCGAAGAGGAAAAAGCTTGCATGCATGGATGACGGGCGAGTCGCGCGGAGATTGCGCTGCTAGTTGACTATGGGCGAATAGGGGGGAGGGAGAGCGACGGAGACGGAGACGGGGGAATAGATAGTGTGGAAGTAATAACAGGGAGGGAGCCAAGGGGGGGTAGGGTAAGGTAGGGTAGGTGGTGTCATGCATGGGCGCCGAGGCCGAGGCCGCCGCCGCCGATGATGGAGATGACGGCGGGCCGGAGCTGCCACCGGCCGGCTGTGATGACAAAGCCCGCGCCCGCCAGCCCGTTTAGGGGGTGTTGGACCGGGGGTGTCAGGAGAGGTGGAGGGTGGAGGAGCAGATGGAGATGATGGGGGGCGGGCAACCGAGATTGCGACCAATAATTGGCACACGCTTGCCCGATGGGGAAGGCTATAAATACGCAGGCCGACGAGGCAGACGAGGCAGACGACGACGACAATGACGGCCGTGCTGCCGATGGGTGCTGGATGGGTGGACTTACGGATCGGTGGCGCTGTAGGCTCCCGGGAAGCTGACGCTCGATGTGCCCGTGCTGGTGCCGCTGCCGGACACGTTGATCTGGGCGCAAGATATCTGCGCGTGCGCGCGTGTCAGTGGTTGTTGGCATTGTTTGTTTTGTGCTGTGTCGACGTGTGCAAATGGCAGGCGCGAGAATGTGTTGGGTATGACATGGATGGAACTCACGTAGAATTGGGCGCCGCCGGTCGAATAGGCCGAGTGCAGAGCTGGAGGGAGGGTGGGGGTTAGTAAGGGTGCGGGAGATCGGCGCAGGGGTGGGTGGGGTATGCATGCCGATGATCTCGACCCGCATCAGATACTGGCCGGGCGCGACGCAGCTGGGCAGGGTGAAGTATTGCCAGCCACCGTTGGCAATCATGCGATCGACGCCCCAGGTGCCGCTGCTGGTGTCGAGCCCGTCCTCTGCAATCTTGAACCACTTTAGGCCGCTGGTAGTGGTTGTGGCGGCATTGTCCACCTTGGCGCTACGCTTTGTCGTCAGCCACGTTTTTTTTTACCTGACGGGTCTTGTCATACAGGTACACAAGAACGGGTCCTTTGTGGCTTGCAGCGATAGGGTTGTCGGCGTCGTTGGCAGAGTTTGTGCCGAGCAGGTGCTGCCAGTACGCGCCGACCGTGGCGCCGGCCGGGATGGTGACGACCGACTGGGAGACTGGCGAGTGGATGCCCGTGTTGCAGGCAATGCTGTCGCCAGTGACGCTAGTGATGGGATTGTTCGAGTCAGGAGCACGCACGCCCGTCAGCTGGCCCTGGTCGACGCCGTTGACAGACAGGCGCTGGAAGATTGTGTGCGCATGGGCGGCAGCCGCGCACGCAATGGGAAGGATGGAAGTGATCTTCATTGCAATGACAAAAACAGAGTTTGATTGCTGCAGAGCCGTGATATTTGTACATGCTGCGACGGAGGTGCAAAGCCCGTTCACGTTCCGACGATGCTGCCTTTTTGCCGGCTGCCTGCCTTCATTCTGTGTTCAGGTAAATGGACCGGCGGGCCGTGTTTGTGTTCACCCCAGAATGGGCAAGCGATGGGAGGGTGGTTTTCAGGGTCTTAAGGCTCTGCTATTATGCATCGGATTGAACCGGCGGGCCGGCAGCCGGCGCACAAGACTAGATACAAAAATTTGTTCAAAAGATGTGGAGAAGGTATAAAGAGTAGATAGTCCAGCCGTAGTCGTCGTCGACGAAAACCAAGCATCACACTGTCTTACCTACCTGCTCACTTGCTGTCATGCATGTCGTCACGGGACAACATGCCTTGGCACAGCAGGTCGAGAGAAAATCAACACCCGGCTGGTCGGCACGCATGGACAGGGCATGGCGGAGGAGAGATGCGGTCATCTGGCAGCAGGCGAACCGCGGCATGATGGACGCCAGTGGCGGATCGTTGCCGCGTCTCGCTCCATCACTGGGCGACGATCCTCCCAGCGCGCCGGATGTGGAGAGGCGCCGGGAGTGACATCACGCTACGAGTAATTGCAGCACAGACGGCAGATCAGCATACCCTGCCAGCCCAAAGCAATAGTTAATTACAATTACCGGTGCCCGTCTCCCCTTGCTGCGCCTCGCCTCTCGACTCTTTCTCCCTTAACTGGTTCCGCTTCCCGAGTCGTCCGGTCGCGCTCTCTCTCTTACCTCTGCCTGCTGCTGCGCCTCCATCCGTGACGACCACCTCACCCGGACGACTCCCTGCGCCTGCTCGCCTCCACCCCGTACTCCGCTCCTCTACCCCGCCGCTTTGCTGCGCCAGTAGCAATGGCTTACAACCCCGTGCCCGCGCCGTCCGCAGACCACTTGGCTCGCGGTTACGGGGCTGCTGACTTTGCGCCCGCCCCCGCTCACGCCAGCGATCCCCAGCACCCCGGCCGTTTCAACGAGGAGTTTGACGACCCGGTCGGCGACGGCGACCTCCCCAACCGCTCGACTTCGCGCGCCTCCTCGCACACGCTGAACCAGGGCGGCGTCTCGCGCAGCGGCACCCTGAAAAAGAAGAACTCGCTGAACCGCAAGTCGAGTCTGAAGCGCAGCGGCAGTCGACGAAGCATGGCCGCCGGGAGCATCAAGGGCGTCGCTGTGCAGCACGAGGGCGACCTGCACAGCCCGAACAACTTCAACAGCGTCTTCCATACACCCGTCCCCACACAAGGAACGCCCACGGACATCTTGGCAAACAGGTTCCAGGGTGGGTGCCCCTCTTGCGATCAACCACCGACGATCTTACACTGACACGGTGCACAGCTTGGCGCAAGCTCCTTAAAGACCTCATAACCTATTTTAGGGAGGTGCAGAGCTCTTACGAACACAGGTCAAAGGCCTTGATGAAGGTTTCCAACGTCATCAACAACCTGAGCGCTCCCTCGGACTTTCTGACCGACGGCGGCCTGAACGACGCCACCAGGATCTTGCGCGACTACCACAAACAGTCGGTCATCGAGGCTAACAAGGCGCGCGACATCGAGAACGACGTCATTGCCCAGTTGAGCGGGCTGAGAAATGATCTTGGCAACAAGATAAAAGAGATAAAGGGTCTTTCCGGCGATTTCAAGAACTCGGTCGATAAGGAAAAGGAAAACACGCGCAAGGCCATCGCCCAGCTCGGAGACGCTCTCGCTGCCGTCGAAGTTGACCCGCACGCTGCTTCTGGAAAGGGTGACCCGTTTGTTGTCAGATTGGCCGTCGATCGTCAGGTTGAGAAGCAAATTGACGAAGAAAACTATCTTCACAGGGTGAGCAATAGTTTTTTCTTTCTACTTTTTTTTTCGTTAGATGGCGGATTTGTCCACTGACATTCACCCACCAGGCGTATCTCAATTTGGAAGGCTCAGGACGTGAGCTGGAGTCCATCGTGGTTGGAGAGGTCCAAAAGGCCTACAATGCGCTGGCCGGAATTCTCAAGCGTGATGCCGACGAGGCTTACAACGCCGTAGAAAGGCTGCGCGCCGGTCCCGTCTCCATGCCAAAGGATCTTGAGTGGTCGCAGTTTGTTCAGAATGACCCTCATTTTGTCAATCCCAGGACGCCTCTCCGCAGGGTTGAAGATATTGAGTACCCGGGCAAGCACCACTCCGCAGCAGTTGAGATCAGAGCAGGCATGCTGGAACGCAAGAGCAAGTACCTGAAGAGCTACACTCCAGGCTGGTAAGATGCCGCCCCCTGTTTTGCTCCCTCTTACTTACGCATATGGCTAGGTACGTGCTGTCGCCTACCCACCTGCACGAGTTCAAGTCAGCCGATCGGATATACTCGCAACCCCCCGTCATGTCACTCTATCTGCCGGAGCAGAAGCTCGGCACGCACTCGCAACTCGGTTCCTCCTCGCAAAAGTTCATCCTCAAAGGTCGCCAAGCAGGCTCGATGCACCGTGGCCACACATGGGTCTTCCGCGCCGAATCTTACGACACGATGCTCGCATGGTACGAAGATATCAAAACTCTCACCGAAAAGACCGGTGAAGAACGCAACGCATTCGTCCGAAACCACGCGCGCAGCGTCAGCGCTGGTAGTGCACGTTCGGTAAGCAGCGACGGCCTCGAGGACAACGAGGCGGATGAGGTCCCGTACTCGGCCGCGGACTCGGTGACTTCAAAAGACCCGAATCCAGCGCCGCGACCGCAACCAGGTGGGCGATTTCCTTCGGATCTCCAGGTCAACCATCACTTACAAGCTCCACTTTCGCCATCTAGTGGAAGCTCCGAAGCCGATTTTGATGATTTGACAACGGCCGCCGGGGGACTCCAAGGGAACCATTACCCCTACGAACCAGACCATCACGCTAGTGTATCGTCTCCGGTAGCTGCACAGCAGCAACAGCAGCATGCCACGGCCGCGCCGTCGAACTACCCGCCGCAACAACAGTACGCCGATCCACCATACGCCGAGCCGCAATACGCCGAACAGCGATTCCCCGTGTCCCAACAGTCGTACTCCCCCGTCTCGCCGGTGAACGACGCGCAACAACAACAATATCCCGTTGCCCATCAAATGGACGGTGCGTACCAGCAGGCGTACCCAATGGGCTCCGAACAGGTATCTTCCATCCAACCGCCTCCAGCCACGAGGCATGAGCCTGACCTTCAACGGCACGACAGCAGATACGGTAGCTGGATGACGCCTGCTGCCGGAGGCGCCGCTGCAGGCATAGTCGGCGCGGAGGCATACCGCCACTATAACCAGCAGCACGAGCACGAACGGCAGCCAGACGAGCTGGCGGAGCTGGCTGGCGTAGACAACGCGACCGAGCCAGCCCGCCAGGGCGCCTTTTCAAGCGCCATCCCCAGCCAGCAAAACTCCTCGCTCGCTTACCCTGACATGCCCGCCACCGCTGACGCCACGTCGAACCCCTCGATGATGATGAACACTGCTGACGCGCCGGACTACGTGGCGCCTGCGCGCGCGACGGAAAGCCCGGCCGCCATCTTTGCCAACGCGGCCGCTGCTAATGCCAACGGCACGAGAGGATTTCCGGATGCTGACGCGCATGCTGCTGTCAGTGGTGATGCGAAAGCGAATGCGCACGCGCATCCGACGGGGGGGATTTTCCCGGCTGTGCTGAGGCATGATACCGATGTTAGTATCAGCCAGCTGCATGTGCCGGGGGAGTATCCTCGCACACCGGGCACGAGCGGCTTGCCGCCGGTGTTGAAGGAGGGGTGAGTTTGAATTGGTGAAAGGGGATGAGCGATGGGGGAGGGAGTGAGCCAAGAAAACAGAAAAAGATAAAAAAAAGTAAAAAGAAAAGAAAATCAGGGGAGTGGGTTGGGCAGGGAGACGAGAAGGAGGTGTAAGATAGGAGGGATGAGTGGAACGGAAAGGAGGGAGAGTGGTGGAGGAGGCGGGACGTTTCCTTTGTTTCAACGTGTACGAATGACGCGACGACTTTTCTTACCTTCCATCGCTATCATCACTAACAAACAAACCACAACAACAACAACAACATCATCATAATCATCATCATCAACAAGAACTACTACTACTACTACTACTACTACTACTGATTTTCACTGCTTTAACGGTACCCTGTTTCTCGATCGATTTCTCGCTTTTTCGCTTTCTCGCTGTTTGGAATTTTGGAGATTTTTCAATTTTCCTCCTTTTTCTGTTTTCTTCGGTTGGATTGTTGTTGTTAGTATTATTAGGTATCTGTTTATCTATCTGGTAGTTGTTTCGGTTGGGAGGACAGGTTGGGATGCTGGGGGAGGGGTGGATGGATGGGAAAAAAGTTGGTTGGATGGACGGTGGATACCCAGGCTGCTCGGAGGTGGAGAGAGGGATGGGTGGATGGATAGATGGATGGGAAAAAGGGACTGGTGGATGGATGGGCGGATGGGTGGATAGGGTGGTATGGGGGTATGGGGGTATGGGGGTATGGATAGGGCCATATGTGGACGGGACGGACAGTGTACGCTTCACGAAATGTAGCAGAGTAAAGTATACATAGTACCAAGCAAAGCAAAGCAAAGGCAAAGGCAAAGCAACGATTTTTTGCAGCAACGTAATGGACCCTTTCTTTGCTTCTTTCTGTGCGTGGGCATCTATTTACCTATGATGTCTATCTCTGTCTCTCCTTAAACCTTCGCGTCATCCGAGACTGCTGCTACATATCGTCTGTTCATTCGTCTCATCATTCGTTATGTTCGTCTTCGTCTTCCTTCCTTCCGTCCTCCCTGCTGATCCATGCATATTTCCGCTCGCTCCCGTCCTGTTCCCTGCCTCGCCCTATGTGCTTCTGTGCTGTGCGGTGTGCAGTGTAGAAATACCTACCCACCCAGCACTAGCACTGACACGCTCTGTCGCAACACTACGCGCGAGCCGGGGCCATCCTATGCCATCCGGCGCATATGCGCGCGTATGCACGCGTGCCTGTCTACCTAGCTAGCAGCGAGGCGTATCTGGCTGCTGCTGATGCTGTCGTGTGTGATATCATATGGTGCAGTGGTGCGTGCGTGCGGAGTCGGTCGTGTTGCGCCTAGTAGGTAGCAAGCGGCCGAGCTAAGCCGGAGCGCTGGTGCTCGGTCGGTCGATCGATCGATCGGCTGGCTGGCTGGCCGTGTGTGTATGTGGGGTGGTAGGTTGCACCTCCAGCTCGCATCGAGCGAGGTAGCGAGCAAGCGCCGGCGGGCCTGCGGACCGTACGCCGCGCGCGGTCGCATTGTAGGGTAGGTGGGCGGGATGGTAGAGACAGGAGGAGAAGGGTGCTTGGACCCATCCATCCCTCCGCTAGCCTGTGTCCCTACGTACCTACGCCGACCCTTCCATCCCCATGCGATTTTCAGCGCCCTGTCCACCCGTACATCCGTATGCATCACACTTGTCCTACTCGCTCCTACTCCACAAGCGCCTCAAATCTTCCATCTCTCTCCGCCTTCAACTGCTCCAGCATCTTCTCCCGCTGCCGTACTAGCCTCCTCGCCCCCTCCCGCTGCGGCGGCAAATCGCGATACGCCTGCACCTGACCCTCTAAGTGAGCGACCTCGTCCCGCAGCGCGAGTGCCTCATCCTCAGCCGCACGCAGATGCAGCAACGCTGCCGAGGAGGACGTCAGTGCATCTGAAGCTGCTGCCGCTGCAATAGCGGCAGAGGAAGCAGACGCGGTGGTCGAGGACGAGGGACGCCGATCGAGGAAGGCAGAGGAGCGGGTAGGCGAGGCGGACAGTGCGAATGTGGCGCGTGAGGGCGACGGTGCGGGCGATGGCACCGTGGGAGGACGCAGCGCGGCGAGCCGTTCCTCGTATTCGCGCAGCTTGGGCGCGAGCTGCTTGGTCTGGCGCTGGAAATCGGCGGTTTGGCGAGGGAGGGCCGGGGGCGCAGCGAGTGCGGGTGACGTCGTCAACTCCTCGTGCGTGGTTTCTAGGTATTGTAGGTCTTGCGCGAGAAGGTTGCGTAGCGTGAGGAGCGCGGCTTGTTGTTGTGTCAGGGCGGCGAGGTGTGTGTTTTGCGCGATGAGGGCGTGCGCGAGCGTCGTGGGCGAGGTGTCGGGCGCGTGCAGCGTGGTGGTGAGTTCAGCCATAGCGGTGAGAGAGGCGTGACCGGCGGGCGTGAGGCTGGATTCGATGGTAGAGAGGAGTTGGGCGTTGTCGTTGTCAGCGGGTGCTGCGTCTGCCTTTGCAGAGCTGTGTCAGTCTCGACAATTTCGGTCTTGCTATTTATCGACGACTCACTTGTTCCATCTCACGCTGCGCCTCTTCCCCCAGCGCGCGCATCAAGCCGGCCTCCTCGTCAGCGCACTCATTGGCAGCAGCCAGGGCCAGCAGGGCCTTCAGAGTGTCCTCGTTGCGCTCGAATGTGGGCAGCGGGCGGTTGGGGTATAGGGCCGACAGCCAGGTCTCGACGTGCTGCCAGTCATTGGCCTGGGCGCGCTGCTGGCGGGCCTTGCTGGGAGAGAAGAGGGCGTCGGGCGAGAGGGCATCGTCCATTGTTGGAGTTGATGTTTGATGTTGATGTTGTTTGATGTTGATGTTGTTTGATGTTGGCGGTGTTTGTTTTACCTAGTTCCCGTTCGCGCACGCCCTACGCCCTACGCCTTATGTACGCGAGTCATGGGCGAGTGTGGGGTTGGAGCTGCCCTGCAAGTGACGTTGGATTGGCGTGTGTGCAGGAGCTACTCGATTACCTATTCCATCACCACTCCCTTCTCCTCTCTACTTACCCTGGCAAGCACTGTCTGATACCTACCTACTAACAAACCTATCTATCCTGCCTGCCACGGCTCCCTCCAGAATCAAACGCCTCTTCCTCCGCTTCCTCCTTCCACTAGCCACCATCACGGTCCTACCCGCCCTCCTTCGTCGCTTCGCGCGAAGCAGCATCCCACGCAGCCTCACTATGGCCTATGAATGCTCTGGCGGGTCCAACACCGACCTGGTCGAATGCCTCGCCACCAAAGGCCTGATTACATCGGGGCGCGTGAAGGAAGCCATGCTAAGCGTGGACCGAGGACACTACTCCCCGACGGGCCCATACGAGGACCGTCCACAGTCCATCGGCCATAAAGCCACCATATCGGCACCACATATGCACGCCTCGGCTTGTGAGTCGTTGTTGGGGTACCTGACGCCCGGCGCCAAGGTGCTGGACATTGGCAGCGGGAGCGGCTATCTCACGCATGTGCTGGCAGAGCTGGTGAAGCCTGACGGAGTCGTCATCGGTGTCGATCATATCCAACCACTAGTGGACCTAGCACGCGAGAACATGGCCAAGAGCCCGGAAGGCAGGGAGATGCTTGAGTCTGGCGCTGTCAAGTTCGTCAAGGCAGATGGTCGTAAAGGGTGTCCCGATGAAGGACCCTATGATGCGATCCATGTGGGTGCGGCCGCCGCGGACCATCAAGAGAAGCTAGAGCAACAGCTTAAGGCGCCGGGAAGGTAAGGCTGCCGTGACTGCGTGGTTGTGCGAGATGGCTGACGGTGGCGAGTGCAGGATGTTCATACCCGTCGAGAAGGGATACATGCAACATATCTGGATCGTTGACAAGGATGAGGAGGGCAAAATGAAGTACACGAAGGACATCGGCGTCCAATACGTGCCACTGACGGATGCCCCACAGTATTGAAGTGTGAGAGAGGGAGAGAGATTGAGCCGTGACATCGAACACACGGGTCGAATCTAAATAATAGTAAGCATGTTGTTATTGTTGGAGTCGTCGGGCGAGTCGTTGGCTTCCTTGTATGGTTACCTTCTGCCACGGAGATTGCCCCGTTGAGTTTGTGGTAATGATGGCTTCTGGGGCGCTGCTACACAACCCCGAGCCAGCAGGTCGCTTTCATGAAAGTATGTCGGACATGCCGTCAGGACCGTCAAACATAGGAATAAGCAATTAATGCTGTACTTCGTATCCTCCGTCGCCTCCTCCGCATGTGCAGAATAATAACTCCGTATTTATACCCCTACGAGAAGTCTCTGCAGCCAAAATAGTGGCTGCAGGTCTGGGCCGTCTAGCCATGGCCTTGTCATACCGTACGATCTGGGTAACCCATCTCGTGAGTAGTGGGGTCACGCGTGTATATGCACCCGGGAGGTGGCGTTGGGTGGCGTGGAGGTATACGAAGCTCGGGAACTGAGGCTGGACGTGGCGTGGGTTGCGTCTTGCCTGGCTGACTGGCTGGTCTTTGGCTATGTGTTTTCGTGGATAAGTTGGAGTTGGCAATACAAGAGTGGAAGGGGGCGGTGGGGAAGGAGTTTGGGGTTGAGGCTGTGCTGTGCCGCATGTTTGTGTTTGTGAGATTAGTAAGAGTATGAACGTGCAAAATCGTGGTTTGGAAATTCATGAACGGCTGTCTTATAGGGACATGCAGATGCTTTTCTGATATCGACTTTGTCTCGTCAGGGCTTGGGTGGATTTTGTGCAGCTGGTATTTGACATTTATTGGTGATATGGATGCCTCTACACCCACGTATCGAAAAAAGCGGTATCGCGCTATAAAAAAATCTAGGAACGATGTGAAATTCGCTGTATGAGCGTGCTGCCAGTTATGCTATTATCGAACACTTTTAGCCATTAGATGAAAAGAGCTGCATTGAACAATAGCAATCCCAATACCGTTTGCTTTACGCCAATTATAAGAGAAAAGTTGTATAAAAGAGAAAATGTCGAAAATATGGCAAAAATCCTCAAGGATCTAATATCACTCCAATTTCTTTGACCCGTTGGACCACCTCCGGGTCTGGTGGGTCAATTGGGTGCAAGACCTCTTCCATGCGGTCGGTCCAATATCCCTCCAGGAAATCGACTATCGGCACACCAAGTTCGTTGTATTTGTCCACGAACTCAACGACAAGCTCTTCCAGTTGTGTTAAAAGCTCACTTTCCTCTTCGCGGATTTCTGCTACCTCAGCGGCATCGGGAAGCTTAAATTTGCAGCAACAATGCCAGTCGTGATATGCATAACGACCCCCACGACAGCATGTATGCGTAAGCTCCATTCTTTGAAAAGTGCTAAGACGGATAATAGCCGGTGAGAGCCGTGTCCAATACGGGTGGTTTGGGCCAAGGATAGGAGACAGACAATCGATTAGCCTACGATGAATGTTGACGAGAGGCTTGAGAGGCTTAAACATCGTAGTAATGGTGGTACAGCCCTGGGAAGAGCATGCACAGACACATTTGTCCGTAAAATCTTCCGCTAGTACATTGAGCACAAGTCGACTCCCACTATCTGTAGCAAGATGGCCCAGGGGCACATTTAAGCGCCCTTCCACGGCAAGGTAATCTTCCCGGGTAAAGCGTAAGGCATAATCCATCACGCCTATAGCAACGTAATGTGCCGCTGGTGGACTTGCATCGCTTGGTGTGTAGTACATGTTTGCACCCTTTTCAACAAGCCAGCAAAGGTACCCCAAAAAATCCGGAGGATCCCAGTCTATCTTCATAAGGGGCGTCAATCCATGAATGTCCGGAAAGTTTATATCAACGAAACCACCCTTGAAGAGAAGTTCCGCAGCCTCGGCAGTAAACCAGTCGTTGTAGGCATAAATTGGAGTGTGAAAAATCATGCTCGATCTTATGGACGATGGAATATTGACTCCATACGCCTCCAGGGTTTCGATAACACGCCCAGCATGGGCGTCAGGGAGCCGACTTTCGTCCAAGCTGAATTCCTTGATGAACTCTTGTGGAAGATGGTTGATTGCGAGATGTGAAAGGTAGTTGCGGCGGCCCACGAGGGCTTTGGCGATCACCGGGGACCATTTTCGTAAGTCCATGGGTATACTTCTCAGGCCGAGTGGCATTTCACAACCAGCGCTGAATATAAGAGCGGCGCTTTCCACACAGCCTAATCGAAAAGAGTAATGGAGCACTGAGTAGTTTGAGTAATCAAGTGCATGAACGTCCGCTCCAGCTTCCACGAGTAGGGCAACGCCACGTGGCCAGGGGATGGCCATGTGAAGCGGTGTATGTCCTCGAGATGACCGTTCATTCACCGAACGGGGATTTGCATGAAGACATGCCCGGACAGCTTCTTCCGATCGTACAATGACCGCCATACTAAGCTTGCCGCAGTCGAAAGCTAGCTAGTCAGAATAAATAGTCGTAATGGCAGAAACTGAATACTGACATTCTGCAATTCGTGATCTAAAATTCAGAGGTAAAAGCAGCCATTCGGGATTAAAAGGGCCCCGGTGATCACCAAACATGATTTCAGCCTCTTCAAAAAAAGTCTCAACACCTGTCAATAAAGTAACAGTGTTTTCGGGGAAGGGGCTTGAGTAACAATTGAGTCCACTGATAGGCTCATGTAGGAGATAAAACAACGGTGTCCTGCAAAGCGTAAGACAGCTTATTAATATCCCCTGTTCACCTGCACTTACATATTGTCATCGCAAACTTCACTGGCCGGTACCCCAAGTTCCATCAACCGAAGCAAGATACGGCCGGCTGTCATTATCTCTTCAAAATCGTAGTGACAATCGTAGGCTCCGGATCCAAACATGGACGCGAACGCAATGCACGCCACCTAGCAAGGTGTGTTATTACTGAAACCCCAAGTATGATTTGTTATACTTACGTGGAGTACATTAAAACCCTCATTGTTGACATCTGTCGGGGACGCTTTCCCAGACTCAAAGAGTCGTTGAATTTCCAGTAGTTTTGCAGTCCAGACTGTCCCGAAGGATGCCGGCCGGCATTCTTTCCTCCTAAAGTTCCAGATAAGCCTCTTCTGCTCAGAACCAGTACTAGGACCACCGAGATAATAATAAAAAGGTTCAAAGGCTGGGGAGTCAGGTCGCCTGAAACGACCAAGTCTCAGAAGAGGACTGATAGAAAGGCCTCCCGCTCCGTGTGTAATGGAGATTGATATCTCCACAGCACGTGCCAAAATGTTTCTGTAATGTGAAATCCTTAGTCCAAGTCTTTTTGACCTCTCACTAGAAGCCCAAAGAGGACAGCATTTTTCATGTTGCGAAGATTCTTCGTAAAAAGGATAGACGAAGTGGTCTCTAGGGATATTAGGCTTGATAGGTATTTTCCTACGACACGAACAGCGTCGGAGAGGACGCATACGATACGCTGCCTGATTCAGTAGACCAGGATCAGAGAAAACATCTGTTTTTGTCAGTAAACCACGAGAGGCAGCATCATTACATGTCTCTTCGAGCAAACTGGGCTTTGCTATGAACCTCATAAGTAGACGCTGTGTCTCAGCGTTTTGCCTCAAAAGCTGGCGCTGCGTCTCAGCATTCTGTGGTATGCATGTTAGAGACGCATATCCGGTGATCACATGGGCCACTTGCCTGCTGTCCTTGTTTGTCAAACCTGGCAACCAGCGTCTGCTCAGCCGCTGGAATGCGAGCAGAACTAGCCTCGATGATCGGCAATATGCGCGTGAGTTCAGCCTTGCTTTCGACAGTGTTCATTGCAACACTATCGAGGGAGGCACTCATGCTTGTAACCCCACTTCCAATTGTCTGGACACCTTGTTCAATATTTGGGAGCGACTGTAGACGAGGAGTGCTTTCTGCTCGAAATGCTTCAAGTGTTGCGCGGGCAAGGCTGATATCAGCCGCAGCAGCTGCAGAAGATGTTTTGGAATCCGAAGTGCCTTCTTTTATCTCACCAAGTACGTCCCTAGACATGTCAGCCATCACTGTACGCGGCCTGTCGACGTCCTGTACGTACAGCTGCACAACTTGAACAGCAGCAGTCACATTGCCTTGTAATTCCGCTACAACCGCTTTCAACCCATCGACAGTCTTCTTCCTAAAAGGATACAACGATCTTTGTGCGAGCTGCTGAAACTTTTCTGCGCTGCTAGTGGGAATCGGCGTGCGACGGCACTCGTGCAGCCGCATTTCGAGGTTTCGAATACCATTTTCGCAGGACGCAATACTCTTCTCGGCATGCGACATGACATCCGGTGCGGAACACAGCTTCTGTAGCGTGGTTTGGAGTAAAGCGAGTGAATCAGTGAGTTCCTTGGCGCTCGTCGCTGCCTGGTTCAGGCCCACGTCGTATTCTCTCCATGCCTGGTAGTAGGAGGTCAGGCCCTGGCAGACCTGGAGCCCTAGCGATACGATACCAACGGCGCTGCTTGCCACTGACAGTGGATCGGACATGGTGGGACAAGCGCGGGTTGGATTGTGGCTCTTGGAAACGATAGTGTAATGGACTAGTTTGAGAGAAATGGAAGGATGGGAGAGTGAGAAAAACACGCTCAGCCTGACGCTGCGGCACAGCATGAATCTCTAACGACAACCCTCCCCTCCCTCCTCCACTTTTCTATATAAACGACCGGCGCACACATACCACATTCTGAGTAACTTACCTTTGTATACTGCGAAGTCATACATGGTTTTTTTTTTTTTTTTTTTCGACCTACTCCCTTATCACTAAGGTTTAGGCCAGGTAATAGGTGGTTAGGGGTTAAGAGTGGTTTCGGATAGAAGCCCAGGTGTTACTATCCCGATTAAACGCATCCCCTAATCCCTTTAGACGTATAACTCAAAAGTGCATAGTGTTGAGACTGGTAAATTATCAAGAGTGGTGTGGTTACGTAGGCAGTAAACTCGGAAAAGTGGGAAGGTGAGGAGGGGATGTCGGAGTACCCACCTTAAGAGGAAAATGTGACAATCTTCTTCGGGTCTGGTTACAGCCGTCCCATATAAGGCAGATGCTTTCCTCTGATAAGCATCAGATCCGTGAGACAATGGCTGGCCTGTAGAGATTCCTGGCACAGCCTCAAGCCTTCAGCTGCAGCTATGGGGGCTGAGATGGTAATTGGGCGCCAGCACGAAAACTGAACATCATCATGCTGCGACATGCAGCCGTACGAGAAGGCGGACCGCTGCAGGCCGTCCACATGGACCCATGGATCTATTTTTTGGCGCAGGAGGAGGGCGCTGCTACAGTACTCTGGCGTTGGAAAAGAGGTTGATTGCAGCAGGTGCCTGCCACGACATGTCCGGTGGGGGCGCACACGTGATCATCCCCGCAGCCCGACGTGCCGTCCCTTGCTGAACTTCAAACCACCATCGCACAACATCTCATCCGTCTCAGGCTGACTGCTGCAGCCCCCGAACCGCTCTGTTCCGATGATTTTTGAGCGCCGTGAGCTGTCGTGCGCCCAGCTCGAGAGTGGCAACTCCCCAGGACGAAACCCGGGGCTCTGGGCGACATATATGGGTGGTGACCTCACGACACCTTCCGATAGGTGAGGGGCAGCGGCAGAGCCTGAGATGACCGACAGATGCGTATCCCCAGGCACTGGGAGAGCCGTCGTCTTACATGTATGCAGGAGAGACGTTTCGGTGATACATGTCCTGAAGAACCTTGTATGGACTGCCTTAGCCCAGGGCGTGGACACGGGTCGCGTCAAAGATAGAGTAGATGTTTCTGCGGAGAAGGCTCCTGAGAAATACGTCATGGATGGCGGCGGTGGTGGTGGTGGTGGTTGCTGTAGTGGTAGGTGGTAGGTAGACGGGGAACTGGGGTTGCCGGGGGAGCGTTCAATATCCTCAACCTCTTTCACAGCAGGCCAAAATTGCATTGGCAGCAGGCGTTTGCGCCTTCCGGGCCCGGGCCGTCGGAGTCGCGCGCCAAGACACAGAATAAATACGCCCTCTCACCCTGCCACCCCCAACTCCGCACCCTACTTTCTTTCTTTCAGCTCCACCAACCTCATCCAACTTTCGTTTCAGCCCAACCCAGCCCCACGTTCGTTCAAGGACTGTGTCCTTCTCTTTCAGCCTTTCCCTCCACCGTCGTTTCCCACCACTGCGTTCCTTTAAGGGACTCTTTGCTCGCCCTCCCTTTTGTGTGACGTCGAAAGGCCCATTCTTGTCCTCGACAAGCCCCGCGTCCAGGTAAGAAAGAGCCTCTTTCAACGCTCCGCATTCCTTGCGCACGTTGTATGCTTTATTTCGGTGCCACCCCGACCCTCATTCCAGCGCGTCAAGTTTCTATGGAGACTACTGCGTACACACCCTAGCCCTTAACACCAGCCCTCGTCCATGCGACGTCCCCTCGCCTGACCTTTTGCTTTAACTTTGGCTCCAAGTATCCCACGTCACTCTCATTCAGAAACGCTCACTTGCGCTCACTTGCGCCCACTTGTCTTCACTTAGCACTTCAGGCTGACGCCGCTGGCCGGCAATTATAGTCTCTCACTTGACCTCTCTCTCGTCGAAAAACCTTCCTTCAATTCACACCCTTCGCTAAATCAGACACCATGAAGACCGGATTCTTCAGCCTTGCTGCTGCTTCCCTGCTGGGAATGGTCGCTGCGCGCCCTTATCGTAAGTTACCACCTGATTTCAATTGCGGGATAAATATTTGACACTGTTGTACAGATACCCACGACCTTGCTGAGCGTGCTTTGGTTACCGCTGTCGAGGTCGTCACAGTCACTACCCCTGCGGTTGTCGTCCACGTTCAAGGCACCAAGACCTGGACTGTCACGAACCAAGTGCAGGAGGCGGCCGCTACCACGACCCAGTTCGTTACGACCACCGTTCCGGTCGCTTCTGTCCCTACCCCTAGCTCCAGCGCTGTCAAGCATACTTCCACTGTTGCTGTTCCTACCTCTGCCGACGTCACCCCTGTTGCCAACCCCGGTCCTTCTTCGGATGCTGGTGCTTCCACCACCAAGGCCAAGCCTACGTCGCAGCCTGTAGCTTCTCCCAAGCCGCAATCCTCTGTGGTGGAGCAAGCCTCCTCTAAGACTTCCGTCCCTCAGGAATCTGCCGCCCCTAAGCCAGCTCCTCCCGACACGGATGCGGCCGCTGCCAGCAGTGGTGGCTTTGGTATCAGCTACAACCCTTACAGCGCCGACGGAACTTGCAAGAGCAGTGCTCAGGTCAGCAGCGACATCGATAAGCTCACCGATTACGGCCTTATTCGTATCTATGGCACGGACTGTAACCAGTTAGACACTGTGATCCCTGCTGTGCAGGAACACCCGGGAATGAAGCTTTTCTTGGGTATTAACAACATCGATACGGCTACCTCTGAGGCCAGCATGGTTGTCTCCGCAGCTAAGAAATATTTGAACGGCAACTGGGGCACGATCGATACCGTCAGCGTGGGCAACGAGGCTGTCACCAACGGCATGGCCACTGTTAGTGGTGTCGTGAGTGCCATCAACAGTGTTCGCTCGACTCTTAGAGACGCCGGATACAAGGGCCCGGTCGTCACTGTTGAGACTGTCGGCGCAATCATCGACACAGCCGATGGCAGCGGTCTCGAGCTTTGCAAGGCGTCCGACTACACGGCTGCCAACTGCCATGCCTTCTTCGACACGTCTGGTTACTACTCCAGCGGCAACAGGGCCGGTGACTTTGTCGAGATGCAGCACCAGCGACTTGTCAAGGCCTGCGGTAATAGCCGTACCGTCATCACTGAGTCGGGCTGGCCGCACGGCTCCTCTATGGCATTGACCGAATTCGGTACTGATGCCGCCATTCCGGACGAGCAGAACCACGTCGCTGCTATTAAGAGCTTGCGCAAGGCATTCCAGAGCAACCCCGAGGATCTCGTCCTCTTCTCGGCCTTTGACGACAGGTGGAAGAAGGACAATGCTGGCACCAAGGGGGCCGAAGGCTACTGGGGTATCAACCACTAGATTCCGTCCAACTTACAACCACCGCGGTATCTTCCGCTACGATCTTGTCTCTTCACTTCCTGTCGAAAAGCCACGCCGTCAGTCTGATCGAAGTTCGTTCATGCCATCTTCGATTACAGGCTTGATTTTCCTGCTTTGTTTTGTTTCTTCGGTTTATTCTGTCGATTAGTTGACGACTTTCATGATGGTTCATGGGGTTCGGCACCGGCGTCAAGGCTCTTTCCACATCGATCCGATCAACAGTCTCTTCCCTGAATAAGGGTGGGGCTTCATTTCAAGGTGGTCATGTGAGGACTGCCGGGTTTCTCATGATAGATACTCAGCCGGCTGGGTTCGGCGAGCTGGCGTATTTGATTTTCTGCGCGTGCGTGGTTTCTACGGCTCATGTGGTCATGCCGATCGATATAGGTATATCGAATGCAAAGCAATGAGTATTGACGACTTTTTTGTGTGACATGGAGGTGATGTATGTATAATTGAGGTCATAACTGGTGTCTAGCTTCAGTGTTTTACGGCAAGCACCAGTTGTTGACTGGGTAGAAGATCCCTTGGCAACTGATTCTATCACAAAAGAGCCTAGCTCCATGTGAGGTCGAATTGTAGCCGCTCATCGACCACGATCGGTTAATAGAATATTATTCCAATCGCCATATTACTTGCTATGTGCAAAAGACTAGGAACACACAGGGAATTCTTTCGTACCAGAACAGTTTACCATTGGGACTCACTCCATATTGCAATCCAGCAATGCCAACGACAAGCCAAAGATGGAAGGAGTACAAGACACCACCCCATTCGATCCATATAACTTTTGATTACATTCTACATCAACCACCACACAAGCTAGCCGCTGAGATAGAGATGTGATATCACAGTAATACGAATGAGCCACTCACGAAGCCAGTAATCCCGTCCCCTGCAAGCCATTCCCTCCCACCCCTTCCACATACACACACACGCACGGCATATCCATTCATCCACCCACGCACTCGCACCTCCCCCCAAGCGAGCCTCGCGGTCTCACCCTCTCACCACCTCCCCACCCACGCACCCACCACATACACACCCACCCCACCCCTCGCCTCGCATCGCCTCGCACTGCGTCGGCTTCGGCATCGCCACGCACTGGCCCACAGCCAGGCAGACCGCGAACGGCAACAGGTCTGGCGCGCACGCCCGGCTCGCGGGCCCGTTCGCACGCCCTCGTGGCTCGTACCGTAGCTACACTCGCACAGTCCACAGTTTCTTGGCTCGCAGGCTCGTGGCTCGCACAGCCCACATGCCCGCTCTCTGTCCGTTCGCACAGCTCAGTGTCTCCGCTGGGCTTTCTCGCTTGCGCAATTCAACACCCCCGCCCACGCGTGCGCGGCCGCAATACTCGCATATTGCGCCCTTCTCGTATCGCGTGCCGCACAGACTTTCAGCGCACTGCGGCCTCACGCCACGGTCCACAACTTTGTTAAGTGCCGAGAGTCGTGGTGGTGATGAAGAGGATGAGGCGGAGGTGAGGGAGGCGGGAGGGCGAGGGTTGAGGAGGGACAAAGGGACGGGGTTGCGCGTGCTGGGTGGGTGGTTTGGTAGGGTGATCGAAATGATCGAAATTAGAGGTGATCTGATTGGGCCCCGGGGGGTTTTTGGGCGCGCTTGCTGGGGCTGTGAGTGGCAATTGCAATGAGGGAGGAGAGAGGTTGGTACGGCGGTAGCTTCCTTCCATCTTCACATGTAACTGCTTTCGGCAAGTAGCTAGCTAGCTGACTGACCCAGGCCCAGCACCCCACACCCTTGCAGCAGCACTGCTACCTAGCCCCTCGGTCCCCCCCCTCACGGACGCATCGCAACGGCTTCTAGCCCATCCTCCCGCCCGGGGCGGGCCTTTTCCGCCAGGCTCCAGCCAGGCCCGCCGCGGACCCCCACAGGCAATAAGGCGCAATTTGCGTGGGCGCGGCGGGCAGCGTGCGGTGGGCGCGCAGAGACGGTCTTGAGCAGGGGCCCGCCGATCATCGCGTGGTCTGGCTCGCACGCCCACTACCCACTGCCCACAGGAGTGCCCACACACTACGCAGCGAGGACGCACGCTCATCAGCACTGCCTGCCTGCCTGCTTGCCTGTTTGCCTGCTTGCCTGCTTGCCTGCTTGCCTGCTTGCCGATTCGGTGCGCCGCACTTGCCGGATTGGGGCGCGCTTGCACGACCTTGGCTTGCGGCGCTGAGAGGGGCCGAGGCGCCTTTTCGTGATCGTTGCCTTGCCGAGTCGATGTGATAGAGGGATGCGCGCCGCTGTTACTACTGCCGGCGTGCGTGCTTGCTTGCCTTGCTGCTGCTCTGTCTGCTTATGGTAGGTTGCCCTTGGCTTTGCGCGCTTGCTGTGCCTCCTACACTACGTGGCCATCCCACACGGCGACCAGCGCAGCTGCCGCAGGCCCGAGATCCCGCGGCAGACATACGTGTAGGCTGTAGGTGAGGCAAATTGCGATGGCGATTCGGTGAAGCCTGGCCGTGGCCGTGGGGTTGTTGTGCAAAAGATTTTTTTTTGTCCCCTCCTGCCATGCTCGTTCAGGCCCTTTCCCGTTCATTCTGGGTGATCGGCCTCGGGTGCGGAGCAAATGCCGGTGAGAATGCTTGCCCGGGTGGGACTGCGGACGCGCGGGCGCGCGGCAAGCGCAGAAAAATATTGAAGAAAGCGAGAACGGAAGGGGGGGAAAACAGCGCGGCGAGAACGTGATAAAAAAAAAAGAAAGGTGGGTTTGGGGGTTTGACGAACCCGCGGCAGATGCCGGTCCATACTCCATGGGTGAATGGATGGAATGGCAGAAACAGAAAGGGGGTATAGCAATCTTTTTGCCGTCTACATGGCCGAATGATCAAAGACATTATCTGTACAAACGCCAGGCTGAAGTGCCGGCTCCAACTCAGTGCTGCGCTCCCTGGGGATATCATGAAAAGCTCCGCATCAATCGCGTGCGAGGACAAGGATAAAGAAAAAGGAATCGAGAAAAGCAAAAGGCAGGCGCGCCAGCGCGTGGCTACCAGCACTTGAGCCTGGCCCAGAAATTGCGCTTGCGCCGTAAGCCGCCGTGGCTGCTGCGCGAGTGCGGCAGCTTCTCAGAAGACCCGAGTGGTTGCGTCTGCCCCGCTGCCGATGCACCACCCGAAGCGTGCAGTTTCCTGGCTTCGACGACTCTCTGCACCAGCACTGCGTGGCTTCTTGTCAGTGTTTTTTTTATTTTTATTTTATTTTGTTCCGCGCGGGGAAGGAAGGGACCTACGCGCAAACGTCTCCTCAATGTTGACCATCTCGCGCGCGCTCGTCTCCATGAAACCGCATTGCTTGCTCCGCGCCCACTCCAAGCCGTCCTGGCTCTTGATCTGGCGCGCGGCCTTGAGGTCGCACTTGTTGCCGGCGACGATCCTAACCGGCGGGACGGCGCCCGTGTCGTAGCGTCGGTCGGTTTCCATGTCGATCATTTCCATGAAGTAGTCGAGGGATTCGAGCGACGACGTGTTGGTGATGTCGTAGACGAGGAGGAAGGCATCGCTGCGCAGGTTCGAGGCGGCCCACAGGCTGCGGTACTCTTCCTGGCCGGCCGTGTCGGTGAGGGCAAGGTAGTAGGTCTGGCCGTCGACGGTGCGCGTGACGCTGTACGAGTCTTCGATGGTGGGGTCGTAGTCGTTTGTCCACGCGCTGCGGACGAGGCGCAGAGTAATCGAGGATTTGCCTGCATGGCGGGCGGCGTTAGTCTCGCAGTCGCAAGCAGGGACAGGGCGCGCAGCAGGATATGAACGGACCGCAGCCACCGTCGCCGCAGACGGTGATGGAGATTCTGTTGTCGTCCTCCATTCTACTGTACTTGTAAGGTATACGACGTCACTACCGGTAACCAATTGGCGGGTGGAAGTTTCACCAAGTAAAGACCGTAGCCGTGGAGGTGGGAAGAGGGAGTGACGGAACACAAAACAGACAGCAGGTCGACTTCTTTTGTCCAATGCGTCGCTGCATGGAAATGAACGATCGCCCGCCTCCAATATCGGGGGGCCTGCCGGGGCCCAGTGCACAGGGATGGGCCAGATGGCAACTGACAAGATGGAGAGCGACACTTGGATCAGCGGCCCCGAAGAGACGGCGCGGGCTTGCACATCTATTGTGGGCTTAGCCGCTTCCTTCCCGCGCCTCGTCCACGAGCTCCCGTACGTCTTCCCGCCCAACGGTGGATGATGATGATGATGAGGCTGATAGGAAGTGGGTTCTTGTTCCTGACGTCTACCGTTCCATCCATCCATCTTCCCATACAACGTCAGCCCCGATCGCCATCTGCAGAGACAACCGTTTCAACGCCCGTCTGCCGTACGGGCGTAACCCGAGCGCCGTCGTGTCGATCAGACGGGTGGCGGTGGCCGTTGGCCCACTCGTCAGCCATCAAAGCTTTTTTCCCCCTTCGCTCTCCTATCCTACCTACATTTGCGCGCTGCTGCATCGGGCCAATGCCAGTCGCTATTTGACACGCCAAGCTCGAAGCGCCTGCCTGACCCGTCATGCCGCCCCTCCGCCCGGCCAACCCCCGCAGCCTGAGTAACGCTCTGGCGGCCCTGCGCGCCCAGGAGGAGCAGGAGACGTTGCTCGGAGATGACGACGAACGCGTCGACCCGACCGCCAACACCACCGCCAACACCACCACCACCACCACCGTCAACCACGAGGAGATTTTCGCCTCGGACCCGCACAAGGATCTGCCCGTTTACACCACCATCCAGCGGTAAGCCACCCAAACCCGTCAATGCTTCGTCTGCCCGCCCGCTGATCCGCAACAGCATCCGTCGCTTGATACTCGCCAGCATAGGTGTGTCGCCATGCTTGCTCATGCTACTGCTGCTTCCCGCACGCCCTACGCTAACGCCCCCTCAGATGACCCCTACACCCTGGCCCAGCTGCGCGATCCGCGCATGAACGCCCTGATCGTCAGGCCCCTCGTCGAGCGTCTATACGATCCCAAGGATTGCTCTATAGGTAGGCTGTGCCATTTCCCCACCGCCTCGCGGCTTTCCGAGATGCTGAGACCGAATCCGTCCAGTCTACTGTCTGCTCGTGAATCGTGTGCAATTCTTGCATGAACAAGTCTACCAGGCACACCACCATCAGACCGTCAACACCACCCGTGCTCTTCTTTGCGAAATTGTTGCGAGCAAGATCTTGAGACGCTTCGATGAAGAAAACCTCGGGCGTCCCGGTCTGCTCTTCCTTTCCAACGTCCTAGTCGCTGGTTTCGAGCCGTTCCAAAATGCACCTGAAGAGGTCTTGCGGGAGCACCGCCAGACCTTCGACTGGGCCGATTTGCAGAAGCGTGGCGGTTATGAAGGCAAGTTCACCGCGCTGGAAATCGCCATCATCTCGGAGAGCAAACACTTCATGAGCAGCTCCGCGTGTCAAAAGGTCGTCGATGCCGTGTACCGTGGCCGCGTCGTGTATACTCCCATTGCCTTCCTGGACATCATCCCAGACCACTACAAGCACAAGCCGGTGAGCCTTTACGACCCACGGCAGGGGCCCATGTTCAACCATTACCGGCTCATCGTGCCTCGGACACGGAACATCATCGACATTGTCCAGTTCATCATCCTGATTGTCTTATATGCAATCACCATGACCGCGAGGGACCACACCCAGTGGACAGGATGCGAGTTGACATTCGCCATCTACGCATTGGGTTGGTGTATCGATGAAGTTGCCACGATCCTGGAACATGGATGGAAGGTGTACACGCAAAACCTCTGGTCGTTCCTGGACATTACCTTTGTTGTTATATACGTGGGTTACCTGTCGCTCCGTCTTCACGGTTGGAGAACGGGTGAATTGGAGCTGGGAAGACAAGCTTTCGATGTCTTATCCACGGCAGGCCCAGTGTTGCTGCCACGCCTGGCTTTCAATCTTCTGCCGGAAAACATGCTGTTCATCTCGTTACGTGCCATGATGGGCCAATTCATGTATCTGACACTCATCGCTGTCTGGTGTTTTGCAGGATTCCTACTGTCCCTTCGATGGCTTGCCTTTGGACGCGCCGATGGTCCGGACAACTCAAACCCCATCACCATATCGAAGTGGATGCTGTGGGTATGGTTCGGTCTCGACGCGACGGGCATTCAGGAGGCGCCGACTTTCCACCGTTATCTCGGCCCCACGTTGATGGTGCTCTTTGCCTTCTTCGGAAATACGCTCTTTCTCACCATCCTGGTTGCTATTCTCAGTGACACCTTCTCCAAGATCGCCGCCGACGCGACGGCCGAGGTCCAGTTCCGGCGCGCAGTGCTCACCTTTGAGGGCGTCAAGAGCGACGCCCTCTTCGCCTACAGACCACCCCTGAACGTGCTCGCGCTCATGATTCTCGTGCCGCTCAAATTCGTCCTCACGCCGCGCTGGTTCCACAAGATTAACGTGGCCGCGATCCGCATCTCGAATGCCCCCATCCTGCTGGCCGTGGGTCTTTACGAGCGGCACCACCTGTGGAAGACGAAGCGGCGGCACCGCCGGGGCGCCGCGCCGGGCATGCGGCCACGCAAGTTCAGCATCTGGAACTGGTCGCGGTTCAGTGTGCATGGCGACATCCAAGCCGTGTTCGAGACGGAGTTGCCGCAGGCGGTGCTCGAGACGATTGAGGAGCGTGACGAGCTCGAGGAGGACGCCTGGGCTGCTGCGCACACTGGCTTCACGGGCACTGGGGCTGGGGGCGGGCTGTTTCGCGATCATGCCAGCCCGCAGGTCAGTCCGCAGACGGGGCCGGTGCGGAGGCGCTTCTCGAGCATCATTCACCCGGATATGATGTGAGGTATGGTGTGGGGTTAGCTTGTTTCTGAGCTGGTGGGGGATCGATCATCTTGTCTGCACATACGGTTCTTGGGCTGTGAAGCGAAAGGATACGTTGTGGCCGAGATGGATCGAGTACTGTACTTATATGACCACAGCGTCAGAAATGAAAAACACCATGCATGTACATATGCACGAGAATACGACAGGCTCGTCGTCCGGCACCGCACCACATGCACCATCCCGTCCCGTCCCGCATCGTCGTCCTATGGTTCGCCCCGCGGCGCCGAACCTGGATAGGAACCGCGTCCACGGTCTTCCATTTTATGTCACACATATGCACACCGACTTCGACATTGACCCCACACATAGCACACACAGCACACGACCTACAATCCCAACCATCCATCCTCTCCCTTGCCAGTACCCGTCCCCATCTCCCTATGATCCTCCGGCCTAGCCCGCCCGCCCCGCCCCGCGGACTTCCGCTCCGCTCCTCGTCACCAGCGGAACGGCTTCCACCTCCGCTTCCGCCTCCGCTTCCGCTCCTCCGCGCTCCGCGTCGCTGCGGCGGGGACGGGACGGACTTCCGTTCCGTTCGTGCGTGCGTTTGTTTTTTTTTTTCTTGGAGGGCGGGGCGGGACGTGCCGTTGCGTAGTGGCATGTGGGAGATGTACGAGCACGCATAAGGTGAGGGAAGAGAAGGGGAAGCTAGCTAGCTGGACTGGCTGGACTGGCTGAGTTGGATTACTCAGCTGTGCGTGTTTGTGTGTATGTGTGTTGTATGTCTACGTATGGATGGATGGATGGATGGATGCATGCATGTACAGATGTAGGAGACAGCTACGTACATTCCTGCCTACTCAGCAATCCAATCCAGCTCAGCTCAGCCCGCTCAGCCTGCTTCAGCCGCATGTATACAAGTATACACGTATGTATGCACGCAGCACGCAATACGCACCATGCACCACATCACAGCGTGCGTGGGGGTGCGGGTGGGGGTTGGAGTTAAGGTGAGCAAGTGCGTGAGTTATGCACAATATCAATACTGCAGGTTTTGGAATGGTTAGTTGTGTTGGTGACGCGGGATGGATAATGGATGATGCATAACTAGCCAGCCTTGCGTGCTTGCGTGCTTGCGTGCTTGCTTACATCCGTCCTTACATACATCCAAAGCCAAAGCCCGAAGACCGAAGCGCCAAACACCGTGCTTCCGTTCCGTCACGTCGTCGGAGTCGGAGGAACTGTAGATGGAAGACGGAGGGCGGAGGAACAGAAGGCGCGTACCCTGTACCCTAGCGTGGGCATGTACGTACGGAATAGGCATGTAACTAGGTATGTAGGCATGTAAGAAGGCATGTGCATATGTAAGGTACGTAAGCCCGCTCGGCGACGGAGGAACAGCACAGTCCGTTGTCCGGCTTTGTTGGGCTTAGAGCGGATTAGGTGAGGTGCGGCTAAGGCAGGGTAGGGTGAGGTAGGGCAGGTTAGGGCGTCAGCAGGTTGCCTGCCCTGCCTGCCTGTCAGCTAGCTAGCTATAGCTGTCAGCAGCTAGGCTAGGCTGCGGGACAGAGGCGGACCGGGCCGTTGTGGGAGTGGGAGTGGGAAGGGCTGAGGTTGGGGCGTGGGTGTGGCTGTGTTCGCGTAGATGCAGCGTGGGTTTTGTGGTACCCCAACTAGCCACCCGTCTGGCGTGGAGTGCCAGGTGCAGGATCTATGGACCTATAGCTGTATGGACCACGGGGTCTGCGTTTGAGGCTTACGCCCGCCCTGTTTCAGGCGCTGCGGGAGCGGGTAAGGTGGGCGATGTATGTAAGGGCGGGAGCGCGTACCATGGTAGGTATGTACGTATGTAGCTGTGCATTGGTTTGGCGTTGCCAAGTTCGGAGCCGCGTGTATGACATAATCACATAGCCACGTATAGCAGAACGGCACAATTAAGTCGAACTGTCCGAAGAGCGACTGAGTGAGTGGGTGGGTGTCAGCTGTGGATGGATTATGCGTATGCGTATGCGGATGCGGATGCGGATGCGGATACGAGGGTACGAGGGTACGAGGAACTCGAACACGCAAAAGCGGTTTGGACCGTCGAGGCCCTAGGTAATTCATTAGGTAGGTCGGTGGGTTTTGTGCCCACGCTCCTGCCTGCGCATAATCCGTCAATACGCTATACGAGAGAAAGAGGAAGGGGGAGCAGGCAATTTGGGAGAGTAGTTGGTTGGTCGATTGGTTTGTGCTAGCGCGGGTGGTACAGACAGAGGAAGTTGGGGGGGGGGATTGGGGGCTTACTGTGCTTATTCAGCCGAGTCTTGAAGGAGTGGGAATACGCCTTTAGCTGTATATGGTGTCGGAATGGGGCGTACATGGCCGTTTACTCAGCGCGCTGCATTGTGCAGTACGTCCAATCCAATCCCAACCCTACGCAACGCCCAACAAACAACATCGCATCTTGCTTTAAAACCATCCATGCCCTTAGCATCAGCATCTCCACCCCCTCCGCCACACCACTACCCCTTCTGACACCCCCGTCGTTGCTTCTTTTTTCGTCGCACTATTCTTTCCCCATCCGGCCATCGCGCTTCCCTTTTCCGGCCGCGACGCGCTCCCCGGCATCCCAGTTCCCGGTTTCCCCAACCCCGGGCTCCCCGTACATACGTGGTCCGTATCGCGCAAGGGCGATCGCGCTGGGATAATCTCTCCACCAATCGTAGAGGAAAGAGGCTGCAGAGCGGAAGGATCCTTTCCCTCTTGCCTCTCATCCCTCCCTCACTCCCTTCATCAAGACCCCAATCAATCAACAATCAACCAACCAATCCCTTTAGGTTCGGCGCCCTGCTTGCTTTTCTTGCCTGCCTGCCTGCCCGTGTTTCCACGCACCGGGACGCCGCGCCGCGCCGCATTGCGCATCCATGGGAGGGAAGCAGACAGGCTTGCTTACTTGCTTGCGTGCATGCATGTATGCAGTCGCGCACGCACCAGCAGATACGATGGCAGATATGAATATATGACATGTGGCAGATCGGTGCTCCGATCGGAGGCGGCGTGAACGACCGATGACAGGGGGAGTCGTGGGCATGAAAAGATACCTAGAGAGAGCCAGCTTGCGACGACACGTATGCCCTGCCTACTAACTACAGGCTGCGAGGGGCTTGGTAGGGCCTGGTTGCGTCGCGCTCGCTGCATGCCCGTTGCGGAAGCGTCCCCTGCCGAGACGCCGGCGTCCGGGCTGTCGGCTCACTTTACAGCCGACAGCCCGACCCTGACGGGTAAGTGAGCCAGGCTTCCGAGTCGTGCTCATCCGTGGGGGACAGACGGGCAGGGCACAGCCGTTGCGTAAGCACCATTCTGGGGTCCGGGGGAGGGACAGCAAAAGAGAGAGTGTGTGTGAAGGAGCAGATGATGCGTGTCTGTTCTTTTTCCCCAGCTTGGCAGGGGCGGCTTGGCCGCCAGGGTGCTGTACGAGTACAGAGCCTGTCGCAATAGCTGCAGCTGTCAGTGTGACTTGAAGCGTTCGCGGGCCTGCCGATCTGCTGCCCCCGTCATATCGCGTCGCGCGCGCGCGTGACGCGGGGCCCGGACGTTCTCTCTTCCCGGTGCTCTCTATCTATGTATCTCTCCCTCCTCCAGGAATCAGTTACGGCGCAGAATCGGCACATGGCTCAAAGCACATCGGAGATGCAGCCTGATGCGTGGAAAGGCGGTGATGGGGCGGGCTGTGCGGGATGGAAAAGCGGTAAACAGACCAAGAGCCAAGAGCAACATAAAAAAGAAAAAAAGAAAAAAGCGGACAGGGGTATGTTGATGAGGTTCCATTGCGACGAACAGCGAACAACGGTGACCGATGCGCCGATGCACCGATGCTCGCAGCCTTTGCAGCGAATCGCCCGCCAAGAACGTCGATCGGGAGGCTGCCGAGACCAACCCTGATCGGAGGCTGCCGGCCGTAGGGCGACGTCTTTGTTTGGTAGCGGATGGACATGGTCGCACGGCGTCATGGTGTGTGGTGTTTCTTCTCTTTTCTCTCTCCCCCACGCTCTCGAGATCTTTCCCTCTCCCCCAGCGCACGAATGCAGGGAGGCCTGTCGGTTGGCATCATAGGCAGAACAGGTTATGGCAGCAGGGGGAGGCATGGGTAAGCGAACAAAAGAGAGGGGTTAGTTATTGAATATTGGATTCTGATCGCGATTATTGCCAACTGCCGGAGATGCGTCCGTGAAAGAAGGATCGGACGGCGGTGTACGAGCAGAGACACCGTACCTATGCCGTGATTTGCAATCAAACAATTCCATCTATCATGAAGTCTGCCGCGGTAGAAGGCTTGGCGGCCGACGGCATGTCAGTCGGTCGGCATGCGGCATGCGCAACTCACCGGTCAGGGTTAGCTGACGGCATCAGGCCGGCCGCCACGATGGATGATGGATGGATGATGGAGCGAACGCCGCTAACGCCCTGCCAGCCGTACCTTAATTATGCAGACCTGCAAGCTTTCGCATTTTGCCTTTTTTTTTCCCCTCTTCACAAAAAATCGCGCGCGCCCTTTTTTACGCCCGTACATTATCTGCCACCACGAAGCCAGTCAGCCTTCCTTCTCCCGTCCGCGCGCCCTACGCCGCAGCCGCTGCCCGCCTGCGTTTTAAACTTGCACGGCACCAGACGGAGCGTCTCAGGATTATGCGCGTGCACGGTGGCCTGGGGCCTGAAGGCCGCCCTACCCTTTTTGTTTTTTCTTTTGCCCTGACGCGCTCCGTGCGCCTGGCTCGAAGAGGAGGAGGAGAGACGACGGGCGTCGGGCCCGGCTCTCCCCCCGCCACGTGCGGTCCGTATCCAGCGCCGGCGCGTCGGGCGAGGCGAGTGCACAGTGGGGGCCCAAGGCTTGTTTTTTTATTCGCACTGATGAACCGCCGCCGCTCATGTGAATGGGTTGAGATCGACGGGCTCCTCCGTGGGCGCCCCGAGCAGAGTCAGAGTTTGCGCCAAAGCCTAATCAATAATCAAATATGAGGTACCTAGAATCGCGTTGCTGACAAGTCGCCGACGACGACGACGACGACGACGACGACGACGATTATGATGATGATGATGATGATAATGATGCCGAAGAAAGGGCACGGGGCCTAGCCCAGGCCCATGACGACATACGCGGCATGCCGACGGGTCGTCGATTGCTTGATTGAGGCTCTGTCAGACCCGGGGATCTGGGAAAACAACTTGCAAGCCACCCGCGCGCGCGAAAAGTTACAGGTAACAGGACGTGAGGGCACGTAGGGCTGGCTGTCGCTCGGGGGCGCGGGAGCCGGGAGTCGGCCGAGAACTCTCCCCCGAGCTGCTGCGACGGGACAGGGACGACAGGGATCTTGCGCTGCCCGCAAAAAAGCCTCGTGAACCTTAGGTCACAGGGTCCCTGAACAATTTCAGGCAGCCCGTCTGTGACTGTGCTGTGAAACGGTCGCCATCGCCAGAAGTAACTCCCGCCTCCGTGATTCAGGTACCAACAGGGGTATTGTCATTCAAATCGTTGCCTACCCAAGGCCCCGGTAACTACTCGACTACGCAGTACAATAGATCGACCTAGGCCGCCCAGCCACGATAGATGATGCGGCTCCCGTACTTTTGCCCGCGCTTTAGCAGCACCTGGCCCCTCCAATCCTCGACGTTGGCCGCATTGACAAAGCGGCTGGGCTCGACGCAGAAGCCCGAGCGGCGACCCCGCGCCGGGATCCCATCGACCTCGGGCACGTCGAGGAAGTTGCCCGTGTAGAACTGAAAGGCGGGCTCCGTGCTGTGAATCTCCAGATGGATCTTCGAGTCTGGATGGTAAAAGGCCGCCAGCTTCTGCATGGGCAGAGGACGCGTGTCGACTGGCACGTCCAGGAACTCGGGGTTCATGATGAAGCAGTGGTCGATGGCAGGCTCCTTTTCGCCAAGCGTAAAGGGCAGCTTGGCTGTGACGCCAGGGTAGGGCTCGATCGCGCCTGTGGGGATCGCCGTGTCGTCGACGGGCAGGTGATAGTCTGTGGAAAGAGTCACCTCTGTGCCTGCAATTGTCGGTGCACCCGACAAGTTGAAGTAACTGCGTGCTGGGGATTAGCCACGTCATCCCTCTCTTGGAATAGGTGGTGCCATCGTACCTGTGGTTTGTGAGGCCAATTATAGTCTCCTGCACGTTGTCATCGCCCACCAGCTCCGCCTCGTACTCCATGTCCAACACGGTGTGCTCGACGCCCTCGACCTTCTCAGTGTAGGCCGTGTACCAGATTCTCAGCTCGACGGCGCCGGGATATCCTCCCTCGCCGTCGGGGCTGAGGTACTTGAACAACACAGCCTCTTTGCCATTACGGTTCAGGGGAGTAGGCCCTTGGAACTCGCGCTTGCCCCAGCCTGCGTCACCTCCGTGTAAGGAGTTCGGTCCGTTGTTCGCGGCGAGCTTGTAGGAGGTGCCGTTGAGGCTGTTGATCTTGGCGCCCGAGATGCGGTTCGCTACGCGCCCGATGGTCTCGCCGAAGAAGGGTTTGTTGTACTGCTTGTACTGCTCGGCCGTGTTGAAGCCTTGCACAATGTTCTGGCCGTTCACCGCAAATTCCTGGATGATGGCGCCCAAGGGCAGGAAGGAGAAGTTGGACTCGGTCTTGGCCATTGTTGGGATTATGTTGGACGGCGGTGTGTGTGTGGATGGGTAGGATCTGGTTGGGGGGGGATGCAGTCAGTCAAAGGAGCTCGAGGATTGAGATTTTTTTCAGGCTGGGTGGGTTGCGTCTGCAGCTGCGGCGAAGCAGGTTTATTGAGCACAGCGCGCAGCGTGGCGAGCGGAGGATGACCGTTGTTGTTTGCAATGGCGGGGTGTGTGTGTGTGGGGCTGGTCACCTTTGTCCGGGGTTGGAGGCGATTGGCAGCCGATCGCTCAAGCGTTAAAGCGAGTTGACTGCGACAGCACACTGCGGCAGACGGCATTTATATGGACTCCTCATCTTGGCCATCACCTGAGCCAGCTGTGCGATGTTGTTGTGAGGGGATCTTCTTTAGCCTATTTGCAGGTCGTACCTAGGACGAGTTTCCCCACAACGGCGCACGGGTGTGTGAAGGGAGCAGCATCACGAGACGGCTGATGAAAGCTGGTTTAGTTAGACCCTGCGGAGGCTGATTTAAGGATGGTAAGGCCCGCGCTGAGCAAGAGACCGGACGGAAAACGCACGACGGACGACAGGGCCACCTCATCCGCTAGGTATGACGCCAATCTTAACAGCACGGCCATGAATCAGCAGACCGTTGAAACGCAGCTACTCCTTGCGTCATGATGAAGCATGGTCCTGAAACTCCATAGTCTTCGGATATAGCACACGGTAAATTGAACAACGAGCGCTGTTGGCGCCTAGGTCTGCCAAGCAATAACAACCACCAGAGTAGAATTTTCCTCGACCAATGCCATGGCCCAGTCCCAGTTACGCCAGGCGCCGATTCCCACCGTCCCACCCGCTTGAACGCACAATGTCTATCTGTCCATGGTTGCAATGTCTTCGGGAGCCGCTGTCCCGGGTTGCATTGCATCTCTCAACCAGAGCTGCCCATTCTCGTACTCAAGGGAATTGCGAAAAATCATTTTGCAGCGCACTAGGGTTTATCGACGACGACGAGACCAGCGTAGGGTCATTGCCGTAGTTGTCGAACGGGGCCATGCCCATGTAATAGCTGTTATCCTCAAATGAGCTCTCGTATCCGTACATCGGGAAGTCTCCAACCCGCGGCGTCTCCGTGGCGTAAGGCGACATGAGATCGATTGTTGCCGGTGCGCTGAACGTCTTGTCGTAAGGCGTGGATCCCGGGAACTGCTTCATATTCGATCCGTTTAGCGACAGTTGCTGGGGCATCGTTTGTATCGAGGACGGCGGCGTGGGCAGGGCGTTCTCCCGCGGGAAAGGCTGATCGTAGAATTTTGGAGGCGTCGGCGGTGTTCCGTGCGAAGATGGCGAAGAAATGTGTTCATGGTCTGAATTTGAGCCGAAGGAGCTTCTCCGATGCTTGTAAGCTGGCTCCCCCGTTTCGCCATCCTCCTCTTCCCGTAACCTCTTCTCCAAGCGAGTGGGATCCTCTTCGAATTGCTCGGAATTTTGTTGCAGCAAGCCGAGCCGTTGTAGTATGTCGTGCGTCAAAGGGTGTCCTCCAGGATGCTCCGCGAGCGGCGATCCTGGCCATCCTTCTCCCGTGTTCAATCTTCTGTAGAGTTCGCGAATACCGGCCACTAGCTGCCCCTGCTGCTGCTCGAGCATCTCGACATAACTGCAGGCACCGAGGATGATAAGCTTCGAGGGCTAAGTTTTGAGCGAGCGAGGATTTGCGTACCCTTTAGGATATACCTTGTCGTGGGACTTTTTCCGTTCGCCAAACACGCAGATGGTGTTGTCTGCCTTGCACCTGCTGCATGGGTTGGCCCCATCGCACTAAAAATATCACGTCAGACGGGAATTCGGGGGCTAAGGAAAAGCAAAAAGGCTTAGGAAGGCAAGTACCTTTGATTTTTTGAGCCTACACCTGTCGCAGGCCTTACACACCCTCTTGCGGATGTTGTTGTCCGGTGTCGAGTCCATGGATGGTGAGCCTTCCGGCGTCAACATAGCACAGGGAGGCCAAGGACAGAATAGAGTGGATGGGAATGTGGTGGAGCAAAGAAACAGTGGTGTTGGGAAAGACTATAAACTAGGAGCAATAACAAGTCTATGACGGTATGGTTGGCTAATGGTCAGTGTGGCAGGATGGTCGCATTGGCAAGGTAGTCGAAGAGGTTCGGGAGCGAAAAGGCGCAGTGAAGACGGAGGGCGCCCGAGCAAGATATAATCAATCGACTATCGGGCACGGAAAGCTTATGGAGCAGTCGAGGGCCCCCAGCTCAGCCAGCTTAATTATGGACTGTTGTGCTGAGAGGAGGGCGCACGTACCGCTGTACATCCACATCATAGCGTCCGAAAGCGTTTGCTACGTTCGGCCGGGCGAAGTGTACGAGTAGCGCAGGGGGGGCGTCTGCGGTAGGGTTGATCCCAGACGGGCGCAGATCCTTGTCGTGCCAGTTGTGCACGGCGCCTTCGAGAAGCGTCGGCGTGCATAAAGACGGATAGACGGCGTGGAGAACGGCCTCGGACGAAGGCCCTGACTAACTCCGAGCTTCCAGCCCCAGACACACACGGGCATCCCTCTAAGACGGCTTCGGAGTCGTCGATGCTCCGGGACGACCACCTTGCACACATGGACCTCCCTATTTTCTTTTCTTTTTTTTTTTTTTTTACGTCCTCGAGTGATTTCCCGAATCCTGCCTGACGTAGAAATCCTTCAATCTTCAAGAACAACAATCGCGTTGATCTCCCGTCGTCGTCGTGATTCGCCCACGCCTTAAGTCCGAACTGCTGGCTGCTTTGCTGACAGCGGTAGGAGTATCATTAATCACATCCCGCTCTTTGATAGACTTTTTGGACATGCGCGACCCGCCCGCGCTGATTAACTAAGCGCCATTTTGCTTGCGCGCTTTCTCTCCCAACGCGTGAATTTTGGCCGCCGCCCTGGAGATATCTCGCGGCCCTGTGGCTTTACCTGGAACGATGCGATCTACTGCCCATGCTCATCCTCCGGGGGCCCTCTTGCCGTCGCCTCTCATTCGCTTGTTCCGTCCCCCTAATTTCGTGCACCTGCTTGCGTGCTTGCTTACTCCATGGCGGGTCTGGAACTGGCACGGCCAAGCTTATACTGGCCCTCCCTCCGCCCTCGACGCCGTTCCGCTCTCCGACAGCAAACGGCGGGTGAGTCAGGCTCCACGCCTAGCTAGCTAGCCCGCATGCCCGCTGTCCGCGGACCCCGACATGGAATCAGATGACCGCAGCCCGGCGTATAACGATCATCGAACGAGGAGAGAGCGCAAAGGTGAATGCGCCCATGGGGTCTCTACCTTGTCCCCCTTGTTGAGGTTGGCACGCACTAGTCACCGGCTAGCGCAGCCTTCCCACGATGATCCAACTCGACCCAAACCTTGCGAGTACGACGGGGCGCTGAGTCGCAAGATGATCCGAGATGGGAAGTCGAACATGGTGCGGCAGATTCCATGGAGGTGGCTTGACGCCGTATTCGCGAGTGGTGTCGATCGGCATTCCCACACAAGCCTCGTCCCCGCATTCGGTCAGCAGTAGTGAGTAGTATTAGGGTAGGTAGGGGAGCGTCGTGGTGTCCCAGAAAGTCAAACCCTCGGAATTCGGGCACATCATCCACTCCGACCGGACCCGCGGTACCTGGCCAAGCCGAGGGCCGGGGCGGGGGCGGAGAAGAAAACACGCCCCGCCGTACTGTCTGCTGCTGCTGCTGCGCCTCGACGTTTCCCCACTCCAAGGAACCTACTAGCTTGCCCGGACATTAAATCAAATCATCAACCTGCGACCCGCTTGGCCGGCGGAATGCTTCCGACGACTGATTTTTATTATCGCTGACAACCATGGAACTCTCCTTTTGCGACGGGTCGCAGCCAGCGTTTACAATGACGTGCCGCGCCAAACAGCCAAGCTCAACCGTTCGTCTTGTCCAAAATGAGCTGCCCTCCTGCCAAGCGCCCACGGTCTCGTGGCATTACGTGTACCACAGGAATCCCAAGCTATAAGCAGCCGCTCGAAAATTATCGCAGCAGCAGCAGCCACTTTGCACAGCCATCGCACTGCTTACCACTTTACTGCGGGGGGCCTATTATCAGCGGGGAAGGCGTAATGCATGCTGATCGTAGGACGACGACCAACGTAGTAGGCAACTACCTGTAGAATTGCGCGACCGACCGACCGGTTTCCCATTTATCGAACGGCCTGCTACAAGCTGCAGGTCCTGGCATGAGCGACGTCCGAGCAACGTCTGATTGGCACTGTTCAGCCGCCTCGTATTGCTCCAAAGGCGGGCTGATGGCGCTAGAAATGTAGGCAAGAACCGAGCTGGTATAGCAAGTGGCATGGCTCATGACGGTGCATTTGTCAGCTTCGATGGCTCAGCTTGGCCGCCTGTCGTTTTACCTGCAGCCTGGTGCGGCGGCAATGTCATGGTTTCACCACTACACTTCAGACACGTCGACATTGTTTTACTTCCTGTTTTGCGAGCTCTTTCCAAGCCTCGTTTGAGAATCAGGTTTGTTTGCTAATTCTCCTTGAGGCTAATTCATAGGTCTCCTAAAAAAAAAAAAAAAAAAATAAATAAAAAAATAAAAAAAAAAAGTATTCACTAAATTCGGTTGTCACAACGCGCAAAACAGTGCATTGCTCTCTACATGTACCACAACACAACTTACAACCAGCGACCATAGCTCCCAGCAAACTAGCCACCACGTTGGTAGCATATACAAGCCGCGAGCCAGCTGATTAGCAAGCAAGTAGGTAAGATAACCACCAACGAGCCTCAGCTAGAGTATTATTTTTGTCGATACGTCTATATTTCCTTTTCGGTCTCAGCACAATCTTCACGCTCTGCCCTACCTGATATCAGCACGCAATAGAATGCAATCCTCCAATCCTCCACCCACCCCAAGCAACTTCCCAATCCAGCCCACCCCGACCACAGCATCGCCTATCTTACCTAGGTACATACAGCCAGCACACGCACACAACATAACATCCGATACCCGCGCGCCCTCGCCCGCTCACTCACTCGCTCGCTCGTCTGACGCGTCCCTCCACCCGCGCCGCTCACCTACACCCACCCCACGCAGCCTCGGCGCCCTGGCGCCCTTCCGCCCGCCCGCCTCCCTCAGATCACCCTCACCCTCACCCTCCCGGGCGCCTAAGCATCCGCGCCCTCGCCCGGCAGCGAAACCGGCCGATGCGCCTCCTTTGCTCCCTACCTAGATACGACGGCGGCGACGGCCTCCCCGACTGACGTGAGCGTGAGCGAGCTTGCGCGAACTGGCGCGATTGCGGCCGCCGAAAACCCCCGAGGAAAAAAGCACATGTGAAAGCGGTCGGGAGGGATTGAGCCCGAGTGCTGAGTGAGTGAGTGAGGGCGCAGGCACGGAGGCCGTGCCGAAGCGAGCCTCGTTGTGTGAGGGCATCGCACGAGCTGCGAGGGCGTGACGTGATAGTCAGGCGGGGGGGTGCGCGGCGACGACGGCGACGACGAGACGAGTGGTTTGCCTACCTAGGTAAGTGGGTGAGGGAGGGCGAGCTGAGGCTGCGACTGACTGCTGCGGTAGCTGTTGCGGCTGGTGGACTTGCTTGGTTGCTTGCTTGATTGATTGCTTTGCTTCGTTGAGGCTCACCTCGTGAGCGAGTGAGTACCTACCTTCCTAGGTGAGAGGGAACAGCAAATGACGTGATGGGGCGTGTGGCGCTGAGGCTCGCCGCCCGTGCTGCACGACATACCTAGGCCGAGCAGGCAAGGAGCGAGCGAGCGAGCGAGAATGAGGTGAGCGCTTTGGGCGGCAGGCGGCTGGCGGTGGAGATCGCTCAGGTGGTGTGGTGTGGTGTGGTGGTGGGCAAGGACAGGGACAGGGAAGGAACGAGGGAGTGAGTGTGGGTTTATGTATTCGATTATTCTTGTTGTTCTCCTTCTCTTTCTTCGCCGTCGTCTTCAACTCCTGTGCGCTATCATGCAACGCCTCCTGACGCTCCCTGCCCGCCTACTTACATACCTGCTACTCACACTGCGTGCCAAAGCTTATACCAAAACGGCCTCCTCGCCATCGGGAGGCCCCCATCCAACTCCCATATCGATGCTCCTCCCACCGTCTCCAAAGCCAAAGAACATCCCACCCATCCCATGATGCACGACCGCCGCCCAGATATGCCAGAAAAATAAAAATCGCTCACTCGCTCGCAAAAAAAACTACAGTCTTTCCAAAACCAGCCGCCCACAAGAATACCAACCAACCAACCAACCAAACAGCCATCCAAACTTCGCTCAGAGGCGCAAAAGCCGCTGCTTCCCCCCTTCTCCCTTTACAGCTTCTCCCCCAGCGAAGCGTTCTGCCTCATCTCCGCCTCCAAGTCCCGCGCCAGCTTCGCAACCTTGGCCTGTCTCTTCTTCTCCTCGCCGCCCAACACCTCTTCTGGGTGCTTGTAGGGGGCAGACGGCAGCCCCATGCGCTGACGCCAGCGCTCGACCCACTTCTCGCGCAGCGTCTCGTACAACAGCATAAACTGCGTCTCGCCCTGGACCATCATCATGCGCTGGGTGCGCAACTTCTCGACGACCTCCTCAATAGGGTCGCGGCCGTCGGGGACGGCGTCCAGGCTGCCCTCGTCCAGCTCCGCGAGCAGGTAGTCCAGCGCGATGAAGGTGCCGCTGCGGCCCACGCCGGCGCTGCAGTGCACGATGCGCGGGTTTTCGGGCGCGGGGTTCTTTTGCTGTGACAGCGGGATGAGTTCGAGGAGCGCGAGCTTGTCGGCGCCTTCTGGGACCGAGAAGTCCGGCCACGCGCTGAAGAGAATGTGCCAGACTGTTTTGGTCTCGCCGGTTTGGCGGTCGCGCAGCTCGAGCTCCCGGATCGTGGACCGTGTCTTTTCGTCTTCGTTGAGTGTCTTGAGCGTAATGTCTAGGACTAAGGCATCTTCGAATTCGTCGTGCTCGTTGATGGTGAGGTATGGCGCCTCCATCGAGTGCGGGAAGTATTGGAAGCATTTCTCGCGGCCGGACTCGTGCGTCTGGGTTAGCATGAGGACAACGGCCGGGGAGGCGCATTCGTGCCAGATCATGCGCCAGATGTGGTGGTGGGTGTTGTCCTTGGGTCCCTGCATATCGTTAGCCCTACGTCATCCGATGCGGTGGCAATCAACCTGCCTGAGTCGCTATAAAGTTCTTTATGGCCCCAGACTTCTTCGTCTTCAGAACAATGGGCGAAGCATTGATGTAGTCGTCATGTCCCTCGGGGACCTTGAGTTGTACGCGGTTGTTGGCAAACGGGTCGACGTTCAGGTAACGATTGCGCTGCGAGACAGCCTCGCCCGTCACACGCGCCCATTGCGAAGGGGAGGTGGTGTTGTTCTGCGAGGGCGTGGTGCTCTGGACCAGGCGGTTCCTTTGCTGCCATTCAAGCTCGACAAACTTGGAGTGTGTCTCTGCCCGACGTTAGCTCCTGATGGCCAGCCTTGTCCGCCGTCGGCCTTTCGCAAACAAAAGAGGGTAGACGACAACCTGCCTGTTTTCTTCTGTCTTAGGAACCATGGCAAAGGAGCCTCTTCGGAGGCGGAATCGTCGCCCCTCGCCGACAGACTCGGGCTGCTGTTCATGGACAAGGAGGCGACGGCGGCGGTGGAGCGTATGCTGTCGTGGGAGCGCTCGCGCTTAGAGGGAGTCGAGGGAGACGAGGGCACGGCGAGCTGGTGGTGCGAGGAGCCGACCATTTTCTTCAAGGCCGCCAGATTTGAGCGTTTGCTTGCGGCTTTGCGCCGAAGCTGGCGGAGGTGGTCCAGAGGATGCAGATTGGTGGTGCGTGCGGCGACGCGCTGGTGATCGACGGTGGGCCAGTTAAGGCGGGCACGCAAGAGGCTGAGCAGTATGGGTGTTTCTTTATATAGATGCAGCACTGGGCGGGCGGGCGAGCGGGCGGCTGCAGGCGCGGAAACGGGACGGCGGGTAAGTACTAGTTGATGCAAGACGGCGGGCGAAGAGTCGAGACTGGTGGGCGGGGCGGGGCGCGGCTGAAAAGGAAAAAAATGGAGTTACTGGAGAAAGGTGCAGCGGTGGCGGTCGCTGGCTAATTATATCATCTCCCACTTATCCCTCGGCATCTTAATTCTTATCGCCCCTCTAACCTACTTACTTCATCTCGCTTCCTTTTTCTCTCAAAATGATTTGGCTGCGTCTGCTCGAGGTGTGTCCCCGTATGCAATCAGTGCGTTAATGCACCCAGCCGTTGACGTTCGCGCTGCTAGGGATGGGCTGTTGCCCGCGTATGTTGTTCCACTGTCGCCGTGCGTTCCATCCTTCTGATCCGTCCCCCAAATCCAGCTCCTCTCGAGTCCCACCTTCCACCGCGTCATCCAGCGCGCACATAGGCGCTTCACTCACCTGAAGGACGGCACCCCTCTCGAGGAGATGAAGGAGGCCGACCGTACGAGTACGTGCGACGTGCGACCGTCGTCGCCACTCTGCTGATCCGCCCCAGGCAATCAGCCGTCGCTCCTCAAGCACTTCACCGACGAACTCAAGGCCCAGCTCCGAAACGAACATAACAAGAAGCACTAACACTGTGATTTCTAATAAGAGGGGTGGTGGAACATCACAGCGACGTTTGACGGATCGGCGTCTTTACTAGCCAGCCAGTCGGAAACGACGCACCTTATCCGCGAATGAAAGACGAAGGCATGACATCATGCAAACATGGGGAAGTCGATACCTGTGAATATACCAATCGCGTACATATTCCATGAGAACTTGCCCTTTACTGTGACATCTGTCCGACTTGTAGTAGTTGATCATGCCATCTGCTATCATCACTGGCGCGACAGGTACGCTGCCCCGCACTTCCCCTCCTCGCCACTCTCACCACTCCCACCGTCGTTTCTCACACCTCCCCCACAGGTATCCTTGGCCGCGAGATTGTGACCGAGCTCGGCCAAAACCCCCAGCAATGGCCTACTGTGCACGCGCTGTCCCGCTCCAAGAAGGACACCTACCCCGAAAATGTCATCCACAACCACATTGACCTGACCGGCAACGCCGAGGAAATGGCCAAAGACCTGAAGAATGTCGAGGGAGAATACATCTTCTTCTCGGCATATCTGCAAAAGACCACCGAGGAGGACAACACCAAGGTTAATGGTACGTCGACATCGGATGGCTTGTCATGATCACGACAGTGACCTAACACGGCCCAGGCGACATGCTCGAAAACTTCCTCAAGGCCCTCGAGATCAACGGCAGCATCTCCAAAGTCAAGCGCATCATCCTCGTCACCGGCTGCAAGCAATACGGCGTGCACCTCGGCGCGACCAAAAACCCAATGGTGGAAACAGACCCATGGCTTCCAGAGCCTCGCTACCCCCCGAACTTCTACTACCGCCAGCAGATGATCCTGCAAACCTACAGCCAAAACCACAACCTCGAATGGGTAGTGACGTACCCGAACGACGTGATCGGCTTCGCCAAAGGCAACTTCATGAACCTCGCCACGTCGGTGGGGCTATACGCGGCCGTGAGCAAAGAGCTAGGCCACTCACTCGCCTTCCCGGGCAGCGCACGCTTCTACACCGGCTTCGACTGCTTCACGCACTCGCGCCTACACGCCCAGTTCTGCGCCTGGGCGGCGCTGGAGCCGCGCGCCGCGAACCAGGCCTTCAACGTCGTCAACGGCGACACCGAGTCCTGGCAGAACCTGTGGCCGAAGCTGGCGCGCCGCTATGGCCTCACGGTTGCCCCGGACCAATTTTCCCGCAAGTCGCCTGACGCCTCGTCTATGCCGTTGGCGGAGAAGCCGCCCGTCTCGGTCCGTGAGTCCGAGCTGGGTATTCAGTCGACCCAGAGCGCGGTCGAGGCCGCGATTGATCTTGAGACTTGGAGCCAGAAGGCGGAGGTTAAGGAGGCGTGGGACCGGCTGGCTGCGAGGGAGGGCCTGGAGAAGGACGCTTTTGAAAAGGCGACGTGGGCGTTTTTGAAGTTCGTCTTGGGCCGTAACTACGATTTGGTTATCAGTATGAACAAGGCGAGGAGCTGTGGCTGGACGGGCTATATTGATACGTGGGAGAGCTTGGAGAAAACGTTTGATGAGTTGGAGGAGGCGAAGATTCTGCCCAAGCACAAGTAAAGCAGTGGTTGTATGTGGTGTAGATGATGACTCTTACGAAGTAACCGACGATATCAAGATTGCTTTCGCGTAGTATCTAATGACAGCAGATTGCTCTCAAAGAACTCGAACTGATTTCTACCCTATCGATATTTCACGCTTGTCACATGCCGGGGTACTCTCACAATTGCATGCGTATTGACTCCACGGCAAAACAGAAACACTGAATGCTAATATAAGATGAGGTTTACCGCCCAACGAACCAACGTCTAGAATTATAGCTAGATATACCTAGTACCTCTACAAAACAGAATCAATGATACAAATAGACGGCTTTATACCTAGCCACGGACTTAGACTGTACAAAACAGCTAAGTATTTATATCACCCCGGCCCTGAGAACTCGATATCTTCACAGAGAAGTCTTAGGAGCTTTCAAAAATGGGGTTTAGCAATCACTACAGATTACTCCGTATGTAGACATGAAACTTAGCTCCGGGTACAACTAGAGCAGTTTGATCAGGCTACTAAACCATATTCAGAGCGGGATGGAAATCTAGTACCCGTGTACAGGAATTCTAGTGGTCCTGATCGTACTTTTGTATATGGGTTCAGCGATCCCCATAGATTGCTTCATGGCTAGATGCAAGCCTGACATCTGTTTTATCTCAGGCGGTTTTTGTAGGGCTATTGGATGTTCGAACCAAGGGTGATTTGAAATGCTTAAGTTGTTACGGAAAGGTATTTGTGATCTCTATGGATGCTTTCTTCTCTGTATTCGAGCTTGAGCTTGAACGCCGGATGCGCTGAGATACTTCGAGATACAATAGTTTATTACGATTATGACTTTGTTTGACTTTCTCTACTACGTATCTGGGAGTATGAGTGGAGTCAGTGTACGTGCAGTTCTAAATGCATCGGGCTCATTATGAGCGCCAAATGCTGATGGTATAGGAGTTTGTTAGGTACTGTGGATGCAATCTGATATCGACAGAAAGCATTCAACAGTGATCTCAAATGCCTTCAAGACATCCCATTTCACCAAAACACTCGAACAGAAAGCAAAAGAGATCGACCGTCTGAACATGCACTCCTAGGCATGCATTTAGGGTGAGGACAACAATCAACACAGTGAGGTAGCCGCAAGGCACAAAAAATCAAAAAAGAAGGTATATGTATGCTCGCTGGCAGGATCGACTACGATATTGTTAGTGATGATACTGATGAAATGAAGCATGTTTTAAACGTACACTGCCGACCTCCGGATCACCCGCTTCTGAGAAGCAGTCATATGTAAGAATATGAGACCGGCGCCATAACCAACTAGACCAAGCGAGCGGTTGTGGTGGATGACTAAAAGTTTCGGAAGGAGCGTTTATGTTTGTGTGCGTAGCGGGATTAAGAAACGGCGGCACCAGGGGGCGTCCGCGGGGCAACGCCGAGGCAGAGCAGATAATCGCTCATATTGCAAAACACAAGAGCAGAAGATTCGGAGGTAGAGACTTAGACACTAAGGGAAAGAACAACTGTATCAGAGAAAAGGAAAGCGCATGCAGCTTCTTGCTTGCCATGCAAATCACCCCAAGTTACCATATGTTGGAGGGTGAGTTTCGTGTTGCAAGTCTCTCACAACTCTCATCTAGACCGCATCCGGCCAACACTTACCGTTAGCGAGGTTTCACACAGCCCGTCTCTTAGTTTCTTGGGCAAAAATGAAGCGCTAAAGGAACGCAAAAATATCGGATGCGCGACTTGAACGCGCGACCTTCAGTGCTCGAGGATACGATCCTGTTAGACTGACGTGATAACCAACTACACCAACCCGACCTTGATGAAAGATTCTGTGAGCAATGCATATATTATGCATGACAACGGTGTCAACTCGATGCTGTCCATACAAATCAATGTCAGTCCTGTTCTCGTTAGCAAACTGCACGGCATTGCGGGGAGACTGACTGAAAAGGACTCGAAATGAAAGAAAGACCAGGTTTGCGGCAAACAGGTTCGACTCAAAACCTGACAGGTTGATGTGCTCCCAGGACAAAACTCGAATCATGTCTGCCCATATCATCCATGCTAAAGGCCCACAATCTCCGTGAGCCTGAAACCACGATGCTGGGCTGATGATGGTCATGATGATGAAAATGACGATGAAGCACAAGGTGACGGAACCGAGAGCCTAAGAAAAGGAAGTTCTCCATCTTTATTGAACGTGTCCGACCTGCCGGAAAAGCAAGAATAGAACAGCGCGGCAAGGGGCCAGTCAACTCCCCCGCCATCAAGGCAAGCGTCAAACAAGTCGTGATGCACGACATGCGAACCACCGCCACAACAGGTCGGGGCCACAGCAATCGGACAATCGCGGCGCAGCAGACGCGTCAAGAGAGGCCTGGAAGCTGCAGCAGGATGGCAGGGCTCCTGACGATCAGCCACCAAGAGTTCCGGGGCCGACGCCAGCGGAAACAAGCTTCGTGCGCGCGTTGCCAGGCGTGACGGGACTGGGGAAGCCCAGTCGGGGACCCGCAAGTTGGCTTGCGTTCGCGGCGTTCTGGAAGCTGAGGGATCATGGGATGACGACCCGCCCCGACGCGATGATGTCACGCCGCCTCGACTTGCTGGCGCGCGCTGCTCACCACCCCGCGCGCGGAACAAACGGCAGTTGGATGCTGAGCAGGCACGCAGGGTAGGCAACTAACTTTCGTTTTGCTGATTCTAGCGATGATGAAATACCCTGCCAAGTTTCTGGAGTAGGTAGGCTTTTTGGTTATAAGTACCGGCGTGCTCGAGGCCAGAAACGCTATCTTCCATCCATTAACCTACTCTACACACACAATCCACAAACACTACCACTCTTCTTTCACACCTTTATACCTCCAAGCGCCTCCAAAATGAACAGCAGCAGCAACCAGAACCAGAACCAGAACGAGGACTACCTCGACAAGGGTACGCCGCAGCACAATCCTCCGCCCCCAACTCCAACATCCAAACTAACACCACCTGCGTCCAGGCCTCGACGCCGCTGAGAAGAAGTGGGGTGGCTCCATGGGCCAAGACACCCAGAAGCACCGTGCTATGAACGAGAAGATTGTACGTATTTCCGTGCCGCTCCGGCAGCCTGCAAAGGAATATTGGATGCTAACCTGTTATTGCGCAGACCGACACTGCCCGCGATGCCTTTGAGAGCAAGACCGGCAAGCACGTCCCGGAGAAGTTCTCCAACTAGAGGATGTGTTGTTGTGGAGGTCTGACGGATTCGCTCGCCCCGTTGGAAGGGAGCGTCGTCTTAATGATTTGACGAATGATACGAAGACATAGGAAATAATCCAAGAATTTCAATACACATGCATGCACTGATTTCGTTCGTGATTATCTTGTCTCTTGTGTTGACTCCGCTTCAGAACACGCAACTGGTATTCCTCAAACGTTACTCGCTATCAGAAACCCTTTCCAAATCCTCTTCCGACTTGATTAAAGATCTGTCCTTCGCCAGACGACCCCAAGCCCTAAGACGTAGAAGCTTCTCGACATATCCTTCCTTGCCGGTGCGGATACCGCGATGTCTCTGCTGTCGGGGATAGTCATGATCAAACAAGCCCACCTTTCGCGCCATTGTGACGGTGCTTGGCCGCCTGAAGCCCGCCCTGTCCCAGCGTTCCCTTGCGTCCATGATGACATTACCGCGCCACTGCCATATCAAAGAATCCAGGGTATCGGCGACGTCAGAACCTTCGAGGCGCCGCACCAGTCTCAAGATCCAGCGCAGCTTCACCGTGCTCACCCACTCCTTATTCTCTAGGCTCTTTGTGATCGCCGCGCGCACAAACGCCTTCGATATCAGCGGCCGCATTACCGCTTGCCGGTCGCTTAGGTAGATGTAGCAGTAATATACGTTCCGGAACCGCTGGCTCGCCGATAGGTTCTGGTCCGCAAATGCAAACGCGACGAGATGTATGAGTTCATCGTGTAGCCTTTTGAGGCCGGGGTCGATGTCTGTGCCGCCTTTCTCGTTCGTTTTCCTTGCGACATCCCTCTTTTTCAGCATCGCGAACAGCGCCTCACGGCTCATACAGCCATCACGGATGAGGGCTATCGGCAGCTTGGGACACATGCTCAACCATAACCTGGGGATGCGCCTGTACATCTTGAGAGCGAGAACAGGGTTTTCATCGCTCAATTTTTCGACAACCGGAGCGAATGGACGAGGATCTTCAATGGGAATGGACTCGTTACATAGTTTTTTGAAGAACTCATAAAGGGCCATCGGACCGTATAGACGTAGTATCAGATGAGCTGCTTGCGACACGGCGCCATTGTAGGGCATGTCATGCTTTACGAGGTCCCTGATTATCCAGAAAAAGGGAGTATGTGAGTATGGCTTGTGCGGATCAAAAGAAACTCTCCCGACATGCTCCATGTAACCTCGTTTGATTTTGTTACGACTGCTCCAAGGCTTAAGTTGACTGTTTTCTCTGGCAATGCAAAGGGGAAGCCAGCGATGCAACCATACGCTGCAGACCTCGACAGGCTCCAACGTTTCAAGCCATGGGGCGGCGACGAGGGGGTCCATCCGGAAAGCAAGGTAACGATCACTAGCGAAAAGATCTACCTTCGTTTCCGTTGACATGGAGCTCGTGCGAGAGGCACATGCATACCACGAGTTTAACAGCTTGCCGGACTCGTTATCTGGCCTTGCCCGCTTCCTTCCAGATACGAGATACCTGGCGGTACGGGTTATGACCTTAGGAGCCCTGACACTCCCCAAGGATTCGAGGAAGGATGATATTGCATCCCAACTCAAACCAGAGGAAGTCGCCCCGTTTTCCAATACGGACTCATTGAGTTCTGTTACCCAAGAAGCAAGGTAGGATGCAAAATTGCCTTCTTTGACAAAATAAGAAGGGGGCCAAGCATGCCGATAGACGTTGAATCTGAAAACTGCTGGATCCTTATGAGGCTCTTTGCGGAAATTGTCCAATGTTTTACGATTCGTGGCCGCTGGCGGGCAGGGTAAAATCGCCAAATCCTTCGCGATTTTCTGGGCTATAGCTTTGTCCAGCTTGTCGACCGAGCGAATCTTGCATTGTGATATGCCATCCCATATAGCTCGATACGCACCGACCAGCCATGAGCTCGCCTCAAAGGGATCGCTGTATGTATTTCGGCAGACATGTCCAATCGCATCAACAACGAAAAGCAGTTCCGAGTCGACCATGGCCCCCAACGAAAGTAATGTCCGAATGGTCCCTAGAAGCCATTTCAGGTCTCCGGGAGAAAGTGGCTCCAGTTTTGCAAAGGTCAGGAATGTTTTCATATTTTCCGCTTCAGGCACGTTGACCCTAGGATTCCGGAGGAAGTGGAAAAGGTCCTGAAAGCCAGTGTGACGGCCGGTCTCGATGAAGTGCATACAGGCCAATTGACTCAAGAGCACAGTGTTCTGTGGGTTCCCACTCGCCTCCAACCAGACATTGCCCAGCTCTTCCACGTCGCGTATGCTCTCTAATCGTTGTAGGTACCGTTCGACAAAATCTATGGGCGGGATCGCGTCATCTTCGAGCGGTGGTTGTTGGGTAGCTTCGTCTTCGGGCGGTGGTTGTTCAAAGGACGAAAGCCATTGAGGCAATGGTGTGGGTTCAGATGCTGCGTATCAAGACAGTGAGCCAAATGAGACAGGAGGACTTGTCAAGTAGCATGACATACGTGCAGGCTCCAACGACTGCTTGGCGGGCTTTGGAGGTTCCCATGTCCAAGGCTGTCTTGCGGGTCCATTCAATCCAAACAATGCGCCAAAGCTGGGCCCAGCAACTCCCCCGGAAGCAGCGAGGCCCATCATGCGACGCTTTGCCAGACGTCTCTTAGCCTCCAAGGGCCCAGGAACATTGCTGCCATAGCGTTTGCAGGTCGATCGATTCGCGTTGGAGGCGTTGACGAAGCGGTGGAAGGAATCGGCGAGTAATTCATCGGTGATCCAGACTGATTGTCCTGGGCGAGGAAGCATGCATCGCGCCGCCCTGTGGCAAGCGGCAGTGTGAGAGGACATCAACAGGCGCGCTGACAATCATGCGTGCATTTCCGCGTTAGAGATTCGGCGGGAAATTTCGCGGGTCATTCAAAATTACACGATGAGTCAGCAAGCGCCCACATACAATGTCCCCGCGCCGCACGGGCCATGACCTTGTTCAGGGAAGCTTTCGTAGGTACCCATCACTACAGGTTTGAGTTTGTACCTATGCAACAATCCAAGAATATGGAGTGGTAATAGGTGATCACAAGGAATAGCATAGGGGAGTTTGAAACAAGTTCTTTGGACCCCGTAGATGCACAAAACCTAATTGAGCCGCCTGTCACGGCTATTTGCATTGCATGCACTCGAAACCTAAACGTTGGGACGTTTGAGCCTACACCACTCCTACTCCAAGTCCTCACATCTAACGTTAGCGCGGAGCTATGGCACGGGTATAAGAATGGCTTCGGGCCACCACTTTAAACCTAGGACTTGTATTGGCCAGTATCCGGCCACCCGGTATCTATCACCCTTATTCCTGTTTTTAGCACCCCCCGTGGCTTTGATGTCCTGATGTTCTGATGCCCCTGACGAACTAGCAGCCGGACGTGGAAGCATGGAGTATGTGCGCGGCAACAAGCCACATCATCGCCGTGACGCATTGCTTCTGGCTAGTCGCACGTTAGGAGGGGGCTTACCCCAGGTTGTCTGCTGTGGCTGCGTCTGGCCCCCCCTTGGGGGCAGTGCCCACTCGGTTCCGGAAACGTGAGCTGTCGGTCCAATATCGTTAAGTCTGACATTGCGGTCGGCAGTCGAGTCACCATCGAACCAGGTCTCGGCAGCCTTGTAGGAGTAAAATAGCCCAGCTATCGAGTCGAGGCGCGGTCCATGTAGTCAATCTAGGTTTAGCACAGGCTCGCAAGATTTCAGGAGCACAAGGTTTGATCCTCAGGCGTTAGATGCGGAGCAGGCCACACCTTGCGCGGGAGCAGCAATGCACGAAATAATGCAGTAGGGCAAGGGGGGTATCAAACGGACGAGTGGAGCTCGGGGCGCGCGTCAACGGCCTTTTTGCGAGGCGGGCTATTTCACGATGGAGGGAGAGAGGGGTCTAGAATGGCGCTAGGACGGGTTGCAGAGGGTGTAGAGCCTGAGGCGTCTAGGTAATAGCTTGGTAGTAATGAGTCGGGCGGGCTTAGGGATCGGCGTTTTTCTCTTGGGCAGGTGTTCATCGTTCGTATCTAGAGCGGAGTTTCATGGGTGCCGGCGGAAGAGTCGGGATGCGCTAGGTCACACCAAGGCTGTCGTAACAGCCAATTGGCGCAAGCGGCCGGCATCCTCCCGCCCGAATACGCTTGGGGCGTGGAGATGGTGATGGTGGGCTACGGGTACGTGGCGGTGCTCTTTGCGGGAGTGGGACTTTTTCCCTCGTGGACGGTGGAGACTTGTCGGGCGGCCTGAAAGTCGATTTTCAGGGAGCGCGGCCGGCCAAGGTCACGTGGAGCCGTTCCTGCATGCTCGGGTGGGCCGTCCCGTTCTCTCTGGCAGCGCCGGCGGCGGCGTGCGCGTATAAATAGGAATCCTGAAGGGCATTGGCAGGGCAATAAAGTGCGCATGCGACGCGCCCACTATTTGCCTGTTCCGGCGTCGCCCTGGACCTGGCCTGAGCGCCCTTAATTTCGCACTCCACGCCCGCCCTCTCGTCTCCTGACCGTAGCGACAAGCCTCTCGCTGCCCATCTGCTCCACCTTTGTCAACATCGCCATGTCCTGCTTCCGTTAACTCTCCGACACTCGTTCCCCGTCCTTGCCATTGTCTCCATCACCACCCACTCTCGCTCTCTGCAAGCCCGCACCCGCTCCATTCCTTGAGCCGGTGTGCCCGTGTCCTGCTCCAAGGGGGCCCTTGACCATCTTCGTCGCGCCCGCGTGAAACACCACATTCCACAGGCACGCTCAGCGACGTGACCTACAATCCAACGCCTCGAGTTTCAACCCTCTCCTCTGCAACCAAGACTGTCGTCAGTTGCTTGCTTGCCGCCCCGGCCGAGCCTCTCTCCCTCATCGAGGAGCCTTCTCGACCACTGGCCAAACCACTTCCAGGCGACGAAGGCAGCCTGCGCAGGCTTTTGATTGGACCACCTTCCATCGAGCCTGCTACCCACGTCGTCGCTTCGACTGTCCTCGACACCCTCGACGACGCCGTATCGCTCGCCCACCGCCTCTTCGGCCTCCCCGCCTCTTCCGCCCTCTCCGCCCCAGCACAACTTCGACAGAATGGTCTCGTCATTTTTCACAGCCGCCCTCGCGGCGGCATCGCTCTTCTCTGCTGTCTACGCAGACCCGATGCCGAACCCCGTCGCCGCACCCAACCCAGACAGCGTAAAGTCCCAAACCTCCACGCCAACCTACACGGGAGCCCTCCACTCGATGACTTACAAGGGTTGCTTTGACTCTTCCGAACCCCTAGAAGACCAAGGCGAGTACACCTACCAGACCCAAGGTAACTGCCAGCCCGTCTGCGTTGGTCTGGGCAACTCGGTCATGGCCCTCGTCAACGGTACCAACTGCTACTGCGGAAACAAGCTGCCGGCAAAGTCCTCTAGGCAGTCAAATGACGACAAATGTGACACGCCTTGCAACGGTTTCGACAAGGACAACTGTAGGTTTGCTCTGGCCCCAAAGCCTCTGAGAAAAGCATGCTAATCCTAATCTCCACAGGCGGTGGAAATAACTATTGGCAGGTTTACCTGACGGGAATTAACAACAATGATGTGGACTACTACGATGGCGGTTCGTCAACTTCGTCCGGTCTGTCGACTAGCACGAGCATGTCTCAGGGCACGCCCGTCCTCGTGACCGTCAGCGCCGGATCGACCGTCATCGTTACCCAGGGCCCGTCCTCCGACAGTGGAAAGTCCAGCGGTAGCTCCAGCACAGCTGGTATCGCTGCTGGCGTCGTGGTTGGTGTCGTCGTTCTTGCTTCAATCGTCGGCGGTGTCTTCTTGTACCTCCGCCACAAGCGCAGGAAGGAGATCGAGGACGAGCACCGCGCGCGCCAGAGCGTCAACAACTTCGTTGCCACTGGCAAGCACCCCAACGCGCACTCCATCAATGACAACATTCTGGACCCCACGTTTGCGAGGAGGATGAGCAACGGCAGCGTCGCCGACAACCAAGACTACTCAAGAAGGATCCTCCAGGTATGACGAAAAAATTCTTTTCCGACATTGGTGCGGTTTCGCTAACAGCTTAATTTAGGTGAGGAATCCCGACGATGACTAGACGACTGCGCCTGTCATGATTACGAATCTCCCTCCGAGTATTTTGACTTCTCCCTTCCTCCTTCCTCACATACGCGCGCTCCCATCGGCCACGTTCACCTCCGTTGCTGCTTTCGGTCGAACTGGCATTGTCGTCTCCTGCATCTCTGTATTATGTCTTTGGGTCGTTTGGCGAGCTCCCGGCGCAGCATGCTATGACGAGAGCCATTTTAAAAATTTCGGGACTGTCCTGGTTACTTGCTCCCCCGCGTCTCCGTCTAGAGGGAGGAGGGGAGCAACGAAAGCAATCTTCAAATCGGCAGTCGTTCTAAATCTCGATACCTCGCTCTCGGCGGTTGAAGAAACGTCGCGTGGCTTGTTCTTTATTCTTCCATTCTGTGTCCATATTGGAAAGGGTCGTTTTCTCTCTTTTTCCCCCCCTTCCGAGCTCTGGGTAGAAGGTGTTATATTCGGCAGACTCGATCATATGGATTTGTGCGGACATCACTGGTTACTACTCTCCTTGTTTCCTTCCCGCGGCAACGTCTGGTCTCGTCACGAGATGAATCTGTTTGTGTCTCATCTTCTCTACTCTCCTTACGTCAACCCTTGTCACCCTCATCCTGTCACTCTGCATCGGGAATATGGCGGTCACTATTCACGTGACCTGGTGCAAAAAACGGCCAGGACAGCCAAGCCACGAGCTCGTCAGGGACACCAAGGAAAAAACTCAACCTCACATCCTCATCATCCTTTCCATTCCCTCACCCCCATCCTCATCCGCAATCTTACTCGGTTGCATCTCCTTTACACTGCTTATTATATCCCCTTCCTGCCCTTCGACATTCAGCCTGCGGTGGACTGGACAGCGGTGGAGGAGCGTGCTGGCACCAAATCCTGCCGCTCGGAAAGTTTTACCTCGCAAGCCTGCTTAATACCAATCCCTCTTTCTTGGCTTCTACATATTCCCGCAAAGCATGGTGTCAGGTGGTGGTGTGAACCGGTTCTCTCTTTTCCGTTACTGCTTTAGCCATCTCTTTGCGATTTGGGTTTTAGGTATCTTATTTTCGTCATCTCCTTGGTTGTTCTCTCCTTTGGGTCTGACCCTGCCCGTCTCTCAGCCTCTCTCTGTTTTATTCCCAGGGAAAGAAAGGGAATGCCCTGGACGAACAAACTACGTAGTCGGTATGGGCGGGCTCGGTCAGTGGAGAGCTGTTGTTTGCTGCTCGTCCTTGGCCCTCGCTCGGCCTCCAAGCGCCCTCATAGGCTGTATCTACAGAATGGAGAAACGTTCACCACAACAAGCAGCTCTGATCCCCGCCTTTGTCTTTCGCACTCTACCACCCGCCAATCCTAACCAACTAACGCTCCCTTCCACGATCTTCTCTTCTCGCCCATGCCCCAGCCACCGGTTCCCAGCCCCCCACCTACCCAGCTAGCCATGCTCCGCAACAAGCTGGGAGCGAGACGGGCACCCACACGCGCGCGCAAAAATGATCCGCACATGCAGTAGCTGCAGCTGCAGCAGCAGCAGCAGTAGCGGCCAGCGGCAGCCAAGCCCAAGCGGCATTTGGCGCGTCGAGTCGACGGCCGGGGGAGGGACCGGGCGGGTGCCGCTGATGCCAGCGATGACCTAATGAATCGACGGGGGTGGGGCGCGCTTGCGCGCTGCCGCGCAAGCGTGGGGAATTGAGATATGATGCCCTGACACGCGTTCGATTGCTGCTCGCCGGGGGTGCGGTGTTTCTGGGGTGCGGGTGGAGGTAGGAGTAGGAGGAAGAGGTTGGAGGAAGAGGAGGGGCCTGGAGGAGCAAGGAGCGGGAGTGATGGAGGGGCTGGGCTGGGCTAGGCCGCTAGGCTGGGCATGGTAGGTTCGAGAAGGGAAGTTTTGCACGTGAGAAGGTCTGGACTTTTCTGGCCGGCGTGCGTGGTTACTGGATGCGGTGGGTTGCGCGTTGCGTGCGTGAGTTGGTTGTTGCTGCTGCTGCTGATGCTGGGTTTGGGGAGGGTTTGGGCGGTAAGCTAGGGTGCGCCGGGGCGCATTGTGCGTGGGGCTTTTTGTTGGTGCGTGGATACGGGTGGAGGGGGTGCGGGGGCTGGCCGGCTGGCTGGCTGGCTTGGCTTGGCTGGGCTGGCTAAAGGTGTCGGTTGCTGCTGGTGCTTGTGTGTGTGCGTGTGTGCTGGTGGTGTGTTTTTGTTTTCGTGATGGGGGGCGCGTGGGTGGTCGGGCGGATTGCTGTGGTTACGTGTGTGGGAGGGAGTGATTGGTTGGGTTTGTTGGCGCGGTTGGTTATTTTGACGGGTTGTTGATTGGTTGGTTTGGTGATTGGTTGGCTGCTAGACTGGTGCTCGACTTGTTTAGATACATTGCTGAAAGGGTTTCTTGAAAAAATGGTAGGTGCAATGCACTCTTGCGTAGAGATGATGGCTTGTTGTGGTGTTGTTTTCACTGAGCAGCAAGCAGTGCGGCAGTCTACTCCTACGAGTTCGTGCACGCGGAGAAAACAATGGTTGCTCGTGGCCATGTTGCGTGACGGATCAGCTACTGGCTGGATGTACGGTTGGAGGAGAGATAGGGCTTTGCACGTGGAAACTCAGTACCTACGTCGATCTGGGGAGTGGGGTAGATGTGAGGCGGACTGACTGGGATTGTTTGGAGTATTTGGAATCAGAGCGTGAGGCATGTAACAAACACTACGTGAAGCTGCAGGCATTGAGTTTGCGGACAGGCAAGCTGTTTTGAAGGTTGTGTTTTGGGCCAGTTACCAAACTGAAAATTTATATAGAACAGGTTTAAAAGTCTGCCTTGGCAGCTTGGAGAGAGAGACCAGGAATTTCTTTCAACAAGATTTTTTCGATAAGCCCCTTTCCACAAGACCCTTGAGATGAGACCCATTCGACTAGAGAACTAGGCCAAACTGAGCTAAGCTATGGATCCATCCACGACGCCGGAAGCCATGTTTTGCAGCATGCACATGATAGACAGCATGATCTCGCGTATCATTGGTGAGCTTCTCGCTGATGCTCCCAGCACCCTATATATTTACACAGCATGACTGATGCTAATGGTCTTGGATAGCTTATGCAAAACTCCTCTATGGCGCCAATAGATACCATGAAGTTATCGTTTATCCCAAAGTAGCTACAGACGAACGACAGGGCTCTTGGGAAGCCGTGCTGATCGAATTGGATGTAAAAACCAATGGGATTCAGAAAATCCGGGTTTTCGAAGCTGTGGAGTACTATAAGGCAGTGCTCAATTTATTTGAATGGATGCAGGACAAGATGCGTGATCTTGTAGGATAACTAGTACATCCCCCATCATAGTCTGACCCTATGCGACTTTGATGGTAGTCTGTGCGGTGGAAATCATAACAGCTTTTGCAATTAACGAAGATACCTACCTTTGGTGCGGTAGAATTCGGGCAAGATTTCCGGGAAATGAAGCGTGTGACAAGAGGGTTTGAAACGTCGTGCGAAACCATAGCATGGCTGTTAAGTGGCCATGGAGATGGCAGGCTTCGATAAGCAGGAGGGAATGTCGCATGGCTCGTAGTAAGACGGGCTCCCAGATATTTCGGCGACTATTGCTGCGATTAATAGCGCAGTCCGAGTTCCTTCCTACAAAGTAGGCGTCTCATTGATCTTACGCGGCTGAGACCCAGGCGGCTGATAATGGTGCCATGGGCTGGGCCCTGGACGAGCGGTCACGGCGGCGACTTCATATGGAGGCGCATAGGTAGTCTACTCCGACGGCGCGTCTTTCCAGCGGAAGGATGCAATAAGGAATCCTGCTCGTCCGACCCTGTCGAATGGCGGCAGGAACCGTGGGGCGCGATCGTTCCACTGTTTCGAAAGGGCGTCCAGCTTGGCGTAGTCTAGGATGCGGGCGGCCTTTGCATAGCTCGAGGCAGGTGACGGTCGTCGTATTAAAGGCAGACGTTCTCCGGAGCGGAGGCAGCTCGTGATTCAAGTATACGGACGGCGGTGTAATACGTAGCGTTTCCCAGTAGAGGTTGTGTGCCGGCTCCCCCGTGGGGTAAAAGGTTAATTGACGGAACAGACGACGAAGAAAGAGAGAGGTGCGGTGTAGGAATTCATCGGAGCAATCTAGTGGCGGGTCGCGCCACGGCACCAACGGCGCCACGTCGGAAGGTCCCACGACGGCGTCGAAGGCCAGGCGGGTTGGGCGGCCCTGACGAAAAAACCCCCCCTCGCACGTTGCATCACCATCATGCCGGCAGTTGAGCCCAGCAGTCGATTATCGTTGCAACTGCCGTGGATCTGTCATGCCTCGCGTGTTGGCTAAAGTCAATGGCGGGACGTGCGTCCATGTCATGTTCCCCAGGTATCCACCTCCGCCTGACGAAACGAGACGATTCTCCGCGACCGCGAGCAAATGGTCAACCTTCCTTCACCTCCCGCCGAGCCTCTAGGTAGTCCGGTCCCTGTAGTGGCCGGTAGTGCATGGCTTCCGTCCGGTCCATAACGGCATCCTTCTCATCATCGAAAGCGCCGGCACCATGATCGGCCTTCACTATAAGACTACCGGCCGCCGTGTCGCTCTTCGTCTCATCTGTACGCTCCTTCCGCTTCTCACTTCTCCTCCAATCCGTCCTCGGCTGATCTTCCAGACGTCTGGTTCGCCATGTGGTTCGCGACTGGCGCTCTCTTGCTTTGGGCCGCCCAGGATGTGCTCTCTGCCCCTTCCGCCTCCCACGTGAAGAAGGCCGCTCCCTCGGCCACGGTTAAGAATGGCACCTATACCGGCGTCCATTCCACCAGTTACAAACAGGACTTCTTCCTGGGCATGCCCTTTGCTCAGCCTCCCGTCGGCGACCTTCGTTTCCGTAACCCTCAATCTCTTAACACCACCTGGGATGGTGCCAAGTCTGCCACTGCGTACAGTGATACTTGCGTTGGCTATGGCGTATGTAGTCCGAAACATCCTGACCCTTTTGCATGAAAAGCGGGGTTCTAACATTGCGATAGTCTGACCAATTCGGCTACGAAGTCACCGAGGATTGTCTGTACCTCAACGTGGTGAGGCCATCTGGGTATGACAACCAGAAGTTGCCTGTAGCTTTCTGGATCCACGGTGGTGGCTTCTTCGAGGGCAGTGCGGGTGATAAGCGCTACAATCTTTCCTTCATCGTCCAGAATGGCGTCGATCTAGGCAAGCCTTTCATCGCCGTTTCGACCAACTACCGCCTGAGTGCCTGGGGCTTCCTCCAGGGAGAAGACGTCCAGAAGAGCGGTCAGACTAACGTTGGTATTCGCGACCAGCGTTTGGCTCTGCACTGGGTGCAAGAGAACATTGGCGCATTCGGAGGTAAGCAAGTTTTTCCACCGAGCTATCTCCATGTGGGGGACTGACGTATCCGTAGGTGATCCCTCTAAGGTCACCATCTGGGGTGAATCTGCCGGTGCTGCCTCTGTTGGCGCGCACTTGGTGGCGTACAATGGCCGGGATGACAAACTGTTCAGGGGTGCCGTGATGCAGAGTGGCGCGCCCATCTACTTCGCTGCCCTCAACAGCAGCACCGACCAGCAGCCCAAGTACGAGCAACTTTTGACGGCCGTTGGCTGCAGCAATGCAACCGACAGCCTTGACTGCCTGCGTGCCGTGCCCTATGAGGACCTGAACAAGGCAATCAACACCACCGCACTCACGCAATGGGGTCTCTCGTTCGACCACGACCTTTTCCAAGAACTGGGCTCCGTCCAGGTCGCAAAGGGCGATGTCGTCCGTGTCCCCATCATCATGGGCGCAAACTCCGATGAGGGCACCGCCTTCGGTACCTACGGAATAGACAACACGACGCAGTTCGAGAACTCTTTGCTGGCATCCGGTGTCCCCGCCAACTTCACCCCCTCGATCCTGGAAGCGTACCCCGACATCCCGGCGCTAGGCATTCCAGGCTCGGGAGCATTGGGGCCCTTGCCGGCAGACTTCCGCCCATCCCTGCCCTACGGTGCCCAGTTCCGGCGCTCAGCTGCCTACGGCGGTGACTACACGTTCATCGCGAGCAGGCGCCGGACATGTGAGCTCTGGGCCACGCATGGCTTGGCGGCGTACTGCTACCGGTTCAACGCGATCCCGGCGGGGCTTGCCCAGATTCCGGGTGTGACGCACTTCCAAGAGGTGGCTTTTGTGTTCGACAACGTGGATGGTTTGGGCTACGCGCCGGTAGCGACGCCGCCATTCCAGGGCAAGGGCAAGGGCTACACGGACCTTGCTAAGCTGATGTCGAACAGCTGGGTCAGCTTTATTGTCGATGGCGACCCGAACGGGTACAACCGCCAGGGCAGACAGAACACCGGCAAATGGCCCAAGTACGATAACAGCAACCCGCTGGACTTTGTGTTTGATGCCAATGTTACGAGCCATACGGAGCCGGATACGTACCGCAAGGAGGGTATGAAGCTGATTGCGGATCATGCGGCGGATGTGTACGGTCGCTAAGTTGGGCATAAATCTACTAAATTAATAATGTTATTTTTTCGTTTATATCATTGTCCACATCGTAATTTCTGGTCACCATAGTGAGCGGAGTATAGACCAACACGAACCAGGAACCCAGGGTTTGTTGTTCTCGGTGGTAACTGTCTAATACTACAATATGCCAGCCTTGATAATCTCACCATCTCCTCGCACCGGATTATCCACCATCCTGCCCAGGACAGAAAGCAATGACACATTAGACGTAGCCCACGCCGTGCAGCCTGCTTAAACACCATCACAAACCTGCCTTTGGCCCGCTATTTGCTTGTACAGTGCTGTTTTCTCCTACAATCTAGCTGCCTCTTTACCTACGTTTGGGAAGCTAATGAGCTTCTCGATTTTTCCGACAGGCAAATGAAGCGTAATTCGTTGGCCCACTGAGCTTGCCGTGGGATTTTGAATATTACGTATAGGGCCATCTAGTGCTCTAGGGCATCTTGAATGCATCGGCGCTAGCTGGATGCGTTGGAGCCACCTTAAATCCATCAGATCCATCGCAGGACGCTCGGACGTCCGCTGAAGGCCCAGGGGGAGTTGTACTACGTTTGATGTTTGAGGTTCCGGGTCTTTACCGCTTTTGACTAGCGCAATCATTAGCGTCATCGAACGTCTCACTCAGGATCTTGCGTTGTTGCACTGCGAAATGCGCTGGAGATGTTGGTAAATAGAGAGGATAACAACAACAAACAAACGAGAATCTATGAGAGAACTACACGGTTAATAGGGACGAATTTTTGGTTATGTTTATATTTTTTGTTTGTTTTTATCGGGGGTGTTAGTGGCTAGATCCAAGATCTTGTCCCAAGTACGAACTGTTAAAGTCTCGCAAGTTCAGCGAGATAGAACGGATGTCTAACACTACCTACAGTATAACAGTTATATTTTTAATACTATAAACAAGCATAGCTATACTACTCGTACACACCCTCTTCATACCATTTGTATATTTGTTTAATAGCTGCATTGGTGATTGTGATGGTGATTCGTGCATAACGCCGTTCCAAAACTTTTGGCGTCTATAGAAAATCAGCGATTATTTGTTATAGTCATAGGTTTATCAGAACTCATATTTAAAATCTAAATCTAACAAAAGATTATCGGTATAGCCGTATAGTATTAGGTGCAACTATTTTTCAGGATTAAAATCCATCCTTGTGGTGTTGTAAGCCGATGGTCTACGAAGCCAGGGACCATTTGCAATGCGTCTGATTTTGAAAGATTGTGTCACCATGTTCGAGGTTGGATGCCCCGGGCCGGCTTACCGTTTTCGACTAGCGTGGCTTGGCATGGTCGAACGTAGGAAACAAGATCTAGGGATTCAGAAGTCGTCGCCAGGTGCCAACTTCCCACGTCCCTTGTCAACTGGCAACCAAAGATCCAGGCACTTGTTCGTCACTACCAAAACAATAATTCTGTTAACTTTTTGTGCTAATTATAGACTCGCACTCTGTACTCGACTCGACATACTAACACACAGCGCTGTGCGATAAGGTGTGAGATGAGATTGGCGGAGTAACACAATGACGGCGGGCGCGCAACACCGACTCGGTATGAAGCAGGCACGAGGAAGCGAGATGCACTGGTTGGCCGAAGGGACGCGGCCGGCCAGCTGCACTGCCCGGGGTCGAAACAAACTCGGCCATCCATAAACAACGCCCCCGCCGCGTCGCCCGCGTCGTCGCCATGCGCCTCCCGCCATCATGCCGCCCGACGTGTCGGCCTCCGTCTCGTCGCTCGTCGCCGCCTTCACCACCGGCCTGGACGTCTTCAAGAAGTTACGCGCCAAACGTCGCCGCAGGAAGAGCAGTAGCAACAGTGGCGGCACCAAACAGGCCGACGAGGCGCGTCTGGCCGCCTCACTGAGCCGTGGGCCCGTCGACATCCAGCGCCACTATGAACACAGCTACGCCGCAACCGGCGAGCCATTTGCGCGTGGCGACGGTACGGCTGACCTCACACCTATAAAGCAAAAACAAAACACCAACTGACAATTTCCCTCTCAGCCATCGCACATGCCTCCCTGACCGAAACCCTACTCAAACTTAACGCCGGCCTTGTCTCCATCATCTCGGCCTTCCTGGCCCGCGGCGGCAGCAACAGTCAGACCAACAACACCACCGCTGCCCGCCTAGACTACCGCTCCCTGGCCGACCTCTCTGACGCCTCCCGCGCCGACGCCATCGCTGCCCTCGGCCAGCTGCACGCCCGCCTCGCCCAGTCGCAGCTCCTCCTCAACCGAATTCGGCCACGATGCTCGCACTGCGGGAGCACTGCGCACGTTGCTACGTGCAATGGCGGCGGTGATTGCGGTTCCTCCACCGCTGATCTCGTCCCGCCGCCGTCATCGAAGCGCCATGGTCGTCGTTCTCGCCGCTCGAGAGCCGCACCCGATGGCGGAGCAAGTATCGCGCTCGCGCGTGTCCCGAAGACCAGCAATGGCTCGCAGACACGGCTTGTCATGCTGCGTCCACGAGGTAGTAGGAAGCCCACTGCTGCTTCTTCGAATTTAACGGAGCTGCCGCCACTCTTGCCTGAGCCGCCACCACCACGCCAATTCCAGCAGCAGCAGCAGCAGCAGCAGCAGCAACAGACCGCCAAACCGCCGCCACAGCCTGAAAAGCTCCCTGCCTCGCCCTCGCTGACCCGCCCTGGCATTCCCGCTGCTGTTGCAGCTGCCTTCGCCGCTCCATCCATCCCACAACCACGATCACGCATCCGCCCTATCCGAGCCCAGCCACAACCCGTCCCCTCCACCCAACCACTCAACCCCGCCTCTAACAACCCCAAACCGAAACCAAAAACCCACCTCCCACCACCCTTCCCCACAACAACAAGCTCAGCCCTAACCACGCACCTCTTCCCCCCACCGCCCTCCTACCGGCCTCCATCGCCACTCCAATCCCAACCTCAACACCAACACCAACCCCCACCACCACACCCTCCACTCCCCCCCTTCTCACCGCCCCCTCTCTCCCTCCTCTCCTTCACGTCCGACAGCACAAAGCTCGGTGAGATCCCGATGCGCAAGTGGGCCGTGCCGTTCGATACGGCGGAGGCGGAGCGCCTGAACCGAGAGGCTGCCGAGTCCGGGTACGCGGTTGCGGCGCCGCCGCGGGTGGACGTGGAGGGGGCCGAGAAGGGCGCGGGGAAGGTTAAGGGGGGGTGGTTGGGGCGGCTGTTGGGGAGGGGCCGGTAGGGTGGGTGGGGGTGGGAGTGTGGTTGGTTTTGTTGTCTCTTTCTTGTCTCGTTGTTTTCTTTTCTTTTCTTTTCTTTTCTTTTAAGGTGGGGGAGTGCGTAATGGATGTGCACTCAGAGGTTCAGCCTCGTGTTCTTGTCGTTTGTTTGTTTTCGTCTTTGCGATTCGGTTCAAGTTCGTCTGGTCTGTGGTTCCTTTTTTCGTTTGTAGTGGCGTTGGGGCTTGATGATCAGCTGGATGATGAATGCGCTATGAGCCACGGGTTACGATTTACGAAATTGCGGTATAAGGCACGATGCTTGCGGCATGATGAGACGGGGTATAGGTAGGAGACGGCGAGAATGGCTTCGGGTGGGGTGGTTTAGTGAGAGGTGAGAGGTTTTATATCTATATTTATGTTCTGGGTTTATGGGCGTCTCTTTTCGAATATATAATTTAGGTAGTGGTATTTGAGGGTTTGTTTCTTTGCTCGGAAGTATGGATGTTGGTGTTAAAGTGAAGTAGGGGGTTACGGTATTTAAAACTAATATTAGGTTTTGCGGTCCTTTACTTTCTTCGCTTTTTCTTGTTCTTGTTATTGTTCTTCAGTTGTTTATTTCATTTATTTATTTTTTTACTTATTTACTTATTTACTTTTCTTGTTTACTTTTTTTTATTTAATTGTTTGTTTACTTATTTGTTTACTTGTCTGTTTATTTATTATTTATTTGTCTAGTTATCCAGTCTGTAATTTTTATGCTCTACTATACTCTCCCTTTTTATCGATATCTCCCTTGGTCTCTGTATGTTTCCTTTCGTTCTTTTCTTTATCCGCGGGAAACTGTGCAAGTTACCTCCTCTTCTTCTTTTCCTTCTTCTCCTCTTTAGTAAGTTGGTTTATTCTGTATCTGATTCCTGGTTCGGAACCATGGCCTATAAGACTACGGAGTGAATGCGGAGGTGTTAGATGCCGCTATTCTTATGTTTGGTTTTTAGTTTGCGACAATTTCCACGTCTTCTACTCTAGGCTTTTGGTCAACAACAGTCACTGACGGCACACTAGCATCACAGTCCGTCTGGTATATTCTACAGATTTGCCAGGCTGAGAAAGTGGCTAGTAAGCTGTCAGCGTGGCTAGTGACCTTCATTTATGCCGCGGCTGGTACTGGAGGGATTGGGGAGTCTAGACCTGCTTATAGTCCCACACCCCAAGAACCTTAACCAGCAAAGACGTGCTGGAAAAGTAGGCATGACGCAAACTGAGGTCTAACTGGCAGTGTAGTTGGCAGGCACAGCAGTGTCCGGTAGCACGAGGCGCGATCCTGTCTCCAGAATCTAGAACGTCGGAGCCTGAACCGAGACAAGTTGCTCGCGTCGGCGCTTACATTTGATTGGGCGCTTGTCTGATGGAGAGGCTGTCAAGGCCGTCGACCGACCGAGACCGTTGCGGTTGTAGATCCTTTTTGCGGGAGCAGACGCGCGCTGACGCAACGGGGATCGGGAGGCGTTACGGCTGAGGCTCCCGCGGGCTGTGCTCTCCATGTGGTATATCTTCTCACGCACAACCCGCCCTCGAGGATGTCGTCCAAAGTGGATTTTACATTCTATCTCAATCATCCTTCTCGAAACACTCACTCTTATTACCGTATCTTTTACAAGAATTCCAATCTGTGCGACCATGCCACCACCACCAAGCAGTAAGTCACTGACCAATCAAACATCCCTCTTCCCACCTCCCCCTGTCTCCGCGCTAACCACAACAAGGCACACCCCGCCTGCCCTATCCTGCTCTCGCCTCCGCACCCGCACTTTCGTCATTAGCTCCCGCTCCCGCTCTCGCTTCTACACAGCCCCAGATCCCTGATCCCGATCCCGCTGGCTGGTCCACTGAGGCTAAGCTCGCGCTCGCCGCGCTGGTTGTCAGCGTCCTTCTCGCTGCTGTACCGTTGGTCGCGCCTTGCGTCGTGCCGGTGCGCTGGCGGGTTTGGGGACTGTATGGTCAGTGATGCTTTCTTTTTTCACTGTTTATTGTTCGTGCATTTTGCTAAGAAGGATGAAAGGAAAACAGAAGACGAACTCTCAGACGGTAATTATCACAATTACGACAACAACGACTGTGTTGCCGACCTCGAGGCTGCTAAATACCATACCGACGCTGATTCCTCAAACGGTGATGTTGTTGCGCTGCGCATTCTGAGGGCATCATCGCATGTTGAAGTGGTTGAGTGGACGGCACGCTCGAGTGCTGTGCGGAGCGGCAAGAGTGTCAGCGGAGGCGGGGTGCAGCGGAGGGGCAGGGCAGAGCGCGGTAAGACGGGGTGTTTTACTCGGGCTATGGCGGCAAGGCCGGGCTGGGTTTGGCGGGGAGCTCGGTTGTGATAAGCCAGTTAGTTGGTGTAAGATGTAGAGTGGATGTAAATATAAAGTGGACGCGTTAGCGCTTCTCAGGTTTGGTTTATTTTCTAAACCCACTTGCCTATATATGATTCTCGAGCTATAAGCTTGATTTTAGATATTGACTCTTTTGTATAGAGCAAGTCCCGTAACTGCACTGCTTCACTAAGTGAATGAATGTTTAGCATCTTCCGATTGCGCACTTATTCAACACTTTCCGATATCGCCCTTATGCCGTAGATGGCTAGAAACGGATGCGATCCAATTAAATCAGTTCCATCGCACGTAAGCAAGTGCTAGACCAGCTGGCTGTCCCCAAGTTGGACCAATAAGCTGTTTCAGTATTCACCATTGGCGTCACCGTGCGTCCAATCAGTCGTACAGGCACACCTGTGCTATGCAGGCTAGAATGTTGCGGCTCAAGGTGCAATCAAACAACTAGCTTTGCTCGTATCGGTATTTCTGCTATGTGGCGATCGCTTCTCGACATACTTAAAGATAATCGATTTGATCATCCTTGATCTTGCTCTTTACACTTGACATCGTCGGAACTTCACTTTCCCACTTTTCCCAACAAACTATTTGAACTCCAGCTTAGATTATGCCACCAAACGGTATACAATCCAACCTACTATTCGTCAGTGCAACACGCGCTAACCCGAACAGGGACATACATGTCGTATACAACTTCTGCTTCATCTACGCCCAAGCATGATCTAGAGGATCTAGAGAAAGATGGATGGTCCAAGGGGACAATTATTGCCCTTGTCACTATCTTCGTTACGATTTTTATCCCCGTTACGACATTTCTCGTACACCGAGTGGCGCCAACTTATTTGCCGCGTTGGTGTGTACGAAATTGTAAAGGTCAGCTTATACTTATTTCCTTTCCCTCCTCTCTTCCAATTTTTCTTCTTTCTTTGACATACTCTTGTCTTTATTCTCTTTCTTACCTCCACTGAGTTACTGTTCACTCCCTTTCCAATTTTGTCTTGCCTGTTCCCCTTTCCCATTCCACTCGCCTTCTCTTCATACCACAGTACCTCTTCCCGATCCGAAAAAATCACCCTGGCACCCATTGCACCTAGAATACTGCCGTATATTCAGCAAACCATTTACTAAGGGCGTACTTAAGATACACCAACCTCTTCCACTTCTTCTTTCCCTTCATCTTCAATCGACCTCGAAGCCGGAACCCACTCTACTGATTCCGTCGACACTACCACTCTCCACGTTCTATGGTCTTACGAGTCCCCGTTCGAAGCCTCCCGCACCGAAGCCTTTGAATGGGGCGCATTATCTGCCTTGCGGACGCGATGGCCACGTGAGACACTGGCCTGGGAGTAAGCCCATAATGATATTGGGGTTTGGTCGAATAAATTCGGTACGCATTTTGCATCTGGTTCCCCCAACGGCTCCAGATGCTCTGTCGAATTTCTGGATAGCGAATGTAGGAAATGTTGGTCCAAGAAGGTCGCTCTCACTGTTTGTTTTCGTACACTTCAATGAAGATATACACTACTCTTTCTTGTTCTATAACATGTGTGCTGTGCTTGAAGAGATGGAGAGCCCTACCGGAAGGCATATTTGCTGATGTATTAGTTAAAGTTCTTCCATATGTTTAGCTTATGAGTTTCGGTTAGTCTGACGCGCGAATGTGGTTGGATCGTAAATGCGATTCCATGCACACAAGTAGAGTGTGTTGTGGGAGTTTTAATAAAAAGTTACGGCCATCGGAACAGCCGCAAGACGGAAGAACAGAAAGCTACAGAACCGAAAAAGCAGCTGCTAGCCGAAGAAGCGAGCCTAGGGGTCAGTCAGATCCCAGGACCGCCGCAACGGACTACAGCGACACCCATGCTTAGCCTCGCCTCAACGCGTTGATGCGAAGGGTGACCGGTGTACTTTCAGCTGGGTGTGGCGGTCCGGAAGCGAGGATCGACTGCTGCTGGGCTGGGGTGTGTACGTGCGTGCGCGCGTGTGTGTATGTGTGTGTCTCAGATGCGTCTGAAGGTGTGGCCACGTCGGAGTTGATGCCTTTACAGGTATAACATGAGAATCAGCAGAAATCTTTCTAGTTTAGGTTTAACGCTTGCCTGGAATAACTACTCCTAGCTTGAGGTAGTTAGAGAATTACCGAAAACACTACAGTTATACACATTCAAAGGGCATCAACTCCGACGTGGCCACACCCTGTATGTAAGCCTGCCGCAGCCACCTTTGTTTCCACGCGCACGCTCCAAGTCGGCAGTGACTCACGCAAATGAAAGAAAGCACACATACTTGCGTGCCTTCGACTGTAATCATACTGTTCTCTGAGTTAGATGGCAGATCTTGTTGTGTCTCTGTCACAAAACCACTGATAGCTAGGTAATATCACCTACCAGGCTGAGATTGAGGCTGGCGAGTTAGCGTGATCAGTCACCACCCTTCCAGAAGCATGAGAAGCACCTCCAACGAAATGATGGCCCCCAATGAAGCTCTCTTGTACCTACTGTTGCTTTCCTTTTTCATCTGTACCCGGGCCAGCGCAGCAACCTACAGAGTAAACAGATGAAAGAAGACGGCGGTAACTAGCAGGGGTGCCCGCCGGCAAGACTGTGTACGATTGGGTGACGTCGCCGCAGCAGGTCGATAGATGCACAGCCACCGCGAAGCAGGCAACTTGCGTGGGTGGGCGAGGCTGATACGGAGTAGTTGCGGCCGGGGTTGCAGGGGAGTCCTCGCATCTGGGGGTAGTCGAAGCGAGCATCCAAAACCGAACAACCCTGCCATCGACCTACTACTCACAGACATCGCTCGGAGGTCGCGAGCGTATCAAGGCCTCTAGGTGAGAAAATAGAATTTTATTAGTTAAGCAAAGAAAAATAAATAATAATAAAAGAAAAAGGTGTGTTACCGATAGGTAGCACCAACACGCGGAGGATAAACGCATGGTCCTGTTTGATTTTGACTGCAAGCCCCTGCGCTGCGTACTGGAGGGTGGTGGGCCGGGAGGTGAGATAGAAACCCTTATGCTAGGCGAATAGTAGTGGGCGGGTGTGCGGGACGGGGCAGGGTGGCAGGCTGGCTGGGAAAAAGCAAAAAATGAATGTGAACGGTCCGTTTGCCTTCCCATGCTTTCGCCCACAGGCCAACAGGGCCCTTCACATAAAACAAGAGCTCGTAGCCCACCCTCACTCAAATTACCCTTCACCACCACACAGCGTTTCTTCCTTGCTCTTAAGACCCAACACCGTCTGCCCATCTACTACTTTCAGACCAGCTCTATCGACCATGCCACCAAACGGTACGCAACCCCCATTACGTGGTGCTGCTCAAGATGTCTTGGTCCTTCAACACATCATGTATCGATCGAAAATCCTCAAGACGGCTTGTCTTTGCTGCAATAGGCCCGGGATGCATGAGGTTATGCTTCGCATACCTACTGCAACCACAAGGCAACGGCTTGACCGGTCGAGGGTAGCGACCAGTCCATCCCAAGCAGCACCACCCACACCACCCACTCCCCCCCCGTCAGACGCTAACCCAATCAGGAACCCGCCGCCAGCCTTGCAGCACCTCGGCACCCACCTCAACCCCAACCTCTTCTGAGTGGTCCATAGAGGCAATCCTAGCTCTTGTAGCCGTGCTCCTCGCCGTCTTAATCCCTGTCGTGACGCTCCTCGGCCGCCGCTATATTGTTCCGCTTCTCTGGCGCGCGCGGGGCGCCACATCTGACAGTCAGCCCCCCTGTTCCCTGTTCCCTGTCCCTATTCCCTGTCCCCCCTCCCCGCACCAGACGCAGTATGATTAATATGCGCCCCCAGACCCATCTGATCCCTCCTCCTCCTCTTCAACTACCGACCTCGAAGCCTGCGACCTCTCAGACGACGCCACCGACCACGCCCCCGAAACAATCGCTCTGCACGTCCTCCTCTTAGAATACGAATCGCCGCTCGAGGCCTCCCGCACCGAAACCTTCGAGTGGGGCGCGCTGTCAGCGCTGCGGGCGCGACGGCCGCGCGAGGTCCTCGCGTGTGGATAACAACGAACGTTGGACGTTGGACGTTGGACGGGATGGACGGACGGAACGGGGCGGGACGGGGCGGGACGGCCCGAAACATCTATGGCGGAGCGGAGCGGAACGAACGGGGACCCGGCGGAGCGGGATGAGGAAACAAGATGTGCATTTCTAAGGACAACCACCACTATCATCACCACCTCACCGCACGCCCCTCTCGACGACTCCCCTCGCCCTCTCCGCCACCACAGCCCTCAGCTCTTCGACCGCCTCCCGCCCTAACCATCTAAACCGGCCTCCATCGCTCTCCGCCCTCTCTGCCCACCTAAACAATAAGCGCAACTGCTCCAGCTGCGCGCGCTCGACCGCGCTCCCCGCCGCCCGCCGCAACACCAACCGATCATCCACCGCAGACCCCTTGGCCTCGACCGCGGCGCCCTCGCCCAAAAGCACCAGCCCCGCATCCGCCTTGCTCAGCCCCCCCAGCGCCCGCAGCCCAAACACCCAGTGCCAGAGCAGGCGCGCCCCCGCGCCCCCCAGCGCCGCCTGCTTGTCGTTGAGCGCCGCCAGCGTCGCGCTGAACGTGCTGGCGTGCGCTTCGTGCGCAGGCCGCCGCCGCACATGGACCGTCTGCGCGCGCGTAAACGCCGCCAGATGCGCCGCATTGCGCGCAAAGTCGAGCGTCACGGGCCAGAAGTCCGGGCTCGTGGTGCGGATGGCTGCGATTGTGTCGAGCGCTGGCAGCAGACACGGCGCCGTCGCGTCGTGCCCTGCCCCGCTCTTGAACTCGATCCGGATCGGCAGCGAGATGGCGCGCCGCGTCTCGACGTCGCGCACCACGATGCAGCGCGGCTCGGCGGCTAGGGTCCAGAAGTGGCGGAATGCCTGCAGATGTGCCTTGTTGTCGAGCACGTCGGTAGGGAACAGCGGGTAGAAGGCGCATACCAGCGCCGCCACGGCCAGGTTCGACGTCCCGAACGTGTATGATCCGCCTGCCAGGAAGAGTGCGCCCAGCGCCATGTGCGCCGCCATGTGGCTTCCGTACGGCGTGTCGGGCGACACGCGCCCGTGGAGCAGCCGCAGCCGCCGGAACACGATGATGTCGCCAGTGCCTGCCATGACGGTCGCTGCCGCCAGGGCAACAAGGTCCTGGCAGTTGCGAATCGTGTTGCGTGCTAGTCGCGCATCGTAGCGGACCGCAGGCAGGTGCGTGAGGCGGATGAACTGGTCAAGGTACTCGACAAGGAAATCTCGGACGCCGATGTCGCCAGTGCCGGCGTACTTGAGACTTATGGCCCAGAGGAGACCCGCTAGAATGTTGTAGAATGGCATATGCTGACTGCGAAGGGACTTGATATCCTTGAGCTGGTAATTAATGGCGTATGGCTCCGGAAGGTTCTTGATGATCCACTGGTGGCTAGCCTCGATGCCGTTCCACATGATAATGTGCTTGGCGAGCGTCCTGAGGAGGAAGATATCTGGACGGATGTAGTCGAACTGCGGAAGCGTGTCCGGTACGTCTATCTTTCTAGCAACTCTGAAATTCTCAGTCTTCATGAAGATAAGTGCGACTGCAATTACAGCACCAGCTGTTGCTTGATCCAATATATGGACGACATCAACCGGCCTTGGTCCGACTGCAATGGCCAGGAGGCGCTCGACAACACGCATGTCGTGCAGACCCTTAAGATCATTGCCTTTGCCAAGGTTGATGAGACCAAGCGAGAAGCCTGCTGCGAGTCTATAGCCCTCATCTCGAATGTTATCCGGCGGGCTAGACGGGTCTTCAAGCTCGACATGTTCGATTTCTGAGAGCATAATCTCGCTCATCCTCCGATGCTGGCTGTTGAGATACAACAAGCCGATGCCCATTAGGCCCGTCGTCTGTGCCAAAGGAGGGAGATTCAGGTCGGCGGCGCCAGGAGGAAGCATGCGCGTGACATGCACCGAGAGCAACCTTGTAACCAGTGTATCCATAGTACCCATATAGGAAACAGAAAGACCGAGGAGCAAGCCAATAGACGTCATGCTATGCTTCGGAGTGAGGTATTTGAAAGAGAGCCATTTGGCTATGGTTTTGAGGTGTCCATTGAGACCAAGGCCGAACAGCAGCCCAGCGTGTTTGTTGCTAAGTTCCACTGGCTTGTTATAGGCTATCCAGGAGGTATCGATGCCCTCGGCGCGCCGGGATACACTCAAGCCAGCAGACACCCCAGCATGGAAGAATGCCCAGCAGAACCTCTCTTCCGTGTAAGTGCTACGGTCCGCACTGACGGTGTTGTTGAGAGGTTTCATAGTGCACAGCGTGGTGAAACCATTGAGAGGAAACTTCTCCGTGACGAGAGGTCGCTTGCTGTCGAACTGTAGCATGGAATGACCGGCGGGAAGAGCAAAGGTTCTTATCATTACCCATTGCATCACACTCTTCTGGGCCTCCAGGTGGTCCGATTCGCTCCATGACGGATCGGGAATACACTCGGCAACAGCAGGCCTCAAGGGTTCCAGGAGACGAAGTGCTTCAATGTACCTTCGGTCTTCACTGAAGATCAGACGAGTGATCATATGCCGATCTGCTTCGGAGGAACTGGCTGTAGCATCGTTTACGTCTGTTGACTGGCAAATGCTTCGAACATCGCGGTTCGCAACAGCATTGGCGGACTGAAGTCGTTAGCAAGGATACTGATGATTTATAGTGTGACTACTCACTGGTTGTGGGATCAAACTTGGTGACCATCCAATGTCCTGTTTGGTTAGCATGTGCAGATCTTCTCTGCCGACAGTGTCAAGAAGCTTGACGCCCCAGGTCGTTGGTGGGTTAGCTTGGCATTCGACAATAGCTTCACGAAGCCCAGAGACGACTGCCGGTGGGAAGGTTTCCAGCATGCGATTGTCGATGCCACTCTCCAGCATAGTCTCAACCTGGAAGCTTGCTGTCTGCTGGCCGCTGCGTATCTTCAGAAGATATTTACATAGCGCCACCGTCCGCGGGGTCATCATAGTTACAACTTGCGCCATAGACTGTGAGAGATGCGGAGACAATACTTTGTCTTGTTGACCAACCAGCATGTCAAGTGTTGGAAACTGTTGGAAGGCTCGAGAGTCGAGCATCTTTTCTAACCACTCAAAGACAGATGGGGGCTTATCCCATGGCGGCGAGGGTGTTGTTACTGCCGTAATGGAGTCTGAGAAGGTTAGTGGATATTCATGTGAATGTTCACACGGTATGCCCTCTGTATGAAGCAGACACTAGCCCTAGAAGGCGACAAGAGGAAACTCACTATCTTCAAAAACCCATCGATCTTGGTCAGCCCCATCAAGACCGTAGACACTTCCTTCCTTCCAATTCCAAGACGCCCAATCCAGCCAATGTCCAAGTTGCGCTAGAACAGGAGCTAGGTTACCCGTTTCGGATGTGCGGAAGTCCTTTGCCAAGACATCAAGCTTCGTCTCTTCGCGCAAGAGATGCAGTGCCACCGCCAATGCTGGTAGATATGAGGCGTGCTCATCTTGGTGCTTTGACCGCGTCGATCGACTTGGCTTGGGAATGAGCGCTTGGCCCAAAGGCTCTTGTAAGAAGTCTCTAGCTGCTCGGGCACAGAAAGGGATGAAGTCGCTCTTCCTTCTAATGCCATGGCTTGGCGTCTGAAAGACTGTTGATCGGCGAGAAGATGACGAAGTTGCCCTCGAACCCTTTGAGGACTGCGCTAACTTCTGCTCAACCCAACTCCATGCAGGACCGTCCCAACTTTTGGCCGCATGATCCAGGGCCTGATACCGCCACATGTTTTCGACAGGATCATCCTGCTTGAAATCTCTCTTTGCTCTCCGAGGTGTGTGGATGCTTTCGAAGGAGTGTGCAGCATCTGTCAAACGTACCGTCCTGCCGTCAATGCTACTAACAGCGAACGTGAAGATAGCAGCCACCAGTGCAGCCCACTCCACGTCAAACCTCTTCTCTTTGCGTAGATTCCGCGCAATGTTCCACCAGATAGCTAAGAAATGTTCACCCTGTGGCGCAGGCAATACAAACCGACATACTTGCATGGCCTGAGCCACAATATCGTTCTGGGGCCATAAGCGCATCTCGAACCGGTGCTGCCGGCCGTTTTCCTCTTGAATGTCAAACATGCCGTCGGTATTTGAACAAGCCAGCCCTACAAGCTTTCTAGGCAAGTCTATTATTATCGTGGAATCATCCCATGTCCCGTAGCCGGATAGTCCAACTTCGAGATCGTATGGATCGGATCGCCTCAGCTTGTTCGGAAGGTCGAGCGAAAGACGTGCCCGAGCACACCAACCGGCGTGCAGTGAAAGCACATGGCCTGTCGACCCGCCGCGGCCCAAAAAGAGAGCCCGTTCGATTCCATTTTCGGAAATTTTGGAGGCATCTATACACCCCTTGTGTCGTTGTGTGTTGATAGGGGAGGGTATTAAGACGCTGGGAGGATCCTTGCTCTGCTGCTGGGCCCCGGTTGATATGGCGCTAGTGCTAAGACGCCTTCGTTGGACGGTAAATTCATGCTCTATCAGTTCACCACTTGTCTTTTGCATCATGTACAGAAAGAAGCGTCCGTCAATCGAGTAATGTTCTGTAAAGGAGGTGGGTGCTTTTAACGTGAAAACTTTTGGGAGGTCCTAGAGAAGGAATCAGTACACCATTGACGCACACTTATGGGCGGCTGCATATCCGGTTTGACCACATACCTTTGAGGTGTTTGTCAAAGCGGAATGAAAAATGTGCTCTGAGTTGCCGAATTGTATTTCAGAGAATCTTATCAAGACCATTTCTCGGCGCAAGCCCTCTATCGGCTCTTGCAGACTATTGGCGAAGCCGTCGAGATCGCCACCAAGGAGATCTTCTGGAAATTCAGTGTCCTCCTGGGTATCATCATTGCCGAGCAAATCATCGTCGAGATTGTCCTCTAGCGATACAGCGCTCAAGCTGAGAGCTGAAATCTCACCTGGCGTGGACGCTCTAGTTTTTCGACTAGTAACACCAAGGCTACTCCTGCCGGTGTATCCACCAAAAGATTGCCCTCTACGTCCACCTGGCCCAAAGCTTCCGCTGAGACTGCTTCGACCATGCGTAGCAAGATCTTGAAATGCCGACTTGTCAAAGCTCGTGGACAGATCCGCGCGGGAAAGAAGTGAGCTGACACGCCTCGAGTCCCTACTCGGCTGTCTTGAAAGGTCTGTCTCCGGATCTAGTTGGGAAGCAAAGGCCTCTTCCGCGCTTTGCTCCTGGCTGGGCTCTCTCGTTTGGCTTGCCGTAAACGACGATGTACTGAAGCGGCTAGGTCCTCCAAGACTCTCTCTTGCTCCATCTCTAGACCTCAAAGCAGGTGTGGTGCTTCCTGTGCCTGGGTTGAAGGAGCTGCGCCGCCTGGAGCGATTGACAGAGATAGTACCATTACGATATCCTTTCTTGGCAGAGGCAGGCCTAGGCTCGATGTAGGATGCGTACCACACAGAGTACACTCGTCTCTCATAATTTGCAGTAACAACCAACATAAGAGGTTTATCTGTCGGGGCCGCTGCTTCACGCATCTCATTCTGCGTAGTTACATATAAGACCTCCTCTGCCTTGTCAATAGGTTCGACTGTCCTTGCATGTGAAGGTCTGGAAGATAGCGACCTGCGGTTGTTTGAGGTTTGAGCTGTAACAACCAACCCCATCTCGGAGAAGGGATCCGTAAATGAGAATAAACGTGGCAGTCCATCTGCAGCTGGAGTAGTACCAATCTTGAGGAGATCTGCGAGCGAAGGAGGATATGGGTTGCCTGTTTTGGACGCATGCTTCCGTGGTGTCATGAACGAAGGCGGCCTTGGGGAGAACAGTGGCTGTGACGATTGTGAAGGAATTTGGGAGAAGAAAGAGTTTGGTGGAGCTTTTGGCACGACTGGACTAGCAGGTGGAAATTCGGACGTGGTGATCTTTCTTTGAATGAGCAGACCACGCGGCGCCGGGAATGCGCGCTCCACCTCAAAAGGCAGATTGACCACATGGCTTGACCCGGAAAGAAAGAAGACATGAGCCTGAGTCCTGAGGAAGACGACGAGTGCGCGTGAACGCTTCTTTGGCTGTGAGACTCCATCTTCTCCCACGGCGCCGGCAGCATGGCGATTCGAGGTTGGCTCGACGACTCCTCCATTTTTGGCGAAGAATGTACCGGGGCCATGATCCTGGCGCAAGTCTTGTGTGGTGTTGCGCACCGCAGTCGCTTCGTCGGACGGGAACCAGGTCAGGACGGCCTGCAGCACCTTTTCCTTCTCCACCTCAAAGTTGTAGACCTTGCGCACAATGCCACCGCGCGACCAGACCACACAGTAATCGGTCGAGGTGACGTCTTCCTCGCCGCCATCGTCATGGTAGGTGTCCCAGGTGTACTGATCGGGCGCGGCGTCGGCAGGCAAGATTCTTTCGGCAATCAGGTAGCTGAGGGCTGCGGGGGCGTGCAGGCCCAGGGAGCGGAGGGAAGCCATGGAAGGTCGGGGGCGGACATGTGGGAGGGCGAGGGTGGAGTGCGGCGCGGCATGGTGGTTTGTGTTTGGCTTTGGCTTTGTGGTTCGCGGGGAGACGCGCCGGGCAAGAGCTTGAGCTTTCCCACTCAAAGTGCGACAGCAAACAGCTTAGAGCTCCCAACGGCGAGTCTACAGTAGAGCTAATTTATTCCTTACACAGTTTCTCGGGCTTGGTCTTGGTCCTGTCCGGACGCGTCCAACATCTACGACAGTGAAAATCGTCCGTGCATCGGAGCTTAAGCTGTCCATCCTCCGCAGCTTCTGAATTCCTGCATCGCAACCACCGCCATGTCTGCACCCTTGACGCCGCGCGTGTCGCGCAAGTCTAAGCTGCTCCACCTCAGGTTTGTCGTCTCCGCATTGTCTCTTGCCTTGCCCTGTTACTGACTGCAGCTTTGTAGCTACGATCTCCCGCACCGCGTCAATGTCGCCGGCATATACCCCAAACAAGCCCCCAATGGCTCAACCGTCATCGTTTACGGACATTCCAACGGCCTGCGCATAGTATGGAGGGGTGGTCGCCCGCTCAAGACCCGCGCTGCCGTCAACGACGACGAGCCCAAGGTCAACGGCACCTCTAAGGATGTTGTTATGGTCGATCTCACCGACGACGACGACGACGAAACACCGCAAGCACCTTCTCAGCCCGCCGCCCAGGATGCAGAATTCGAGCCAGATGAGGATGAGCAGGATGAAGCAGAGCCTTATCCGCGAGTTGTGCAGCATCTCGACCTCCCGCTGGGCACCGAGGTTCTCTATTTATCGTTCCCTCACATTCCTTCCGTGTCGCCTTACCGGCCCGCCGACTCGATACCACCCATATTCAACCAGAAAATAGTATTCTCTGTGGCCTGCGCCGACTCTAGCGTGCGCGTTATCACCCTGCCGCTTCTTCCTCCGTCCGAGGCTCGGAAAGCTGCCGACCCCAGCAAGCACAAAGCACCCTACGGCGAACAGATCTTGCGTATCGAGGGCCAGCATGGCCATCAGGTCATACCGAATGCTGTCTCCATGACATGGAGCTCTCGCGACCCGGAAGGCATCTTTGATGATGTTGATATGGACGTTGAGGAATCGGACGAGGAGGACGGCCCACGCCGGCGGAGACGTATTGGATCGGCGGAAGATGAAGTACGAGAGTGGGATCTCTTTGTGGCCTCACATTCCAACGAGCTCTCTGGATTACTGCACATTTTCTGCATCCCGCTGATCTCTAATGGAGACCTTCAGTCATTGTCCACCGACCCCATCTTCCCCTACAGGACGCAGTACCTTTCTTCCCCCGCCTCTCATATCGCTTTCAGTTCGGCACAATACCCTAGTCAACGGCATCTACAGGTTCTTGCTGTGGACACAAAAGGTTCTGTGAGGATTTACGATCCACTCGCGCCAATCCGGATGCGCCCGCGGTCATCACGCTCTGTCAACACTGATGAGTCCAGATTAGGTGCATGGGTTGCCGCCTTTTCGACAGGCTTTGAAATGCCCAAGCAATCCAAAACCGGACCACCTGGTCTCGCACATCGCAGGCGCATCCTCGACGCCAAATGGACATCCGATGGAAAGAGCATCCTGGCTCTCCTTTCCGACGGTGAATGGGGTGTCTGGGACGTCGACGGCTCCGGTCCTGGTGCTTCTCGCACCAAAACCGTTTCTACTTTCGCGATTCGTGGCTTCATCAGCGGCACCACCCAAGCCACGACCTCAACCGTTGCTCCCACCAAAACCTCCGGCAGCTTCAAATCCCTGGCCCTTGCACCCATGACACCTAATACGCGTCGCGCCAAGGAAGAGAACCTGTTCCATGGCCCAGCAACGGCCCCCACAAATAACGATACGCCTCGCGGTGGCATCTCTGTTTCCACCTCAGTGAACAACTCCACTGGGGCAGTGGAGGATTCTGTAGTCCTCTGGTACGGCGACGAGGCCTTCCGCATTCCACATCTTCAGCAGTTCTGGGCGCGTTCCGGTAGCAGCACGCTGTACGGGCCCGGTCTCACGAAAGTCGATGGATTGAACTTGCAGGGCGAGATGATTGGCGGAATTGAGCAATTTGCACGCAAAGCCACCGAGGCACGCATGGGAATACCACGCGACCTTCTCATCAGGAGCGAGAGTCGACTGATTGTTCTGGCGCACAGCAGTCCCTCGAAACCAGCAAGCGGTGGTAGCAGCCTGTTCGCTAAAGAGTTGGAAGAACGCCAGCAGGAGGACAAGATCGACCGCGATCTGCTGAAGAGAGGCGAGCTGGACCTGGGCGGCATGGACCGCCTACTAGAGGGAATGACTGGCGGTGCCGGCGAAGGGCCCGTCAGGAGAGTTGGATTCACGGGCTTGGCCTCGTCGAGGTAGGGTGCGCGCCTTCTGGAAGAAACGTTTGATATACCCCAAAAGCTAGAGATCCCATCCCCATGTCCTTTTTCTTCATACAGTCAAGTCTGGATACCATGTTTTTCTTGTTGGTTGGCGAGCAGCTTTGGGTCGTTAAAGAGGCTTTTCATGGGTATACGCGGCTGGGTCCTACCTGCCTGCTTGTACTCTTAACGTTTGAAAAGAGGAAGGAGCACTGTAACCAGCCAACGCTAGCAGGCGCCGGCCTGCATTTCTCCTTCTTCAACACCCTCAACATCTCCGCACCCAACCCCCTCCGCCCTTTTTCCAACCCACCCACACCCCATCCCACCACCCCCTCTACCCCCCTTATTCCTCTAAGCACACATTCGCGTGTCAAGGTGGAGCACAAGGTCAAGCACCTCCTTGCAGCTCAGTATTCCACGCGATAGAACAAACCGCCCAGCGCGCGCTACCCGCCTGCTAAGTGCTCTCACTACATAGCAGCGCGGGGCGCCGCTGCGGCAGCCACACCTCCACCCACCATCCACCACAGCGCATACAACGCTGCTGCTGATGGCGGTGGGCTCCCCACTCCTTTTCCTGTCGCGTCTGCTCCTGTTCCTGCCCTTCTTCTTCTCCTGTTAGAGCTTTGTGCGGCGTGCCGCCTACCCTGTACTTGAGCGTTGGTGGTGGCATTGCTGCTGCTGGCGTGAGGACGGTAAGGAGGCGGCCGCTGCGCGTTGTGGGAGAGGGAGGAGGGAGGAAGGGAGGAGTGGATGCGCGGGCGCGTGTGCGCTCGTTGCTTCCTGCCTGCTGCTAAGGCTGTGGTTAGGGGGCGTGGGCTGCGTGCGTGGGAGGCGGGGGGGATGGGCTGCTACATTTTTTCTTCTTCTTGTGGTTGTGTGACGTGTATGTATATGGTTGTTTGCGGGTGTGAGCGTGCGTTGTATGCGAATGTGGCTGCGGTGTCGATGCTGTTGCCTACCTACCTATTTGATACCGTTCGTTCGTTCGTGTCCTTGTCTGTCTCGGCCTGCTTTTGTTTTTATATATGTCTACGTGCCCTACTGTAGACAATCACCGTAGGCAGGCAGCTCACGACAGCGCTCGCTGAATTGGCAGCAGCTATCGCGCGTAATCAATCACTTCATCACGCATCACAGCGTGCGTATACACGAGTAAAGAGATTGATTCAAGGCCGACTAAATCCACCAACAACAGCAGGGTATATATCCTCTCTAAAAAACATCGTCCATATTGACATCGGCCGTCGCAGCAGCAGCCGCAGCAGTCGCAGCCGGGGCCGGCACGCCCGTAGCAGCCATCGTCGCGCTCGACAGCGGCATGTCCTTGCCGCGGACCTCGTCGGCGACAAACACGCCAAAGCCCGCAAACGCGTCGCACAGCGCGCGCGTGTAGTACTCCTTGAGGTCGTAGCCGCCGGCGCCGAAGCGCGCGTCGGTGCGCACGTCGTTGAGCCAGTTCCAGTCGTAGTGCTCCTGGAGGACGTAGTGCGTGCGTGCGTCGGAGTCGCCGCCGAAGGGGTCGTAGGGCTTTTCGGGGGCGGGCAGGACGCGCTTCTTGAGGCCCTTGATGTGGAAGCCGGAGTCTGGGGCGGCGTCTGTGTCTGTAGGCGCGGCCGCCGCGGCTGCCGCCCGAGAACCGACCTTGTTGCCTGCGGCCGCGGACGAGCGCTTGAGCGTGACTTTGGGCGCTTGTCGCGCCCGCGCTATCGCTTCCGGGTCGCCTTGCCCGCTCGCCAGCTGGTTCAGGATGTTGTGTCTGCCCTCCTGCTTTTCGCGACGGACTTGCTCCGCCTCGGCGACGGCGGCTTCGCGGCTCATGCGCGCGCGCTCCTGCTGCGCTGCTTGCGCCTCCTGCCACGCGGAGGCCTCCTCGGTGGCGATGTTTTCGTTTTCCTTGATGGCGGCCTGGTTGGCCTGGGCGTAGGCCTTGAGGCGGGCCTCGGCCTTGTCGACGTTGATGTTGTTGATGAGGTCGTAGGTGATGTCCTCGACGTCGTTGAGGTAGTCGTTGTACGCGTCGAGCGTCTCGAACTCGTCTTCGCGCCGGTTGAAGATGGCGTGCACCCGGCGCCGGATGTCGACCTCGCGCTCCACCTGGATGTCCTCGAATGTCTTGGTCCGGAACCGGTTCCTGCGCAGCGTCCTGCCGCACCCGGCTATGGGACAGGGCGCCGGCCCATGCGAGTATTTGCGGTCCACGCACGACTCGCACATCTGGTGGTAGCATTCCGGGTTCACGAGGAAGCGCATGTTCGGGTTGAGGTAGCGCGACGACTTGCACACGGGGCAGATGTCGCCGTCCTCGCCGAGCCCTTTGACGGCCGGTCCGCCGCGCGGCGCTGCTTTGGACATGGTGATGGGGCGCGCAGATGTTGTGGCCAAGTATGTTCGTTCAGGTGCGACGGGGATTCGTGTGAGGCCGGGAAGCGTGTCCTGTGAGTGATGTGGTGGAGAAGTTGGTAGTATTTGTAGGTGGGCGTGGCGGGTTGGATGAAAGATAAACGGTGGACGGAGCCACGGGAGCTTCTTTGAGCGCGAACATCAGCCACTTCCACTTCGCCCTCCGACACAACCCTCACAATCTGAGGCGGGGTACGCGTGTTATCGAGCAGATGTGCGCCGAGTACGAGGAGGCATTGGACTAGTTGCGTGTGGACCAGAGGAGCGCTGCTGGGCGTTGATGTCGAGCTCCGGGTAAGTACGCGCGAGTCATGTCGGCGGGGGTGGGGAAACCCTCCCACCCGCAACCAGTTGGCATAGATATATAAAAAGTGAATTTCCAAATGAAGCTATCACGCCTAAGCTAAGCTCATGGAGCAAGGCCATCCATGCCAGCTTAAATCCTTGCCCTGCACACTCCTCCCTCTGTCACGCCATGATTTTTCCAGCCATGCTACTCCTATACTCCCCTAAAGCAAGATAAAAAGCAAACTTCCCCTCATGTAGCAATCTCAGGCCTCTCCCATCCGGACTCCTTCGTCATCCACATACCCTCACTCTACGCCGTCCGGTTCAGCGGATCAAAGCGCATCTTGAACAGCTCAATCTCGCGCAGACACACCGCAGCAGCAACGTACTTCCAGCTGCGCAGCTCGCCCACGCGGCGATTGACGACGCGCTTAGGGCCCAGCACCGCTACGGCCAGACACGCGATCGAGCGTGCGAGCGCCTCGTCCCGATCGCCGTCGTCGCCCTGCGTGATGCGCTCCACCGTGAAGGCGACATCGCGCTCGAAGCGCTCATTCATCGCCGTCGTGATCTCACGCACCCGCTTGTTCATTCCGCCCATCGATTTGCCGATGATGTTGCCTCCGAAGACTTCGAGCTCGCTGAGCGGGTATTGCGGGTGCGTGCTGTAATCGCTCATCACGTCGAGGAGGTTGCTCTCGTATGTCTCGCGGATTTCTGCAGTGCCGTCAGTGTCGTGTTTGTATGTGCCAGAGCCCTTGTAGACTTACCTCGTGCTAAGTCACTGTAGCTTTCCCACTGAATGAGCTGTGTTTCTTGAACGACGTAGCTCCACACTTCGCTCATGAGGTCGTACTTGTCGCCATGAAGCTCAACCCGTCCCTTCGATCTGGCTTGCATCTCTTCAAAGAACTTTTTCTCGTCGATGGCGCGGTACAGCTGACCAAGAGCGCGCTCGGACTCGTAATACCTATACGTCTTGAAGTCTGGATCCAGCACCTGTATCGCATCATCCTCGTCGTCATCCTCTTCTTCCTCGAATACGGCCCCTTTCTTCTCGACGATAACACGAGGTCCGGAAGCCATGAAGTCCGGTCGTATCATGTCGTATTTGGGACATTTTAACATGTCGACTGGAATACCAGTTTTTGAAAAGTCGACCGCGACACTTGCCATCTCAGCGAGTGTGATGCAGTCGGGGTCCCGTGTACCACCAGGCTTTCGGTCAGCCAGTTGCATGTGGATCATTGAGATCCTTCCTAGTTGGTCCGTCTCCATGAACCTAACACAGACCATTAGGATCATCGCCTTTCCTGGCGGCTAAGGCTTTAGAGACTTACTTAACGAAGAAATTCGTCATGTCCTGTTTGTTCACTTCTCTACCAATATCCAAGGGTGCAACTCTGGGATAGTCTGCCGCAGTATACGTCACCTTCGGCATCAGTCTCTTGTCGAAGATCACGTTGTACAAATCGCCATCGAGGTCACTAAATTTGTTTGTCAGTATATGGTGAATTCGGCCAAATAACGAAAGGAACGTACCCTCCACTAAGCTGTGATGGCAAATCGCGTTGTCCCTTTTGACTGAAGACCACGCAGTTGCTGAGCGAGTTGAGCGGCGAATCTGAAGGAACATCGACGGCGCGCGCAAATTGGACATCTCCCGGATGCATGGCTGGTGCACGAGTGACAATCACTCGACCCTGAAGAATGCGCCTCCCCCCACCCGGCTTTTCAGTGACGCAGAAGATTTCGCCTTCTTCAAGGATTCCGGTTTCGTCCATAATGCCATAGAGCGTCACCCCGTGCTCGACCAAAATGCGCGAGCGGTATTTCAGATCGCGGAGCGATGCCAGTGCTGCAATTTCCACGACGTGTTCTAAGAAGTCGTCCTCATTGAACGGAAGACCGAGATCGTCAAGCATTCGAATCAGCGGAGGTAGCCTGGCAGCCTGTCCAATATGGGCATGTTCCAAGAATGTGGCAGCATTGACCGGTGAAAGCGTGATGCGGCGGAGCTGCTCGATGGCTTGAGCTTGTAGAGTCAGAAATACCTGAGCTGGAACCCCAAGATCTTCTAAGATGAGGATAAATTGTCGGTTCAGATACATCGGCAAAGGCTTGAAGCTCGCGCCGCAGATTTCGATGTTCAGCGCCTTTCCGCCCTTGAACTTCATCATCGACTCCCGGATAACCAACTGCTCGCCAGCAAGTCGGGTATCCAGAGATACCATGCCCTTTGCGCCTGATGCCGTTAGTAGAGCTCTTGACACCTCTGATCCGTTACGCCATTTAAGACGCAAATAACTCGATGCTGTAGACACGGACTTACCAGCAAATCGAATCTGGAGACAGGTTGGTCTTTGGTTCTTGGCGATAGGAGAGTACACCTTCCAAACTTTCCTCAGAAGTTTGAGAGAGATAGTACCAACACCGTCGCTAAAGGTGCGTCCATTTCTGACGACATCTGTGGCAGCCTGGAACTGTGACGGATCAATATTGACGGAATTAGCTGTGTCGGAGAAGGCTTGGCCAATACGAGCGGCACATTTGGCTGGAGACCGAATCTCTGAGAAGTCACCAAGTTCTTTGATGATCTCTTGCGCGGCAATCAGCGATCCTTCACTGACGAACGGTGCCATAAACCAGCACGTTTGACTCCGTAATGAAGAGTGAGAAAATCCGAGAAACTGCAATTGATGTCAGTGAATATGCGGTATACTAGGAATTTCGCATATGGCCAATTAAGTTGCAGATTTGGACCGAGTGAGTAATCGAGCTCAGGAAACGATGATGCTCGAGTACTTACCTGGAAACCATGGCCACCTATGTTGATCATGCCATCAAGCACTTGCTTAAAGCGGCCGTGGTACACCTCTGACATATTGGTTCTTGCTTCGAACTTGAGGCTGTCAAGATCTTCATCCGTGAACTGAACTCTTAGGAAATGGTTGGTGTGATTTGGATACATCCGCAGCACACGATTGCTGACTTCGGGCTCCGGGCCTTCCAAGTAGGTTCCAGCCGGGGTGACAACAACTCTGTGTATTAGAGCAATATGATGATGGCGTGTATTGACATCATAAATGGAGCCTTCGAGTCTGAAATCTTCCGCGTTTTGTTCCAGAGCTTTCGCAAGATAGTTGATTTCAAACTCCTTTGGATCTACGTGTGGTCCGGGATATTGAATTTGCCTGGAAAGAGTGCGGATAGCCATCGTAGTAGGGATAACTCCTTTGTGCCGCCGGAGATATTTGATCTTTGGCAACAACGAGACAATCTTGGCAGGAGCCAAGAAGGCATTTCTGAGAGAGCACAACATTAGTAGGTTTTAGCTGGAAACTCACGGGACATATTACCTAGCTAGTCGCTCAACCTGAAATTTTATGGGGAATGGCAGATTTCCAAACTGACGGCCAGCAAAGAGCAGCTCCTTCAATCTTTCAAAGTCGGACTTGAACGTCGGATGCACTTGGCTACAGGCTATGTGGCAAGTAACGGCCGACGGCATGCCGGGGTTGCGATTCAAGAGATGGTAGAGCGATACTATTTCCAGGGGATTTGTGAGTGACACTTGGTAAACCCAGCAGCTACCAATCACCACTTCGTGCGCTTCGTTGATGGCACAAACCCGTGAGCGAGTGTTCTTCTGGTGGCGTTTGTTGGTAGAAGAGTTGATACCAAGGCCAGCCATTAGCCCTTCCAGACCTTCTTCCATTTTGTAGACCTTTGGCGCGAATCTTAAAGTGAACGTTGCCGTCGGTTGTAGTTGCCCGCCAGTGACAATGGTATCTATGCTCCAATATGGAATGTCAATTCGACAGGTGTGAGAGACCCATCCATCGGCCCGCAGGATCAGCGCCAAGGCGTGCTTGCCAAACATGGCAGTGCCGCATCTGGAGTCATGGTAGTGGGGTGCAAAAGCTGCTTGGGATCCGTTGTAATCCCAGACACCGCACGATATACTACTAAAATCGAAGGACTTTTGGACCTTCTTCCCTGTCGATAGTGGGTGGCTTTGAGTAGTATGAACGGGCTGTGCAGCTTCGACCTTCACTCTTAGTGCGATTTTCTGAAGTCGCTGGCTCTCCTCGTATATGAGAGCTTTCAAGACGACATCGTCCGGCTTATGCTGGCTGGGGACGCACGTCAGAGGTTTGTTGATGAAAATGAGGGGTACGGTCGTCTTGTTCCGACGTTGAGGATCGCTAGCGAGTCCGTAAGTCTTCAAGAAGAGCTCCGCCTTGCCATGGTCAGCGATGGTGAGAATGGCCGCCGCTTTGTTCTTGATTTTTTTGCAGTTGAACGCGAAGACGTGCAGTTGCTCAAGCACGGATTTGAAGAAATCGGTGAGAGACTTCTCTGTGGTTGAGATTGGCATTCCGCGAACAAAGATGTCCATGATTGCGGTGATGGTGGTGCTTTCTAGAGTGACGTGGAGAACGAAATAGATCTCGGGTGAGTGGGGTTGCAGTTGCGACTGAGGCGTGTGACAGACGGCTCATATGCACCGCAAAGGAACAAATGAGAGCGTGAAAGGCGACGGAAGGCCCATGTCACGTTGGCGTATCAGCGGTAGAGAAGCCTAGGCAACGACGTCGCCTGAGGATTTTATCGAGCCCTGCGCCCGTGTGTAATGCCGCCACTGGCAAACAAGGGTGCGGATGTGGAAGGAACGATCGGTATGTTAGTAAAAGCAAACAAAGTTCCTCAAGTTCATCTGCACTCGCGACAGGCAAACGCGTGAGGATGAAGGCGGTGGGTGTGAAAACATGCCCGTTTGCCCGCCCTAGCGCCGAGTGCGGCGACCGCACGACCCAGCCGCCCTCGCAGCATCCTAAACTCGCACATCTTCACAACTCTTTGAATACCGCTGAGTTGGAATCGGTTGTGCGGCTGCAGGAGGGTGAAGGCGTCCTTTAAGTGGTGGCTAGGCGCTCACGCACGTTTGAGCCTGCATATCACGGCATCATGCAGGTATATCACAACGGGAAGCATTAACCATCCTGGGACTTGTGTGACTTTTCTCAAAACCGTCTCCTCATCTATTCGTTGCAACATCCCTGTAAATATCAAATCTCATGTCAAACACGAATTGTTCAGTTTCACCGCATTTAGAGAGCCGACGTCAACGCCCTGCTCTGCTGCAGTGCCACCAACTTCTCGATCGCCACATCGAGCGCCACAAGCTCACCTCTGTGTTGCGTAGCCTGATCATCACGGTTGCGGATGTTGACCTTACGCTCGGTCTTCTCCTCGGCACCAACGACAAAGATGAAGTTGTACTGCTGGAGCTGACCGGTACGGATCTTCTTCTGCATCGTGTTGCCCGAGACGTCAACGTCGACGTTCATACCCTTGGCACGGAAGATGCTTTGCAGCTCATGCACATAGTCGTTGACGGCAGGCATGACGGGTACGATAAGGATCTGGCGAGGAGACAGCCAGAAAGGCCACTTGCCGGCAAAGTGCTCCGTGAGAATGGCAATAAAGCGCTCAAAGGAGCCGTAAATTGCACGGTGAATCATGACGGGGCGGGCACAACCGGGAGTCAAAGGCTTCCTGGCAGCCTCCATCACCGGCTTAGTGTGCTCCACCTTGGCATCGGGAGTGCCCTCGGTCTTGGCTGGAGCGGCAGGAGCAGCAGGAGCAGCAGGAGCAGCAGGCTTCTCACCCTTCGCGGCCTTCTCCGCGCTCATGTATTCCAGGTTGAACTGCTGAGGCAGTTGGAAGTCGAGCTGAATGGTAGCACACTGGTGCTCACGCTTCAGTGCATCAGAGATGGTAATGTCGATCTTGGGGCCGTAGAAGGCGCCATCACCAGGGTTGAGCTCCCACTTCTCACCACCCTCAGCAGTGAACTTGTCGAGGGAAGCCTTGAGCTTCTCCTCAGCCATGTCCCAAGTCTCAACTTCGCCCAAGAAGCCCTCGGGACGAGTAGAGAGCTTCATCTTGAAGGTGAAGCCGAACTTGCCATACACGGTCTGGAGGAAGTCGAAGAGGCCGGTAATTTCATCACCAATCTGTGTATCGTCAGTGGGTTTGCTTTTGGGTCAGTTCTTGAAATTTCATCATACCTGATCCTCGGTACAGAAGATGTGCGTGTCATCCTGCTGGAAACGACGGACACGAGTAAGACCGGTGAGCGCACCAGAAGCCTCGTTACGGTGCAGAACACCAAAGTCAGCAATGCGCATAGGCAACTCCCTGTAGCTGCGCTCTCTGTGACCGAAAAGCAGACAGTGACCGGGGCAGTTCATGGGCTTGAGCGCCCACTGGTCCTTCTCGACCTCAAACGTGAACATGTCGTCCTTGTAGTGCTGCCAGTGACCGGAGCGCTTCCAGAGATCGGAGTTATACATGTTTGGCGACTGGACCTCCTGGTACCCACGCTTCCAGTACTCCTCACGGAGGAAAGACTGCAGGGTGTTGTAGATGATCATACCATGGGGCAGGAAGAAAGCGGAACCGGGAGACCACTCGTGGAAGAAGAACAGCTCCTGCTCCTTGCCGATCTTACGGTGATCACGCTTAGCAGCCTCCTCAAGATACTTCAGGTGCTCCTCCATCATCTTCTTCTCGGGGAAAGAGACACCATAAATACGCTGCAGAGAGTCGTTCTTGGCATCACCCAGGAAGTACGAAGCAGAGTTCTAATGGTAATTTTAGTTTCATTGGTCTTGTATTCGAGTTTCAAGCTTCCTACCTTCATGACCTTGAAAAACTTGACTCTTCCGGTGTGAGGAACGTGAGGACCACGGCAAAGATCGATGAGCGGGCCACAGCGGTAGACAGTGGTGCTCGTTCCATCAGGGATCTTGTCCTTGATGATGTGCTGCTTGTACTTGTTCGTCTTGAACATCTCAAGGAGCTCTTCCTTGGTGAGAGTCAAGCGCTCAAACTTCTGCTTCTCCTTGATGGCCTTCTCGGCAATCTTTTCAAGCGGCTTGTAGTCCGTAAGTTGCACGGGTTCCTGGTTGGGTAGGGCCATCTCGTAGTAGAAACCATCCTCGACCGGGGGACCAATGCAAAGATCACAGCCAAATCGTCTCTCGGCAGCTTCACCAAGGATGTGGGCGCTAGAGTGCCAGAAGACCTTCTTGCCCTCTTCGTTCTCAAAGTCCAAGAGTTCCAGGGTGCAGTTCTTCTCAAAGGGCCTCTCCAGATCCCACAGCTCGCCGTCCACCTTGGCAATGACGGTGCGCTCAAACAAGGACTTGCTAATTCCGCGGGCAATGTCGGCCGGGGAAGTGACCCAGGACTCGCCCACCTGGACCTTGCCGTCAGGCATGGTGATGTTGATGGGCTCACGGGGCTTGCTGGCAACATCGGCATCGTACTTGGCCTTCAATTCCTCGAAGATCTTGATCCTGTGGTCAAGATAGGCCGGAGGAGGAGTCATTTCCATGGGACGGGCATCCTCGTCGCCAGCCTTGGCCTTCTTTTCCTTCTTGGGCTTCTGCTGTTGGGGCTTGGCCTTTTCGACCTGCTGCGCGGCGGCCTGCTCGCCCGAGACAGCGAGGTTCTTCACGCCCTCAACAGCGTCCTTAACGGCGTCCATGGTGGGGTATGCGGTGGATTGTGTTCGTGCACGAGGGGCAACCTGTCAATTGTCCCTCCTCAAATAATTCCATCCCACTTGAGTCACTAGCGCGAGCCAAGCCCGCGACTGACCGCCGGAGAAACGCCGCCGAATCTTCCGACCTCCGCCTGCAAAAATTCCGTGAATTGCATCCCGACGCAGCTTCGACGCGACAACGACAACCCGGCCCCCGACAGATACCAGAAGCGCACAATGTCTTTCCGTGGTGGCGCTCGTGGAGGCCGTGGAGGCTCCTTTGGCGGACGTGGTGGTGGAGGAGGATTCTCTCGCGGCGGTCGCGGCGGTGGTGCGTCCAGTATTGCACCTCTCAAAATCGGCATTGGCTAATTGTGCGCGTTGCAGGTCGCGGAGGTTTCCAGCAGTCCTACGGCCCGCCCGACACCGTCCTGGGTAAGCTACACGAAAGCTACTTGTCCGTGAATGCGCGCTGACGATCAGCAGAGATGGGTTCCTTCATGCACTCTTGCGAGGGCGAGATGGTCTACGAATCGATCAACACCAAGATCCCCTACTTCAACGCTCCGATCTACCTCGAGAACAAGGCACGCGATCCCATCTACATTTTCAGACGCGGCCACAGTGGCTAACTGGGCACCAGACTCCCATCGGCAAGGTTGACGAAATTCTCGGCCCTCTGAACTCGGTCTACTTCACGGTCAAGCCTCAGGAAGGCATCGTCGCGACGTCTTTCAAGGCTGGCGACAAGGTCTACATTGGCGGCGACAAGCTGCTGCCGCTCGAGAAGTAAGCGGTTGAAATGTTCTGGTTTAGGACCATGCTGATATTTTTCGCAACAGGTTCCTTCCCAAGCCCAAGCCCCCACCAGGTGCGCCGAAGCCCAAGCGCGCGGGCGGAGCCAGCCGTGGCGGTCCGATGCGCGGAGGTCGCGGAGGCCCGAGAGGCGGCGCGAGAGGAGGTCGTGGTGGCAGCTTTGGTGGCCGTGGTGGTGGTTTTGGCGGTCCCAGCAGAGGCGGTTCCAGGGGCGGCGGCTTCGGTGGCCGTGGTGGTGGTTTTGGTGCCCCGAGAGGCGGCAGAGGCCGTGGCCGCGGCTTCTAAGTACCCTCGGCCTAGGTATCAGCTTTGTCCTTTACGGCTCATGGAACGGCGTTCGCGGACTTGGAGTGGCTCTTTTTTGTACGAATTATACAGACACAGACTGGGGAAGTCTAAGGGGATCACACGGGATTTTGAGTGCAAAAATATATCAACCATTTCGAAGTTGCGCGACGCGACGTGAAGGTAGCAGCACAGCCACAGGTTCAAATGATGTGCAAGTAAATCGTGGCCGATTTGCGACTCATGAAGTATTTCATATGCGGCCAGAAATATTTGTCTCATGGGAATTGCGGCTTTTCAAGCCAAGTCGAGGCTTCGTCTTCATAAATACCAGGGTAACTTATGCCCGATGGATTTCGGTGCTTGCTGTCGATTCTAAAAACTGCACTGAATGAAGGTGGTCACGACTTCAGTCAAACCAAGCCTCGGTGGCTTAGCATGTCCCCTGCGCCAAGCTGTGACGCAGATGACGTTCCCGCTTCTGGCCCCGAAAGCTTGAAAACAAAGTCGACTGTCGCGACACAGCCTCTGCGCCTTCCCCTAACCTCCCTTCCTCTGCACCTTTTGACGCCCGACATCACAAACTCTCCGAGTCCTACGTCTTCATCCATCAACATGTCGAGAAGGAGCGGTGCTACCAGCGGCACCAACAAGGATGCCAGCGACAACTCGGTCCCTGCCAATCCTTGTATGTCTTTATGACTTCACTTCTGCAAGTCGTTATCACTGACAATGTCGCAGCCCAGGAGAAGCAGATGCGGCTGCTTGCCGCCGACGCCGGCCACTTCTCCCTTGTCAAGTACGAATCTCCTGTGTAGCCACCGGTGCCGTCACGGACTAACGAGCGCGCAGGGCCATGCACCTTGCGGACGTGATCACTGAGCTCAATGGTAAGTCGCGACGCTCAGCACGCATTTGGCTCCGTTGACCAGGCTGTTAGGCTTCTGCGGTATCATGTCTATCTACTCCTCGCTGCGCTACTGCCTCGGCGATCCGAACGACTTTGGCAACCTTTATGCCGCATTGGCTTTCATGCCTTTTGGCTTGTTCTTCGACTTCATGGATGGCAAGGTTGCTAGGTGGAGGAAGAAGGCCTCCATGATGGGCCAGGAACTCGACTCTCTGGCTGACCTGGTATGTATCCGCGCTTTCCCTGCTCAATTCCTCAGCTCATCGGACGGACTAGATCTCCTTTGGTGTCGCTCCCTCTGTATGCGCCTTCGCTCTCGGTATCCGCACGCCTGTCGACCACCTGCTTCTCTCGTTCTTCGTCCTGTGCGGTCTGTCCCGCCTTGCCCGCTTCAACGTCACGGTCCAGGCTCTCCCCAAAGACGCCACTGGAAAATCCAAGTACTTTGAAGGCACGCCCATTCCCACCTCCCTTGGCCTCGATAGCATTATGGGATACTGGGTTTACAAGGGCTGGGTTCTCGAGGACCTGCCCCTAGGCACGGCTCTTACTGGCACTGCGTTCGAGTTCCACCCGATCGTCTTCATGTTTGTCATTCACGGATGCCTGATGGTCAGCAAGACCCTTAAGGTCCCGAAGCCTTGATTTGAAATCATTCGGATCCAAGTGCAGAATTTAAGGCTAGATGGGGACGTGGAGGGTGATCAACTGGTGGCAGATCATGACTAGAGCGGTAGGCTACGAAACGACCGTGTAACGACATGACGAGCAAGGGCGCAACTGCAGGATGAGGCTCAATACAACATATAATAAATCAAGACTTTGTCGACATCAGGACATTGCCCATCGCAACATGTTCATTTGCCCCTAACTTTCCGCACGAAGCTATACAAGCGTTGGCGCTCCAAATCCTACAAGTAGTGCACCAAGCGCAGAAAAAGCTGCTAACGAGGCGTCTAACTTAAAGTCTCAGGCCGAACCCAATCGGAATGCTTGTGGCTGCTTTGCGCCTAGCTTCATTGCTATGCATTTGGAAGCAAGCATATCGCGTGGATATGCACGCATCATGGCCTTTTCGCGCAGCAATAGGTTTCATCTCTGAGGGCCACGACCTACAACCGCACAATGACGCACAACGGCAATGGCGACAGACATGAGCATACAATCTAACAGATACACGTCCGCGAAATTCGACCACAGAGCCAGCTAGCTATGCGCTAGAAGCCTCCACCATAGCTACAAAGCCTCAATCGATGTAGGTAAGCAGGTGAAGCACGCACAAACCATCGACGTCCTCTGCGCACCCCAATGCACTACTAGAACACCATACCCACCTACCTATACGCGTAACACGCAAACACAGCCATCCTTGCGCGCGCACGCGACGCGCCGCCCGCTTGCGGATCGGCCTTCGGTCCTGCCAAACTAACCCCGCATCATCCTCCGCCCCACTAGCACCCCACACTGCGCGCTGCTTCCGCAATCCGCATCCGGTTTTGCTGGACGGCACCGGGTTCGGGACGGGTTCGGGACGGGGGCAAGCACGGCAAGCATGGCAAGCTCGGCTGTGGATGTGGTTTTGGATGTGAGGGGTTGGGGACTGCCGAGGTGGGGTGGTGCTGGGGGTTAAGAAGGGCCGGTTGCTGCGTATTTGTTTGATACAGTGAGTACGAAGACGGGTTTGTTACTACTACTCTTGTTGTTGCTGGTGTTGTTCTTTGGTGTGTTTTCTTTTCTTCTGTTGTCTGCACGTATATACACATTCCTCCCCTTCTATCTCTATTCCTCTCCCATGACTCCGTACTAAAGAGTTCGAAGCTCATAACAATAGAATCTCGGCTTGATTTGTTGGCCTTGATTTGTTGAATTGAGGATTTAGGCACCAGCGAGTCCTAACTGGGCATGACCCACTTGACAGACTTACGATCAAACGAAGTACAAATAAGTACACATCCTTTTCCAGACTACACGCCTACACCTCTCCGCCGAGCCGTCACCAATACCACAATCATGCCCACAACTAAAACAATCCATCATCCGCACCTCGGCACCATCCACGGTACAGCCGACGATGACGGCGTCATCCGCTTCCTTGGTTTGCAGTACGCGACGCTGAAGGATCGGTTGGCGGCGCCGGAGCTGGTAGTATCAGGGAGTGGTGGGGCAGGGGAGATCGACGCACGCAAGTTTGGGTATGTATGGTTGGGCAGTGAGTGCATGTGTGGGCGCGATTGCCAGTGGTGCAGAATAGGAAAGTGAAGAAAACGAGAAGAAAGAGAGCGGGAAGAGAAGAGGAGAAAGAAGAAAAGAAAAGGCACCCACCGCCTCCACCGCTCTCACCACCGCCGCAACACCTCCTCCTGAGTTAGTTGGAAAGCTGGGCTAACAACCCCAACAGTCCCCCCGTGCTCTCTCCACCCCAAGCCTGCGCCCTCGAGCTCTCCCTCATCCAAGCGCCGTCAGCGCCGCCTTTCGCAGCATCCATAGCTCCGCCGCCACCCCCAGACGACCTCAATGGCTTGAACCTCAACATCACTGTTCCGGCCCTCGCTCTGGAGGGCCAGGGCTCTACCCGTCGCCCGCTGCCCGTTATTGTCTTTGTGCATGGCGGCGGCTTCTTCATCGGCGCAAATTCCTGGCCGCAGTATGATTTCGGACGACTTGTGCGGCTGGCTGCTGAGAAGGGGAAGCCTGTTATTGGTGTGGGTATTAAGTATGTGGTGTTTCTATTCTCGTTTTCCCTCCTCTCCTCAAGGTACTCCATCAATCGAGACAGTAGACAGCACCCCCATAAAGTCAAAGTCCGCACCCACAGCAGCAGGGAAAACCGCACAACTAACATCCATCCTCTCTCCATAGCTACCGCCTCGGCGCCCCCGGCTTCCTGACCTCAGCCGAGCTCCGCGCAGCCGGCTACGCCGCCAACAACGGCCTGCGCGACCAGGCTGCCGCGCTGCAATGGGTGCAGCGGCACATCAGCGGCTTCGGAGGCGACGCGCGCAACGTGACTGCACTGGGACAGAGTGCGGGCGCTGGTATGGCCTTCTCTTTCTCCAATGTCATATATACACATATGCACGCATCCCCCCAACCCACCTCTTGTCCTCCCTTCCCCTGCCTCTCTCCCTTCCGCTCTTGCCCACACAAACTAACACCCACCCCCCACAGTCTCTCTCCTCGAGCAGCTCAACTCCCGCACACCACTGTTCACGCGCCTCGCCGCACTAGCCGGGACGCCACTGAACGCGCGGCCGCTCCCGCCCCCCGTGGCCGAAGCAACCTACACGACTATAACAGCAGCGCTCGGGCTCGAGAACGGCAGTGCGGCCGAGCGCGTCCACGCGCTGCTGCATCTGCCGGGCGAGGAGCTGCTTGCGAAAATCTCGCCCGAGCTCCCGCTCGCCCCGGTCCTGGATCCGGCGTCGCTGCCGCGCGTGTGGTCGTTTGAGGAGGGTAAGCAGGAAGACGTGTTGCGTGAGATGCCCGGACGGAAATGGTGCAAGGGGTTGATGGTTGGGGATTGTGCATTTGATGTATGTGGTTGCCCTTCTTCTTGCCTACCTATGTATCCACCTCTTGCCCGCTCCGCACCTCCCGCACCTCTCGCACCTCAGGAAGACTCGATCTACACCCACCCCTACCCCTACCTCACGCACTAACGTCACACCCCCACCAGGCAAACATCTACACGCACCTATCGCCCAGCTTCGCGCAGCCCGCCCTCGCCGCCGCCTTCGCAGCATCCGTCTCCCGCTCCCTCGCCTCCCACCCGGGCGCCGCATCCGCCCTGCTAGAGGCTTACGCAATCACGCCCTCGACGCCCGCCCCTGCCGCCCGCACCGCAATCGCCCGGTTCGGCACGGACATCGCGTACCAAGCCGCGGTAAGGCGGTGCGCGGGGGCTTGGCGGGCTACTTCTGACGTGGGAGGAACTGACGACGAAGGAGGAACCTCTGACGAAGGAGGGCTGTCCGCCGCAGGAAAAGGCTCAAACGAAGAAAGAGGCGCACCCGAAGGAGCTCAACCACCCTTCCTCTACCACTTCAACGCCGCAAACCCCTGGCCCGGCCCCGACGCAGGCGAGGCAACACACATCCTAGACGCGGCGTTCCTCTTCCAGAACTTCAGCGCGCAGCTCACCTCCGCGCAGCAGAGCGTCGCGGCCGCGTTTGCGTTGGACGTTATTGCGTTTGCGCGGGGTGAGGCGCCGTGGATGGGGTTTGGTGGTGTGGGGAAGGGGGAGGGTGGGGAGGATGATGTCGAGGACAAGGTTGAGGGCGTCAGGGTGTATGGCGGCGCGGATGGGTGGGGTGGCGGTGCTGAGAGCTTTGCGCGTGCTGGGGGTAAAGAGACGGGGAGGCGGGGGGTGCTTGCTAGGCTTGCGGCGATGGGGCCGGGGTTGCATGGGTTGGGGGAGGCGTGGGAGCGGTGGTTGCGGGGCGAGTGAGGTTGCGGGTGGATGAGAGTGTTGTGTATGTGTTTGAATGGATGGAATGCTTTAGTCTCGTCGCTGGATATGTATATATATATATATATATATATATACGCGCCTACCTGGGCACCTTCTCCCTTGGGGCCCTAAGCGCCTCCGCAACCATTAAGAACCTACCTACCTACCTACCTAGCACGCTCACCCAGCATCGCAAACAGGCACTATCTTTCCTTTCCCTTTCTTTTTCCTTTCCTGTATCCTTTCCGCACGGGCTACGGACACAGCCTTCGCTGCCCCTCGTCCACGTCCTCACTCAGCTGCTGCCCCATCCACAGCGGCTGCGTCTCGTGCAGCTTGTCCTCGAGCTCGACGATGCGGTGCCCGGCGACGAAAAACGTTTTCCCGTTGAGGTCGGGGCGCACGACGGGGAGCAGCAGCGCGCGCGCCACGCCCTCGGGCTGGTTCGCGGGGAGATCGCCCCAGATGTCGTGCATGGACTGCAGGAGCAGGGGCGTTACTAGGGAAGAGGACGGGTTAGTTGGGCAAAACATAGCTCGCACGTTCGCAGGCTCGCGCGCGCCCACTCACCTGTCATCCACGGCGCAACCACATTGACCGTGACGTTGCGCTTGACCAGCTGGGAGCGCAAACTGCGCATAAGCCCCAAGACACCGGCCTTGCTCGCACAATACAGATGCAGGGGCGGAGTATCCAAATAGCTGGCCGCGGAGCCCGTGAGCACAATCTGGCAGCGCGACTGCGGCCACTTCTCAAAGCAGTAGACGGCGCACTTGACGACGTAGACCATGCCGACGAGGTTAGCGTCCAGCAGGCCCAGGTCCGGCGGCAGCAGCTTCCCCGTCACGGCGTCGAATTCCTTCGCCAGGAAGTCTTCCTTGTTGATGCCTGCGTTGGATAGCACCGCGTGGATCTTGCCGAATGTGTTTACGGTGGTTTCGAAGAGCTCGAGCACCGAGTCCCATTGCGTTACGTCGCATTTGCGGAAGAGGACGCGGCTAAGTGCGCGCGTGTTAGCTGCTGTCTGTTTCTGAGGTCTGGTATGGTATGGTATGGTGGGCGCGACGGAAGAGAGAACAGGCAAGCTCACTTACTCCTTCAGCTCAGCCGCAAGCGCGTTTCCCGCCGCCTCATTGACGTCGCCAAAAGCGACTCTGGCGCCATGATCTGCGGGCGTCAGCACCAAGATAGATACAGCGCGCCTCTCCCCACCAACAAAAAGATGGAAGAAAAGCAGCAAATAGAAAAAAGACCAGGCGGAATCCACTCACGATGCGCCAGCCTCACGGCCTCCTTTCCTATCCCCGACGCGCCCCCCGTCACAAGCACGACTTTGCGCTTCAACACCGCGAACTCGGCGTCCGCGAGCTCGTAGGTCGTCATTTCGCGCGCGCGGGCACGCAGAGACGGACAAATGGACGGACGGGCGGGCTGGCGGGCTGGCTGGCTGGCGGAAAAGCAACAACAGTCGACAGTCGAGGTATAGGTAGGTATGTACGAGTAGGTAGCTGCCTTGCCGGAGCGGAAGCGCACGCAAGCAGGCGAGCAAGCAAGCCGCTGCCCGCGGAGGAGGAGGAGGTGAAGAAAGAGGAGCGGCGGCGTCGGCGGCTGCTTACTCTGCCTACTGTACCTTGCTAGCCAACTAGCAAGCAACCTACCTACCCAGGCACCTCTACGTAGAGTACGCAGCCATTGGCATTGCTTACTCTAGGCTCTCCTACACCAGCCAGCCAGTCAGCCAAGCCAGCACACCGCGTGCCCCGCAACCGCAAGAGAACAAGGCAATTGGCCGCGCCTCGCAGATCAAGCGCGATCAAGATGCGCCCAGAGCAACAGCGCCGCAGCCAAAGCCCGCGTCGGCGTTTGAAACCACCCACCCGCCGTGCCACCCCCTCATTCTACGTCTCCGTCATCCATCCACCCATTCGTCCGCCCTCACCCACTAGCTAGCTCACGCACGTGCTGCCCGCCTGGACGAGTGGATGGCGAGTGGAGGGGAGTGGAGAGAGTGGGCGTCGGCACTTGCCCCGCGCGTCATGCTGTGGGGTAAAGCGCAAACCTAGGGCAAACGTGGGGCAGTATGTACGTAGTATGTGTAAGCGGGGCGGCCGGATGGGGCAAGCGCCGAGGTGCCGAGGCGCTGAGGTGCTGAGGTGCTGAGGTGCTGAGGTGTTGAGGTGCTCCTAGGATGACAAAGTGCTTGTGGTGGTGGTGTCGTTAGTGTTGTTGTTGTGGTGGAGTTTGCACAATGGAGAGCAGAAGGGCTTGGGGCTTTTTTTTTGTGAGAGAGTGAGGGGAAGTGCGAGGCGCGAGGCGTGGAGCCGGAAGCGCGGTAGGTAACGCGAGGGCGCGCACGCTGCGCTGGGCGCGCTGGGCGCGTTGGGCGTGTCGACGACGACGACGACAATGACAACGACGACGCTGGGATTGGCGCCGCGATCGCCGTGCGCGATGTGGATTGGGGTTTTGCGGTGTGTCGTTGTGGGTGTGCGCGAGCGGGTATAGGTGTGGAGTTGGGGGATACAACACATGTACGAAGACGGCAAAGGGACGGCTACTCTATGGTTTGAAGCAAGAACCTAGGTAGGATATCATTCACGGCAATTAAAAAAAAAAAAAAAACAGCTAACAATGCGCTCTCCGACCACAGGCGCATCAGCGCGCCGGCCCATTCCCAACACTCAGCCCCTTGATGCCGTCGCGCAGAATAGCCTCGACCTCGTCCGTGTGCTTCGAGAAGTTGTCTACCAAGCTGTCCCACATGCTGGGCTCATGCTCATGGCGCTTATCGCTGCGCCACGCAAACTCGGTCACGGTGAAGGGCCTACTGCTCTCGAACATGAACGCGACGCTTTGCTCCGAGATGCGGGACTCGGGGACGTCGGCCGCGGTCGCGGCCTTGAACTCCTCGTACGCGACGCCGTGCGGCACCATGCCGCACTCGAAGCTGATGCTGCCGGGGCGGAAGGCGTCGGAGCGGCCGCCGTAGTCGCCGTACACCAGGCCCATGAGTTCCGACGCGGCGTTGCGGTGGTAGTAGGGCGGGCGGTACGTGTGGCTCGCGACGTCCCAGCGGGGCGAGAAGATGAGGAAGTCGGCGAGGGGGGCGGCGGGGTCGCGCGACCGCGCCGTCAGCACGCAGAAGATGGACGGGTCCATGTGGTCGACGCTGATGCTGCCCACGTTCACAAACTTCGTCAGGTCGTACTTGAACGGCACGTAGTTGCCGTGCCAGGCCACCACGTCAAACGGGCTGTGCTGCTGCCGCGACTCGAAGAACTTGCCGCCCAGCTTGTACACGATGCTCCACGGGTCGTCGCGCGTCACGTCGTACGCCGCCGTCGGGTGCAGGAAGTCGCGCGCGTTGGCCAGCCCGTTGGCCCCCAGCGGCCCCAGTTCCGGGAGCTCCCAGTTGGCGCCCCAGACCTCGAGGATGTAGCCGCGCGTGGGGCCGTCGATGGCCACGCGGAACCGCTGCCCGCGCTGGATCACGCAGATCTCCCCCGGCTGTACGTACAGCGGCCCGAACTCGGTTTGAATGTCCAGCGCGCCTTGCTGCGGCACGATGAGGAAGTCGCCGTCGCTGTTCACAAACGCTTTCTTCGTCATGCTCTTGTTGGCGACGTAGACGTGCGTGGCTAGCCCTTCGCGCAGTGTCGGGTCGCCGCTGCCGGCAATGGTCTTTAGGCCCGAGATGAAGTCGACCTCTTCGCTTTCGGGGGGGATGTCGAGAGGCGTCCAAGCCAGCTGCGTGGGCGAGACGTGGACCCGCGGATTGATGCTGAGGAAGTTGCTTTCCGTGTCTTTGTTGTCGGGCAAATCCGTCTGTCTGGATGTCAGTTCTTGCCGCTCATTAAGTACTCAGCACAAGCTCTTACGAAGCCTTGGTGGGCGACGGCCGGCCGTGCCCTGTACAGCCACGCCTTCTTGTTCAGATGCCTGGGCGCTACAAAGGCCGAGGCAGTCAGCTGCTCTGCGTACAGGCCAAAGCGCACGCATCGCGGGCTGTTTTGCCCTCGAGGAATCGTGCCAGGCACGGCCTCGGACTCGAAGAAGTTGTTGAACCCGGGCTGGTACTGGTACGGATCGTTCTTCCTGGTCGCAAAGGATGGGATGGTGCCATTCTTCTGGGTCTCGGCCCAGTGAAATATTTTCTGATATTCGGCGGGATCGTTAAGCTGAGTTGGCGGCATGGTAGCTTACGGCGTTCAAGCGGGGTTTGATCGTGTGGTTTGGCAATCAATCTGCGCTCCGGCCGCGGGGAGCGCAGTATTAAACGTCGTCGCGGCACAAGGCATGTCGTGTGTTCGGCAGTTGAGGCTCGGAGATGTCGAGGTTCACTTGGTGGGTGGCGCACGGGGATGGCGGGGTACAAGATGTGGGGTGCGGAGCTTTCGACAGGGGCACGAGGGGTAGCTCTCCAGCAACTACCCTTCTCTCGCCGCACCAGGTTTAAAAGAGGAGGTGATGGAACTTTCGGTAGATGGCCTCGGCCTGGGCATGGCCAATGCCATTCCATTCGTTATGAGCATTGCGCTCCCGTCTCTTGCGTTTTCCCCTTGGCACTGCCGCCGGAGTACACCACTCGGATTTGCGGATTTGGCGGATTTGACGTCCGGCTAAGAGGCGTATATCCTCGGTTCAGTTGTCTTGTCCCAAATTCATGTAACTGTCATTTTTGCCTGGCAAGTAAGTACTTTCGCTGTGCCAATTTCAGCTGGTCGCCAATTAAAGACCAGAAGCTTGCTGCGGTCGAATGAAGGCTATCAAGCCTAGGTAGGTTGAATTTGGTCCATCGTTGCTAAGAGCTAGGAAGACGTCTACAGCGGTGAAAATTTTTCAAGGCGGGTATATGGGTCTCGACGTGCTATCGAAGAAATCATTGCCGCAGACAAATTTGTCTGAAGCCGATTTGGAAGTGACTGCTACCGAAATCCGGAAGGTGGAATACCTATACATCGGCAAGCGCAGACTGGCTGTGTCAAATACGACAGCACTAGAAAGAGCATCCGAGCGATCCAAGGATGTATTAGGTTCTTCAAGATGAGAGCAAAAGCAACCTCGACAAAGCAATCAAAAGCCATATTAAAAACTTACAACCAAACCTACTAAAGAAGAGCACGCTGCAGCACTCCTTGAACGAACGGCCCCAACTCCTTAAGACGACCTGACTCGCCGGAAAGTCTCAAAGCCATCATGTTCTATCGCCGCAAGCCTTCTTGCATGCCCCGACTCCGCACTTTTTTTGTGGCTGGCGAGACAAGCTAAGTCGGTCGATACTCGCGGTTCGCGTCGTCAGAGCGGGCGGTGGCTATTGCAGCGACGTGGATGGCGTCGAAAGGCCGTGGCATTCCGTAGTCGGAGTATGCTTCTGTCCTGCGGTGCGCCATCGCGGACTGGCGGGAGGTGCTGGGCCGAAGGTGCGGGAAGACTCGATTGGGTTGCGGAAGAGGTGGGATCCATCCAGGGCGGACAAGTCCAGTTGTCGACGCCCGCGGGCAAGGAGAGCGAATATCGACATCGTTATCCACCAACATAGAAGGCCACCGCAAACCATCAGCACCAACAGCTCCGCCATCCCCAACAACATCACCACGCCCCCAAAACAGAGGTAGGTAAGAAGTAAGAGCCCAAGTCGCCACACCCCAGACGCCAAACCCCAGCCTCAAGCCGCACCGACCGAGCGCCCAGCCCATCGTAAGATGCGCATCGCAGGCGATCTGGCACCCGTACCACGGACGGGCACACACAGCGATACCTACCTAGTCACAGCGCGCGATCGCCCTCCCGACGATGGGGTTACGATCGCAGCGTGACATGGCATGACCGGCAGCGCCACAAGCAGCGCCATACAGCAGGAGCAGCAAGCAGCAGCACTCGCAGCACAACACCAACACGGCCGTGGCTGTCCAGGTAACGTCGGCATTGCGCAACTCTTGCAGAGCCGCAACCCCAGGCATGGTCCAGGGGGGCCACACAAGTCACCAACAAACAAGCCAACACCTACCTACCTGCCCCCCTCCCACGGCGTCATCATCGCGCCACACACCGCCAAACACACGCACCGGTCTCGCGGCGCTGCAGCGTAAACCGCGCAAGAAAGAAAAATATGCGTGCCCAACCAACAACTCCCGCAACGTCACCACCACCGACCAGCCAGCCAGCCAGCCCAGCCGCCCGCCCCTCCCCCCAGCAATCAAAACCCAAAATCCAGCCTAAGACAACAGACAACAACACCAGCAACGACGACGACGTTCCGATCCGTCCCGACGACGCGCTGGCCGCGCCGTGAACCCACAATTATGCCGCGCCCTCGGCGGGCATCATGCGAGGGTGGTCTGCGCTTCGGCGGACGAGAATGCGTCGGGTGGTTGCTGGTTTATTTCTTGCTTTTGCGTGCGTGTGTTTCGGGGAGGAAGGGGCTGGCGGGGGCGGTGTTTGAGTGCGATGCGCTGCGATGCCGTGTTTCGGGGGAGGATCTTGTTTGTGCGAGGTTGATTGATTGCTTGGGGAGGGGTTGGCTATGCGGGTGGTGTTTAGTGGGCGTGTTTTTGGGATGGTACTATACAATACGTAGGTGGATGAGTGCTTGTGCAAGTGTTTCTATGCGTATGCTTGTATGTTTGATAACTAGTGTGTGGTTGTGGTGGAGAGGAGGCGTGGTGCATAGAGGCGAGGATAGCTTGTGTGTAGACGGGGCATCTACACAAACAGCAGCCAGACAGAGCAAGCTCGAAAGGAAAAACAATTAAGCCAGCAGGAAGATTCATTACCCCCAGCGTAAGAATAGCCCGGCAGCCGCAGACGAAACACGACACCCCTAACTCTAAGCCAGACAGCCTTATCAAACCGCTCAAAGCAGCGCACAAGCCCTCGGCGAGCACGACAGTCCTGCAATACGGCGCAAGCAAAACAAGACGTTCGTACAGGGTTACGAGCAAGCGTGCCTTGGTTGCTTGGTTGCTTGGTTGCTTGCTTGCGAGATTTGCGTGAGAGATTTGCGAGCGAGCCATGCGTGCGAGGCTGAGACAGGCCCCGTAACTAACATTGCGCACAGAGGCTGGAGGAGAGCGGGAGCGCGAGCAAAGGTCCCGGTGTTGACGAAACGGACACGCCACCACTGCCATCCCTACTCTTCCCGGGCGCTCGGGAGCAGCGAATCTCCCTAGCGCGCGTGGCTGTCACGGCCCGGGCGTGCGCTATCTGCATCCCTGCTGCCTCGTTGCCTTGTCCTGTCTTGTTTTGTCTTGTCTTGCGGTTGCAAGCTGACTGTTTTGCTGATTGAGTGATTGATTGGGATTGATTGGCGTGCGTGCATGCATGCGTGGCTGCGGAAGGGGCGCGCGCAAGTGTTGTGTCTATGGAGATGGCTGCATACACAGTAAATACATCCAGTGCTCACGAGTAGGAACCGCGAGCGCAGCCGCGGCGCAAGAATAGCATAGGTAGCGACAGGAGGCGAGCGAGCCAAGCAGCAGCAGCAGGGAAGAGTACGAAGCCACGAAGCAGATACGGGAGGGATGGGCCGCAAGCGAGCGACTCATATCAGCCCTGCCGCAGCAGCTGGGCAAGCGCGTGCTTCTGCTAGGGCTGCGTGGGCTGTGTTGCTAGAGTCGCGTTGCTGGGTGTGTCGCGCGCGCGCCGGAAAAAAAACTTGCCCTGCCCACTAAAAATACCTAGCTACATACTGTACTGCTGGCTGGCGGGCTGGCTGCAGACCGGTCACGCCAGCTAGCAGTTAGGTACCTATCTGTAGCTGTACGGGCTGGTTGGTGTAGCCCAACGGGCATTTTGCGACGCGACGATGAGATTAAGCGGTGCTTCTGGAAGATTGGCAGAGCCGCAGATGCGATGCGATGCGAGAATAATTTCGAATCGCAAACGAATGGCAGGGCTGCACGCCTGGCCCGGCTCGGGAAAGACAGGAAGCCAAAAAGTGATGTGCCGTGAGCGGGCGGCGGCGATCATCGGGAGCAGCAGGGAGGACAGCCACGGCGACAGGGGCCGAGCGCGCGTCTGGACCGCGCGCGGTTGGGTGATGCTCAGACAATCGCTCCAGCAATTCTCACCTCACGCTCGGCGGCGCTTCTTATCAGGATTTTTCTCTTAATTTAGGGTCAAGGGATTTGCGGAATATATATTATCGGCTCGACGCGTCGCTGAAAGTACCTCTTACTTCCCATCACCAGCATTCACTCTCACAACCATTGAGTCTCTTGGACTTTCTACCGCTACCACTACCAAACACTACCACTTCACCTCTTCCACGTTGGCGACCTCTCAGTCCTCCTCTACCTACCAACCCACCGAACGAGCTGCCAAGCTTCGAATCATCTACCTCGCAAACCAACAACCCACTCCCATCATGTCCAGCGCACCGCACTGCTGCAGCGAGATGGGCCACTGCCGGGCCCAGCGTTTCGAAATGGACGCCATCAACCAAGCCGTGTACAACACGCAAAAGGCTTCGTACGAAGAGAACTGGGTAAGCAAAAACACACACACGACGACGAATGAACAAAGCGCTAACAAAGCCCCTTCAGGACCGCTACGACTGCTGGCGCCAAAACAAGCCCGACGCCAAGGTCACCGTCTCCGTCAAGGACGAGGAGGAGTACAGCGGCTGCTGCTGCGACGACGACAAGAGCTCCGCCACCAGCACCAAGAAGACCGAGGCTGCGCCCGCGACGACCGCTTCCCTCGTCCCGCCCAGGCCCGCCCTCAGCCGCTCGGACAGCGCAAACTCCGTCTGCTCGACCGCGTCGCGCGCTTCGTTGTGGACGCCGCGCTCCGCGAGCCCTTGCTCCCGGTGCCAGTGTGGCGGGTCGAGCTCGCACCTTTGAGGAGTAAAAGCGTCGTCTGTTTCTTTCTAAAGTTTCGTTTTCGGTGTTTGGGCGTGCGCGTTAGCACTCCGCTTTGCTGGGCCTTGGTCTTTTCTTTTGCATATACACACTACGGGCTGCATCAGCTGCGGCGTCTGGGAGGGGTTTTTGTCGTTTGTTGATCTTAGATGTCTTTGAAGCGTATGAGAGAGAGAGTCGTTGCGGTAATGACTGGACGATTATCGGACGCCCGGTTCTGGCGGGAAAAGGAAAGACTTCCTAAGAGACAAGCAAGATTTAGATGGTCCCTTTAGATCTGTCGTAATCAGTAGAAGACATCGACTTCAGCCTGCTGCTTCTTTCTGCCTGAATGTGATCTTGCCTACTTCCTTACTTTGCCCTGTAGTAGTTCGAATCTCGCCAATGCAAGCGCAATCCGGGGCGTTAACCTTGCGTCTATCATTGCCAAGCAGAATGGACCTTTCGCCGGAAGAACGCTTGTTTCATATTCAGCGTGTCGGAGCACGAGAGCCTGGCAGCAGCGGCAAGCTTTTGATTCAACAACAAAAGACTCATCAAGCACTGAGAACCTGAGAAAGAGACGACTGGCCATATAGCCACAACACAACCACCAGCAAAATGCAATAGATAGCAGACAATGAAAAGAAAGCACACTCACCCACTTCCCCACCCACCCAATTACCTCAAACATCCCCCTCACCCTCAACGGCAAGGCA